GCTGCCGTTCGTACGCTGACCCTGGAGACGTGTCGGGCGACTCACCCGGTACACCGCTGTCGCGGTAGTCCGAATCCTCATCCTCGGACGTCGCCACCTTCTTCTTCTTCTTCTTCTTCTCCGACAGGTCGTCAAAGAAGTTGGCAGGCGCTGCACCCGTTCGCCGAGTCGGCTGTACGCCCTCGAAGTCGATGGGCCGAGCTGGAACGCGATTATCCAAATTAGCTTCGTCGAACCGGATCCGGTAGAAACCAGACAAAAACGCTTACCAGGTTCCGGGCTCGACGACCGTTGGCGCACGAGAGCACCCCCCAAATCGATGTTCTCGACATCGACCCTCGCACCCGCCGATGCGGCTCCTCTCCCTCGACTCGACCTCGCGCTGTGTCGGCCATGTCGACTCCGCTGAATCGACCTCCCTCGAGGAGTCCTGGGCGGCGACACGACAGCTACAATCGAGCAAGAATAGACATAGTATCAGGTCACGAATTATCAATTCAGGATCCAAGCAGATTCGCTTTACTCACCCGCACTCGGCCCCGCAACCGGTTCCTCGTCGACCACGTCCAAAGGTTGCCCGGTCATGGCAACATCCTCGCCCGATACCGGGCGCCCAGTTGGCCTACGAGCTTCCCCGTAGAGCCCTTCCCGACGAGCCGGTTCACCACCTGCGAAGAATTCAACAAGTTCAGCGAAACGAAACCGCCTTTCGGAACCGAATCTGCTTACCTTCCAACCCCGATCGGGTCACCGACAGCCCCCTTATATTCGAGGCCAAATTCTGGTCGACCTCGTCCGTGTCGTCCATATCGAGGAGTTGTTCGAAATCGAAAATTCCTCCGGAAAAGACCTGGTTGACTTCTACACACAAAGCGGAACTGGATCAGTGCACGCAAAGGAACCGAATCGACTCGAATTGCACGAACGAGAGGCCGAGTCTCCTGGATTTACGGTCGAGGCTCGAGAAGGAGTCGAGCGTTCCTCAATCTTGGGAGATACGTCAGGAGACGGCATCGTTGAGTATCTTCGAGAAAGGAAGTGCACAATTCGTTTCAATCGAAACGGATCCGGCTTATACCCCCACTCGACGCGAGTCGATGGGCCTTAGCGAAATGGAAAATTCGGTCGCCATCAAATCAAAACAAACGCGTCGTAGACAATCATCAAACAAATTGATGCGATCAATACTTGAAACACGATGGCTCGGGGCGCGCCATTCCGGAGGGGGATATACTGTTACGGGATCATCACGTGAGTCGACTACCGACACACAGGCTAGATCTACGGACATCAGCATACACCTAAGTCCGGCTCGACGAGGCGAATCCGATTCCCTCGGAGCAGATTCGGTCGTCCCTACCATTCGCCTTACCATTCACCGAAACAACAATACGTTCCCGGTACACATCACACACAGGTACAAGGACCTCGAGGTACACGACAACTCTACTCAGGACCTCGCCAACCTTACTCGACGTACCTAGGGACAAATGAGAACTCAAACTCGCCTCCTCTACCGAATCCGGTTGCTCTCGACAGGATTCGTCTGTTCGCCATCTCGTTCTTCCAGTTTCGCCATCTCTCGCCATTCTTTTCTCTTGGGTCTTTTCAGTGTTCGCCAGCCTCGTCTCCGTACTCGTCTCCGTATAAATAGCTAGAGGAACTTGACCGAATTCGATAGAGGACGCTCTGTAATAGTAATAGGTCAAGTTCCGATATCACATTCAATACACGCCTATCTGACTTGTTACAACATCTTCAAGACGTGTTGCGGAGAGGTTACAAACTCAAGGACGTCGCTAAGTATCTACGTTTCATCGATTTACCTTAGACCGAATCCGGTACCTCACACCGAGTGATCACCTTCCTTATCCATATATCTCTGGATTCGTATCCCGCACCCGAACCCGCTTCATCTAAGCGGACTTGCGACATTCTCCCGACTACCTGCGATTCACCTATAAGCACCCTACGCCTTACGACTTAGGACCTATCTCGATAAGCGACTTCCGCCGTAACAGGGTCGTTCGTAGAGGCGAGGTCGAAATATCTGTCGCCAGAGGTCGAGATATCGGTCAAAAACGGCGGCGGCGTCCTGGAGATCGTCCTCATAACGTTCTTGGTCATCTAGCTCAACGTCTGACATCTTAGAAGGTCTATATAGCGACTAGTATCGATACAAGAACGTTATTTAGATGATCGTTCAGTATATTACATGTCGACGTCGAGAGTTGTTCATATCGGTCAAGCGTCAACGAGAAGTCTCAGCTCAAAACCCGCGGACTTCAAAATCGTACAATTTTGATTTGGGAAACAGCCGGATTTTGGTAATTTTGCGCCATTCCACGCTTACAGCCACGCACGCTAACAAATCCGGAAAGGCCAAAAACCGGCGGAGGATTGGTAAACGCACCCTTGATGATCGATCGAGAAGGAGGTGGAGGTCGAGCAGCTGATCACTAATGACCACGAAGAGCTGGTCATTATCATTAGGGTTGGTCAAGTGGATAGTAATGAGTGCTTGCTGTTCATATACAGCTCAAGCTGCAAAAGACAGCAACAACAACAACAATGTCATCCACTTCACAGGAAATATCACCAGAAGAAGAAGAGACGACAACGGACGACATGTCCTCGCTCGCCCCGATCCACCGACTCCCACCCGAACTCGTAGACTCGCTCCTCCTCTACGTACCCGCCGACCAGCTACAGTACACCTCGCTCAACCTCAAACAGGTCTTTCCCGAGTTGGCCATCAGCGAACGACACTTGTTTACGCATCTCAGAGTGGGCAGGCCTGAACAGTTGAGACCGATGTGGGAGAGGTTGAGGCGGGAAAAGTACGGCGAGGATGAGCAGCAGGAGCATGCCCAGGAGGATGACGACGACGACGAACGAGGTCTACTCCGCTTCGTCGAATCATTCACCCTCGCCTGTTTCTCTGGAGACGCAGACCTGATGAACAACGTCCTCCGTCTCATTCCCGCCATCCGAAGGCTCTCTTTGAACTTGGGGACGAACTTCGCACCGGAACACCTGGCAGAGGCCTTTCAGGTCGAGAGGAAGCGGATCGAGGTGGTCGAGGTCAGGTTCAGGCCGTATGTAGATAGGGCGACGTATTATCAGTTTCTAAAGGTAAGCCATGAGCTTCCGTGAGGTTGAAATGTGGTTCGCTGCTGATATCGTTGCTTTTCTTCTTCTTCCTCTCGCTTCTTTACTCTCGCCAACCTCGGCAGGGCTCCTACTTTGACACCGCCATCGAGACCATCACCCGGACCTGGCCCGAGACACCTACCTTTCGTCACCTCTCCATCGTACAGGACGTCCCCCCGCGTTTCTCGGTACCGCACCTGGTCAAACGGATGGCCAGGGTCAAGTTGGCGAAAGAGAAGCAGGAACAGAAGCGGTTGTTGCAGGAAGCTCAGGGTGGAACAGCAAGTGGAGAGGTAGATGTGGACGGGGAAGAGAAGAAGAGGGACGGCCTGCCCTCGTCGGACGAAGCCAACTCGGACTCGGGCTCGGAACCGTCCGACGACGACGAAGCGTGGGACGCGCTCGCCGACGCTCATCCTGTCGAACCCAAGACGGGGTATACGGGTCAAGGTCCATTTCCTTACCTCTCGGGCAGACTGGCGGATGCTAAACCGAGCACGTTCGCCCAGCCCGTCGTCTTCCACGACATCACCTGTCTGGCGCGGTTGGCCAGGTCTCCAGGGAGTTGGCACGTGAGGGACTTGAGACTCAGGTGTCCCGGAAGGGATGTCGTCAAAACCTTGAGCGAGGGAGGAGATACGCCACATGACGCGCAGGGGAGACGCTGGTTCCCCCGGCTCAGGTACCTGGACGTCTCCACCTCGAACGTCAGGCTGGACGGATGGTTGCCCGTCCTCCTGCGACGGTACAGCAAGCTCGAACACATCGTTCTCGATCGGACCAACCTGTTCGGATTCCGGGGGAAAGACTCTGGGCAAATCTTGTGTGCGGATCTGGCGAGGATGTGTGCGGGAATGGTGGGGATTCAAAGGGCCAAGGAGAGGGAAAGAGAGTTGACGAGGTTGGAAGAGGTGCAGCGGAGGCGGGAGGCCGTACTGGAGAGGGAGAGGCAGAGGAGGATCTCGGCGGAACGACCGATCAGGGAGGAGCACGAGGGTGAAGAAGATGGCGAGGATGAGGACGAGGACCAGGACGAGCTCGAGTTTGATGAGAATGGTGATCCGATCGAGAGACCGCCTCGTCGACGTCGGCCGGTACCCGAGCCGGAACCAGAGCCGGAGCCCGTGCAGTATCGCGCCATGGAACGAGCTCGACCGCGTCGAAACCGACGAACCATCGCCGTGGCTACATTCTCGGTCCGGGAAAACAGTCGACGGAACAGGACCAACGACAGAGCAGGTGTCGAGGACGATGCGGATCTGATCATACCTCCACCTCAATCCGTATGCATGGTTCTCCCCTCGCTTTCCAAGCTGAAATCGGTCAACCTCGGTGGTGAATCGTTGCCGCTCGATCAGACTAAACTGGACGCCTGGGAAAAGGGATTCCGAGCGGGTTGGAAGGACGGGATCGACAAGGCGTACGAATGGGCGACAAGGGTCGGGGAGAGGTACGATCGAGCCCTCAAGGCGGCCGAGGCGTGGAAATCGGCCGAACAGCTCGAGTTTGGTCAAGGGTCGAAGACGGCCAAGGGGAAACGCGGTCCGTCACCCCTGTTGCTACCTAATGGGAAACCTCGAACGAGACCGCCACTCGACGTCAGGTTGTACAGGTATCCCTGGCCGCAGGAGACGATCAGGGAAGAAGACGAGGTTGCTGATCCAGACGATCCGTACGCCGGGTTGATCAGGGTTGAGACCGATGAAAATTGGAAGGACGTCTATTTACGCTACCTGGGCGAAGCTGGCGAAAGGTGCGCGGCCGATGCGACGATCGTCAACCAGGACGGTCGAGTCGACCCAGTGCCCAAACCAGAGATTTCGAGCTCGACCTTGGCGGGTCCGGTGCTTTGTTGCATCCCGGACTGCGAGGGGCCGATGCGACGGGGAGACGGCGGAGAGAGGGTCGATGGGAGAGCCGGGATGAAGCTCGTCAACGGACGCGTCGTCATCCGAGGAGGGTTCAAACACAAGCCAGGCTGCGGACACGCTTATGCTGCCAATGTCTGGTCGAATCAGGTGTGAGAGGGAAGTAAGACAGCGATACAAAGACGACGGTTGTAGTCGTCCCATTTTAACGAAACTCTTGTAACGACATTCACGATGGCATGTCTCTTGCACGATTGCTACTGATAAAGATCCGAGAGGGAGGATGCATCGAGGGACAGCCGAGAACGATGGGGGCGGAGCTGAAAGGGAGAGGGGAAGAGCCACAAGGGAGAGGGCAATTCCCATTCTATGACCAGGCCAAAGAGAATAGAGCTCAGGAATGTAAGTTCCACGACAAGTAAAGGAGGAAGCATGACGGCGTGTCGGTTTTTGGTTATGGTCTTGTGTTTGCTTGTAAAGAATATGCAGGTACGGATGATGGATATCTCGAAAGGATGATTGATTGATGAGAGGTGGTTGGATGGGGATTTCAGCTCGCAGCCCGATATATACACACGACTTCCCTTGCTGTACGGGGTGTGTGCTGTACATAGTTGACTGACACAGGGCTCTCGACGGTTTTATCGAAGAGGTCATCCTCCTACACTGCAACGACATGCACCGGCAAGTGCGGGACAACAACCTTGCCGGAATAAATGATGGTCCTGAAGCTAGTGCGACGGGCTGGCTGGTATTCCCACTCGCCACCTACATCTACGGACCTACGGGCATGTTCACAAAGTCGATTGCGACTGTTTGCGCTCCCTAACCCCTAACCCCGAACTCGATTTGCGGCCACTTCAACAGCTTGCCAGCTTTGCATTACTCTGTGGCTCGCCGAGCGTTAACCATGATGTCTGCCTGGATGCCGCCCACCTTGGTGTCCTTTTTACGACTGGGAGGCGCGCGCTTGTCGAGGTCGCGAGATTGGTCGAAATGGATGGGCCCGCTTGCTGCAGCGCGAAAGTTGTGGAAGTGAGCCTGAAACTCTCTAAACATACTCCGGCTAGCTATCTAATTCCGTCTCTCCTTCGCTAATTGATCCCGTATTGACCTCGCTAACAACACTTCAGTGGTTGAGCCGCAAGAGCCTAGTACTCATGCCGGTCCTCGACCACCCAGATGATCCACGCAAGGCCCATGTCTGGCTGCTCGTTTGGGATCTGCGATACAGCTCCTTTGAGATATACGATTCTTTGCCGCACGAGCGCCATCATGACGTCGTCAATGACATCGTTCAAGCTCTGCAAGTTTGCTGTTACACCCGGAGTTGTGATACAGAAATGGGGGACTGGGGGTCTCTTCCTGTCGGACCTCAAAGGCTGAGCGAGGTCTGGTCTGAAACACCCTAATCCGAATGTATAAAGGAAGGCGCGCAAGTCAGGGTTTGACGTTTCAGGTCAACTCGCAAGGCTTGATGAGCCAACAGCCGACGTGTTTATTCAAAAACGCAAGTACACACCGGGTTCAAACTGAAGTACGAACATACCCTGCTCAGAGCGTCCATGCACCCTCAACCTGGCTATCAGATCAGACCTGCCAAGAAAAGACTAACAAAATGGGTCAAGCGCCTTCAACGTAAGTAATGTTCCCCCAAACCCCTTGACCCCATTCATTGAACTCAGGCGTGGTCTCCCTGCATTCTTAGCGAGAAGAGACCCGAGCCGAAGACTTTCGAATATGGACCCTGGCAAGTGGCCGGGTTCCTGATGGTCGGGACTACTCTCTGGATGTCTTCGATCGATAACTTGCCACCAGAGGCGTATGGCTTCTACTTGATGTTCTCAAGGGCGACTATATTAGCAGTCGTGTGAGTGCCAGACATTGCCTAGAGAGACATCTGCTGGATCCGCTTTCCTTCTTCGATTTCCGTAGGCTGCTACTCTGTCATCGGATGTATGTGAGCTGGGCGTGGGAGGCAGAGGTAAAAGCTTGGAATGCCAAGCAGATTGCGGCTTCAAAAATAAAGAAGGTCAATCATGGCGAGACGGAGTTTTCACGAAAGATGTGAGTTCTGGCTCGACCTTTTGTTCACACCGGTACATCTAGCTGAGTCGATATCCGCCTTTATAGACCATTCTCTTTGTGGGTGAGTGACGTGGTGTATACCGTAATATGACTTATGCGATTTGACGTTTGTTTTGCTTTACGCAGGACACAGCCTCCCGAGCTCACCCTAGTGGCAAGTTGTCCTGTAACCCAATCAATCGACCTGATACTCACCTATACGGATGTACTGTCAGCTTTTTTATCAACATCCCTGGTTCAGCCGCGCTTGTTTCCTTTCCCCGTAGGATTGGCTTCGGCCGAGAACAAGAATATGGTTTGGGAGAGCGGGTTGCAACCTCATGTCGTCAGTGATGATCCCCTTGGTATCGTTACACAAGAGCCCGAAGCGCTGATCTGTCATATATATACAAGGGTCGCTTCCAAATTGGAGAGGTATGAACCGGACTCTTTCTCATCCCGACGTAGTATTGACAACTTCCTTCTCTCGTCCAGGCGTATGACAAGAAACGCAGGGAAGCCGCGACCAAGATCATCTCTGAGCGCCTCAAGAAGGAAGACAAGGCAAAGAAGGATCGTGGAGACTATTACACCGAGCAAAAGAGGGTGTAAGTCTGACTGAATCAGATTTGCTTCATTATCAATGCAGAGGTGGTGCTCATACTTGTTTTGGCTTGAAAATAGTTTGGAGCACAGGATTTGGCACATCAAAGTCCTCAGCTCGATTGCGGTTTTGGCTTTTGGTAGGTCCCTCTGCTTTTCTCAGCCCCTTGCGATATCACAAGCCTGTTGACTTCGTTGTCTCCGCTGAACCGATGCACGCTACAGCAAGCAAGAAACTGGCAATGATCGCCTTGGTACCCTTCATGTACTCAATCTTCCAGCACGAGATGCGTATCCTTATCGAAGGCAAGAAGAGTACGTTCAAGGCGGAAAAACGTCCGAGAGCGCTCAAACAGGAGAAACCGAGCGAGGAAGCTCCAGGAATGGGTCTGTCCTACATGTACAATCCAGGAGGTTAGTTCTGTCTTTGCTTTGAAGCACAAAATTTGGCGGTCAATTGATGGAGTGCTAACCACTTTGCTATCCTTGTGGATGTGGGGAAACAGAGGGCGGCAAGCTCGAACCCCTCCAATGGGCACCCATCCTTGGCAACGCTCCGGTTCTGATGACCTCGACCGAACCAGAATTAGCTGGGGACGGAGCAGTTTCAAAGACTTTACCAACCTGGTTCAAATACCCAAAAGCTTCCTCTTCTTCTAAGTCCTCTTCGAGCAGGAGTGGTGGGATGGACAGCATGGCAGGGCTGTCCATGTAGACGACAAAAGTATCAACTTGGCAGGCGGTTTACTGTAAATAACTGGACATTGTTCATAAAACTCGATCCGCATGCGCAGAACTCGTGATAGTCGCCTTGCAGTACCATACGCGCCTGTATAAAGGCCCTGACTACCACTACCGATCTATGTCGTGGTATATAGTGTGTCGAGAATGTAAGACATGTTTGAATCGACCCGTTTTCTCGCGCGCGGCGTGAGAGGTGAAACGCCGGGACTGAAGCGCAATCAGCCGATGCTTCCGGTTGCAAAATGTCTTTCACTTGAGCCATTTCATTCTGTTCGACTGGACTACCGACAGGGCTACCAGCAAGTAAGGAACGGGGCACAGCAACGATGCTGGACTTGTAAGAGCGGTGCAGGAGGACGACGGCTTCGCCTAGAACATCCAGCCCCGTTAGCAATTCAGGAATAGTCCACGTCAAGCCCATCGCTTTGCCCCCGAACGGCTGTCATACTTTGGCGGTAAGGGATTCTCGCTCTCGGTCCATGTCTCCGCCCACGATCAAGGTCGCCAAAAGCATCGACTCTTGTCAATATGGTCCTGCTTCCCCATGTAGAAAACGACGTGATCGCCAGGTCTTCTCTTGTACAACGCTTCTCGAGCTACAACTTTCTAGTGATGATCGCTCCCTCGGTATGCTTTGCCCAACAATTCCGGGGCGGCTCTGGTACCCCGTTCGCTATAGAGACCGAGTCAATTGAGTCAGTGCCAGTGGAACGAGCGGCTCAGTGCGCTCTACTTACATCTCGTCGAGCGCCTTCATTAGGTCGTGGTTGATCTCGTCCGATACAACAGAATCGTGCTTGTAAGCGGGGTGCGAGGTGATAAAGTTTCGGATCCAAGCAGCGGGTGTGCACAGTTTGCCTTTAGAATGACGACAAGGATCAGACGGAGTCCGCATGGTCTGATAGGCGCTGTCGCTGCGTACCTTGGGCTCTGTGCTTGATAAGGTCCAAATATGTGCGGATCTCGCAACGGGTGACGTGATCAACATTCAGCGAGTTCAGGTAGGCGTTGATGACTCCCATCAGACCAGGGAACGAGTTCTGTGAAGACGGACAATCAGCTTGTAATCTTTACTAACAGGCTGGAATTGGGCTCACCTTTCCGTTGATGATCTCGTCGACTGTCATCTCTTCCACTTCCTCACCTGGCGCTCTAGAATCTCCATTCTGATTCGAGCCCGACGACCCGGGCGACGACGAGCGCGAAGCGGTCCCGTTTGTCGCAGTATCCTCACCTTGTCCTTCCCCGTTGAACCCGGCTCGCGAGGGCGAGGATGGTCGACTGCTCCAGTCGTCGTGCGAGGGAGATCGACCGAGAGGGAAGACCCATTTCCGGAAGTGGAAGAGTTCCGATCGGGCAGCGTCCCGTTTCTGCGCTCGCTGCATGTTGATATCGACCTGCAGCGGAACCAGCGGAAGGGGCAGTTAGCGACCAAATGAGAAGGATCAGCGTCGAAGATCATGCTCTCTCACCTTGGAGATGGGCATGTAAAAGTTCAGGTTAAAGCTCAAGATGGCCCGGGTCAAGAGAACGATAAACACCGAGTAGGCAGCGTTCTCAAAGTCGGTCAGCTGGACTTCCATGCTTCGGAACTCGACCCTCCATCCGATGGGCGAATCGACAGGTGGAGGCTTAAACCGCATCGTCTGCCAATTTGTCGACTGGATGTTTTCGAAATGGTCCATCGACGTCTCGTCGTCCTGGTCGACCCGTTCGCTGAAGACGACGAGCGGGTCACGGATGAACAGATGAGCGATGTGTTTGGCCAGGGCGTCGTCGATACCTGAATCATTAGCGGGAACAGTAAGTCATTATACCCCTCGGACGCCGAGAACAGTCTGGCCTGCGATCGACTGACCGTTATCAAGCAACCGCTTGTGAATCGCCTCGTCCATAGGACAGTCGATATCGTTATAATAATCCTTATTTCGAGGGTCTGACGAGATGTATCGGTCCACAGAGTCGTATCTCGATTTTGGAATCCTGAACTTGTCGTTCTTGAGAGGCTACGAAAAGTGTTGCTCGCAGTCAGCATGTTGGTTCTGTACGAGATCGCGGTTAACTCGAGGCTAAATTCTGGAGCTCACCTTCAACCCCCTCTCTTCTTCCGTCCGATCATCCACACTGGCAGCGATCACATCCCACCTCGCGTCCACATCCGCCAAATAACCTCTAAACGCCGGACTCGCCGCCGTCAACGCGAGCATGATCGGGGTGACGGGGACGAGGGCGTCGTACACCCTCCTGGCCTCGTTGACGTTCCAGGCTTGGAAGGTGATCTGGAGACAACAGCAACCCATACCGAACGCCATGGCGTCCATATAGATGTGGTCCGGTTTGGCCGCGCCGTTCTTGGCCTCTAGCGTGAGGTAACAGGATCGAGTTCCGAATTGTGAATCAGTTCAGACTGCCGAGGTACTCGCTCGAGAAGCTGCACACTAACCGTCGTCCCCGGGGTACCTCTGCCTATCCCATGGGATGGTCGGATCGATAAACGGACTCGGCGTATTCGTATCCTTGAAGATCGGTACGTTGATCTCCACCTTGGCTCCTCTCCGGCTCCTAATGTTCCCCGTCAGCGTCGGGAACCTCGCATGCGGATTGGTGACCCCTTGCCCGACAAACAAGCTCCTACTCGCATCGCTGTCCGCCTCGCTCCAAGCTTCGGGTACGGTGAACGGCGTATCGGTGACCCCGAGTCGAGGGTACGAGGTAATGGTGATGGGGAACTCGTTGTCCTTCAGATGGCACTTGGCGAGTTTACGACGGAACCGCATGTTTTGTTCCACAGAGACGAGGTCACGCAAGGAGCCCGAATAGGGAGCACCGGGGGTGGATTCGAGCATGTATCGACCGTACTCGGGGTGGAAGGTCGGGACGACCATGCTGACGAATGCCCGTACATGCAATTAGCTCGCTGTCTTCTTTCAGACGAGTTGGGTCTAGCTCGAACAGACCCACCTCTTCTCGGGTTCCTCATCTTTCAGGTCGATGACCACGTTCTTGAGCTCTTCCAGGATTTCGGACTGACGCAGGGAGAGCAAGGCCCGTTTAGACCCGTCTTCCGGAAAGGTGATGACCATGTATTCGATCTATCGGCCAGGCAGTTCGGGCGACACGTAAAACGGAGTCGTCGAACAGATAGAAGACAGAAGAATCGATCAGGGCAATACACTCTGGTCAGCCCCTCGAGTCTTCCGGACTCGAGCTTGGAACGCACCTCGTCACCCCACAAGAACCCTTTCCCCTCCTTGACATCCTTCCACCTCGCCCAGGTATGCAAGAATTGCGTGATCCCGTGGTCCCGAACATGGTCCGCTAGCGGTTTAGTCTCGTCCCAAGAGAGTGGCGTACCGAGCGATAAGAGACCCATGCTTTCGATCCGGACGGAGAGGGATTAGGTGAGATATATGGGTGGATGGCCGAGCTTGCGGAGGTTTAGCTGCCGCGAGGTTCCGGCAGGTTATGCCAGGGTATAGATTATGAGGGAGGGTGTCCTTGTTGTGGGTATACTACTGTCAAGGCTTGGTGAAGAATGGTGTGAATGGTGAAAGATACGAGATGCGATGCGATTCGGTTGTGACGAAAACGTCGTTTCTGACGATGTTGAACCCGAATCGGTCTCGATCGAAGGTCGGGGAGGACGCGACTTTCCTAAAAGTGGAGGTCGATGACCTTACTTATATCGGTTTGGAGCTCGGAAAGCTTGCGAGCTATCAAAGTGCGCAAAGTGATGATATGAAGTCGCGGATCTTTTGGTTGAGAGGTAGTGTGACAGCGCCGAAGATGTTGTTGTAACGAGATCGAGTCGAAGCTTATGAGAAAAAGTCGAGGTCGAGGTCGAACCAGGAAAACCCGTCGCTATTTGGGTTGGTCAGCGAAGAACCCACGCCCGGGGTTGACCGATAAGCCACTTCTTCATCTGCTTACACCCCCACCTCCATATATCCATCGACCTCACACAACCTCGCCAGTACTTGGATACCTCGTCCCGGCCCCGTCGTCATCGGACGGACGACTCTGTCTGACCAAGACTGGGGATCGAGGGTACATCACGCCATACCTACCTTGATCCACCTCGTATCGCACGATCGAAAACGACGATCTGGTTAAAACGGAAAATATGATATAAAAATCCGGGGAATTGGGCGCAAGCGAGAATGTGAGGTGATTGCAACAACGGTCACCGTTCGCGTAGATGGTGACAACAAAGAACAAGACCCAACGACAAGCGGCAAGCTCGATAAGCGACCTGGTTTTACATCTGTATGTCTGGTAGAATCGGCGAGTCGCACAGAGGTACGAGCTATGCATCGTGCATCACTGCAGTCTCAAGTAAAGCATGCCAGTGCTGGTAATCCGTGCTGACATTCATTGGAGGCATTTCATGAGCCTCAAACCTGAGACGTCAATCTCCTAGCTTCTAGTCGATACCTTGTCCTGTGCTGCACAGTCCAGTCTCCCGTTGCCTGTTGTGTTCATCTGGAATACGCAATCCCCCCCCCAATGTATCCCATTTCCCAGTAGGGTCACGCTGTGTCACTGCAAAGAGCTACGACCGAGTCAGAGCGATGAGGCCGACCGTCCCGTGTCTGCCCTCTTGCTGTGATGATACTGAAACGCACGCAGATTCGACGAATCCGCGTGACGACGACCGGGATTGTTCGGCGTTTGTTTGTGATCTTCGATTCGCAGTGTCCCTCAGCTACTCACGACTCACGATGTCCCCCCCTATATATACCTCGCATACCATCACGCAGCTGGTAACTCGCACTAGTCATTCACTTTCAATCCAAACTCTATCGCTACCCCCGAGCAGGATATATAAGAATGGAAACCATCAGATCCGTTACCAACACCATCTCCGAAGCGGCCTCGTCGGCGTTCCAGTCGTCCTACGATGTCGCCAGGAAAGGCTTTGGCGAGGGTACCAACGAGCATGTGAGTAGGTTTGCACGACCAACGAGAGGCGTTCCATGAGACTGACGATCGATCTGCTCGTTTCGTTCTCAAAGTACGATCGGTGAGTAGCTTCGAAGCCGAACTTCTTGCCACTGCGTTCAGCCAGGTCTAATACGTATCGCATGTTCCCTCAGAGCCCGCCCGTCCTACCCAGCCGAATCTCTGCAAAACATCCACAAGAGCCTCTCCCCGACCGCCTTGTCCCGCCCAGAGGGCCTGAACATCATCGAGCTCGGCTCAGGTACCGGTCTCTTTTCCCGGATCTTGCTCGCCCCGCCCTCCTCCGAATATCCTACATGGAACATCCACTCGTTGTACGCCGTCGAGCCTTCCGAGGGAATGAGGACGCAGTGGACCAAGAAATACGACGGACTCGTAGAATCGGGAGACTTTGACCCGGGACGAGTCGTCAATGGTGGCGAGGTCCAGACGTTGAATGGGGGGTTCACGGACTTGTCCGGATTGAAATCGAGGTTGAGGGAGAGGGGGGAAGAGGAGCAATGGGCGGACTTGGTCGTCATGGCTCAGGCTTGGCACTGGGCCCATCCTGATTACGATGCCGCTATCGTGAGTGCCCCTCGTATACCGAATGCAGCCATGAAGATATTGCTGATGCCCATCGTAACGGAGCGCAGAAAGAGATTGCCTCGATCATGAAACCAGACGGCGTCTTGGTCTTTATCTGGAACAACGAAAAGTGAGCCGGACGACCTCTCGGAATTGATAATAATGGCATCTAACGATCATTTCGCGATTACATCAGCCGTGATCCCCCCTATCCGCAAGATCTACGAACGTTTGAGATGTCGCTCGAGGCCGGGACGCCACAACAACACCGAGGTCTCTGGGAGGCTACCTTTGAAGCTCCAAGTTACACCGCCAACTTCAGGGAAGAACGGGGTGACCGAAACATTGTCCACTGGAAGTCTGTGCATGACGACCGCAAGGTACGCTCAGTCTCCAGTATGGTCCGGGTCTTGCAGAATGTGTAACTGATACGCCAATGCTTTATGTCGACTCTCAGCGTATCGACAGGGTGCTTTCCAAGTCGTACGTGGCTTCTCGTTCGGAAACGGAAAAGGAAGATATCATCGCCAAGATCAAGGAGATTCAGACGACCGACGACGGGAAGGAATGGATCGATCGAGAGGTGAGTGTATGGACGGGGGTCGGTCGCAGAGAAGGCGGACCGGCTGACGAGTGGATCTTGCGGCGCTTCCAGGCTGGAACGTATTATCAACCTTGGTGGACTCTGGTCGTCGCCATGCACCGGAAGTAACGGCTCAAATTGGTAAAACTTCCACCGCACTTCATGCCCTAAATGAAGCTCTTCGTCGTTTGTGTTTGGAGGTACCATGCGGTCCGTCTTACCTGGAGACATGAGCGCTTGGGGACGCTTCAATTCCATGTGATTCCCCTAGAGACCCATTGAGCCGATTTGTGCTGCGACTCGCGATACGACACAGCAGAACCACCATCCAGGTGATGTGCTTGACAAGGAGTGAAACACGGTTGACATTCGCAATTTCGCAAGCGTACATGTGATGTTACATTCACTTCATTCTGAATTTCTTGCTCGTCAGCGGCCCGCCTGTCGAACTTTTCAACCTCATCAGCCTCCCTTTCTGGAGCCCCTAATTCATGCCCTCGCCGTCTTCTTCCCGGTTCCGTAATCGAACACGTCTTCATGCGAGAACAGGACCAATCCCCTCCTCTTGCCCTCGAACGGCATCACCGCATGCTTCAACAGCGCCGATTTCATCAGAACAAATTGCCCTGGCCTGTATTCGAGTCTGAACGCCGTTCGATCAGATCCGACGATCAGATCGCCGCCGACAAAGTCGCCAAGGTTGGTCATAGCTACCCAACCTTCTTGATCGTCCGAGTTGTCTTTGTGAGGGAGGACGCGGACCTGGAAAGGGATGGCCAGGCCGAGAAATGTCGTTCGTGGGGTCTTGCGGATGGTTTGAAGGGTGGTATATTTGTCGCAGAGGGTTTCAAAGTTGTCCTTGTACCTGCAAGACCGGTAGGCATGATCAGGGACGAGAAGGCCCGGAACACGATGACCATCGGGAATATCTCACCTTTTACATGATTTCGGTTCGAGCAATCTGAATAGCATCGCTGCCGCCTGCTGCCACGGCGCCATGGCTTCCAAAAATCGACTCGCCGGTTCAAACCTCCAGACGTTATTCAAGCCATGACATTGGGACGAGATGACCGGACCTCGATGCGGCTGGCCCTGAGCGATCCAGAAGGCGAAGTGCCAAACGCCGACGTTATCCGCTCCGTACTTGGCCCTCATCTCTTCTAGAGCGTGATGTCGGGTGTCGCTCTTGCCCGGAAGAGGTAGCGGCCCATTCCATTTCTCACGTAGCGTCTCGAGGCTGTCCGTCAGGTGAGCGATGAACTTGGCTCCGACTTCTGGATCCTCCCAGCCCTTCGTCAAGGCATTGTCGAGCTTGTACAACACGATCTCCCCATCGTTGGTCCTGATGATCGCGTTTCCTCTGATCTGCGGGAGGTCCACCATCGCGGCATCCCATTCCTTAACGACGCGTTCCCACTGCTCGACCTCTTCCGGAGTATACTTCTGCTGAGCCTTTTTAGGCTTCCGTCTTCCAGCTTGTTTGACTAGGTCCGGGTAGGAGAGCGGGAGGGTGAGGAGTTTGATATTGGCACAGGCTTGTTGAACGATTTCGAACCAGTGGAGCGTATCACCTTCAGGCCAGTCGTGTGGGCCCGTCTCGGTGGGAAATTCGTCGAGGTTGGGTGGCAGCACGTTGTGTCCACTCTCGGCCGTATCTACTGATCTGGAATGTCAGCAGGGAAGACAATACCATAAACGAAACCCCTGACGGACCGATCATCTTTCGATACTCGTCGTCCACGACGGCATCCCATAATGTGCGAGGCACGGCAGGTTCCTCCTGCCCCTCTTCATCCTCCTGGAATCTCTTCGACTTCTTCTTCCTTTTTTGGGTTGCCAAAGGCTGCTCGCTGTCTGCCTGTTCAATCGGTTTCGAAGCTGGAGCGAGATCCGACGGATTAGAAAGAGAACGTCGCTTGGATGGCTTCTCGCCGGTCTCGGCAGGCTTTCTGCGTTTCTTCACATCGGCCTTGTCCTCTGGCTTGACATTGGGTACAGCCGGTAGGATCTGTTGAGCAGCGAGCTCTTCTGCCTTGGCAGCCCATCGCGCTGTCAGGCGATTCTTTGCAAGCGCTATCCAGTTGCGAGGAAGATCGAGGCTTTCCCTCCGATCCGCAAAGTGTCTCTCGTACTCGATCTCTATTAGATATTGATCCACGCCCAATCCGTCGATCCAGTGGTCGCCCTCGTAGAGATATCTGAGCAATCCCTTGTACAGATTCGCTGTCTCGTCCATCGTACTCGTGGTCCTCAAGAGATAAAATAAAGTCCACTGTCGCTCGGCACCAGTCTTGACCTGATTCAGCTCTGCGAGGGCGACCCCTAGCTGATGCCTCGACGATCCTGTAGTTGCCAGCCTGAGAGCGTTCAATTCGTATCTTCCGCGATCGGCCTCGAAGAGAAAGGCTTGTAATTCTGTCAGAAATGGCATCACTGCGACAGCCGGGAGTGCAACACAATGCTGATGCCTTGATCGGGCAGAGGATGAGAAGTATGGACGTAGGTGCATATATCTGTGAATGATGATATGAGAAGATGTCGAGTGCTCAAGCTTGAGCTGATTCGGCTCGAAGTTGAATTGCGCCCGGCAGGCGAACAGAATCCTCTAACAGCCACAACAACATTTGGTCATTAGATGTAAATATCGCACACGCGGCATGATTCGGCTTGATCGGTCTCAAGCTCTTAGTCCCCAGATGATACAGCAAAGCAGAAAGTAAGAAGGGCGTAAACGGAATGCGTAATTCGGACAGGACCTTGACCCTTGCCACCGGAAAGAATCGATATAGCGAGACCGCTCATAGCTCCGCGTCGTCGTCGATCTGGGATGGTTTGAGCAGACCGGGCACCCGCATCGCCGCTTCCTTTTCTGCCTGCGCCTTTTGCTCGAGCTCGGCCTCCTTGTCGGCGACGTACAGCTCGGCATTGTCGTCCTCGCCCGCAGAGAATTCCTTGAGTGAGATGAGGAAATCTCGCAAGGTGAGCTTGAATCGCTCGACGTCACCAGAGGCGTCGAACAGCAAGTTGACGAAAGTCTTGATTTGGTTGCTGCGAACGGTGCAAACGGATAAGCAGTTGTTAACATCTCGTGAATGGCGATATATCCATCGAGCGTACCTCTGCACATGTGCAAACGCGTTTTGCAAAAGGTTGGCAATGTGCTCTCGCAGGAACACGCCGTTGGTAATGTCCGGCTGTGTCACGACTGCGGGATCCCAGAGCGGAGCCTGGACCTGACCAGATTCAACGAGGTTGATGAGCTTCTGCAGCAGAAGAGCTTGCAATTTGAATCCTGCGAAAGCCCGCGATAAGCACAAGGATCCTATAGTCGCACAGAAAGCATCGACTTACCGCTCTTGTGGTCGGTATCCGTCAGAACGTAGAACACATCACCGAGCATGGCCAAAAGGTACTGCTGGAAGAAGGCGTTTGCAACGGCGGCGTCCTCCTTGGTGAAGTTGCGGACAAGCTCGATGGCGACTATGATGAACGGTTATCAGCGCCAGTCAGGCAAGCAATGTGAGTCAGGCGATGCAAGACTTACGATTGAGTCCGATCTCGGCAATGTCTCGCATTGTATGCTTGATAGCCCAAATAATTGAATCCATGAGCAGCTTGAATTGAGCGGCCGGAAGCTCGAGCAAAGCTGTAACAGAAAGTCACTTAACATCGCGGTCAATGCCGCTATCTTCTCCAGCGACCTACCTGGGAAGCACGAGATATTGATCGCTCGCAGCATGCGGAAGAATCCTCCTCGATGCTCAGGGAACTCAGCAAAGTCCTTGTTGATCATCTCCAAGGTGGGCTCGAAAACGGAATTGAGAATGGGTGCGATCTGGGGGTTGAGACTCGCCTATACTCCGTCGCGAAGTATCAGCCAAGGTCCAGGGCTCGATCGTGACATCGAAACACTCACTCCAAGAACACCGACGATCGTGGCGATCAAGTTCAGCACCTCGGCATCACGTGCAGGCGCCACATTGCGCGAATAGTCTCCCAGGACGGCCTCCAGGAGACCAGGGATCAGGTTGGCGTTGGTGCCCTCCAGGTCTTCTGCTCGCTTGATGTACGTCTCGACCAGTTTCAGGATCTCCTTCTTGATAGTTCGTAAGGCTCGGACCTTCGGGGTTCGAGTCGCAACAAGCCCTAAAGTGACATGCAAATGCCAAGTCAGTCGACATGGTAGCCCACAGGCAAGTGACATGTATAGCTTACCCTGTTCAGCAACCGCCGTGCTGACGTTGTTGCTAGCAGCTCCGTAGAGACCAAGCATGTCAACCCAGAGCCTGCCCAATTGAGGCAAAAAGTATGGCCCAATAGCGACACAGGCTGCGACGTTTGTTTTCAGAATGTTCCCGATCTGCTTGACATTCTCGGGATCTCCGAGAACATCTACGCCGTTGGCCTGACGCATCATCAAGTTCAACCACTGTAAGGGTATATCATCGAGGTCATTAGCTTGACCGATTGGACTGCACGGATGGGGAAAAAATACTCGCCAGTTCGTTCGGCGTGCTCATGAGACGCTCAATAAGCTTCTCTTGTACCGTCTTGTGGGGCTGAGCCGAGATCATGTGCCCGACTGCCTCGTAGAAAGTGTGAACCTAGAAGAGGCAGGATCTAGGTTGAGTGACATATTGACGCGACGGTTCTGCCTGATCTCGCTTACCTGTGCGGGCTGAAGATCACCAGTGATCCGGTGCAGATTACGAAGGATCTCATCTATGAAAGGCTCCGATTCGCCAGCCTGCTGCATAACAAAGTGTCGCTTGCACTTTTGCGAGATTTTAATGAAGGTGTCGCATGCCATGTCTTGTACACCTGATACGAGCGTGATCGACGTGATCAACTTTTATTTCAAAGTTGTTACTTGCCTACCGCTTACCTTCATGAGTCTCGTGCATGAACTCGAAAAGCTTGTTGACGACAGTCTTGAGGAACTTCCAGTGGGCTTTGAGGAATCGAGGGTATTGGCCAACGATGTACATAATGTCGGAGGCGCAGACCGCCTTGTTGTCCTTTCCACGCTTTTGCTCGGTCAAGCCGAGGAGATCCTTGATGACCGTAACCAGGAAACGCTTCTCCACCTCCTCGCCTGGAGGAAACGTCAAAGAGATCGGATCAGTGTCCGCGGATTGCGGATCTAAGCTTGAAAGCACTGACTCATAGCTCCAGATATCGATCCGATAGCCCAACAGAGGGTGTTCAAGTTGTTCCAAGACCACTCCGAACCGTCAATCTACAAAAATCCGCTGATCAGCTTGAAACACGGACAACGTCTAAAACCCTGTCACCCACCTGTTTTGACAACTTCGTCGTCATGATGGCCTCGGTATCCTGCACATCCAGATGCGTCAAGTAGACAAGAATGGATCGCATTGTCTTGTACAGGACAATTGTGTCGGACTCCTTCATGAACTCTCGAACGATCTCTCCCTCGTCGTTCTCGACGATCAAGACCTGAAAGGCGATGCACAACATCTCAGTTCCTCCACATTTGCTACCTCGACAGTCGATGTCTAGTGTGCTCACCTCCTCAGGCTTGACCATCCGCGAAATCATGACCAAACGGAGCTGTGATAGAATGTCCGAGTATACACCCTTCCTCAAGCTCGAAGCGTTGCTTTGCGCCGATGTTCCGAGACCCATGCCCGTCGAGACACCTCCGAGGTTCAAGGCCATCAGAGGGTTCATCTCACCCATGATGGGAGCCAACTGAGTCTCCTCGTAGAGATCGCTGACGAGCTGTATCAGGCCGGCCAATCAGTCAGGTGAGCCCGGGGAGTCATCTAGAGGTGAACACACCTTGGTCCAGTATTCGAGACAAATCTTAAAGATCTCTCGGTCGTCAACCGTCGAGATCTTGACCAAGTAGTAGTGGGCGTTCAGAAGAAGGTCCTTCATGTCGTCAGTCTCAATGAGCCTGAGGTGAATGCCCAAAAAGTTGGTAAGGAACAGAGCCAAGTTGTTGATGAGCTGCTGATCGTCGTCGGATGAGGTCTCGTAAGCAGCCTTGATGTCGGTGTGGGTGGGGATCATGCGGTTGACAGCTGTCATGACGCCCGCGAACATGTTGATGAACTTGGTGTTGTAGTCGTTCGAGATGTCAAGACCACCGATTTCAGACAAGCATTTGAGAGTGGTGTTTCTGAACTCTATGGGATCGAGGAATTTGGTGACCAGCATGTCGATCAAGGGAGTTTCGAAGATGAATCCGAGGGGAATCCAGTTCAAGAAACGCAATAGCGTCTCCAAGGTCGCTTTGATCAAGCTCGTTTTGTTGGCCTTTTCGAGGACTTCGCTACAGAGCTGGAAGATCTCGGAGAATTCTCCACACATTTGGTTTTTGAGGTTCTTGGTCTTGGCCTGGGTCATTTGTTCGGCCGAGTAGTCAAAGATCTCCTCTGACAACAACTTGAGGATGATCATGTTGTTTTCGCAGAGCGACAGGTTGGTCTTGGACGATGCCACGATCTCGGGAATGAACGACGGCCAGTCATGAGGCCAGGCTTGTTTGAGGATCTACACACGATTGTTGATTGATATCAGCCTGAGATATACTGCGTAATCGTCAAACAGGTGGTCTCACCTGTACCAACACCAAGTTGAGCTTGTTCACGTAGGCCTTTTCCGTTCTCAGCCTGGTCTCATCCGAAGCGACATCCACGATAGCCTGGACGATGAAGTTTCGGATACCTGTGTAATGACATACGGTCGTCATTAGATGCTGTGTCATACACCTCGTGTAAACAGGTATGCTCACCCTGCTGCTGATCCACCGGCAAGGCTTTCCATCTCGTCTGAATCAGCTTTTCGAGAATTTGCAGAGCGATGTACTGATAGGGCGAACACTGATTAGTGACGTTTGAAGCACGACCCGACATGTGGAATGCCCACCTTGGTCTGCGATCCACATCCGGACTCGAGGATGGCAGGCACACGGCTCCAGGCATCGGGATGCTCTAAGATGTACCAGGTCATCGTGAATCAGCTGAGAGGTCATAGATCTGATTGAAGACATCCAATACACATACCTTGGAATTGAGTCAGCACTTGTTGGGCCAGGTTTTGCTGCAGAGACCGGCCGAGACAACGAGATCGAGCGCAATCAGTCTCTACACAACGCAGAACTTATACGCCGGGTTGACCGGAACGTGCTAGATCACAGGCCCGTAAACTCACCTCTTGCCTGTTCCCGGAGAACATGGCAGTCACAATCCTATCCAACAGAGTGACATCCAAGTCTTGAGAGAAATCGAGAATGGCCTGAGAGAACAGGTTGCATTCGTCAGCTCAAAGAACCCGCAAACTGATAGCGGAATGTAGGCAGGGTCCGCCGAATGGGACTCACCTCCATAATTGTGCAAGTTCCGCTGTCGCAGGTCTAGTTGATGCACGGGCGAGGATACTACTCGATTAGATGGTTAGCGTACATCTTGAATCAGTAATGGATGCCTCGGAAAGGTAGACTTGCCACTTCAACGCCACGGATTCCGACAAAGAGGATACAAAGCCTGCGTTCCTTTTTCTTGCTATCTTGCAGCGAGATCGAGGCGCGTACGTGCAGAAAGTTGACTAAGAATCTGAGGACCGTACCTGAACGACTAGATTCGTTTGCTTGAGCTCTATTGAGGTGTTTGAGGGCTAAAAGGGTTCTTCAGCACTGATAGCTCGACTCTGAAGAGCCGGTAGATGATCGATGATCGATGAATGATGTTGACGAGTCGGACAGGCAGGACCGTCTCGCGCGGAACCGTGAAGGAATTAGGTAAGCAGATCCAAAGGAATGTTCGATCAACCCTGCAGGTGATTCTTCATTCCGTTGGGTTTCGTGCATCTCCGAAAAAGACAGTTCGCAGGCAGATTCAAGAATAGTATTATAGTCCAGTGCGGAGAATCAATGGAGAGCGTACAAAGGTATCGTGGTGTGGAAATCGTAGGTGCAGACGAGAAACAGGACGGGGGACGACAAGGCGAAAGGAATCGCTCATCGAGCAGCAGGGGCAGCCGTGGTGTAGCCAGGTCCTCCACCGACACCGGTGCCGACTGGCTCGTTTCCGTATCCTGTAGTTCCGGGAGCCATACCGGTAGTACCAGTGGTACCAGTCGGGTGCGATCCAACGGACTCGAGCTGATGAAGCTTTTCGCTTCGAGTCGCGTTGTTGATGTCGTGCTGTGAAGGTACAGTACAAATAGTGTCAGCGCGGTTGTCAGTAGCGGCTAGACCAGTCCCTTGACCGTTCGGTCTCACCTTGTGCTGAACCTGTTCAAGAGCCTTCTTCTTGGCGGCGATCGTCTGCTCAGCCTCCAAGTGGTGCTGATCCTTGAGTTGGATATCCTGGCGTATCGTCGTCACAAAGCGAAGGTACGTGATGAGCCTTCGGATTCATTCCACCGAGTAGTTAACGACTAGTCTCACCTTGGCCAACTTTTGCTCTCGGCTCAGAGCAGCCTCGTGCTCGTGCTGCAGCTGATTCAATTTGGCCGCCAGCTTGTGCTCAGTCTCGACAGCCTTGGCGTGAGCCTTGATGGCAGCGGTGTGCTCCTGTTTGACGGGTTGGCAGAACGAATCGATCAATCATCCAGTCAAAGCTCAGATGCCCGGGGCTATAGGTTGGCGGCTTGCTCACCTTAGCAGTATGGTGCTCAGCCTTCTCAGCCGAGGCGACGTCCTTCAGAGCGTGCTTGACAGCGCTGTCATCGTGTTTGGCCTCTGTATTGTAGCGAACGAACGTCCCGATTATGTGTTAGATGGGATAGTCGTGTCGACAAAAGGTGCATAGCAAAGAGGAACAAAGGTGATCTCATCAGATTGATCGACCAGCACAGAATGAAACGCGATATGGCGTACCCTTGTGCAAGATTTTCTCCTCTTTCTCGGCGGGAGTTTTGTTGAAGAGACCCCTGACGTCGAACAGGTCAAAGTTGGTCAGCCTTGATGTCGCGGTTAGTCATATCGCCATCGCATTCTCACATTGTTAATTGTTATTGTTGTTGAGTTAGCTTTTGTTTGTATTTGGTTGTATATCCCGTGGGGTGAGTGGAATGATGCTTGAAGATGTCAGTAGTTAGAGTCTGAGTGCAAGCGAAGATGCCGTCAAAGGGAATGAGCGGTGTAGTCGGGCGGTCCCCAGTGGCGGTATATATACCACCCCAGCCAAAAAGGCCAAGATGGCGATCCCTTTCGATCACGGCGCCCTTTGCAGCTCGAATATGGTAATGGTCGCGGTAACGGCATTTGATTGGCGCGAGCCGGATGATAAATCGTGACGTCATTTATTACCGTTAGATTATTCCTTCCGGCGAACCATGGTCCGAGATCCGAGACGAGTTTCGAAAGAAAAGGGTTTTCCGTAGAATTCGTAGTGCGACATGACGTCTTGTTCTGTCTTGAATTGATCTTGATCAGGAGCTCAACGGATGGCTAGCCCTTAGAACGTCGATGTCTCGAGAGTGAGGCCGTGCGGAGTGGCGAGAAAAATCCTCCTTGAATGGAATGCTGCCCGACGAGCGACCCCGCGTGGCAGTCTCTCTTGTTGTCGCTCGGCGATGGTCGATTTCGATCCCGTTGCCCATCTCGACGTTTCACTGCAATCATCCGTCTCGGGATGTAAATCTCGGTGGGACCCGATGCACAGACTCGGATCGTTCGGCGCTCTGTTAGGACTCTTACGAAGAGGTCAGTGCGTAAGAGAGGACCAAGTGATGCGGCGTTGCGACTGGATCCGACAATTCGCGCAGTGATAATCGCCCGCCGGTCGTCATGCGACCGTGATCCCAAAGGACCCTTTCCGCTCGAACCGGTGGATCGACGCGTAGCGAGACAGTCTCTGACACGGGATGGAAAGAACAGCAAAACTTCTTTCCTAGCTCCTCAAGGTTGAAGTGATCAGACTACCATTGCATGAATGACCTGATCTGAAAGACAAGCAACAAGCAGAGCGATACTTGATAGGCAGCGAATGCAGAACGGGCAAATATACCGCAGGATCCCCTTCGCCGGCGTATTCGGCGCGACACAACGAACTCAAAGGATGATTTTTGAGGTCATCATTCGTATCGCTCTGCTGATATCGCGTGATCCGATCTCCCAACGGAAGTTTATTCGAGGGGAAAGGAGGATCGACGGAGAAACAAATAGCGATCCATCGATCCATCGATTCATCAGCGATCCAGCGACGACCGCGACGACCCACTCTGCCATGTTGCGACCAGCGACCAGGGCGCGGTTGAAGGGCGCACGTACATAGAAGATCGAAGGTGATCCACGATCCACGACGATCACGAGGGTATCATACGGTCCGACCCTGGATGTCGGAACTTCCACGAGCCCCGAACCAGGGTCTCGACCGAGCCGGTTTAGAAAGAAACGTATTGACATTCCCCCGATAAGCCCCGCGACAAGGGGAAAAAGGGGGAGCGATCATCAGCTATCAGAGAAACAACAAACCAGGTGATCTATCTCGAAGCAGATTTTTTGTCGTGGGGAAATAAGGCCAGGTACCGAGTCGTATGTTGGGGAACGTCTTGCCCGTTTGACCCGAAATTCTTGTTTAATATATATATCAAGCGTGCAAGTGCAAGAGGAAGGAGAGGAGTTAGTGCGTCGACTCCTGTTCTTGTCCCCCTCTTTCTCACGTTCTTCAACCCCTCACCCCGTTTCACCCTCAACCTCTACAAAACACCTCAAGAAGTGTACCATAGCTGTATCAGTACCGACTCGTCCTTCTCCAAACACCTTCGACATGTTCTTTCGACGTGAACACCCGTGAGCCGCCACCCTTTCTTCCGATCATCCTTTACCCGAAATCAACTCCTTCGTGGCTGACACGAATACGCCTCGTTCTCTCTTTCCTACATGGTAGCGACTACCTCCGAAGCGGTCCTTCACATTCCGTCGTTGAAGCCGCACAGACCTACTTTCCTGGTCTCGACCTCGACCTACTACAACAGTGGTGGATATATGTCGACGATGGTGGAAGCGTGAAGTCAGGTAAGCGAAAGCACATCGACATTAAGCCGATTTCCTCGTCGTCTCACTCGCCGATACTGGCCTTGCTGGTACAGATGACGTCGCTTTAGCTGTCCAATACGCCGTTGTGCACAAGTAGGGTCGCGACCTTGAAACCTAGAACCTCCCGAGACGGCAACTCATCCCTCTTTTTACAGCTTTGTAAGGAATCTGAATCAGATCCGTAACGAAGAACAAGCCAAGTTGTATATCGAGCTCGGAGTGCAAGCGGAAGCGGAGGGCATCAACGCCCTGAAAGGTCAGCATATCTGGATAGAAGCCTTTCGAGTTCTCCATCTGACCCGTTCTTCCGCCGCAACCAACAGGTACGGGCCCCGATGTTGAAGCCGAGGTAGACTCCTTTCTGAAGCCCGAGCCTCCTGGCCTTGGGACGTCGCTAACCTCGCTTCCTGCTTGATAGAGCTTCAAACTCGCCTACTCTGCCCTTTTCCACGCCCTGAGCTATCCTTTCGACTCTTACCCCGAGAGCTATTCGATGCACTCTTCCTACTCTTCCAGTTCCTCCGCTGGATGGGCTTAGGCGGTTGTGCTACAAAAGGGATACCGCCAAAGACCCGATTCTCATGGCCAACCCAGATACGGATATTATGGACGATCCTTCTCTTATCTTGATCCGCACGGACGATCTTTTCATGACCTCTCTTACGTTTTGTGTCCTTTTGTATTATCAATGGGGTCGGGCGGGACGAGCTGGGTTGCTAGCCTGGAAGACGGCACAGCAGAAATACGAGCCCATATTCACGAGCAAGTCCTTGTTGTATAAACATATATATTTACTATTGCATGCGACTATCACCTTCAGGAGGTCATAGACTATCAAAGGATGAATACAACAGGCAATCTCAGAGGCGTACAACGGTGTGTCTTTCGAATTCGATTGTTACATAGAATTGTTCACATAAACCAGATCAGAATTGAAAAAGGTATAGATATCGTTATTAGGAAAATCATCGTAGCTGTTTACTTTCGCTTTATGGTGTCGTCTTGTGAAGCTGCTCGTGAAATAGCGTGGTCGTTTGGTGGAGTGTCTGACATGACGATGACCCCATTGTCTTCGTCGAACACAGTCACTTCGTCGAGGCTGGGTTTGATAAGCAGAACCGCTGACGAGTCGAAGAGTGGCTGCTCCTCTGCGGCGGAAGCTGGTGGCGATGTGATGCGTTGCGCTGGATCATCCATCATGGCTCGGGCGTTGAGGGTGGTTTCAGTGGCGGATGGTCTTAATCGGCGGCGAGTTGGGGTAGGAGGTACCGTGATGACCAGGTCAGACTCGTCGTCCGTTGGTACGGACTCGGATTCCATAGACCCGCCGCGATCCAGCTGCACAGACCGTAGAGGGTCATTCGCGCCTCGGTTCGAACCAAGGCTGAACCCGTCGTCTGTCTCGGACAAAGATTCCATCCCTGGGTCGTCATCGTCATCACTCCAAGACATGGGTTGATCTTGCACGGAAAAGATTTTATGTCGGACCTGTAGAGAAGGGAGCTCAGTCGCAGCCTTGTCAACTGTCAACAGCAAAACTAAGCTTACGTTGTTCATCCTCGCACAGAAGTCCTGCCAGTCGTCGTGATCCTGAATGAGGAACCCTAAGAGCATACTTGGGTCGAGACTTGACATCGGCATTTTGCGAACTCGGTCGCAATGGAAAGTCGAAAGTTGCTCCGGGGTGTAGGCCGAGGTCAGCCAGGTTACATTGTCCTCGCGAGACCGAAGATCGGGCTGGTCATCCGGCTCTGTATTTCGGGTCGTGGCGTTGATTATGGGGATGGCGCCAGTTTCGGTCCGTGTTCCGACCTTGCGTTCGGCCGAAGGAGTGTGCAGAGGTACCGCTGGCCGTGTGAAGTGGGGATCGAAGTAGAACAACGAATCACCCTGGTACCCCACGAAGTAGTACGAGGATCCGGGTCGCCCTCCTGCAATGCCAACCGTTTGAGGTGCCGTAAATAGTGTCTATATGAACGGCAACTCAGCAAGCATTCTCGACGCTTCAGTCCAGGGCGGAACTCACTTTCAGGCTGTCATAATAAATGGGGTTGACTGCAGTCGTGCCAAGCCTTACGTTGACGAGAACGAGGACCGCTTTTGAACCAAAGCCTGCACCGGTGGGATGAGATTGTTCGGACCAAGGTAAGCCTTGAATGACAGGGCTCCATCCGCCATCGTCCGTGTTTGAGGCGGCAAACACATCTGAGCGGAAAATTATACCATCCGTCGCCGCAGATACAGCGAGGCCACAAGCCGGGAAAGCATTCGTGAGTGTCCTAGGGAAGAGAGGTATTATCAGGACTGTCGGCCGATTCATGATTCAAGCGACTTACTTGATGGCTCCTGCAGCAGTACTCGGTCCGAACCACTCTCCGATCTCCTTGCCTAGCTGCTTCCCAATCAGAGCCATGCGGTGAACCGAAAAGGGGCAGATCGCAGAGGGATCGTCCAAGAACCAGGACAGGATTTGAACATATGACGCCCTGTCTCGTCGAGCTTCTCCGTTTTCGGCGATTTCAGACATTCGATCCGAGTTAGGTCTCCAGTCTGCTTTCGCAAGTCAGAGCGTCAGCCTGCAGGATCCCTTTTATGCCGCGAAGGAAACTCACCTCGCCCCAAATGTCGGCGGATCAGGCTATTTGCGAGTAGACATTGCCCAGTCCTGAGCATGCATCCCCAACCTGCATCGGATGTCAGGCCTCTCTCTGTCGGGTTGCCGGATGACAGTATCCCAGCTCCAACGCTTGAAACCCAAGACCAGCTTGATTTTCCGTTGTTGACGCCAGGCTGAGATGACGACACGAGTATCTCTTGCGGCTCGTTCGAAAGTGGAGGTAGCTGTGCCTCTAGATATGCTTTCGGATTTGGCAGGAACATGTCCGCAGGCAGTGACAAGATAGGTGCGTATTGAGACCGGTATGTGCACCAGACGATCGAGCGAAAGTCTTGCAGGACTGTTTCGAAAGATTCGACATTAGTCTGGAAATCTCTCATTGCAGAGCGATAACTCACATTCGTCTGGCCAACTCTGGGCAGTCGGTGATTGTCTATCCTTCTCCCTGTTCATGGACAAGAGCGACCTCATGCCCCTGCCCGGACTACCGAGAGCGCCGTCACCATCAGAGGTGCCGCTGCCTTTGCCTTTCTTGCCTGGCGACGAGGTAAGATTAAGACTTCCGATGTTCACGCCTGTCTTGCTGCTGAAATAGTTGCTAGAATTCGTCGAGAGCGATGATGGCGACGGTGATCCAGCCCGTTTCGTCTGTAGATGTTTCGATTTGGGACTCCCCGTAGATGCGGAACCCGAAGTCTTTGCGTACTGCCTCCCCCAAGAACCTTCCTCACTGTTACTAGCGTCCTCGCCTAAACGGTCCTCAGGGCCGAGCTCGTAACGATGCTCTACACCTAGGATCCAGATCGGTTCTGTACCTTCGGGTAATGCCTCACTATCCAACACCCATCGACCCATCCCGGCTGCTCGCTGTCTCGCAGCCTGTAAGAAGGATGTCGTCGAAGTCATCTTCCGACCCGGTGAGGCGGTCAGACTGTTCCCAGATGCAGTCGTTAAATCGCCAGGCATGGAAGAAAAGGAGGCTCGACCAGGGGCCGAAACCGAAGTCGGGATCGGACCTGAATTCGCCGACATGAGCGATTCTGGTCGCGTAGAAACCCGACCTTCTCCTGGATTTGCGGTAAACATGTTACCCCGGCCTGGAACGGCGGTCCCGGAGACACCGCCTGTTCCTGCGGTACCCGGTATAATGTTGGCAAACCAATTCGACACTCTCCCGCCGATGCCTGGCTGCTGAGCGTCGGTCGGATATCCCGAATACGTCTCGCTTGATCGTAAAGCTGATGGCCCTGGCGTGGCCGAAGTGGTAACGACCTCGGGGATGTCGCTGAACGTGCCAGAATCTTCGCCCTGCTCCCAATCTCTGAGCGAATTGCCTCGAGGATTCCGAGTTGCAGGCAAGCTGGAAGATACAGGAATAGGTTGTCCCAGCGGAAGATGTGATGGTCCCTGTTGCCTGTAAGGTACGGCAGGAGGTTCGTCCTTCTGGGAACTGCTGCGACGGGATTTGGAAAAGAAAGACCTGGCCGACGATCGAGCGGACGAATGCGAAGAGCGTCTCGAGGGGGGCGAGATGGAGAGATGCGAGGATGGCCCAGCGACTGGCTCATTCGCCGAGGCGACAGAGAATTCCGACGAGGTAGTCGTCAAACTATCTCGCCTTTCGCCTGATGTTCCCGTTGACTGGGATTGCATTCTCGATAAACCGGCAGCGGTCGATGTCGAGTCTGTAGTAGGCAATTCGGGCCGTTCCGACTCCGTCCGGGGCTTGGAGAACAGCTTTGAAGCCTTCTTCTTCAGTCTACGGCTCATCGACTGAGCCGGCTGATCCGATGGCGGCAAACCAGGGTATGTACCCTTCTCCGACTTGGTCTTCTTGGGTTTAGCCCTCAGAGTGTCTTTGCGGGAACGTTTGTCGGCATCGTCCGCGACGTCGAAAAAGCTGTCCCCGACGGCCTCTGGTATATCCCTTCGCATCGTCCTATCTTTCGGACTTGTTTCCCGCTTTGGGAACGCTTGCTGACCACCTAGGTCGCCAAACTCTGAGGGTAGATCCCCGCCCTTGCGAGCGGCCTTGCCGTACATGATGAAGCGAAAGTGTAATGGATATCGAAGACTCGGTCGTGATGGCTTGTACTTGTAGTTGGGCGTTATTGAGGCTAAGTTGAAGGAGGCTATTGAGGTTTATCGTGGTGTGTCGTGTTTGTCGTTATTGCTTGTCAAGTAGTCCAGATCGTACAGGTTGCTGTCGTAACAAGATGAAGTGGACGGCTGTGTCACGTCATTCACATCTGCAACGGCCGGTGTGAGGCGATGATGATGGCGTCTACGGTATGTGGATTCGCTGAGCTTCAGGTTTGTCAAAGCTATTGCTCAAGCTTTTAAGTGATCAAGTGATCCAAGTGAAGACGTAGAAGCGTAGAGAAGTTGCAAGTTGCAAGTTGCGATGCGAGATGGTTGCTCATCAATTCTGATGCCGACCGGCGCTCGCCTAGGCCTTATCTCGGAACCGAAAACGTAGCAAACAACCCTCTCGGTCCGAGCGAAGAGAACGATTCACACAGTCTCGCGTCATCTCGCAGTAATTCGTGTGGAGGGAAGAGCCAGATATGGGAGGTAAGGGTCGTCATGATGGTCATTACAAAGGTCGTCAAAATTGCTCTGGATCAAATCAGACACGCTCCTTGGACCGTGACCGCAACTAGAAAGACTTGCGGTGGATAATATCGGGATCTTCCTGGTATTCTTCTGCCGAGACCCACATCTACAGCCACGAGCGGGGTCAGGCAGATATCTTGCACAAATCGTTCTAATTCTGGTTGAACTCACCTTCTTGAAAGTGCCCAGTCCTGCCAAGATGGATCCTCCGATCCAGGTCGAATACTAAATCCAAACACGTTGCATCAGCCACACGCTTGCCAGAGTTGCCACGTCATTCGCTCACCTTTCGCTCCGGCGGAGCATAGATTTTCAGCTTGACGTCTTTCAACGCAATCTTCTTGACTTCGTTCAGAAGTCGGTCACCGAAACCTACAAAAACAATGCATAATCGAGCTTGAGATCAACACTGCAGGCTTATGATTTGAGTCTCTATATCGAACCCACCTCGACACAAGGTAGACCCTCCACTGAGGATAATGTTACCATAGAGGTTTTTCCGCAGATCGAGGTCGGTCCGGTTCAAGGAATCGACGATAACCTACGCTTACGAGCGCGGTCAATCTCGAGAGCTCGTTGTGAATCATTGAGTTCCAGCTCACCTGATGTACACCCGGATCCTCCATCCCGATCAATTCTGGGTTAAACAGGATCTCCGGCGCCCAATATCGTTCGCTTCCGAGCTGACAAAAGGGTATGCTCATCCAGTCAGTCTGCCTTGATCGCTCGCCTTGGACAAGAACACTTCGACCAACCTGAATGACCTTGCCATCTGGCAACCGAAACTCTTCCGTCCTTCCCAACATCTCCTTGTCCTCCCTCGCCAGATTAGGAGCGATGTAACAGGTCCTTTCCTTGATCGTCCTCACGACCTCTTTCTCAGCCGACGTATGGAGGTAATGGCCTGACTTGCGGAGCAAAAGCTGCAAGTTGTCCGTGATATCTCTGACATGCCGAATAGGTCAGTTGACATCAGTCTATGCATGGGCGACTAGTGGACACCGCACTGCATTACACTCACCGGCCGGCGATATCTACCCGTCGAATCGCATGTGGCATTGAAAATCCTTCGAATACGGGGACGGCATGTGTCACGCCATCCCCTGAATCCAAGACTATCCCTGTCGTCCGTCCGCTCGAGTACCTATAGTAGCCACACCCAACGAGAACGGAACGGAAACGAAAAAACTTCAGCCATCGTCGACGTAAATACAGAGGGAGGAACAACATTTTGCTCACAAACTCAGTACAGCCTGGACGCTAGTGAACAGCGCTGGGACGTTGAACTGCTCGAAGAAGATCTGAGCCGCTACGTCCCTGTTCGATCGGGGGTTCAAGGGTGCTTCCGTTAACAGGACGGGGTGCTGAAAATGAAGGGATTCGAAAGGTCAGACCCGATGTTGAAGCTGAGAAGATGAGTTGTGTAGAACCGACTGACCTCTTCTGATGCGGTTCCAAGACCTTCCCGGTAGACATAGTTCCATATCCGTTCCATATCGTCCCAGTCCGTGACCTGATGTCCGTCACCAACACCGCCAACACCCCTCGTCAGCTCAATCAGCCCAACTACGATCCGAGAGTTCAAACTGACGATGCCATGTTCTACCGGCCATTTGATCTTGAGCAGCCCTCTCAATTCTTGAGCTCTTCGACCGATATAGACCTCCTTCTCGTCGAAATCCGTGGCCATGATCTTGGGGTGCTTCGGCCGACCGATACTGTAATGGCCGAGGAGACAGCTTGTTAGAACTAAGAATAAGAGGAGGGCTTGACGGATGGAGGATTTCGACTCGCAAGTTCGGAAAGTAACATTTCGGTTGTTCTTGACCTGCAAATCCGGCTTTGATCGTACCAGATCCCTAAATTGCGTGCAAGCGAGTTCAACCAACGAATGATCGATGCCTGTACCCACACAGCTGCTCGACATAAGGCTTACATTGTCAATAACGACAGGCTGATTTGTGAGACTATCATACAAGACGCCCCGCTTAGCCTGATCGGGACATATTGGATTCAGGACCCGACTCACACGTCTTCGAAATCAGGTGGCATATTGAGAGGTATGTGACGGGCTTGGTAGCAGCGGAATGTTATGTCAGGCCTTTCTGTCCCGGCGAGCAAGGAAGGTGGTGGCTATAACAACCACGAGACCACGGATATCTTTGACTATAGCCTTATGAGATCTAGAGGTCTGAAGTGTACAGCATCCCTTCCAGCTTGTAGCTGAACCTGATCCATCGTCGTTGATCTGTTGCTCTTGTTGATCTTTCCCCCCCCCGCGCAACGGAGCTGTCGCGCCAGTCCTCGGTCGGTCGGTCAGTGCCGTCCGCAGCTGTCAACGATCGATCGCGATTTCGACCCTCGACGCAAACGTATATGGGCTCCAGTAGCCAGTAGCCAGTAGCCAGTAGCTAGTAGGTCCTATGCCGAAGATCTAAAGTGCAGCGCAACCTGGGTCGAACTACTACTGGCAGGTCCCCCCCGCTGACAAACATGACATGACAGACGGTTACCAGCTCGGCCCGGATGCAAATATTTGCCGAGCGTGCCGAGGTTAACGAGCAGCGAAACTCGTGTCCAGTAGAGTATATATACCACAGACCCACAGACTTTCAGGTTGTGACCGATCGACAACATATCGGCCTGCTACTCGTTCTTCCCATCACCGAACTCGTAACATCTCGATAGAATCGAAACATATACCCCTCCTTGACACCACCATGTTCGCCGCTTCCAACTCGACCGGGCTCGTGCTCACCCTGCCTAGCAACTACCTCTTCGTCGGGCTCGTCGGTGTCGGTACCTTCTGGGTCAATCTCCTCCAAATCTTGCAAGTTTCCAAGTACAGGAAGCTTGTCAGTTGAGAAACACGTGCTCAAACATTCTTCACCTTGACCAAGCTCATACCGGGTGCTTCTCTGTGATTCAAATAGTCCGGAATCGAGTACCCTCAGCACATGGCCACTCAGGAGCAGGCCAAGTCGAGCCAAGCTGCCATGAAGTTTAACTGCGCTCAAAGGTAGGCCTTGAGGCAAGGCGTTCTCATACATGAATTCGATACTGACGGTCAGGATTGTGAACGCGGCTATAGGGGTACATAAAGCTCGGTATCAGGCTGCTGCATCAGGCGACTAGGCTGAACTCGTATTGCCCGTCTTTGCAGCTCACGCTAACACTTTAGAGAACGCTCCGACGTTCCTCGTCGGTCTCTTTTGGACCGGTAAGCCTGCATAATATCTTCCGCCCCCCTTATACAAAGAGCCAACGACGTTTTCTCGCACCGTCCCTGTGCAGGTCTCTACGCTCCTAATCTTGCTGCCTCCCTCGGAGGCCTCTACCTGGTTGGTCGTGTGCTCTACACTCTGGGATACATCAATGCCGGGCCTAAGGGAAGGTTGACTAAGGGTGGCTTGCTAGCTACCTTCGGATACTACCGTGAGTGTCTCCCCCTGTCCCCCTCACACCCTCGTGTTCGGTCGGTCTGGTCTGGTCGTGTTGTCTGGATGAGCTGACGAATTGGATGGTATAGCTTTGATGTTGATCGCGACCTACTACGCTGTCAAACCTCTTCTCGCCCTCGTCTAAGCTACAAACAAGCAAGATCGAAGGCGAACAGGAGCGGAAAGGACACAAAAAGGGTCGTGCAGTGGGGGTCTGATTCACGGTAACCGTGTTTTTAAGGTTCTAAGCCTTTCGGGAAAAGGTCGTTCTAGCTGTCTGTTCAGGCGGATTGTTATGCTTGCCGAATCGCTCCCTGTCTACCGAAACATGCATCAAGGGTTCTCACACGAATCAATCTGAAGGCCTGCAAGAAAGATTCTTGACCCGTTGCACCTGCAAATCGAGGGCTTTGAAGACGCGTAGATCGTACATGACATTGAGGGGCTCGCAGACCAGTTCTCCTACGTTCTGCCCGGGCGACTCCAAGGTAGGTTGTATGGTCCTGCCTGTATTGAATAGCAAGGCTTCATGCCAACCAAGAAATCCTATCTTCCTGCGATGTGCAAGGATTTAACTTGGCATCGACAGTTTCGACGGGGCACGGACTGGATTGATCACGTCGTGACGGGCACGGACTGGGTTGATCACGTCGTGACGGGCTCGACTTGATCGGTATCATCAACGGAAATAATGGAGCTGGTCTGCGTATCTATAGCGCTGCCAAGCTGAGCTTCGCAATTTTGGCTGACTTGACGGTTCATTGATCCTCTACCTCTTGGCTCTCGGGCGGAATTGGAGAATGATCTGGCATTATTACTTCGGTCGAGATTGTTTTGACACCTCGTGTATGATATCCCAATTTCGCACTCGTTTGGAAACAGACGTCGAAGAAGAGGAATGGCGGCAGAGAAATGTCGGAGAAGGGGAAATCGCCCGGCACAAATCTACCCTCTTGATAATGAACTTGGCTGTGCTACAAGCACAGCCAAGTTTTACCACAAGAAGCCGCTCAAAATACAAATGCAAACCCTGCAATTGCGTGTTCACAAGGTTTACTACCTTCCAGGACATAACTTTGAGCCATCGTCACAGCAAATGTGAGCTTACTGCCTTGCAGCATAATGGCATTGGCAGAGATGTCAACACAAGAGACAAGGAAATGTACGAATGTATGGTCGCATCCTGTAATTATATGCATCAGTATCTTAGTTTATTCAAAAGTTTGGGCTCTCTTTGGAAATCAACAAAATCACGGAATGACATGCAACATAACACCATCTCCTCCCAGGATGACACAACCTAATCTCGACCCTTCCTCAATCCTCCTCTTCTTCCTATTCCCGGCATCGCTGTTGTCATTATCATCGCTCTTGTCCTTGTTGTAATTGCTCGCCCCCTTGCTACCAACGTTCATGGCAATGGCACCAGCACCAGCATTGTTGTCAACCCGGGTACGCTCATTGAAAACGATGGCATATTGAACACCCCGTTGATGGTCACGTCTTTTCCTTTGTCTTCGACGCCCAGGTTTCACTTGATTCCAAAGAGTCATAATGACAGGACACTTTCCGCCGAAGTCAGCACCTGCCAACGAGACAAACTGACAGAGAGATCGCTCTCTGGTAGCTTGCATATGCAAGTGGTATTGGCTTGCTCCGATCCATTCAAGCTCAAGCGGGTTGTCCAACGTTCTTGTCGGTCCCGATTGCGATCGGAGTGATCGAAAGGCGCGCGAAGGTCAAGCGCGCGGGGACTTGCGAGGTGAAACAGTCATTCGAGCGATCATCGGACGAGACCGAAAAGAGGTCAAACGGCGAGAGGGTCGTGTCTTGCAATCTCGCTATATACAAGGCTACCCGCTCAGATGCACGTCAGCAATGGGAACGCTTTCCCGGCAAGTCAGTCGAAGCCTTTTAACCAGCTCTCGTGCCACCCATCATAGTACTACCGGGAGATCAAGCTGAATTCAGCGAGCAATAGATCATGGAAAACGAATCCATACAGTAAGTCTGTCCCCGTTGCTTACGCTAGGAAGCTGCTTGACTAATCGCAGATGGCATAACGACAGAACAAGAGAAGAGATCCTGGCAGCTCAGGTCTTCCATATTCCAATCCTTCGTTCGCTCATCCTATCATACTCGGACAAGTCCACTCTAGCTCGCTGCTCCGCTCTCAGCCGAGAATTGCACCGGGACGCTGTCGAATGGTTATATCGAGAGGTTGACGACAACATGGATCTTCACTTGTCGCGGAGCTTCTGCGATATGCATCGATGGAAAACCTATCATCGGGCCGTCCGACACCTGCTTTGCGTTAAACCAAAGTCGTCTTGGTCATCGTGGATCGCACACCTAGATCGCACGCAGAGAATCGCCGCTTGGTATCCCCAGCTGGAGACCGTACAGCTTGGGGTATCAATACCTTCGCAGAGCGGGGAGGAAGAAGCTTGGCTCACACTACGTAGACCGAATACCAGCGAGTTGATGACATGGATTGTAGAAGCATGCCGCCTCTCATCGCTCTCCGCCGCCCAGCTGGTCTTGCCTTGGGACACAGACGAGATCAACTGGAAGTGGGCTTGCCGATTTATACTGGTCGGTCCCGAGCATCTACCATCACGCCAAGGGTCCCGCAATCCCTCCAATCAAGCGGAACCCACGGCGGAGGAGATGACGCTCTTTGAGCAGCTCGACCTGACTAGCGTCCAAGAGCTCAGGTTATCCGGCTTCTGCATGGACGGGGAGGACCTCTTGAGGCTCGCAATCAAGACGCCTCGTTTACAGAAGCTGGAATTCTATGGCGGTTCGACCGAAATCCAAGAACCCCTCGGACATCTCTCAGAGTTCGACTATACCAACGGCCTATTCGCTGCCAAGCTTACCAAGCAATGCCTCGAGCTGAAGGAGTTGACATGGTACCAGTGTACAGAACATCATTGCGATGCTTTCGTGCTCGGCTGTGTCCAGGCGGGGTTAGGCGGGCTGGAGAGTCTGTGTGTACCGTGGTACGACATGCTTTCTTCAACCGGGACCGTCGAGAGCCGCCAGAATTCGGCTAGATGGCTTCATACCCTCTCCAGCTCTGGCGTTCCCTGGAAACCCGCGCACGGCAATCTGAGAAAGGTCAGGTTGGAAATGCATCCCGAAGACGCGAGGTTGTCGAATCCTTTCGACCTAGCCGTCTGCCTCCTCCTCGACTTTGAGATCGATTGCACGGTCGAACTAGGGTTCCGTCCTTCGAGACATCATCCTGACATGAAAGGATCCCGGACGGACAGTGGACCAGCGCGGGCGTTGTCGGGGCTCGAGGCACATAACCTTGCCATCCTCAAGTCGGCACTGGAGATCCGCCAGATCCTGATCACGTCGATGCCTTCTCGCCCGGTGGGGTTCAGTCATGCACCTCGGATAGAAAGGAATCAGGCAGAGACGACTTGCGATGCATGGCGTATGAACTTTTAGGCGCGAACGACTGTACCGACTTGTCCGGTTGTAAAATGTAGATAGGTTGTGATGATACATTTGTGCTGAATCCGAGCATGTGTATGCTTACATTATCCTTGCATTGCTTGATCACCGCATTTGATCTGTCTGAGCACAACACACGTTGATGATGCGACCACGAGTGGAGCAGTCACCTCTCTGCGCTACATGCATGTGTATAAATGGCATGGTTCGACGAGGCTATCCTGTTTGACATGCTCTCCGATTGTACGAAGTCCTTGACCCCGCGACTCTGTCATGACCATGCCGAGGGTATCGGCTCGACATACGACGCCCATTGCAGGAGTCTACCCTGCTCGGTATCCTCGACCACTTTGATGGGAATCCCCCTATCCCTCTTGGAACCCGTCTCCGATTTGAGTTCACGGATGCGCTGTTCCGCATCGCACCAAAACATCTTCCAATTCCCGAGCGTGACGAATCCGTTGCTCCGCTCATAGTACCACTTGTTGACCGGGTTATCGGCCCGGGATCGCCAGATAAGATCTCGACCGGAACCGACACCCGCTAGAGACCCGATGTTGGCGTTGGCGGCGTCCTTGAGACCGAGTCCGAAAGTCTCGTCACGCAGGGCGACCCAGAGGAAATCCACCGTCCCATCCCCCTGATGCGAGGGCAACACGGCAAACTTGTCCAAATAACAGATCGGTGTCTGACCGGGCCCTGAAGGGCCTTCGTTCGTACACAACGCTGCAGCAGCGTAATCCCCGGCGACGATCGCGAAATCCAGGGATCGAGCCATCCTGCTCCAAAAGGCCTCCTCGTTCAGTGTCCGTCCGAAACTCCTCTCGAGCAAGGTCCTGAGCTTAGGCCTATCGATCTCGTCAAAGGATCTGATGATCCTGATCGGCATTCCCTTGCGGATCAGCGTGGGCGTATGCGGGGTGATCTTGCCCTCTCCCTCGGCCAATAGCGCATGGGGCAGACTGGCGGAATGTGCTGGTTTGTTGGTGATCAAGTTGGCGATCAACGCCGCTGGAGATTTGTGTGAGGCGATCAATGCCGAAGCGCTCGATGGCATGTGAGCGAGACAATCCCGAGCGAGCGTAAGATTGGCCAGGGCGGACGGATGGGTCGTCTCCCATTGACCCAAGAAGGTGTCCTGAATGAAGTCATACTCGGTCTCCAAGTTGATGGACAGATGTGGCATTCCCGCTCGGGCGTACGAAGGGATCCCACCTTCCCGGTTGATGATCAACAGTCGTAATGGGGTCATGTCTGATGATGGTGACTCGATGGGGGCCTCGTTGAGAATGGACGAAGACGCCGACGAAGGCGCCGGACCGTTCTCTGCCACCAGGGCCGCAGCGTAATCTTTCCCCGACCGACCCATCGATTCGGCGAGCGCCCGAACGACATCATTACCCTCCATCAAGTTGGTCTTGCACCCTTGATCGAGCGCGACGGGGATGAGCACCGGGATCTCTCCTTCCTCCACCGCCCGTCTGACATGCGCCAATCCTTCCTCCTCGACGTACGTCTCAGTACGGGTCTCGTTCTCTCCTGCTATCCGCCTAGACCGGATGACGGTAGAGATGATCGGCCTAGCTGGCGCCCGATGTTTCGCCAAGAACGAGACCGTCCTCTCCATCTCCCGCAAGACCAGCCTCCTCGCTTCCGAACCACACAAAGGTCTCCCGTTCCGATCGAGGGCGATGTCATCCCTATCTACTACTATCACGCTGACTAAACCCAGTTTCTGCAGGTAGGCTAGGCCTTTGGCTACGGAATCCAGCTGGGCATCTGTGAAGGGGCCTTGTATCTTGACTAGGGCTGGTCGACGAGCTCGGTGGCTGAGGACGTCGGATACGATGGAGTTCTCCGCTGACGCTGATGTGGATGGTGTTGGTGTTGTTGATGCTTGATTGATTTTACCCTTGGGGTCATGCTGACCGCCGAAAGAAGCTAGAAACTTTTTAGAATCCCTCGCCGAAGGTCCCGCTTGTAGGAGCGATAATACGAAGTCCTAATTTCGGCGTATGGGTCGATCTGCGATCAGTCACAGGGTTCTATTCGTTTGAATCTAGGGTATTGTTCGAAGCCTTACATTGACGTCGTGGCTATTCCGAATCTCGTCGTGACTCGAATGATACCTAAATCGCCTGGACTGTGGGTGAACAGGTAAACAAGCGAGCCTTGCCCCATAGCGACTCGTCTCTCGCATAGGACTACCTAGACGAACCTCGTATCCTATCCTGGTTGTCACCGTCACTGAACCCTCATTCTTCATGCCACATGGCAAGGAGCATGAGATTCCATGTCGAAGACGGTTCAACCCTCTCATGATCCAGGCTCTCGAGCTCCCAGGACAGAGAGGGAGCGAGGAGGGCGGCGGAGGCAATAGCGGTCCGAACAGGAAGTCAGATTCTGACCAAGTCTAGCTGTATCTGATTCAGAAGAGATGTCGAGGAGATTGCTTGGAAGGGATGGTCAAGAGATGCGTAGGATAGGATAGTTAGGAAGGTCGACTCTGGTAGAAAATGCAGGTCGAGGGTCGAGGTTGACCTGTTGCTAGCGCGCGAACTCGAAGACTTGCGAGTCAGAAAAGGGTCTCGATTATATGGATGGGGCAACCGACGTCATACAAGTCAGACAACCAGGAGAACGACAGTCACGTTCTGGATAGGTCAAACTGAGGACCCTCAATCGAGGAGCTCGAAGCCGGAGCTCCTTCTGGCGATGTCGACTGGTATCAAAACGTCAGTCACTGGCCGAAACCCCCGTTGTGTCCGGCTTATCCCGCGAATTCATTTGTAAACACAAAAGTCGAGGATGGGCATATTCCTTACACATTTACACATACCCCTTCACGTATCGACTACATTCCGCATACAGTAGTACTCCCCTTTGCGTCTGTAGCTACATCGACATTATATATCTGCTCCCCAGACCATGAGCTCGGTCGACTCTCCTATCCGGCCACTGGCTCTATGCCTGCAACCCGCATGCGTCAAGCATCGCTGGATACGGACCTCGAACGCTTCCCATATCTACGAACGACCCGAACGCATTCGGGCAGTCTTGCTAGGAGCTGCTGCTGCCGTCTCTCGTCTGGAAGCAGAGGTCACTTCGGAAGAACAAGCCGAGGGCGGTGGTGGATTGGATCATAATGAGCAGCAGGATGAGGAGGACAGGAGGAAAAGGGAAGAAACGCCAGACGTTTCAGACATGCTAGGCAACCTCAACCTATCCGGGTCGACCCCGCAAAGGCCTATCAAAGCCGGAACCGAAGCCGCACCTACGACTGCTTCACCGTACCTCTATATCCCCCCTCCCGAATCCACGCAACCCGCCTCCGCTACCACTCAACCTCGTCTACTCCAGACCCATCCGGCACTCCAGGTCGTGCATTCTTCCCTGGCCGACCACAACCATACTCTGCTGGATCTCGCTCTTGCCCCTCAGGATCGATCTCAATCCACTGTCTCGTCTTCTGCGCTCTTTGCGCAATCCCCTTATCTGAAACAACTGACCACCTGGGCACTGGAAGCACCGGAAAAGATAAAAAAGGGGGAATGCGAGATCCCGAGCAGGTATTACCCGGTTCCGTCTATATCAACCGCACAAGGGGAAGATGGTAAAATGGGAGTGGAGGCGGATCTGGGAATAGAATTGAACCAGAACGATCTGTACCTGGCCCCGGGGAGCGTCGAGGCGATCGAGGGATGTGTGAGTTCACAGTTTCTTCTCCTGTCAGGCCCGGTGGGGGCAGAAATACTGGATAGCTCACGTCAGCTGGAGTTCTACCTGATAATGCGGGAGTATAGGTTAAGACGGTCTGCCAAGCGATGGACCTCGTCTGCACCCCAGGTACTGCGTCCAACCCACCTGCCGACACCGTCCTTCCAATCTCTGCTGGGCTCAGCACCAGCCCGAGCCCTTATGCAGGTGCATTCTGTGTGATCAGACCGCCGGGACATCATTGTGCTCAGGATGTCCCCTCCGGGTGAGTCTGGGTGTCATCAGATCGAGTCCGAGAATACAAGTTTGCTCACGGGTCTGGATTTCGAACATGTGATAGATTCTGCTATGTCAACAATGCCGCTGTTGCGGCCATGCACGGTAAGTTTCTGTTTAAGCTGGGTTCGCGTCGTGTCAGAGACATGCAGAGGTATTGAACCGGGAACTGGGAGATAGGTTATCTGCGGCACGATCAGGACAGGACCATATTCATCGATATCGACCTGCATCACGGTAAGATCTCTCCTTCTCAAATCATCACATTCGGTATTGACACTCAGGCACTGAATCTCACTGAACTCGGCCTGTTCGTCCCGCGTGCGTAGGCAACGGCACGCAGTCAATCGTCATGGGATTGAACGAGGCTAGTCACGCCGACGATCTCTTGATTGCCGGTGGGAAACCTCTAGTACCGATGACGCCTGGAGAGGTGGCTGCGGGGAGGAGGAAGAGGAATTGGAAAGGGTTCTACGGGAGTGTGCATGATATCGTGAGTCTAAGCGGACCCCAATAGAGCTCAAAGGACAAATCGAGACGGAAGTTGATATCCCACGATCGCCATAGTGGAGTTATCCTTGCGAGGTGAGCCGGCCGGATTACGGATTGTAGTTCACTGCTGAGATCCATATTGTGCAGGATGGCGATCTCGATTTGATCAAGGACGCCTCAGTCAAGATCGCGGCGCACGGACAGTACATGTGAGCCACATGCGCCGACAAACACGGTCAGTCATCGACTTGACTGATAACCCTTCCACTATAGCGACAACATCCACCTCGAGCCTTACGATTCGGAAGATGACTTTTACACCCGGATATACCCCAAGTACATGGCCTTGTTGGCGAGTGCAGAGCGGTTCGTCAGAGAAACTGAGGCTTCGCCTGACCGTACGACGGTGGTCGTTAGGTGAGTATCGTTTCTAGATTACGACAAATTTTTAGATCCACTGATTTACGCTCGAACAGCGCTGGGTTCGACGCTTGCGAACACGAATATCAAGCCATGTCCCGGCATGAGCGACGAGTGCCGGTTAGTAGATCTCATTTTGACGCATATCGTCATCAGCGCTGACATTCCAGGACGTGGCCCTTGCAGACATCGTTCTTTGCGAAGATCACGCGCGACATCCGCGCATTCGCCGACAAGTACGCTAACGGCAAGCTGGTCTCCGTCTTGGAAGGCGGGTACAGTGACAAGGCCTTGACGAGTGGAGCGTTGTCGCATGTAGCCGGGTTCTTCGGTGAGAAACCCTCGCAAGCCTCTTGGTGGAACGAGGAGAACCTTGAAAGTGTATGTTGAAATCTGTTGGTGGGTACTTCGGCTATGAACTGATCTGATCTTGAGCACACAGCTGGAGAGGTCGACAAAGCGGAAGAAGAATGGCGTGTTGTTACCGCTAGACAGCGAGTCTAGATCTGACACTCATCTCTCGCGGACGAGAGCCTTGTTGGAAGGATTCGAGAGGGCGGGAGTGACCGGATCTGAAACGAAGTTGGATATGTCACCCGCCTCGACACCTCGTATGACACTTCGTGAGCGTAAAAAGACGGAACCATGGACGCCCACTGCTACGCCTCGCAACGTGGGGCGATCGAGAGGCAAGACCGATGTCACCAGTCCTCCCGATGCTCCCTCGTCGCCAGTACAAATGTCGAACAGCAGCGTGGTCGAGGACATCGTCGATCAACTCGACAACATGAAAATTAAAGCCGCCCTACCGACTACGCCGCAATCCCAGCCCAAGTTGCGCGGTCTTGACAAGGACAGCGAAGAGGTGCGGTATTCTAAAACATTGGCGTACATGCTGCGTCATGGAGCCGAAAAGGAAAGGCTACCAATGCGAAAGGATGGCTATGTACGGGTTGTCGACATGGTCTGTATACAGCTATCCCGTTCTACCGCTTGCTAGAGCTCGCTGACATCCGTTACTTGCCGTCTCAGCTAAACCATCCGAAACTCAAGAACCTGTCCTGGCCCTTGCTCTACCACCTGGTGATGACTAACGCCAAGCAGCGATTCGTATTGTTCTATGGCCACGATCCGTCGCCTGTCCGACCCGTCTATCAAAAGAAAGGTTCGGGTGGTTCATCGCGGAAGGGCGAGCCGAAACTTGATCCCGCAGCGAGCGAGCTGTCATTGATATCCTTTGAAGCCCCAGCGGCTCCCATCTATGATTCCAAGTGCGCTGAATCCGGTTTGAACGCCTCGGCCCCGATCGAATCAACGGCATTAGGTGACGGCGGCATAGTAGTCGAAGCGGAATGGTTCATCAGGGCCGCCCAAGGTCATTCCCTGCCCACGGTGACCACGGAACACCTGGATCCTGTTTCGAACGACGATGAGGGCAGGTCCAAGGTTGGCGAGATGGTACACGGAACCAAAGAAGAGCTGTGGGACGTTATTCGTGAGTATCCTAATTGACAAATAGCGGTAAAAGCTGCTGTCTTACGTGTCCTGACACCCGTGAACGCCATTGCTTCGCAGGAGAGACTGGGCTGTCGAGAATGACGAGGCAACACGTGCATCTCACTACTGCGCGGGAAGGAGCTAAGAGTGGTCAGTGCATTCCTTTCGCATGAGCTGTCGAAGTCCAACTGATGTGGAAACCACGGTATTGCAGGTCCGCGAGCCAGTTCGACCTTGTTCGTCTACCTGTCCTTGCCAAAGCTGTCAGAAAGGGAATCGCCCATCCCCGTTTACCTGTCGAGCAATGGCGTTGTCTTGACACCCGGAGACGAGCATGGCAAGGTACCTGCCGATTGTTTCGAGCGAGTCATCCGTGTGCGTAAGGAAAGGATCATGCCAGACGTAGAAGACGCCCCTTCCACCGAGAACAAGGAAGCCGGAACGGGCGAGATCATCACGGGTGGGACAGATGAGGGTGTTAAATCGTCGACGTCGAAACGAGGAAAAGCCAAGGGAGGAGTGAGATTTTGGGACGAAGTCATATGGGAATACGGGCAGCCGGTAGATCCGCCCCGTCAACAAGCTCGCGTGAGCATGAAATTTTGATATGGTAAATCGTTGTAACAGTCTTCGAGGGGTTGTTTAAGCTATAATGAGGTTTGCCTAGGATACGTGAACTTGTCAACAGGGAAGGCTGGATTCTCTGGGGTGGAATTCATTAGCAAGGGAGCCGTTCGAAGTGGAATCTAGAATGGTCGACCTGTAAGATCGGAGGCTCGGTTGTCCGGGCATCTGCGACCATCTAGCGCGAGCCTGTTTCAGCTCTGTCATGGAACAAGAGGGCAACGCCAAGTAAGCACTGGCCAGTACTGTATAACGGGGCAGCACTTGAGAACCATGGCGTGCGTTGATAGTCTGTGGATCCGAAGATCACATAGCATCTGTCCTCGCTTGTTTGCCTCTCCCCTGACCGATCTGGCGGTTGCGCAGCTACAATCCTGGTGGCATTATCTCGGTAGGAGCGGAACACAGTAGCGTCGCGAGCGAAACGCCTGAGGCCGTGGGGAAGAGTCGGAAGATTAATAAGTCTATGTCTATCGACAACATGTGTTATGACGTATATATCAAGACTGTAAGCCTATTCAACAGAAATAAGAAGGTCTCGCAGCAGAGGCCGCTACACCGATCATAGGAAAGACAACTGACAGCTGCTGGTCAAAATGCCGACTGTCAGATATGCTGACTTTGAGAAAACGTCTCATCTCTCATCACCAGCCAAAGGAGGCATGGAATCTGTAGCAATAGACGAGGAAACATTATTGTCGCCGACAATGTCGATTCGAGCACGTGACCACTTGCGAACCCCCCCTCCTCGTCAAGGACGCAGCAGGAGTGATCTGTGAAAGGAAGGTTGAATTTACTACTGAGGTTGAATCATTCCAAGCGGCGAGGATGCACTGGTCATGTTGATCAGTACATCCGCGAATCGTATGACTAGCAGACTCATTCAATAGCGGCAAGCTCTGCCCAAACGTGATACTTCGGAAATTGACGAGGAGCCAGAGTGTTGTATGTGACGAGTGTAAATTGTCAACGGTCGTTCCTGCCGTAGCTCATGTCTGAGCACCGAAGATACTTGGCGCAAATGTTCTGTAACGTGGCCAGAGTTCATTCATACACTAGTACCGCGAGGATCACCCCGTCTCCGCCCATGTATGATTTCTGCGCTCTTGACGATTTTATCGAGGGTGATTGCGTTTAGGCTGGCGCGGACAGTGCGCACGAGTGTGTACTCAATCTGCGTTTCTGCGGTTACGCTGATCCAAACATCTTTTTAAATGCCTCCAAATGCTCAGTAGAGCTGATATGCTGGCGGAACCTATGCTGTGGGATGGCAGTCCGTATACCGTCGTATCATCGATCGCTGCTCGGATACCCTGCGTTCCTCAGACCCTGATAGCTTGGAGCTGCCGATTTGATGCTCCTTTAGCGATCATGACCAAATCCCCTCAACCACAAGAAGGGGAGGCCGAGACCAGTGTCAAAGAAGGTGAGAAAATGTTAACAGTAGCACGACCGCATAGACTTGAGCTCATGACACAGAGCGGTAGCAAACAACGCCGTTCTTCTAGAACTGCGCAAGGCAAGGCCGGACCTCCTTAAGGAACCAATCTTCATTAGTCTAGTAGATGTATCTGATATCACAGTAGACAGACCGTAGGTCGGATCGGAGATGATGCATCCGATGTATTAGGGGACATATGCGTTGGACATTGGTGATGAGTTTTATCCGGGGGAATGGGGGACGGTAGTCACATGATTAACAATCAATTGACAAACACCATCAAAGGAAGGCTGACATTCTCGCATGATGATTCTCCTGCAACACACAGGGAGTTGCGTATATACCAATCCTCATCTGATAGTCAACGAGAGGGAAGGAGAAAGTGAAGGTTGACCACAGCTCGAAAAGGCTAGAACCATGAAACTTCCAACTAAAGCCAATTCAGAGATAGACAAGCTATGAGCGAGGATCAACGGGCAATGAACATTTTGTTCACCCAGGCGCCACTTATGGCCTCCGGGGATAGTTCTGTCTGGTATCGCAACCCGTACGACACGCCATCCGATCTGATTACCCAAGGGTCTCAGGAGTCGCCGCTATCAGCAATGCCACCATACACGACGGGATCGACTGGGCATGAGGGTTCTTACCGAAATGCATCTGAATTGAAACCTGGGTGGGATCTGACCCATGTACAGGGCCTATCATACCTCAGAAACTCTAATCAGCAGCCAGGCCATTCATTCCGAGCGTCTTCCTCGCAATCGAGCGCTCTGTCTGATTCGTCCTTCTTCAACGTGCATAGTATCGCCGTTCCCCCAGCGCGAGCCACAAACGGAGCCTTGGTAAGCGAATCCAGTCGCTTAGATGGCAAGTCGCTGACGAGCTAAGTTCGCCTTCTTCCTACGCTCTAGCCTGAACCGCTGCAGGCGTTTGTCGATCAATTTGACCAGAAAAGTAAACAGACCCTCGCAGGACTGTCCGAGCAGTTGCACACCGGTACTCAGGAGGTGAATTTACTCGCGAACGCGCTCAAGGCTTGCAACGACGGGAAGCCGGAATTCGAGTTAGGCAATACCGCACTATTTGCTCGGTATTACGAACGACTTACATCTGACAGTGGCTGTACCAACGTTATACTCCGGCTGTCCAGATACAAGTCGAACTTGTAGTCGCCATGTCACAAGGAACACAGAAAGATCGTGATAAACCAGCGTATACAGAACAGGAAATTGAACGAGGCGATGGAACGTTGTGATATGCAGGGCAATCATATCATCAACACCGCTTATGCATCGGGGGTTTCGACACAGACACGGTCTACCCCTGCGTATTCACAACCATTCGGATATCCGCCGGCATCCACCGGATCTGCGGATACCGATCGCTCAACACCCCCTCAAAGCAATTACTCGCATCGGAACGGTGAAGCTGATGATCTGGCTCGTCAGCCTTATGACCGCAATCAGACCGCATACACACAGTTGGACCGTTCTCAATGGTCTATGAAGCACGTGAGCCTTGGTCGAACATTACGATGATTTCCCTTCATTCACAAAGTCTGAATGGAGCCTTTCGTCAACTCTAGCCACACGCTCTACCCGAGATCAGTGTCAATGATCCCGCTGTTGATGAAGCGCATCCGCCATCACTTCGCGCTGTGACTGATGCCGTTGCTCGTCCGCCGATTGCGTACATATCGTGGTAAGCGACAACGTGATGGATCGAAGGGCAGAGTCACAAGTCTACTGAGCCGATTTTATCTTCTCACTCTCAGGAAAGAGCCTAGAGAACTGGAAGACTTTTCAAGACGATTCGACGGCGCCAGCTCAGAGCTCCTCGCACAGTTCGATAAATACGACTACTACAATCGTCTTGCTCTACTACAGAGCGTGAAGGATGCTTACGAGAGGAAAACCTCGTTCACGCTAGGCGGTGACTCCCAATTCGAGTGCAGGGAATGTGTTGGGTACGGCCGAGGGAAGAACCGCTGCCCCTCGGTGGTGCTTCGAGACTCGGGAAACGCGTCAGACCGATGCGACGAGTGTGGTAAGCTACACAGGTTGCACGAACAGTGGATCGATAGACGAAAGAAGCGGGAAACGAGCTGAGACTATTGTATCTCGAGAAGTCGGATGTATGGAACTTTGTACTAGAAATACTTGATAGACAGTTGTTACGTTACATTACACCACCGATGTGGAACTCGCAATGCGTCGCGACGAATGGATTTGAGATCTGCCTCTTTTGGGTTAGCGCCAGATCTTCAGGTACCCCGTCACATCTCGGAAGCAATTGTAGCTTTACTATGGTCATCGGATGCAAAAACTCCTCTCGCTCGTCTCCCTCAACCTTGGCTGATAAAGGGTCACGTCTCATTCGGAAGTCGACCTCTTGCTCTTGTCAACCCTTCTTGTCGTTTGCGACTTGTACACCATCCAGCCAGGCTAGCCATCCAATTGGATATCGACAACTCGTCAAACGCAACTAACCCTAGAAGGGAAGCTCAGGTCGCGTTGAACCCATTGCAGCGAGGTTCACGAGGAGCGGGGAGCAAGGAGACATCTCTAAAACCAACGCCGACGTCATCCTACAAACGCGTTCACGACCTTTTCTACCTTCTCAGTCTTCTGCGACGTCACAACCGAACGAGGAGGAAAAAGATGCCTCCCGCTAGACCTCTCAAGCGGGCTAGACAGAGGTCTTCCCCCTCCGATAATCGCGATCACGATCAATCTCGGCCGGTCCGTAGGAGACGCATCGATCGCTCAAAGGAGGTCTCGACCGCGACCGCGTCGACAACCACCATGTCCACCGCGGCTCTTCATCAATCTGAAAGAACTACCATGAGTCGTCAAGCTGGACATTCGAGATTGAATAAGAGGACCGGGAAATACTCAAAGGCTAGACCTGTGACCCTTCGTCCTATCGCGAAGGTCCACGATGATGCGAGTTCGGATGAAGGGGATGATGAGAACGAGCTCGAACTCGCCGGGCTGGAGACCGACTTGTTGCCTCCCTCGTCCCCCGCCTATGGTCAAAAATTGCCTGTTCAGGCCACCTTCCCAAAAGGGCGGACATTGGAGGGGTTGGCCAGGAAGTTGGATTTGCCCCCGACCGTTGCGCCTATCAGGTCGTTGCCTTCCCCCCAGCTCAACCTTAACCTCCCTCCTCTCAACCTCGACCTCAGCTTAAAACACAGCTCGAACTTTCCACGACCTTCGCTACCTACCCAAATCCCGTCTCATACAAACCCACACCTAAACAGATCGTTCTCCACCCCACGCAAGATCTCCGGCTCGCGCTCTTTTGCGGGGGAAACCACCGAGGAAGAGCAAGAAAGCGGGGATGAGAATGGAAGTGATATTCTGAGCGAGATCGAGGAGGAGAACAGGGAGTATTACAAGGAGATGCAGGAACGGCAACGCCAGTCGCAGGTGATAGGCAAAGGAAAAGGGATAGAGCGGGTCAGTCACATGACGTGTATTTGCAAGTTGTGTATGGGTCCGGGCTGATGGACTACCGCATTTTTCAGATGCAGCTCTTACCGGGAGTACATGATCGGCGATTACAGCCGACTGTCAGCGATGTGACGACCAGTCTCAAGATGCTCGTACGTCTTTCTCTGGGTGGCCCGTCTTCTCCATTTATGTTCTGATCACTATGTATGGTTTCGAAACAACGCAGGGCTCGCCCGTCTTGATCCGTTCCATTCCTAAACGGTGTTTTCCATCAAGTACCACCCCAACCCCGTACGGGTCTGGATATGGATCGCCTTCCGGCTCATCAGGACCTTCTTCTCCAGGCAGCCTTGCTGTGGATGAAGCAGAGATCGAGAGGGAGTTGTTCATGGACGTCGACAGGGCTTCTTTGGCGCAGGAAGAGGAAGAGGAGCGGCTGATCTCGAACATGGTACGTTCGGCCTCGAATTTGGCTTCGACCGCGTACAGGGAAACTGAGTCTGATGAACGGACACATTTCTCTCCGATATAGATGCTAGGAGGTGACACGGAGGATGAGGACGCCGAGACGATGCAGCTTCCTCTAGCTGATTCGGTTCGATTGGAACATCGAGCCCGGATCACAGCTCTATGTCTACCTACAACCGAATCGTTCAGTGGGGCCCGAGTCAGGCGGATGGTCCGTGCCAGACAGCTCGGACAGGTCGTCGAAGACCTAGGAACACCAATGTCGATGAGTTTCGCCAGACTTGTAGCCGTCAAGAGGCGGGGGAAGTGGAACGCAGCCAAACTTTACGCGGGAAAGACGATCAGGCAGGAACTGGTCGGGTCGAAGAGCCGAGCGGCAGGGTCCGTAGGGTCGGGCTCCGGGTACGATGTAGGCATGCTCAGGGAAGCTATGCGACAAGCCGCAGGACGTCGAAGCTTGATGGCGAAGTACAGAATTGATGCTAGTCAGGTCGGGCTGGATTCGACCTGGGCTAGCGGGACGTTGACGGCTTGGTGGACGACACTCGGCAGGGTAGAGCCTTTCCGAAGCTTCATGCTATACGTCCAGAGCGAGCCGATGGTCAGGGCGCTCTGGTTACTCGAGAGGGAGATGCAGGAGGAGAGGGATGTGGACGTGATTCTTCCGATTGATACGGCCGAATCCAGCGCTGGGCCTGCGACTCCTGTCCAGGTTGATGACCGCAACGAGGAAGACACAGGAGCCACGACAACGGCGGTCAGCAGGAGAAGAGTCTATACCGATGATCGACACTTGGCAGGGCACGAAGCTCTTTACCCGGAATTCATCGAACGTTACGTCTCCAGGCTCTCCGAGACGGAGCCTAGGTTCCACCAGCTCCGAGCTTGGCAATCGATCGATGCGACGTGGGAGGCGAGGTTCGCCGCTCAGGAAGAACGAGACAACCGACGAGCGGCGGAACACCGAAGGAGGACGGCTGAGCGAGCTAGACAGAGGGAAGAGGCTGAGCGACGGGTCAGGGAAGCGAGGGAACTGGAGGAGAGGGAAGCGCTCATGCGGGCCGCGCAGATTGCTCGATGGGAAGTTGAAGCGGAACAGAGCAGGTTGCAGAGGATTCAGGAGGAGGGTGCGCGACGCCATACAGACAGTATGGGGCGTGCGGCCGCTGTCGAACGAGACGCTGCGATCATGGATAACCCGAACCCGCCGACTTATCCTGCTGCGGTACCCATCGAGCCGGTAGTTGCCGCCGCCTCGCTCCCCGTTACGCCGCCTCCGGCTGCTCCTCAAGACCTCCCGAACTATAGCAGGATTGTTTACGGCAATCGATCCCCACCACCACCTCCGCCATACAATGCCGTGGGTGGGTTTGAGCTGGTCGAGATCGATGACCTACTCTTTGACGACGATGACGAGGACGGAGAAGACGAGGACATTGAAGACGACCTCGGTCCTATCCGAGGTAATTGGCAGGACCCAAGCTTGCTGGAAAATACGGCGACTGAGCCCCGGTTTGTAGGTGTGCCCGCAAACCAGCAGCCTAGGATCCTCTCGCTAGAAGAGATGCAGGCCGAGCAGGAGATGTACGTGCAAGCAGAGAGGGAACGGGAAGAGGCGGAAACGACCAACAGACGCGGTCGATGCATAATCATGTAGCATTCATTCAACCACATTCTTGTAATACAATCAGTAGGTAGCGTTATTCATGCATGTCTCTCGCGGGCTCATGGTTCGATCTAGATGAGCGGATATGACTGTGTTGCAAGCTGCTACCCAACGGGGATGTTTCAGATGATGATATCGCATAAAAGAATTAAGCTCGGCTGATGATATGAAAACGCATACGATGCCGAGGATCACAGCATGATCAACCGTCACTCTGTCCTCTATAAGCTCCTAGCCAGATGTGAGTGAAGTTTGACCGGCACAGGGCGTCAGTAGACTGTAGACTCGGCCAACAAAAATAGAGACAGAGACTATCAGTCATGCCAGTCTCGACGTACGTTTCAGTAGCGGAGTCAGGAAGCGTTCCACGAGTTGATAAACCTGGTTCGTTACCCACCATGACAGACAAACTCTCTACCTCGATCCCGCTATCCGAGTGAGTCTACCAGCTTGTAGGAAGCGAAGGGCCTCTTACTGAACCATCTGCGCTCTTCAATATATATAGGATTGGGTGCTATTCCCTATCACGCTGGTCATGGTTAGCCAAGCCTTGATATACGTCTCGATCTGCCGAGCTCTAACTCGCTCGAAATACGTACAGATCCTCGTCGGACTGTTACGACACTATGTGACGATGCTCCTCAACTCGGCTCCCAAGAAGCTTCCAGCAGCTGAAGTCAGAGAACAGTACGCTTGTAGCTTTGCGGAAACGTCCTCGTTCCAAAAGCTGAACCTAGCTGTTTACCTGCAGGCGGGCGATGTTGAAATCACAATTACTCCGGTCGAGCTCACCTCTCTGCCCAATACCCCCTGCCGCATATACAGCCATGTCGACCTCGCTGGCTACGGCCCTACGTTCTGGAGCATACGTCAAGCCGGCTCTGAGTGAAGACCCGGACAAGGCGGACGCACCTGTCAATCCTCTTATGGATCCCTCTCAGATGGATGGCATGATGGACGGGTTGAAGAAGCAGGCTGTAATGATGATCCCCAACATGGTCATCATGCAATGGATCAACACTTTCTTTTCGGGTTTCGTCCTCAGTCAGTATCATCCGGCAAACTCTGGACGGTACATATCGTACTGACTTACACCCGGGAATTGCACTCTCAGTTAAACTGCCTTTCCCCCTTACCTACGGGTTCAAGGCGATGCTGCAAAGGGATATCGCCACACCTGACATGGATGTTCGATACGTTTCGGCGCTGTCGTGGTACTTCCTAAACTTGTTCGGTTTGAACGGGCTTTTCAAGCTCATGCTCGGATCCGAGAACGGTGAGCAGCAATCCCTCCTCCCGATCTGATATCACGTACAGTCGCTGACACTCGAAATTGGCCAAATTTGAATCAGCTGCGGATGGCTCGCGTGATATGGGGTCGCAGGCAATGATGGCGGGTGCTGCGATGGGTCCCATAGCACCAGGAAAGCCTGATATGGCCAAGCTGCACAAGGCAGAGGCCGACAACCTCGCCATCGCTGAGGGCATGTACGTATGGGCTGGGGAGGGAGTGGAAGCGAGAGTTCTCAAGCTCTTTGGGAAGCAAGTCGAAATGGAAAGCAAGAAAACACGATGAGGTTGGAGCATAACGCACCATGGCGTACTATTCTTGTACAAAGGTATACGATTCCAATCATTAGCAACGAGCTTGTCCTAGCCGCTCGGCGGTCTTTCCCCCCTTCTATAATGGTACATTCGTGGTATCGTAAGCGACAAACGCCTTGGTCACTCAGATTCGCCCCTCCGTCTTGGGTGGTGCTCTGGCCCGCCGTTCGCTTCGAGGTGGTGGACGCGGAATAGCAGGAGCAGGTGCGGACGAATATGCTGATGGGTCGATAGGCTGTGACGGCGCAGGCACGGCTGCCTTTGCGATCCTTTCCATCGTTTCTTGACGCGGGTTTGGCGGTCTCTCGCTCTTCTGGACCTCGGTTTCCGCGATGATTGGGTTAGGCTTGACATCCGCCTCGTTCCAGTTGGGCTGAAGAAGCGTGGCTAACAGGAAAGTAAAGTCCAAGCCAGAGTCGCGTAGTAGCTGGTGACGCAAGTCACGATGGACGTCAGCAGACATTCAGTAATGGTTTCTTTTCCAGATTGCCTCTGACCTTTCGATTGTGGTGTGCGGTGATGCGCAGCGACTCTTCGATAACTACGGGGTCGGATGTGGGACCGTAAACCTGGCGCCGGAAAGTTTCGGCAAACTGATATACCTGGACCTCCGCCCATTGAACCAGACCTACAAGCGCATACTTTGATGAGCACACGCACACACGCCAAGAGACCAGTGGCGAACATAGCGACTGACTTGAAATCATCCGGTTTTCCCGGAACGCCGTCAAGTACCAATCCGCCGTGTGCTTTAGTATTGTGAACATGACGACACCCAGCTCGCTGATATACGCCGGAACGTCCCCGAGGTATGATATCATCCGACTTCGCTGTTGTAACAGTTCATGCCTGGCGGCCAAAAACTTTTGGCTTGCGAGTTGTGCCTGGCCGAGATCGACCAGATGACCAACGCAAGTGACACAGGAGGATCGCTTGATGTCCGGGTACGACAGGTCATAAGCGACCTGATCGACGAGTTCTTTTTCGAGTCTGTTCAAGCGGGATGCCAAGGTGTGATCTGGCGACTCGCGTTTAGCTTGTCGGGCCAGGTGCTCCTTTCCTGAAGAGACGAAGTGAGGATTCTGCTCAACAATTTTTCTCGCGCGCGGGTTCTCGGATATACCTAGACTGACCTTTTTTCACCAATCTCACCGCCTGCTCCCAATCTCGCACGGCGATGGCCATCGTCAAATCGTCCTCGAAAGTCGCCAGCCAATCCAAGTCGGCCTCGTCCGTTTCCACAACCGAAGATCTCATGCCCGGAAGAGGCGGTACATCCCCGGATTTCATGTTCGTCATCTACCGCAAGTCAGCCATCAACATTGATCAGTCCCATTCGGAGCCGACCGAATAAACATCGCACTCACATCACCGGCCCACATGCTCTTCCTCCGCTCCTGCTCGCGCTCGCTCTCCTTTCGTTTCTTGGCAGCGAGATCTTCCGCCACCTTGCGGAACGCACCAAGCAAGACCCGCTTGTCGTCAGGATAGTTGGTGCGGTAGACCAAGCTCTCTTTACCACGTCGAATCTTGATAGCATTGGTCAGATCTGGCGGGTGCCAAGACCGGTCAGTATCATGTACATCCCAGTCGGGGTCTGCTGCCCGGCATCTTTCGCCTTACCTCCGCTATCCTTGACATCGACAACCACAACCTCGTTCAAGTTCCAGCACCTCTCGGCTACCAACCTCCCCTTGACCTTGTCCTCTTCCTTTCCCTGAGCCTTGTCCTTCCCCGTGGGCCCTTCATTCCGTTTCCTCTTTCTCACAGCAACCAATAAGAGGTCGTTCAGCAGGAAGAGCTCCACCGTCTGTTTAGCCTTGTAGGTCGCCGAGTTGAGTTCGACAAAGTTGCTCGCTTCGCAGATGAGGTGTCGACCGGGGACGTAGGGAAGGAACTTTTGCGACCCGGAGATTTGGGTCCAGAGAGCTTGGATCTGGTTCTTGTACAGGTTTTCTAGGTCGAGGACCGAGTTCCTGACCGTCTTTCTCCTCTCCACTATCGGTCATACCAGATTCAGTCAACCCGCCCACGATAATTAAGCCCCATGCTCGTGCTCACAGACGTTCCCCGACGACTTGCCCACCTCGTACCCCCCAAAAGCATCGTCCCCAGTGCCCGTACCCGCGCCCAATAGACTCGGCGCGCGTTTCCACTCGGTGAGCATCTCTTTCAGTTCGAGCATGTCGTTCTCGAGCAAGCCGATCTCCTTGGCGATAGTCACGAAATGTGCGTAGCTGTAGCATTCGTCGGGTAATTCAATCAGCGAACTCGATCTGAGATTCCTGGAATGCCTAGAATGCAGGAGCACTGACTTCTTAAAGACGTTACCTTTAAGCTACACCGATTTAATGAGCATCAACTCAGCTCTCTAAACCCCCGATAGTCGATTCTTGACAATCGCGGTGCCTGACGCGGACTCACCTCTTGTGCATTCGATTCTTTCCGCCTAGCAAGAGCCTGCTTGAAATCGGCCACTTCGTCCTCTTCCGCACCAGCTAGGGTCTTTTTGATGACTGCCACCATAAATGCAAACACATGTCAGCTCCAGCCCTTCCGTATGTGTTCTATATCATCGCTGAGGTGGACTACAAGCCAAAGTCACAGTGTTACTGTATGGCGTGAACGTGAACTTACAGGTATTGACTTCCACTTTATCCTCCTTTAACCCATCCAGATCCCACCTCGCACCCTGCCTCTCTCCGACACCGCTACCTCCTTCGCTATAGCCACCATCCCCTGAAGACCGTACCGCACTTCCACGGGGTTTGACCATTTCTTCCTCCCTGCTCGTGCCTTCCTGCATAGCCAAGCCATCACGAGGGTTAGAAGGCAGGTGTGAATGGGAGTGAGGGAAAGAATAGTTTCCGAATGCGATTGGGGTTGTTGTGGAAGTAGGATCGTTAGGGTCGGTCGGGTTGGAGATGGAGGATGGATCTATGCGGAGGGTAGGGATCGGAGGAGCGGGGATCGATGGCGATGGTTCGGCGTATCTGACGGTCGGTGGGAAAGATGAAAGGGCGCGATCAATATGCCTTCAAGGTATATTGAACTATTACGCCTAGGTGCTCACCTCATGGACAACCTCTTCTTGATCTTCTCCCCGACCTTGCTCTTCTTGCTCTCCCCCTTCTTCTTCTCCTTTTCCCTGACCGCATCCGTCGTCCTCACATACGTCTGTTGCCTCTTGACTCCCGGCTTGCTACTCGTCTGATGTACCTGTGACAAAGATCCTCCTCCGAGCTGTGATTGCAGTTGTGATTGGGTAGATTGGGGGAGTTGAGCGGCGAGTTCGTCGAGGTTGAAAGTGGTCGATGTGAGGGTGACGTTCTTTGGGTTTGCGAATTCGGACATGCGCCGATTACGGAGGCTGTGCGACATGTTGGGCGGAGACGGTCGGTGTCGAAGCAGGAGACAGGAAGATACGGTAGTCGAGGTCGACGAAGCAGTGCGATGAACTACAGACGTTAATAATTGCGAGTGAGATAGCATCGTTCATGGCATGATGATGATGTCCTAGTTACGGCGAAGTCCCATGAACCGGCGACTCCCGGTAACGTAAGGAAATGACGGCATCAACGGAGAACCCTGATCACGTGACTTTTACTTCACATCTTCCCCTCGGCCGCCGTTTCCCCGAATGACGTTTGCCGAGATTGCCGATCATCTCGAAGGGAAAATCATCATGCATCCGATCAAGATATGGTGCAAATTAGAGTTTGAAAGGGGGAGATCTGCCGATCAAAAAGGTAGAAGAAAGGGGACAAGGAGCTGTTCCAAGAGGCACGTATATATCACAGGCTTCTTTACCCCGGCGATGACACAGCTCGGCCAATCCATCGCGCTCCTGCTCGAACACTTTTGGACCTGGATCTTCACCATGATCGGGCTCTCCCCCACGGCCGGTCAGATCGTGCACGTCCTGCCCACCCAGGCCGTCAAGCTGGCCGTCAGGGGAATCGGTGCGGGCAAGTCGAGTAAAGCGATGGGGAACGGGGAAAAGCCTACGAACGGGGAGGCTGTCGTGTCGAACGGACATGCGGGATCCGAACCGCTGGGCAAGTTCATCCTCGAGCGGTGTCCCAGCTTGAAGGGGTCGTTCAATCCGTCATGGTGGATTAAGAGGTGCGTTATTCTCGATGTATAAGCCCTCCTCATCATGCTAATGGTGTCAATCGAGATATTCGGTGCATGTAGCGGTCACCTTCAGACGATGTACTGCGTCGTAGGCAACTTCAACATTGTAGACAAGGTGGTCTACGAGCGGACTTTGCTGCGAGTCCGGGATGGAGGGACGATGTGAGCCTGCGAAGTTGCTCGCCTGAACGCCCGCTTAGAGTTGACGAACACGTCACAATCTCAGTGCAGTGGACATCACCCCTCCTAACCATAAAGACCTCCCGCCTGACGCTCCCACGATCATCGTAGCCCACGGTCTCACAGGCGGGTCACATGAATCCTACGTTCGAAACGTCCTGGAATGGGTCGTGCGTCCGAAAAGCCAAGGTGGACTTGGTGGACGGGGAGTCGTCGCTAATGTGAGCCTCGCGATCAGATGATATATCATCTGGTGGCCATACCCACGGCACCGCTGACGTTCAACCGCGTCTCGCTTAGTATCGAGGATGCGCCGGAGCTCCCCTGACGAGTCAACAAGCATACTCGGCCCTATATACGGGCGACTATAACACCGTCGTCCACCAGACGGCGGCTTCCTTCCCTTCCTCGCCCCTCATCGGTTTAGGGTTCTCTTTAGGCGCAGGGGTATTGGCAAGGTACATGGGAGAACAGGGAGAGGGTTGTTTGTTAAAGGGAGGGATCTCCTTGGGATGTCCGTGGGATATCCCGGCCATGTCGACAGTGTCAGTCTTCGAAACCATCTGGGGCGTTTCTTGCGAGCAAAACCACGCTTACTGCCGTACCTTCACTCTGCAGGCTCGAGACCGGTTGGTTCTCATCCCGCGTCTACTCGTCCTCGATGGGTCAAAACCTAGCTCGCACGGTCGGTCGTCACATTGCCCCTCGCGAGTTCCTCTCCAAGGCCGAACTCGCCAAACTCCCCGTCTTGCCTACGGAGCAGTACGATCTCGCCACTCCTTACGGCGAATTGGCAGACGAGGTCGTCAGGCTGAAACGCAAGGGCCGGCACCTGCGTCTGAGAGAGTTTGACGAGTTGATCACTAGCAAACTTGGAGGTTTGAGGAAGGAGGACGGAGGGGTGTTCCCGTTCAAGGGAGCGGACGATTATTATGCGCATGCCAGTTCGAAGGCGTTTATCGGGAAGGTAAAGAGGCCGTTGTTGGGGATCAACGCGTTTGACGATCCCATCATCCACGGATGTGAGTGCGAGTTGACGAGGCCCCATAACTTCATGTGTTCCCTCGCTGATGCGATACCTTCTCCCTCCGTAATAGCTGCCCTGCCGATCGAAGAGGTCACGAAGTCGAGTCACGTCATGCTCGCCGTCACCGCTCACGGGGGTCATCTCGGCTGGTTCGACGGACCCCTATTCGCCCGGACGAAGAAGGTCAAAACGGCAGACGACCAGGTCGAACGGGTCCGAGCGTATCCTCAACAACGGTGGATCGCTAAGCCGGTCCGCGAGTTCATCACGGCCATCGTTGACGAGCTGGATTATGATACGTTGGCTCCCGAAAAGGGACCTGTTTTCGAGCACAAGGACGACGGCTGGACCTGGGTCAAGGATAGCGAGGCGCAGGTGTACGGACCTGTCGTGTGGAAGGTGATAGAAAGCGGCGGAGCCGTTCAGGGTAGTAACGACTCGGGAGTACTCGCAGGGTTATAGATGCAGACTGAGAGCATATAGATGGATCAACTTGGAACATCGCATGATTGTAGCTGGCATAGTTTGTCAACGCCATTGATTTTCAGGCGCGGCTTCTGGTCAGTAAGCGACGCATGATCGACTGAGAATTCGCCAACTATGGGGAGCGGGAGTGGTGATCCGACGATGGAACCCTGAATGACATCTGATCTCAGATTGGAGCTACAACTCCCGCACCGATGACATTCTCGAGACCATTGGGGAGATTGACTTAGCCCATGGTGATTGCTCCAAGGATAGAAAGAGTGACTAAGATCTGTTTCAGGATAGCATAGTCCCTCTCATCTGCATTCAGAATAGGTCATAACCACTGAGCAAGATTGATGGCTAGCCCCGGGATGATGACTTTGATATGGCCTATCTCTGCGCAAGGCATCAGTTCATCAGTGGCACAACGGCGCTTTAGTTCAAGCAAACCTTGTGGTAGAAATCCGGAAGATCCATTTGTCTCGTCTGTGCTATTGCACATGTCGTAAATATCATTCACCCACCTGCTTTGGGTCGGCTTATTTTGCTTCTGGCCAACTACCAACTACCAGCTGCCAGGTGTGCAACATGGTCATCAGTGAGACATCGATTGATCCGTATCGACGGCGACATAGCAGGCATAGCCTCTTCCTCCCGCTTCCCGTGTTTGGCTCTGGCATAGCTCGCGCTAGAGAATCACGCCGGACCAACTTCGCTCGATCGCTGTGCGGTCGGTTCCGAGGCAGGAGTATCGCGTACAACTGCAACACAGCATTTCTTCCTCGAACATTCGGTCTGGCAAGACTGTTTCGTCTCGTCTCGCATGCGGAAGGAAGATGGCTTTGGTTGCCGTAGCCGTATCTTTCTGTAGCCGCTCATGTAACGAGGCTGTACGCTATCGAAGATGGGAGGGAGATCCGAGTGAGACGCACACGGTCGTTTGCTAGTCGCGCGCCGAGATCAAACGACCTCGGTCATCAAACAACAACCAACGAGGTCGGGACCATGCGATCGTCAGATCGTTTCGTCGTCGACATCCCCATTCACGACTGCCACCGGTCGCCCTCGATGGCCTTGCTATACTGCTATGAGCATAGCACGGGAGCGATAGGGTAAGAAGAGCGATAGATCTCGGTTCGGACAAGGCACAAGGCATCACAAGGGTGAGACCGACACACACACACCCACTTGCTTCCACCCATCGAAACCTAAAAAAGGCCCTTTGACGACGACCCATACGGATTCTGCACATAGGCATAGCCATATAGCCATAGCCTTCCTTTCCAATCCTCCTTCTGCTTCTTCTTCTATCGCGATGTCTATATTCAGACAACCCCGTCCCCCACCCGTGTCCAATTCGACAAACACGAGTCAGGGCTATCAATCGTTTACGTCTGGTGGGAACGCTTCGATCGGGTTCGAACGGATGATGCAAAGTCAAGGTCATCAGTACGGCAGCAGTAACCTCAACGTTGACAACAACGCAAGTAACGGCATCAAGAGCAGTATCAGCAACCACAGCATCGGAGGGATAACGACTTCAAGCTCAGGAGAGACGATCAGGCCTACAAATTCCACGGCCTCACCCGCATCTCATTCCAGGACGGGGGGTGCAAATCTGATGCCTGGTCGAGGAGGATCACTGAAGTTGAAGGACAGTTGGAGGAGGCTAGGCGCGGACGAACATGTTCTGGAGAATGATGGAGAGGGAGACTTGGATGGGCAAGGTGGGACTGGGGTGGCAGGAGCAGGCGGTTTGGCAAGGCATACGAGTCTGCCAGGTCGAGGTGAGTCCTCTTATGATCATCAAGTCAATACCGGCCTCGATGAGATCAACGAGGCCATGGCGTTCAGTCTCGCTGAACCTGAACTACCTTTGACGTGATATCGCTTGTATACCTGGTGCGTAACCTCATCAGCGGCCCCATCAGCCTTCCTCTCATCAGCGTCGGCGTCAAGAGATCCTCGTCCGACTCCCATCTCCCGAACAGGATCCGGGTCGACTCGTTCCTCCCGACACCCGTCCATCTCTGAAGAAGGACCTCCGCCTATCGTGCCCAGTTATGATACCCAGTCTACCAACACTGGCGCTGGCAGTGGGAGCGCTTTGGCGTTGGGCAGGAGCAGTAGTCTGAAGCAGGTCATGGACAAGAAGGATTGGAGGAGCCGACCGGCGGGATTGATGGGCGGAGACGACCAAGTGAGAAACATTGCATCATCAGAGTTTCTTCTCTAGCTCATCCGTTGAATTCTCGTCTCGCAGGAACAGACCGTCCCGATGGGGGGTCATCAACGGTCTCACTCCCATAGCTCTACCTCTCCCAGCACCTACACAACCCAAATAACCGATCAAGGCTCGGCCCTGCATCCCACCTACCTCTCTCATCCGCACCTGTACAAATCAAACTCGCTCCGGTCGACGTACTCGAATCCCGCCGCACCCCGTCGAGAACGAGTAGGGTTAGGGCACGCATACACGCAATCGATGTATCACCTGGAATCCCCTCCGGCGAGCGCAACATCGTCCAACTCCAACTCGACGCTGCACCCGTATGGAGGAGGGTGGAACGATCTGTCTCCGATCTCTCCCACAGAGGCGGAGGCGCATTCTCATTTAGGGCATGGGCCGTTTCCTCATCAACAACAGTACCAGGGAGGCTCGTCCGGCTTGGGCGCCGGTGGGTCAAGTCTTCTTGGTGATGTCGGTGGGGATGGAACAGGGGAAGAAGGAGCCGCGGCCATGTTGAGGCGACATCAAAGTTTACAACAGGGGTATGGCAAGTCTCATCGAGTCGCGGACCGGTTGGCGAGGTCACAAGCGATCTTGGCGATCGAGAATCGGACCGGGACGTCGACCGGGCAACAACAGCCTCAACAGCAACAGGAAAGGGAGAGGGAGAGGAGTGATCAGGGAACGAGTCTGGACGTACCCCCGACGAGCCCGATTGGAAGGAGCGCTTGGTCGAATGCCGCAGTGGGGTACGATGGGAATGACGGATGGGACGAGCTAAACCAGTTGAAGCAGAGGCAGGCGCAGCAGGGACAGTCGCCTGGAAGTAACCAGCTTCAAGGTCAAGGTCAAGGCCAGACCCAAGCTCGGGGCCAGCAGAGGGTGGGACTGGACGATATGGACCCGGTCAGACGCTTGAGGTTGTTACAGGCCATGGAGGCCATGCAGTTGGGTTCCGAGATGATCGCCCCTCCTGGATCTACACCGGGTCTCATGGCTGCTCCGGCAGGACTGGCGAGTCTTGCTACGGCTTCGACGATCGAGTCCCAGCTAGGGGACTCGATTCAAGCCACGTACGATCACAGTCAAGGTCATTCTCATACGAGATCGTACGGAAGCGCTGCCATCGCTCAAGGAGCTTATGGGGTACCTTTTGGTACCGTCGATGGGATGAACGCGGGTGTGGCAGGGTACGATCGACAGCCGGGGCATGTATCGCACGGAAACGACTTCTATCAGCGTCAAGATTATGCTTCGGCGAGTCCGCAATTGCAACAAGGGCCCATGAATGCTCAACCTGGGTTTGTGCAGATGGGCTATGGGAACCAGCCGGGTTACTCGGTCTTGCCCTCCAATTCGGGATACAACGCTGCAGGGCCTTATTATGCTCAAGGCGGGATGCGTGTGACCGGCGTGAGCCCGGCGGCCAACTCGCTCCCGAACTATTACGGACTGTCGGCCCAATCCGATCCCATGCAACTGCAACAGATGCAGCGTCAGGCGGACGTACAACAGGCCCACATGCTTTCCCCGCAGAACACGGGACCGGGCAGGCCACCCAGTGCCGGACATGCTTATCCCAAGTCGGCCCCAATCGCCGGGAGTCAAAATGTTGGACCAGCCGTTCACATCCCGCCCGAAATCGCCGAGGCTGCTGCGCGTGAAGTCAGGGAGATGGTCGAGAAGCGAGGGTTGAACCCGGCCGTGTTCGATTGTGAGGTCGCCGAGGTGAGTATCGAATTCAGCTGGCGAGCCATATTTACGGTGCGACGATACTGAACCTATTGTGCTTATTGGGATAGGCCCGCTACTTTGTGATCAAATCGTTCACTGAGGACGACGTTCAAAAGTCGCTCAAGCACGAGATCTGGAGCAGTACCAATTTTGGCAACCAGAGGTTGGACAAGGCGTTCAGCGAGGCCAAGGGTCCTGTGTACCTGTTCTTTTCCGTCAACGGATCGTGAGTGGCGGCTGAACTTCGATCGCGGTGTTGTCATGAGCTGATAGTGTCGGCTTGGTGCTTGTAGAGGTCACTTTTGCGGAATGGCGCAATTACTCAGTGGTGTGAACTACAACGAGTCCTCGACGGTTTGGGCGCAGAATAAATGGAAGGGAATCATGAAATTGAAATGGATCTTTGTCAAGGACATTCCTAATGCGTACGTGATCCGCCGTGAACTCGATCGGCAGCGTGCTTTGACTGATTATCGGCTGGACCTTTTACATTGGTCTTGACAGCGTCCTGCGACATATTCGATTGCTCAACATGCCCGAGCAGAAGCCGATCACCAACTCGCGTGACACGCAAGAACTCTTGAGAGATGCCGGAGTCGAGGTGATGAGGATCATGTCGACCTATCGGGAAAAGACGAGCTTGCTGCACGATTACGGATATTACGAGGTCAGTCCAAACAAGCAAGATGTACAAGATGCCTTATTGATCTGTGTCGCGTGGGTCTTTGGTTGCTCTCAGATGCAAGCTGCCGAACGAGCTAAACAAATGACAAACTCACCGGATCCGCAAGGCAACCCTCGAGAACCCGCACACCACCACCATCAATTATCCAACCCGGGTCCACCTCCAATCATCGTCCCGACCATCCAGCGTAGTCCGCCGACCGCCGGGTTCGTCAAGACCTTCAATCCTACCGGACCTCCTTCGATTACGAATACACGACGATTCGCCGTGACGAGCCGGGGCGCGCCACAGGCTCAACCTCAGGCTCAGACTTATGGCATGAACAACAATGGCAATAACGGCAATAACGGTGGTTATCATCAACATAATGCTTCAGGATCTTTCTCGATTATCGGAGCGAGGTCATGAACCTTGTTCCCTTTTACCGTATGACGACTGAACGACGGACGCGCGGGAGGAGCTGCCCTTCTTGCCCAATTGTTTATTCCCTTTCGACTATCTTTGCCTCTTGCTTGCAACTTATCACTTCGAAGAGGGTAACCAAAAACCTTTCATGCTTGTACCACTATCGGTCCTGAGGCGTATCACTAGCCACTAGTGATCAGGGTGCTTCGGTTCTATATCTTGTACGACACTAGCAACGCAGACGCGGGTTTTGGCACACGCGCTATATAATCATGATTTATTTAGTCGCCATGATCGAGCATGAGCTAGGAGTTGGGACATACCGTGACTGCCACGTTCCGCCCGGATGTGAGGAGGACGAAGGCGTACCGGAGTTTGCGCTTGATTTCTTGATCGCTAAGATTCAAGCTTTCCGGGGTAGTCGAGCTGACGGCCTCGCTGGTCGTCGTACAGCCGGGGAACTACACTGCCGGTCCCAACGCGACCTCGACGTGACGCGACGCGACCTACCCGTCGAAATGGAAGGTTGTTATCGATCAAGGTTTCCATCCTTCCCGCTCTTTCCCGTGCCACCCTGCTCTGTGAATGCGCCGTCGCAGATAGTTCCGCGCTAGATGACGCAACGTGGCTACCCATCTCTCGGTACTTTTTATGGTTTGATCCGTGCCTTTCTGATGGGAGAGGGCGGAATCCATCCGAGGAGTTGATCGAGCGGGGATCGATTGCATGCATTGCATGCTACCCCGGCTATTCTGGAGGCTCTTTTCCTCTTTTGAGCCTCGATGTGCTCGATAGATACAGCAAGAAGACTAGGGGGACCGCAGAGTCATCGATGTTTTGCACGAACAACCCCACCTGATTTTCTTACCTGATAAAGTTCGCTCGACCTAAACAAAAGAGCACAAACGACAACCATAACAAGAAATCCCGCCAGCGAGGAGCACGACCGCACAGTCTACAAGCCGGATCGACATAACGAAAAGAAGGATCTCAAGCAACACCCATACTGCAGATCTGCAGATCGCCTTCGATCCACTTCTTGCCCAAAACAAGCAGACGAAACCAAGATAATCCGCGGTTTTACTTGCACCAATCCGCTCGAACATTCGTCTCTCCCTATACAACTCGCACGATCCCCGAACACGAACGAGATTTAAGACAGGAACCTAGACGGGACCTAACTCTTCTGTCCTACTCCAACGTAATATCGAAAACCATTTCCCATCGAGATGCCCTTCTCCCACCCGATGCTCGGCAAACGAGCCCCCTTCATCGCACTGCCGGACGCCAATGGAAACCTGTACGAACTTCCTGTCGGGCAGAAGGTGAGCTGACCTATTCCGCACCTTTCAATGAAACGATTGGTCGTGGAAAGCTTGTCTGATCGTTATCTTGTTTCTTTGCTCGTATCGCCATGCAGGCCATCGCCCTTTACGTATTTCCTCGCGCAGGTAGCCCCGTCTGCACAAAAGAGGTGAGTGTCTCGACTCTTCAATCCGTTATAGAGGTTGGGCCGAACTCTGATGGTGCGCTACATGAATCACACGATATTATGTCGTATTGCAGGCCTGCGCATTCAACGAGGCGAGGGATCTCAACCCGGTCTTCTCGTATCTGAACAAGTACGATTTCGAAATCATCGGGATCTCTGGAGGTGCGTCATCGGTTTGACAATATTTTGGCTGCTATGACGTACTGAAGCCCTTGGTCAAAAATGCCCCCCTTCCGGAAATGTAGACCCGATCTCGCGGCAACACAAGTTTGTCCAGAATCACAACCTGAACCATGTGGTCTTGAGCGATACGTCTGGGGAAGCACGACGAGCTTATGGAGTGACCAAGGTGCTCGGGTTCATTCCAGGTGAGCGCCTTTACTTCCTTGTCGTGCTGCATCCGAGCTGACCTTCTACGATTTCGCTGCTGCCATATGCTAACCCCCTCGTATCTCGTTCCTTCTCACTTCGGTATCGTCAGGTCGAGAGACGTTCTTTATCGGTCGAGACGGGATCATCAAGGGCGTATGCACCAAACAGCTGAACCACAAGGCTCACCTGGCGCTGATCGAGTCGTGCTTGAGGGTGGAAACTGAGGTCATGGAGAACATGTGAAACGTAGCGGGAAGGTTCACTCAGTTATCGGTTAGAATTGAAAGCGAAGGGTAAAGGATGGCGGTTTTTGGGTCTTATGAACGATATCGGCCCGAGTCTAGTGTCATTTTGGGAAACGTGCGTCAAGCAGATGAATATTGAGAACCGTTGTACTTAGCATAGCGATAACTAATTGCAATCTATTATACCTCATGTCCGCCTTGATCCCGACACTTGCGTCCTGCTCTTAGGCCTGTCAAGGCTTGATCACTGTAAAGGTTGCTGACGATGATAGCAGGCAACCATCGCAGAGCTTTGAATTATCTTGTCGCTTGTCGGTCATGTTCGGCTTATCGGAACTAACAACTGCCCGATGGAAGCCCTCAGGTGTCGCCAAAGACTTCAACTTGCCGAAGGTCAGGACGGCGGAACCTCGTGAAACGTTTCCTTCCGTAGTTCCTCGGTATGGTATGTGATTGTAGATTTTCACGTTGACTGCGACCAAGACATGTAGACACGGCAGAACATTCTCCCGGTATTTCCCTGTTTATGTGATCGCGATCCATTGTCAATGACATCATGGTCTGACGCGAGCATGGATAGATTTAGTGTTGGTTTGCATACTACCTTCCTCTATTTGTACTCCCTGACAGTCCCGCTGACTTTCTATCGTTTGCGCGTGATGCCGAGACTCACAAAGGAATACCATGATGACGTCGCTGGCCAAGATCAAAGAACGTTGGCGACATGGAACCCTTGGAAAAGCGCTATATGTATATGAGTAGGTGTAGTTCACCGTTCCAATGTCTTGTTGGTCACGTGCTTGTAACAGCTCATCATCGATCCATCGATCGCAACAACCCAGCACACCCGAGGTTTCACCATGTCGTCGATTCGACTGACCGATGCACCTGCAGAATCCATGAGCCACAACGCAAACGCTACAGAGCCTACGAACGGGGCCGCCAGTACTCGATCCGCCTCTGTGGCCTCTACCAACTCAATACGGTCTGTCACGCCATCGGAAGCAAACGCAGAGGTCGGAACCTCCCAGGATTCTTCTCAAGGAGGAGGAGATCTTCCGAGGAATCCCGTCGAGGCTGCGTTGACGGAGAACGGCTACTTTGAATGTGGCTGGGACAAAGTTCCCTTCGGTCTACAAGTAGTCGTGGCGGAGTCGGCGGATCCTATCACAGCTGCTCGAAACCAGATGATGACTCCTGTCTCGGGCAAGGTTTCCAAGGGAGCGCATGAGACCGTTGATGCCCTTGACCAGAAACTGTCACTTGACAGTCGTGTGATTGTATTGGGGGCAGGGATGGCATACGTGCGCCGTGACACTGCTGACTTCATCTTGGTCGCCGCAACCGCTCCTGGCGCGGTCTACCTGATGTACTTGAACAAGTCGATCTCGAAACACGCTTACACGGTCTTCAAGAAGGGGCTTCTGGACGATTCTTCACCGGACGATATGGATCTGCATGTGGCGCTCGAGATCCTTCGAGCTGCTTGCGATGCATCCCAGACCGAAGCATGATGACTCGGACCGTATACCTATATTTCCCTTTCGTTTTCTTGTACATCGTGAGCAACGTCTTAGCAGTACCCGCAGATCGGTGGGGCTTCAAGCGCTAGTCATTGCATTTCTCGTCCTTGTTTCACATCGCATATGGTTGACCTCGATCCGCGCGCCGCATGCCCTCCGGGTCAGATCAGTGTCAAGGGCTGATGATTCGCCATCCAATGATATGTCAGAGGCGACACATCAAGGCAAGGCGACTCCCGACGAACATGTCCAGATACGCTTCACTAGTGTTACACCCATTGTTATCTGTTGAAGACATCACGCGACTTCGCGTCACCATAGACCGTTGAAATGGGGGGCTGTATCATCCCTCTGAATCATGTTGACCCCTGAAGAAGCGTGTTTGAGAGCTTGAAAGGAGAGCATGCATCTCGTCACTCCGTCAGACCAAGAACGCTGCATGCCTTACTTCTCGGCTAGATACTGGGACATATAAGAGGGGGCCAAGTGAACATCGATTCCGTTCCATCTGGCCTGGCCCGATGCGTCACACTTCTTCGTTCGTTCAAGCTCAATTTACATCTGCAGGACACACTCCGCCCATCCCGTCTTTTTAACATGCCGCTTGACAAGTCACTCAAAGATCAACAGCCACCGGCTACGTCGACTGAGACGGGATCTCGAGAAACCGCTCCTCCAACCACCTCTCTGTTTGAAGGAACCGAACACGCCGGGACGGAAGTTGCTGGCTCAGACAAGACTGAGCATGCAAATTCCGGACAGTCCAGCTACCGTGTATTTAACCGTGCTTACCCTCTCAACCCGCCACCAAAAGAGGAAAAATCATTCACGGATGATCTCGCGGAGGAAGTGTTGCCCAATCTGGGTTTTACAAAACTCGAGGACCCACCTGCAGTCTTGAGTACGGACGTGGGGCTCTACGGTCAGGACCAATCGCTCGTATCCAGGAACGGTGCTCCGAGACGATACGGCACATCCACATACTGGTGCTCTGGATACGACGAATGTGAAGATAGTAGCCTCATGTTCATTCTAGTTGCTCGGCACGAAGAGGTAATTGCTCATCCAAGCAAGTCCGGGCCACAGCTACACGTGTATTTCTCGAGGCGGCATCTCAACAGTATCGAAGATTATGCGGATCAGGTAGCCCGGTTGGGTGTCTTGAGAAAGGAGATTCTCGATGAGTATAAGAGTCAGGCTGCATCCCAGAATGAAGTCTCTAGCCCGTCTTGCACTTGATTTGTACTCGTTCTTATGCATACCTCCTCATGGTGTTTCATCCCATTCGAATGTTTCATGAATCATTCGACTCGCGCGCCAGCGATGCATGACCCGATGACCCGCCGATGTCAGCCAAGACTTTCTGGAAATCCTTCATAGATCATAGACCAAAGTGGAGGTACATGCGCGGATGAGCACGAGGGCACTCTCACATCATTCTTAAGCTCCTTGCTCGAGGACGATCGATCCGAGGGGATGTAGGGTGTAAGACGATCCTCCTGTTCCCTCCCCCGTGGATCGGCCATGTCCGGGCGGGATCATAAAGGGGGACGACCTCACAATCCGTCACCCTCGCTCGTCCTCTTATCTTGACAGACAGCCACCCTCGACATTCTAGACAAAGGGGATCAATGCATCACGACACACAACACAAGACAGGCAGAAAATCAGCCCGAAGATAAATCAGAGCCAGGATCTGACTCGAACCGACGCCTTTCAGGATGCCGGGAACCAATTCGGAGATCTCACGACCTGCGGTCATACGAACGAGTCCTGTAACTCGACCTCTTTCCACCTGCATCGATCACGGACGACACCACGACATCGATCGACTCATCATGTCACCCTCAACCGATATCCTGTTCTATGATCCTCGTGCCGCTCATCCACCTGGAGTGAGCACCGCTACGGTCGAGCGATACACGACGCATAAACGCCGGATCAGTAGCAGTGCTCGGTCCGTAGTTTCCCTCGGTCGGTCAGGTTTCGATGAGCATAACGATGGAGCTCTGGAGCGAGAGAGAAATAAGCATACCACAAGTCTGTATATCCAGACCCCCAAGTTTACTGCTCCGGTTACGATACCTCAGGGTAGGGTCGTCTCTGGCATCGACGAAAAGATGGTCGTTCCCGACTCAGTCAGTCATGGGGGCATCTTCGGCGTGTTCCCCTTCTCTAAGCTGACCTCGCTCCTGTCCCTTATGATACAGGTTCCTCCCGGACTACAATCATGCGCTTCGACGGATAAAGAGTTCCTCTTACCGTTGTTCGACAACGGGGACCGATCACGACAGAAATCGCCCTTCCCTTTCTCATCCTTATCCTGGGCATCGACCTTGAAGACGACCCTCATCGGCCTGGTCTTCCTACTCGGCGTGTTACAATTCCTCCTCAACAATCCCCTCTACTCGACATCATCCACTCGAAAGCAATCATCCGTGTTTCAACGACAAGAACGGGAGTTTGCTAGGATCGCTCAGAGGTGTCATGGTCTTCCTGGGATCACCGCTCCGACCTACCTCGACCGGCTCGATTCGCTCCAAAAGACTTTGAACAAGCTTAAAGAGCAGGACGAAGGTCGACGTCAGATCTGGATGTCAGAGCCTTCCGCAACGTCGGCTTATTTCACGTCAATCTCCAAATCCGAATGGAGCCTCTCCGAACGACCTTTCCTCTTCATGGTCGAATCCTCTCATGAGGGCAATTCGGGGGCGAACCTAAAGATCTTTACCCCGCACTTTGAGGAAGATCGAGCGAGGATCTTGCCCCTGTTCGGGATCCCTGCGAAACAACCCCCTGCAGCTTGGATGTTGGAGAGGAAACAGAGCGCGGTGGAGACCGTCGTCAAAGGCGATTCGACGTACACTATCGAATACATCGCTTGGCAGGAAGACGAATCCCCTTATGCCGTTCTCGCGCAGCACATCGAGTCGTCTTCTGGGCTCAGTGAGGAGGACTTCAAGAGCGAGACTGTACAGATCCACCTCGATCCGGGCGTCAGGGCGTTCGTCTCGTCTGGAATCGCACACGAGTTTGACTCTCGGAAACATTACGGCGTCTACCTGGACGTAGCGGATCCGAAGATCTCGAGTCTACGAGAGAGGAAGAGCGCTGAAGAGATCGAGTTGCTAGAATGTGCCAATCATGTGAGTTCACAGCGCTCAAACACTCAGATACATGTTGTCAAGTAAACTCATTTCGTTTGCTATATGTACAGTTCACACTACAAGCTATCAGGAGAACCCGCGAGACGATCGAAATTGGGATGACCGAGACCAAGGTCGGATCGATCCTGCGGGAAGAGTTTGCGGCTCTGGGTATGCCCGACGGTGAAGGATTGGTTCTCTTCGGAGGTGAGTGAAATCACCCTCGCACCTCCGCCTGATCTGTGCCGGTGCTGATAGATGAGATTGGTTCTGCTCAGAAAACGCGGCATTACCCCACGGAAGCGGGACGGACAGGGTTTTGACCGATAGAGATTTTATCTTGATCGATGCTGGCGGTACCTTCAAAGGTTACGTTGCCGATGTCACCAGGGTAAGTCGTCTGGTAGCATTTCACATGTCCTATACATAGCTAAATTGATTCGACCTACATCAGACATTTGCCTTGAAAGACACCCGTCTTAGTTTCAAACAAATGCAACTATGGCATACCGTACACTCTGCTCAAGGGGCGGCCTTGGATGCGGCTGTCAAGCACGGAGCTACGGGACACAGTATCGACGAGGCCGCTCGAAAGCTGATCCGCGACCGAGGTTCCTCGGCAGAAGAGAAGAACGGGTTGACACATCGTCTCGGTGAGCAAGGGTGTCCTGTTTCAAAATTGGGTTTGCTTATTGAGGTGGAGTGTCATGACTGTTCTTAGGTCACGGCGTCGGTCTGGAAGGTCACGAATCGCCCTACCTAGTCGGCTCGAATTACGACGAAGTGGTACCTGGAAACACCTTTTCGAACGAGCCTGGCATCTACATCGTTGGCCAAGTTGGGGTCAGGTTGGAGGACTGCTGGTACCTGCACGAAGACGCCGAAGGAAAGCGCACCGCACGCATGTTGACAGGACCGGCTGTTAGCCCTTTGATCTTGTAGATGACTGCTTGTATAGATGAGATGAGATTGACGTTTCCGCTATGACGTATCTTTCGCTAGTCACGTGATCATTGTCATCTCCCGATCGCCGATCGAGCTTGTGTGCGGTTTGGTCCAGCTTGGTCAAAGTCACTTAGAGCCCTACTACTGCGTCGGCGACTCTGCCATTCATCGCTTGTGTTCCTTCATATACTTTGAGATAATTGCCAACAACTTCATAATGCCTGGAGCACCCATACCGCGAAACCCCTTGATCTTGACGCTCACGCTGGACAAGGCGAGCCATGCCTTCCTGACCAACTTGCGATCGAAATACTTTCCCCCATCGAGAAACTTCCTTTCGGCACACGTCACTCTTTTCCACGCCATCCCTCCTCATCGGATCAACGAACTCAATCAACACCTGAATCACATTTGCGCTACGACGGGAGGATGGGACGTGTTCATTGGGGAACCGAAAGCGATGGGAAAACGCGGGGTGCTGGTGAACGTCAGGGAGCGGCCGTCGGCGACGGTAGAGAACATTCATCATGAGCTTCTGACTTCGCTCAACCGAGGAGTCAAGAGCAACGATGATCGTCTTACCGATCAGGATGCTCGGCCTTTAGGGAAACCCCATGTCACCATCTTGAACAAGGCCAAAGACGAGGAGCAAGTAGACAAGTGCTTGCAGGAAGTGCTCAAGGTGTTCGAGGAGATGAAACAGCCGGGCCAGAAGAATGGCCAACAGGTCGGTCGAGCGATAGGATTCGAGTTGTGAGTACTGGGTAGGGAGAGTGAAATTAGTTCCGAAGCTGATTTCAAGCTGTTCAGGTGGGAGTACATGGGTGGGCCTTGGAAACCGCTCAAGGCCTACTGGCTGAAGGGAGAAGAACAACATCCGGAAAACGAAGCTGCTAAGCCTCCCAACTAGGTTGACCATGTATAATCTGTTGCTTGCAACCAGGAGAACTGTATCTATAATTCAGAAGGCGGTGCCGGCAATCACACTACTCGTGACGAGTCTCCCTATTCTCCGTTGGCTTTCCCACAATCGCTTCACCGCGTCCATTCCTTCATTGGACCCGTCGCTGCTCTCCTTGAGGCGTGATCTCTTGGTCTCGAGGCTCAAGAGTCCTTCTTCTGCGTCTTGCTCGACAAGGTCACACAGCTCTATGAGGGAATTCTTGACGTTCGTTTCGATGTCCGCGGACATGGCTTCCTTCACGCCAGAGAGCGTATCCAACCATTCCGCCAATGCCAGCGAGTACGACGCGGCGGGGAAGTATGGCTGTTCGACGTAAGCGTCGACAGTCTTGGCCGGGATGGGCGTATGCAGCAATCTTAGAGCTGGCAACAGCCGGTGTGAAGGTTGCGCTGGCGCAGGATGTGTATGCAACGTATAATCACTGATGTTACCACAATCTGTCAGCGGACCTTACTCGCCACCCGTTCATGCAACATCGAACATCCTCAATTACTCACCCAAGGTATCCCTGCATATCGAGCAACTCGTGTTTCGCCCGTCGACCCTCACGGTCGACCTTGAGCCATAATCTATCAACCAGCTGATCAACCGACACGGCCGCATGCGGATTCCCTCCGAGCTCGACCCCCTTGCTCATTTTGGTATCATCGTCGGATTCCCCGAATTCACCGGGAAAGAAGGGTACAAAGCCGTATTCCGTGAAGAGGGTCTCATCATCATGCCCTCCATAGGGAAAGAAGACCTCTTCGTCCTTCTTGATCCACCGTTCCCCATTGTTGATCTCTACACTGGGAGATTCCTCGTCCCCCTTGGGCTTTGGAGCGACCAAGTGGAGCGAACGAGCGGACCAGGGGGCATCTGCGACCGAGATGACATCCGCTTTGACCTTTACCGATGGGTCGGAGAGGGGAATGACCGGAGGCGTTCCTGCGTCGGAACTGTCGTATCTGGAAGACGAATCCGACATGTTGGCGTCCGCCTTCGAACGCTTCTTTTCCGGTTTGTCCTTCGGTCGTTTCGTTTTCGTTTTAGCGGGAGGAGTGATGGTCCGGACGAGCGCGATATTGGTAGCGAGACACGCTTTACGATAATTTGTATGACAGTGATTCGCGAAATCCAAAACCGGTGCCATGGTATGGTTTTGTTGTTCCGCGTCGAGGTCCTCCTTCTTGAGCCGGTAATTCGCTTGTGGTTTTATTGTATGGGACGCGATGTTTAGGGGAAGGTAGAAAGTTCGGGTGTTCACTGGGTGATACGAAACGCAGTTCACTCAACACCTCTTGCAACTACACAGGGCATGACGGCAAGCATCCCGAGCTCACCATTCAACCATCCCCAGAGAAAGTCCTCTTCCACGACCTCTTCCCATGCCCTAACCCAATCGTGCGCCGGCTCCGCTCCGGCTTTCTGAGCAAGATCTTGCATGGCCTGGACCACTCTCTCTTTATCCCTCTCGTATCGCCTCGAGACATCTTCCAACTTGGTCTTGACGACGGGCGGAAGATGATCCCTCGCGAGATCACGAAGCGTAGTCCATGTCAGATCCTCGCTGGTGCCTGGCGAGTCCATCGTACCCGAGGGGTCGGCGTTGCTAGCAGACACGGATTGACGTAAGGGTATCCGGCCGGCAGTTGGAGAGACTGTCCATGTTAGCGGATGCCAATCTCGGAAACTCTCGGGAAGCGTGCGTAGGTAAGGTAGCCAGGGCGAGTTTGAGGCAGTCCGTCTTGTCGGGACGGGTCGATATAGCGCCAGGTATAAACTCAGCACTTGGGTTGTGGTCAAGTTAAGACTGCCAGCATCCGTCCGGGCAGAGACCGACCCGTTCGCAGCTGCAGGCGGGCTGGAGGATTGTATACTGGATCCTCTAGAGTTGTCGGACAAACCGACTGATGCTGCTTTTTGACGCTTTCCTCCTTCCCTCGGGACCGTATGGATGAGTCGACCTGACGTTGTCCGGCCGTTACCCGGGCGGATGGATCGTGCTTGAGGGATGACGTCCTTGGGAAAAATCCCTTGTGGAAGGCCATTGGGATGTTGAGCATAGATGTTGCGTGGGTGTAATAGCGCAGAAGGTGGTAACCTCAGGAGTGTCGTTTCAGGCTGTATGATTCAGGCGAGGTCTGGGTCAGATGGTTTAGCAATGCATTTGCTAGTTGCCTGACGGAAGAGCGTTCTGACTCACCGAGATATCCTCGCTCGCAAACAATCCTCGTCCAGCTCCTATGAACCAGGGGGAAGACGAAAAACTCAGCTCTAGATCTGACTTGAGCTGCGAGAGAGCTCACCTGGGACGTCTTTCCATTCGACCTTGAGGTCCGAGCTGTTCCAGCCGTGCTTTTCGTCCATCCACGTTAGGAGAGCTCGCCAGCTCTCTTCGAGATCGGCCATGGCGGCAGGCAAATACCCTGGGGTACCTTGCAGATTCCTGTGTAACCTCTATACCACGATGCCGATGAAAGTACAGAGTCACAGAAGTGCTTGCAGAGTAAAACTAGTTTGTTAGGGAAAAAGTTGTTGGTCGGTCGACGTTCTCGCTGCATCTTCCCCCGCGCAAGTTGCCCGACCTCGGTCCGATCCTATCCATCCATCCATCCTACCTACCTACTACTCATGTCTAAGCTACTTCGCATCATCTCATCCTATCTCATCCCTTCACAGAGCACTCTAGGAGGATTAAGTGGGCGAATCTACCCCCCGAATAGACACAGGTTCCTCTGCCGGTAACAGCCAACGCAGCGGCCCAACATGGCATTCGCTCCTTCCCCACGGCATACCCTAGCGAACCCTTCTCAGAACCCTTCACCCCTCTCTCCCCTATCACCAGCCACCAGCATCACTCCACTACCTCTCAGCGGGGGACAGAATTTCACTCGTCCTGGTGGTCCATCTCGACGCAAGTCTTCCGGCCAGACGATCCACACCCTCGGAAACAAGCGGAACAAGGCTTATTCGCAGCATCATCATGCTGCCAGCACAATGTCCGGACCCGCTGGTAGGAGGAGCAATTCGCAACCGCAATACCTGTCTTCGGCTCCGGGAGGCATGACGGGGAAGGACGGGCAGTGGGCTACGATGGATCCAGACGAGGTCTTTCGGAGGCTAAACGTCAAGGAGGTGAAGAAGGTCGAAGGGTTGCTTCGAGCGAGCGCTGCTGGAAAGCAGGGAGAACTGAGGAATATGGTCAGGTATGCCTTGAGAAGCGATCTATCGAGCTCTAGAATGTCTCTTAACGCTCGTCTGTAATCTCTTTCTCACTCAAAGCGAGAGGTACCGAGATCTCCTGCTCTCAACCTCCCAAATCTCACAACTTCGAGACTCTTCCCTCCGCCTTTCTACCACTCTCAAACACATCGAAAGCCTATGCGCCAGCCCCAAGACTATCGGCACGAATGGGAATGGACAGGTGGATGTCTCCGGTGACAATGAAGCGGGAGAGAAAAAGGAACGGAAGACGGATGTCCCAGCGAGGTTGAAGTTGGTAGGAGCGGAGGATAAAGAGGCTGGTAAGTCTGCCTATAAGCTGCATTCTCGAAAGCAAAGTGTCCATAATTTGAATGGACATTCTGGAATCGCTATCAGACGTCAAGAACCAACTTCCTACCGCTGCTTCGGTCAAGCTTCTTCTCGATGTGCCTGAAGGTCAGTCCCGTTCCTGCGTCGACAACCTCACCTTAAGCTGACCCGGAAGTGATACATCGCGTGTAGCTCTGTATTCGTACCTGGCAGGGAAACAATTCCTCGAAGCTGCATATCTGTGGTTGCTGACAAGAGTCGTCAAAGAGGAGCTTGTCAGCTCTTCTGGCGCCGAGTCGGATGAGAAGGGCTCTACTAATCAGGTTGGTATCGCCTTCTATATTTATGTGCTTGCTAACGGAATGGTGCTGACCAGAGTGTTTGGCTTACAACGACAGACCTTTCTGCCATTAGTACAAAAGCAGTGGGAGATTCTCCTTCCTCTTCGTGGTCAGATTGTCGAAAGGGCGACGACCTCGCTTCGGGATCGGGCTGTCGAGCTGGAGCCGAAAGAAGCGCAGAACGTAAGCAATCGAGCTACCGAGCTATTGACGCCGGCTCTTTTCGAGCTAAAGGCTCGCCTTACGAACAGGCACTGGCAAATGCGCTTCTGGCGATTCTACTTCTCGAAGCCCATAACAACCCTTTACCGGAGATCCTGGACATCTTCCTAGCCCAACGTGCCAAATCTCTCCAAGATATCCATACCGGCGCTGTGCAGGGCCGAACGAGTGCTGTCGGGTTCACCTTTGGACGTTCGACTGAACGAGCTGGACGATCCCCCATCACCCCTCGATCTGCGTTACCAGAGGAAACCGGCCGCAAGAACAGGCACGCGAGGAAAGATTCCCGTCTGAACGCTGCCGAGATGTTACGTTCGCTTTCTCCCGCCCCTCGGAGGCTGGAGAGGTCGAACAGCGGTTCGTCGGCCAAGGGTGAAGATGGTACTGCTCGGAAGGCGAAAGCGAAAGAGAGGAAGAGATTGGCGGAACAAGCGAGAGCTAGCAAGATCTTTGAGGACAGCGTCAAGCTGCTTTGGGAGACTGTCGTCACCGCTCGAGCAGTAATCTTATCTTCAAACGGCGAATCGATGCTCGAGACCTTGATGCAGCGTATACAAACGCCGGGCGACGACAACGGAGGAGAGGTGATCGGAGCGGGGGGTGTTTCTGCTGCAAGCCTATTACGAGCGATGCCTTCGTCGCAGATCTTGCAAGCGTACCTTCCGGCACCTATCAAAAACTTCTCACCTTTTATCGGAAGTATAGGAGAAGGTACCGACAAGTCGGAACTTCAAACCGCGCTAGATACTTGGTTTGAGCAAAGCTTGAAGCGGTTGGAATCACAAGCCAAAGATTGGCTAGGAGGTCTCGAGACTGTGACAGACGTCTGGCAAGTCAAGCGGCAATTCTCGACGGTATTGACTGGATTAAGGAGTCTGGAGGAGAACAAGCTCAGCAGCGAAGAGTTGGATCGGTTGAGCCATGCTCTGTCAACGGCTTTCGTCGATCGCGCTCGGAGTATATGGCAGAATCGGCTCGATGCTACCGCTCATGCGCTGGAGGATGGACTGCAGGACGATATAGACTTGTTGATGGCAGGAAACAACAACGCTGCGCAAGGTAAGCAATTATTTGCCGATGCCACGCGACTTGAACTAAGGACTACTTGCTTTTCGTAGACCTACATCCCTCCCTGTCCTTCTTCGCGCCTATCACATTCCCTGATCATAGATCGGTCAACTCTTCTTTCACTTCGACGGAGCTACCAGCATTCACATCAACCCTTAAGAAGCGCTTGCATAGCAGAACACCTATTCTTGACCGACGGCTGGCCGAGCTGGAACGCATGGCGCTTGAAATCAGATCCGATTTGCGGTCTTTGAAGGAGGACCCCGAAGACGCTGTATTGCTCGACCGTTACCGGAAATCAGCAACGCAGACCGCTCAGGGCATTGTCAAAGACATATCAAAATCCCTCGAGATGGTCCGGCAACACAGTGGGGTCGATGCCGATCGTGCTAGTACTTGCTTGTTCATCGGTCGACTGGCTCTCGCTCTGATGACTCAGTCCAAGGCGATGTCTGTACTATTGCTTAACAAGCGAGCAGTCGGGGGTACGTTGGGACCACACACAGATATGCAATCTCGGGACCGCTGAAGCAGGTCTCTCACATGCTTACAGATGTCGCTTCAGCTCTGGATTCCGTGTATATGGCGTCCCTGACCGAGTGGAAAGAGAGAACAGTACAAGACGGACTTGACGTGTTCGCTGAAGCGATCACTGGATCTGTGCCTGAGACTCGCAGTGTCGGTACGTTCGAGGAGGCTATATCGCGGCCCGAACAATCGAGCTGATCGAACACGACCTCCATAGATCTCGGCAATGGTGTGATCTTCGCCCTGCAAGAAATGGCAACGGCGCTCTTTGATAGTGGGCTTCCGATTGAATATCGCTCAGCGGCCACTGAAGATGTGTGCAAAGACTTCGGTAGCAGAGCAATCAAGTTGGCAAAAGACAAACAGATGGACTTGCCCGCAGATCAGCGTTCTATGCTGGAAGCAATCGCGAGTGGCGCTCAAGCTGGATTATCCGTACGTTAGAGATCCATCTAGGCCCCAGAGTCGTTCAGCCTCTGACTGATCGTCTTGTTGCTCCCACGCAGGAGGTTGCGGGCAACGAATTGCGCAAAACCCAGCTGTTGTTATATCCTGCCACTAGCTATATAAAAGCTCATTCGGGGAAGCCAAGCGATGCTCGATATGCTGAACTGTTACCCCTTGGCATTCCCAAGACGAATCACGAATACGTATCGCCCGTCCCCCTTGTCAAGCCGTCTGCACGGTTCAGCATGTTGTCAATCGTGTAGATACAATCGTCATGGTGTCGTCAATTCGTTCGTGGGCTTCGATATCCCGGAAGGGCATACAAAGGCGTCTCGTGATTTAGTCTAGTGTCCGGTCATCATGGCTGAGCCGGGGAGGCGTTGTGACCATTGACAATAGGGTTCATGCTCGATTGCACAGGATGCAGCGGGACCGCCTGGGACCCGGTCAAGCCAGCTCTTGCAGAAGCCATTCTGGCTGACAGCTGGCTCTGTCCGGGAAGCTTAAGCGTAATTTTGGTAGGCGTTGACCCACTTTTCGCTAGTGACGAACTGCCTGCTGAAGCTTGGCGGTCATGTCCAGGGTTGGCATAAGCCTGCAAAGGCCCGACCGTCACTGCCTGAGGCGAATCCAGTCTGCCCTGAGCTGCGCTGGACACCGACTTTCCAACGGTCCGCCCTTCCTGTGAACCTTGCGGAGCTGCAGCGGAGATGATCCGCTGCTTCGATGGGCTTTGCCTCGCTGGGCCCAGCGTCAAGGCAGCTTGCGATATCGTGCGTTTAGCCGGCGTGACCACGTTGGTACTGCTGACCCGCTGCATCGACTGTAGTAGATTAGCAGAGTCCACGTGCATGTATCTGATGACCATGCGAAGCTTACCGATGCGGGTGCAGCGGCCGTCCCCCTCGCCAGAACCCCGTTCTCCGAGGGCTGCAGTATGGGTTCGGGCAGTTTCTCCGGTAGTGCAGGCGCGATCTTCCGGAGCCTGGTGACAGGGCGTGAAGCTCTCTGTGCAGGCAGGGCTAGCCCAGATGCTGTAGCTGAGCTGGAAATGGCAGTTTGCCTGGGGTCGGGTTGATTTGGTAGAACCTGTACCGAATGAACGGATTTTGTGGGTAGTGCCGGTTGTGATATTTGCATTGATTCCTTTGGTTGCGCCAATTCTACAGGCTGCGATGTCGCCGCCGCTGTAAGCGGCTCGGACAATGACTCCGCCTCAAGGATATCTTGCAAAGAGAGGGTAGGATCTAGATCCATCCAAGGGATGTCAACTGAGCCAGCCGACGGCTGATCAGGAAACAAGATCGATATGTCTTCGTCCCCGAGGATTGGCGCTGCTGGTTGCGCTTGGATAGGCAGGTCGATCTGCGCTTCAAGCTTGGGAGGTGAAGCGGGGGGATCATCCATGACCGTATCCAAGTCTGGCATGCTAGGTGGCTGGGGTTCCTCACCGCGCGATTCTGCCTGCGCTACCTCTTCTGGCGTCTTGACTTCAATGGGTTCTTCAATGACTTCAATGACGGGTTTTTCCACGACAGGTTGTTCCGTGACAGGTTGTTCCTCGACAGGTTGTTCTACGACAGGTTGTTCCACGACAGGTTGTTCCTCGACAGGTTGTTTCTCGACAGGTTGTTCCACGACTAGTTGTTCCACGACAAGTGTTCCTTTGATAGGTGCTTCGACAACATGTTGTTCCACTTTGGATTCTTCTACGATGAGTTCGTCCGCGACAGATTCCTCCGCTTCTGGTGAGACGCTCGCGGGCCTTGATGATTGAGCAAAACGTGGGACTGATTGGTCGTCGTCGTCTACCCGCTCCGTATCACCTAACGAAGGATTGGCCACGAGCGCAGTTTCGCTCGTCAACTCATCGTCGGGACCGTTCAACCGCTGCTGAGATCTAGTCAACTCGAGCAAGCCACGTATCACCGGTTCTAGATCGGCATCGGTCATCTCGTTCAGACCGTCCGTTGGCAACGGTTTGTCCCGTTCGCTGATGGGACTTGAAGGAGCAGTAGACAGTGGCGACTGTCCCCCAAAAATAAATTCAGCGGAATGCTTGCCTTCGGCAGAAGCAGCTTCGTTGGATCTGTTATCGCAAAGGGGTAAGATACTGTGGCAGACAACATCCGAAAAATATCAATCACTCACTTGCCGATCTTGCTCCAGAAATCCAGATGAATGATCCTCTCGGGAATCTTGTAACGTTTACCGTTGATATACGCGTTCTCATACTCGATGCGCTTGCGCTCGCCTTCTGGATCGAGGATCTCGATGATCCCATTGTTCTTCACGCCCGGGCGAGTCACTAGCTCCTCGGTCATGCCCGTCTTCAAAGTCCGCTTCTTGGGCTTCAGTTCCGGAGTCATCCAAACGTCAGCATCCAAGTGTTATCGCCACCACAATAAGCCGCTCACAAGAAGAGATTGGGCGTGATTAGGACACATCCATTTCCGCATCGGATGTGGCATCGTCGGAGGTGGCGGATCCAGGCAATCTAGATGCCAGTGCAACGAGCAATAGTCACAAGAGAGTATCCTCCTCCCCATAGCTACTCCTGCAGCCACACCTGGGCCCGTCGGTGCGGCAGAGCCCTTGCACCGGAAACAAGTGATAGTCTTGCCCTTTGATTTGAGCTTGTATACATCCTTCTCCTCGGGAAATCCAGAGCGGCTATCAATACGAAATCAGTTTGCGGTCATGCAGAGAGACGATGAGCGAAAGACTTACTCAAATTTGACTGGCTTTTGCTCGTGATTTTCCAGATAGCCGCCGTTATACCCAGTTTGAACTGACCGCAAACAAGCGCAAAGAGAACAAGGTCAGTTCCAGCTGATCTCGCTCTGTCCGATTACTATACAGGACCCAGGGCTCACTGTTCGTAAATGTATTCCTGATGTCCTCGGTAAGCTTGAACTCCTGAGGGTTCGTATTTTCGAGATATCTCATCAAAGGCCCGAACATGCCTTGCTTGGGTTGTCGGAGGTTCTTTGGCTGTACGGAAGACTTTATCATCAACTGCTGTAAACTTCGCCTGACCCTCTAAGTACTCACTATCCGCTTGGCTGCACATTGCTTGCAGAACCACTCGTCCTCTTCAGGCAGCTGGTCCACGTCGAGTGGCGGGTCCAAACACATGAAGTGAAACGAACGAGGACAACCGTCACAACAAAGGAACCGACCGATCCCACCACAAGCAGAGCAGAAATCGTTGTTCGGCTATGATGAGGTCATGTCAAAATACGATAAGTGATCTTGAGGCGACAATGTTACAAGGTCCATTACGGGGGGACTTACTACGCTTTCATGGCTGGAGCCAGGGCCTCCCTGCTTCGCTTTGCCCTTGCGCACAGCAGTCTTGACGACCGCCTTTTTGATCGCATACGGCGACGTATCGGTGCTAACAAGACTCCCCCGAGTGGCCCGTACGACCGACCCCATCATCTGAGGGGTAGTCGCTCGCATGACACTTCTACTAGACTCTGCTTCCTGTTGATCGTTATTATATTCGGCGGTCGATGGATGAAGGGACGCGGACACTGCTGTCAAGGGGGTAGTTTCTGCCGGAAGGTAGCTGGACAAGCCCGAGTTACTCGTCGGTAGGGAAGACAGCGAGCTGCCAGAGCCGCTAGCAGGTATGTCTGCTAATTTCTGGCCACGGAAAGCCAGACGAAAGCTAGGTGACGGGGGTTTGTTGAAGATGGCCAAAGCCGCAGATGGTGGGGGACGGAAAATCGATCTGGGCGATGCATCGTATGGTTTCAGAGGGGCAAGAGCTGGGTCGTCGGGAGGAGCCTGGGGCGGGGGAGATGACGGTGGTTGCATGTTGACCTCGGGGATCATATCCTCGAATATGGAAGGATCATCGGGTTTTCGTATTGACGCATTCACGGAGCTGTGACGTATCAAATATATCAGCGCAGTCATTGGATAGATGGAGCATCACTTGCTGCACTCGCACGTACAGCCTGGGAGCGTTACGCCTTGGCTTGAAACTGCCATCCAGTGAAGATGCGGGTGATCCAGCTCGTGATGAACCATACGCCTCGTCGTCCTTTTGCAAAGGAGCCAAGATCTTGAGGCTCTTCTTCGGTCGTGCTCGAGCTCGGCGGGATGCTCCGTCACTCGCAGCACCCGGCTCTCCAGATGACGTAGCTTCCTTTGTCACGGAATGGCTCGTTTGGCTTGCAGAGCTTCCAGCTTGAGAAGTCGCGGGTATAGCAGTGCCATTGTTCTCCATGTCGACCTCCTGTGTATCACCCATTGCCGCTGCGTCCCTCGTCAGGAAATTCGGGTCACTCCGTCCAGCCCCTTCGCCAATGAAAGGTGATTCTTCATCATGGATTACAGTCTTTGGATGACCATTCGAGACCCGAGAGGATACCGATTGATTTGCAAGTGTCATCTGAAGCGGTCGGTCCTGCTCTGGTCCCCACCCCTCAGAATCGCTCCTTTCGGATTAAGAGACCCCGGGTGAAGTATGATTGGTCCTGTCCACGCCAGCAGGAGACCTGACCGCGAAGTCTGGTATGCAGTTTAAGACCTGAAGGAGTGACGATCTTGACACGACTCCGCTGATGGTCCCATTAGCTGTCGAGACGGTCACATCGACGCAGAGGTCTCACGGTTACACTTAGGTTATAATTGCGAGCGACTGGGTCCTGGACGCGATTGCTCACGCGTTTCTCAATGGGAGACCTGCACCCTACACCCTATAACTAGGTATGATATGCTAGGGGAGTTCTTACGTTCAAAAGAACTGATCATGATATGCACGTTACCAGGTTGTACATCATGATCTTGAATGCCCTATGACTAGAAAGACCACGCTCGTTCGGGAATCGGGACTCGTTGCAGCAGTCGCATGACGGTCTGAATTCTGTACCATCCTGTCTGGTCAAACATCTAACCTGCCTCTAGCGATTTTGACTTCTAGCTGCAGCCCACAAGCCGTGCACCAAGCCCATATGAAAGCATAAGCATAGACGGGCTAGCATGACGCTCTCTTCGCCTTATCTAGACGATCCCTGATGGTGACCATTTATCATTTTGCCTTCTGTAGCCTCTAGGAGTTTCTCAGCGATCAGCGATCAACATTCGAGCGCGTGTGAAAGCATTTACTACTGTCCCAACTGAGATCACGCCCCTCATTCCGGGCGACTGTTTGATGAGATCCTATTTCCGTCCTCTTCCTCGACTAGGGTACGACATTCATAGTATGACATGTCCGTGCGGTGTGGGCAGATCTTTCCGGGGTACCGGTGTGGCCTTGCCAAGCTATAGTCATCGACGATGTTTGGCCCACTATCGCGCGCAGCGGTTTCACCGCCGCTTTGGAGTTTCAGATCGACCACATAACAACTTCGCTGTCGCTTACCGACCACGTCGCAAGACCTTCCTTCTGCTTTGGTCCGGCGGCCTCTACTATCTGACCTATGTCTTCAGCACTGACCCTTGCGATCAGCCGTAACCCGATCGCAGTAAACTGACAGTGAATCGCGATTCCCTTGCATTCCTCACTAATGTACTACATGTAATCATACAGCCTTTCCTTCCTTGCTAGTACCAAGCAGGAACATTCGAGCGCGTGCCATCCTGCCCCTCTTCTTCTCAACCACCTTTGGCACCTCCTTGAGGTACCTTCGTACACTCTTGATAGAGGCCTCTCGGAGATACGCTAGATCAGTCGATTCTTGCGAGTAGATTGAGACCTCGTCTATCGAGACGGGATGTGCGGTGTGCGGTTGCGATCCGAAGGATGATTGGTAAGACACGTCGAGGGGCGCGTGGTCCCGGCGGACGACCCTTGATTTTTCGTTGTCGACCGGCAGCTTGAGGGTCTTCTTTTCCTTCGAGTTCGTCAATGACAAAGAGGAAGCTAGACTGCGATTCGGAATGGCTTGGTAAGCTACACTCCAACTATCGCGAGAGACACAACCGACCTTTTAAGATCTTTCAGATAATCCTGCACAAAAGCATCCGGGATGAGCCACCCATCCCTCCTCCTCGGTCTTCTTTCACCCAAAGTACCTTCACCCGAAGCAAAGTTGTCGAACGAGGACGAGCCTAGAGAGGGCAATGAAGACTTTCTCTCGAGCTTGGACCGATCCCCGACAATCCCTGGGGGGTTCGAAGGCGATCTTCGGAGTTTCTTGCTTATCCGGCTGAAATTGATCTCGATGGGTTTGACACGCTCAGAACCAGGGCTTGAGATCGGTAGTTCAAGATCTTTGAGCTTCGAATCTTGATCATGCTTGTTCTTGTTGTCGTCGTGGTCGTCAGACAACGGGAAAGCTTTTTTGGGATCAGGGTAAGGCGTCAACCTGCGCGAAGCAGAATCTTCCGCCTCGGGCGATCTGGCGGGTCGAGCTGGCCTGGTGGGGATTTGAGGGAGAGCGTAGGTGACGGCCATATCTCGTTGAAGTAAGGTGTGTGTTTGGAAGAGTAGGCGTGTTGAGGGGAAGGGGTAGACGGAATGGGAAGACAGGCTTAGGACGAACGGATTGGGGTGCAAGAAATCTCCTCTCCATCATTCGCGAATCATTGCACAAAGAGACCTCTCCCTCAATCACGTCTTATAACCACCCGGACCCCACACCTGAAGCATCTTCGAAAACCCCTCGTCAAAGCTGTGACATGGTATAAAGGAGGCCGCCCTTCGCCGGGCGTCTGCTCTACGGAATACAAGGATGAAACGCGAGCACCATTTCTCACGCGTGTGGCCGCGTCAAGCCTTACTGACACGAAAACCTGTCCCACGCATCGGACTAATCCAGCCCACACCGAGCGCTCAGATCCCGTATAACCTCCTTCTCCTTCTTGCTTAACAATCCTTGGACCATCTTCCACCTCTTCATCCCCCTCAGCCCTTGTACCAGCTGCTTGATTTGCTCTATGTCATCCGCTTCCGCTTTGGTACTTCCTTTGGCAGAAACTGCGGAGAGCATTGCTTGGTAGATCGTTGCAAGGTGATCCGGCTCTATTAATGGGTCCAGCCAAACACACGCCTTTGTTGTAGGTATCGACTATTTGTGAAAAGATCGCGAATTGAAATCAGAAGACCTCCAGCGAATCATTAGAGCGAAACTCATGAGCTCACCGTCAGGATATCCCATCGTTCCCGATCCGTCGCGGCGTGCATGACCCGATCGATCATATCCAAACCCGAGACCGGCGGTGTCACCTCGCTCCTGCGACTCCTATCCTCCCGGACCAATTCCCTCTTGCCATCCACCTTTTGACTACGTGTCTCTGCCTCGTTCTCCCCAGTGAAACCCACGCTCGTACCGGCGAAGCTCCTCTTCCCCTCCCTTCCCGCCTTCTTCTCGGCAAAGCCTGACGTACTGGCTGGCTGTTTGGGATCATAAGTATACTCATTTGTCTTGGATCGGGAAGGACCCGCTACAGGCATATCCCCATCTTTCGGCTTCTCAGCGAGACTCGTCCGAGGTGAAAAGAAGGGAACCACCTTGATCGGGATCTGTACCCCTTTAGGAGGGTCCGGAGGGCCTGTGTTTGTGATACTACTCGAGTTGGAGGTAGTGGTAGTAGAGGTAGAAGGGATGCGACGTGTCGATGACGCAGCGAGGGAGAGAGGCGGTACGGCAGGTTTGAGCTCCTCATCCGCTTGTCCAGTGAGTCTTTCAGTCGAGGTCTTTTTGGCGACAGTGGGATTGGACCGGTCCTTCTTCTTCTTCTTATTCTTCTCTATTTCCTGAAAGCAATTCAACAAAAGCGAATTGCCAGGCAAAGACCGATAGTCAGCATGAGAACGTCCTCGATAAGCTAAGACCGAGGAGAAAGGCAGACTCACCTTTCTCAGACTGGCCAATTCTTCTTTAGCAGCCGAGTTGCTCGGTTCCAATTTCAAGATCATCTCCAGGTCTATGTTCCCCAATTCAACCATGGAAGAAACGGTATCTGTCCATCAGCTGCCTATCTCTTCCTCCTTCTTCGGCGAGCGTCGACGAGCACTGACCTTGAACAGCCCCATCCTGCTCCTCATCGCCCAACTCCCTTCGCGCCAAGGATCTCCTAAAGAGCGCCTTGATGTTCTTCGATTGTAAGGGGAGGTTCAGGACGGTATTGCAGTCCCGTACGACGTCCTGCCATCTGCCGACGCAATTCCCAAAGCATGACAAGCAGTATGAATGCAGGTCAGTTGAAAGACCAAATCAAGCATACATTCGAAGAAAAGGAACCGACTTTTCGAGCTTAAGGTAGGCCTGTGCTCGGTTTAGAAGAGGAGCCGGGTCCGTTGGGTCTAGCCTGGCAGCTTGAGCATAGTGACCTGTTTATGTGCGATCCAGCGAAAGCGCAGCGCCAAATAAGCTTTCAAGATATCCCTCTCTATATGGATAGCGATTATATTTGTTCGTACCTATTGCTTCTGCCCATTTGCCCTTTTTATAAGAAGCGTTACCCTATTCGTAATGAACCAGAGAAGCGTTAGTCATACCGAATCATAGGTAGACAGAGCAGCAGGCAGCGGACAAAGACGGACTGACGGCTTCTCTGGCGGTCGCAGCCGCCTTGGGATCTCGTTGAGGGTTCATGGCTGTAGAGCTAGGACAGAGTAGGCTGGCAACGTTGTCGAAACGAGGTGATGATGATGAACGTAGATATGACGTTTGACCTCGATGAGGGCTGAGGCTGTTCCCTTTTCTGCGCGCCAACTAGAAGCGCGCGTCCCTTCAACCTTTTCAGCTCAGGAATCAGGGGAGTATCTCGATGTCGAAAGAGTCTTTTGTCGACCTCAAAGTCGTTGATAGCAACCTCCCGTTAGATACTACATACAACATCAGTCGTATAGCTAGCCCATCATGCCAGTGCCAGATACAGTACCAACAAATAACCACGAGGAGGATGACGAGGACATCGATTACACCGAGATCGAGGAGAGGTGAGTTCGAACAATACGTTCTTCGTGAGCTCGTGTTCCGACTAACTCAATTCTCTTCGTCCCGACTGTTCGCAGGTATCAGCTCGATATGCTCTCCGGACTCGACAACATCCTTGTCGTCGACAACGTCCCCATCGTCAACGCCGACAGGCGTCAAAAGCTGATCGAACGTCTCCGTCAGGCGTTCGCCAAGGCCGGCGCACCGTTGAGCGGAAAGCAGAGGGAGGACGAGAGCTATGATGACATGGAGATGCCTTGGGACAACGAGGCCGATAGCAACAAGGGGTGAGTCGGTCAGAGCTAGTCTAGAGGGATGAGGTCAATCGAGGCGGTTGGGCGAGAAAGATGCGGAAAGGAATGTTGTCTATCTGTTTGATGTACTAACCCGTACATGCTGTCTCCGCGTAGTTTCCTCTTCCTCACCTACCCCTCTGCCGCTGAAGCCACCGCCGCCCTTCGAAACCTCGACCAAACCCTTTTCGGTAAGAACCGACTGCACGTCAACAAGTTTGGCGACATCGAGCGATACGCGTCATTGCCCATCGAGGAGGGCAGCACCCCGCGAGGTTGGGTCGAGGATAGCGAGATTGAGCCGCAGGAGCACTTGAAGTCTTGGTTGGCCGATCCTCAGGGACGGGACCAGTACCTGACTTACCGAGGAGAGTCGGTCGATCTCAACTGGATCGGACGGGGAGGTTCGTCGGAGCCGGCTGTTCAGGCCGAGCCTGTGAGTGAAGGTTTCTGCGATATCGAGACGGACCGAGACGGAACCGCTCATACGAGCTTGTTTTTGCACTTTCCTGTAGCGATGGGGAGAGCTTTACGTCTCGTGGTCGCCCCAGGGAACTTACCTGACTACCCTCCACCGAATCGGTGTCGCCCTTTGGTCCGGCAAGTCGTTCAAAAACACCGTCTCCCACCGATTCACCCACCCGGGTGTCAAGCTCTTTGACTTCTCTCCCTGCGAACAATACCTCGTGACCTGGTCCCCCGACTCGATCGTCCCCAAGCCTCCCAAGGACGAGAACGCTCCTCAGGACCCTCGACAGTTTGGACCGGAAGACGAGGGTAACCAGATCGCCGTCTGGGAGATCAAGACCGGACTCTTGCTTCGAACTTTCCCTGGTGAAAAGCCCGTGCAACCGGCCCCTGTCCCCGCCGGAACCAAGCCCGAGGACATGCCCGCCCCGAGAAAGCTCTCGTGGCCGTTGCTCCGTTGGTCCCCAGATGACAAGTATGTTGCGAGGTGTCACCTCGGAACTCAGATCTCGGTGTACGAACTCCCTTCGATGGGTCTCTTGGAGAAGAAGTCGATCAAGATCGATGGGGTTTTGGACTTCGAGTGGTGTCCCGACAGGGAGCTGGGAGCGAGCAAGGAGAACATGTTTGCCTACTGGACCCCCGAAGCGGCCAACCAGCCGGCTAGGGTTACCTTGATGGCGATTCCTAGCAGGAACGTTCTGAGGTCAAAGAACCTGTTCAACGTCAACGACGTGAGTCGCCCGGTCGTCTCCTTGAAAGCCTGCTGACACGAGCCTTTCCATCTGGACATAGTGCAAGCTTCACTGGCAAGACCAGGGTACTTACCTCTGTGTCAAGGTCGACCGAGTCAAGAGCAAGAGGAGCACATTCTCCAACTTTGAGCTGTTTAGGGTCAAGGAGAAGAACTACCCCGTTGAGACCATCGAGTTGAAGGGTGAGTCGGCGGGTCTTTGTCTGTGGCTGAGCTTAGTGAGGGAAACGAAGACTGATCTGAACTTTGCTCGGACTCGATGTATACAGAGACCTGCACACAGTTCGCTTGGGAGCCTTCAGGCAACCGATTTGCCGCCATCACCTGTGCCGACCCCAACCCGGCTCACATGGCTCCTGGTGTTGTGCTCAAGACTGCTATCGCTTTCTACTACCTCGATCCCAAGAAGGGCGATTTCAAGCTGATGCGTGAGTCTGGCACGCAGTGTTCTCTACGTTCTGAGCCAATAAAGCCCAAGAGCTGATGTGACCTTGTCGACCGATCACAGGTGAGCTCGAAAACAAGACCGCCAACACCCTCGCATGGGCACCCAAGGGCCGATTCATCGCCTTGGCCACCTGCGGCTCGGCTGTCAAGTACGACATCGAGTTCTGGGACCTCGACTTCACCATCGATGACACCATCAACAAGCGAGACGCCGCCGACCCTGGTAGCAACATGCAACTGTTGTCTACCGGAGAGCACTTTGGAATGACCGATGTCGCTTGGGATCCTTCAGGCAGGTACCTCGCCTCGAGCGCCAGTGCCTTTAGGCAGTCTGTGAGTGCCTGCGAGCGAGAGAAAGAAGATCTAGAAAGAGAATGGTATCTGATCGACTTCTGTGCTATCATCGTAGCCCGAGACCGGTTACTCTATCTGGGACTTCAAGGGTCAGGACCTGCAAAAGCAGCCTCTCGACAAGTTCAAGCAATTCGTATGGAGGCCCCGACCGGCTACTATGCTACCAAAAGAAGACCAAAAGCGAGTCAGGAAGAACCTGCGAGAATTCAGCAAGCTGTTCGACGAGGAGGACGCTGCCGAGGAGAGCAACGTCTCTGCCGACCTGTTGGCTCACAGGAAGAGGCTCATCGACGAATGGAACGCTTGGCGATCGAAGCGTGTCAAGGAGCTCGTTGCCGAGAGGAAGAAGGCTGGCGAGGACCAGGTCGAGAGCAAGGTCGAGGACGAGGGCCTGGAGACTGTCGAAGAGGTCGTCGAGGATATTTTGGAGGAGACCGAAGAGGTTGTCGCTTAGGTGTAGATGGGGCGCAGTGCGGCAGTCTTTCTTTGACCTTTGTATTTCGTTGGATATAAGCAAGCCACCCCGAGGGATACATGACGTACGCATCGAAAGAGTGTTACAAATTCGGTTCGGACTCGATAGCTGGTTCCTGAGAAGCTACTAAAAGCCCTCTCAAGTGAGACGTTATATAGCTTGCTGCTCGCACCCTGCCGGAAGCAATTTTACTTCCGAGCGAGCACATGACGAAAGCTAGAATCGCTACGATCTGAACATTTCGATCAAACCATTGGCCATACATCACACTAGGCTCTCATCGTTCCGACAACAGAGTCAATCGACGCAACCATTTGTACCCCTCAAGTCCAATTCTTTTCTTTCAGAAATGGAGCGCAGTGAGCGAATCATCCAGACGTTTGAAGGGTTTCGAACAACCTTGGACGAGTCGGTGAGCAGCCCTCCAGCATATATACAAGCGAGTCGGGACATGGCTCAAAAGTACTGAGACTCTTGTGTATACTTGTGATTTCCTATCGCATCTCTGGACCGACAGAACGAGCGAAGAGAACGCCTGATCATCTCTTCCCGTCAAATCACGTCGCTCTCCAAAAAACTCATCTTTCACCTTCATCGAATCTCGCTCTTTCCCAACGATCCCGAAAGGAGTAAACTGCTCGCGGAAGCTCAGGAGAAGGCCGAGGAGATCAAGGGCTGTGTCAAGGTCGTTGGCGATGATCTGAGGGATGGGGATCTGACATATTGGGCATATGCGAGGAACATGTGAGTCGAGTCCCGGCAATCGATTACTCCTTCCGCGATGGTGGAGAAGGATGTAGGTTGACAGAACGATGACTGAACAGTTCGGGAGGAGTACAAGAATATATCGAGGCGGTCTCATTCATGCACTACCTACAATATGAATCTCTGATCAACCTAGAACAGGTCAGACAGGCTTTACACGCGGAAGATGGGACCGAGGTGAGTTAGGAAAGATACACCTTTGTATCTCCCTTATCACTGGTCTGATGTGCTCTGGCTTCACTTGACCATTCGGTAGCCCTTTGAGATTACACAAGAGGACTATGCGTTAGGGATCAGCGATCTATCTGGAGAACTCATGCGTTACGCCACAAACTGCAAGTCCATCTCACACCCATATTGCCTCGTAACGTGCCTACTGAATGGACGAACTTCCTTTACCTGTCCTGGACAGGCTCAAGCACCGGAGACTTCAAGGCCGCGCTTCGAGCCTGTACATTCGTCAGGGACCTGAAGAGCGGGCTTGACAGTGCACAACCTTATGTCAGGGATTTGGGCAAGAAGCAGAGCATAACGGAACAGAGTCTCTTGAAGATCGAGAAGAGTGAGTATCTAGCAGATCGGGCGGCCAAGAAAAAGCAGACTACGATGTTAACGCTCCTTGTATCCTCTGCTCGCTCGACGTGATCGTCTAGTCTGCTACGCCATTCAGCTCAGGATCTTGGAGTACGCAGACCGACCCGAAGTGCTCGCCCATCTGACGAAACGAGCTATGGAAGAATCGCAAGAAGTCGGAGCGGACTCGATGGATGTCGAAGGCGGAGGTGGAGGTCCGAACGATTCAGGCAGAACGAGCGGCGGGGATAGAGGTGGACGAGGACGAGGTCGGGGCAGAGGTGGTGCTCGGGGTGGATTCCAGGGTGGAAATCGAGGAAAGAGGGGAGGTGCGGGCGCAGGTGGAAGTGGTACCGAAGCGGGGGATGTGGGGGATGGCCAGGTAGCATAGGCCTCCACAGTCACTTCTCCGAGTAAGTGAGTCGTTCAGTACAGTACGATTCAATCGGCTGTTCTAGAGCCTGAACGCTCACGAGACGTTACTTCGCTCTTTCGCAGATAATGGCCGCTCCTTCGGGGGCTGTTCATTGCGCGCGGGTCCTACCGAATTGCTAGACCCGGATGGCACCAAGGCAGCAAGTAGCCCTCTCATGGTTTGGCGACATGCTCAAGATCGGATAATCAGCTGGCTACAAAGCCCAGCGGTGGAAGAGTATGTTTATATTAAGGGCTGATGTCGGCCTATGCGAACCGCATCGAATATGGATATATGGCGAGGCAGGCAGGCTATTGTGTGATCGAGATCTCTCTGTACCTCGCGATTTCTCTCGGCCATGCGCGCCTTCTCCCCCCTTCCCCGCTCTCCCGTATTAATTACGTTCGATGACCATATTCGTCCGCTCCACCTACTCCAACTGTGCTATAGTCTCGCCCCATCGTCCACTCGCCTTCACCTACCTATCGCTTCTTGCCTCTTATCTCATTCGATCTTGTTCGCTACTCGGTCAGGAAACAGCCCAACGAGGAAAACACGTCGCAAACCGCTTGAGCTCAAGCACAGGCACGCGTTGAGAGGAAAGCGGTAGTAACATGGCCATGCAGAGTATCAAGTGTGAGTTCCAGGCCGAGGGACTCTGTGAGAATGGCTGGGCTCGGGTTGGTACATGGTGACCAACATGGTGCAGATCTCGCTGGTTGCCGGCTATATCGACGTTGACAAGACCGGATTCGAGTCTGTTGCCGACTGAGCTGGAGCAAAGCCACCTACACCGGCCTGCACAGCCGAGGTCCCCATTCGCAGTGGCCAAACCCGGTACTGATTCTCGTCTACTTTATTGTCACGTAAACAGGTGTGGTAGTCGGGGATGGAGCTGTCGGCAAGGTGAGCCCCTGCACGAACAAGTTTTTTTAAGCTCGACCCGACCGAACCTTAACGACGAAACCCTTCCGGTGTCATGGTGTAGACTTGTCTCTTGATTTCTTACACCACAAATGCGTTTCCTGGCGAGTAAGTCTCTCTGGATAGCTTGAGCCTTACTCCTCGATCGGATGGAAGGCCGTTCCTTTGCCGATGGATCCTCATGACACCGCTTTTCTTGTTGGCTATCAGATACGTGCCTACCGTGTTCGACAATTACTCTGCCAACGTCTTGGTAGACGGGAACCCCGTATCGCTAGGTCTCTGGGATACAGCAGGTCAAGAGGACTACGAGTGGGTGTCGATCGAGGGATGCGATTTGAAGATGTGCCGAGGGCTGATAAAGGCGATCTTATCCCATCTCACCCCATGCTACAGCCGGCTGCGACCCCTATCTTACCCGCAGACAAATGTCTTCTTGGTCTGTTTCTCTATCGCTAGTCCACCTAGCTTCGAGAACGTCAAGACCAAGGTGAGCCCTGCCCTGTAAACATTCGGACTGGCCTTCTTACCAATACTGCCTTCCCGATACACTAGTGGTACCCAGAGGTCTCGCACCATGCTCCGGGCGTACCGGTGATCCTCGTCGGGACTAAACTGGATTTGCGAGACGACCCCCTTACCCTCCAACGATTGCGAGAGAGACGGTTCGCACCGGTGACGTATGCGCAGGGATCTCAGATGGCCAAAGAGATCGGTGCGGTGAAATACCTCGAGGTGAGTCTGGTCTCTCCGACTGCATGCCATACAACCATGCAAAGAAAGGTCTAAGGGTCGAAAGCTGACGATCTGCTGCATTGCAGGCATCATCCCTCACGCAAAAGGGATTGAAGAACGTCTTTGACGAGGCGATCAAGACCGTCCTCGCCCCGTCTGACAGGAGCGGGGGGATGAGCAAGCGAAAGAAGAAGAACTGTGTGATTCTCTAGACGGGTGTTGCGAACAGGCAACAGCGCCATACAACGGGAGTGTCCCTGTGGACAGATTAGAGGGGTAGAAGCCGAAAGCGCACAAGGCTAGGTCATTTGACTGCGGGGATTGAGCATGGGTCCTCGGTCGCTGCTGTGGGATAGAGAAATTGCTGTAAAATCGGGTTGCGGAGAATACTTTGTAAAATGCAAGGATGGGAATCAAAACCAGGAGACATGGATTAGAGATGTGACGACGACCGAGTGGATCACTTCCCCCCGGGACATGCATGCGTCAGCTTTGTTCAACTCGTAAAGATGCTTGCATGTTGCCCATATGAACAACATTTTGGGTAGAGGCCAGGCTGGGATTTGCCTCAGGGACATGGATGCAAATAAGATCAATGTCAAGGATATAAAGACGTTGTAAAGTGTGTATTCTGTCTTGGAATTGTGAACCCGAAAATGATCCAGTGAAATCACATTGCAAGGCAAGCAACTGTTTATAAAATTCTCACTGTGCTGGGTTTGAAGACCTTCCTGTCGCTGGACAGAATTGCATACAAATAGGCCTTTGGGCAGACATTCCCGCGTCACCCACAAAGATACCTAGAGACGGGATGTCGCAAGCAGAAATGTCCATCTACAAACCGCCTGGCCGTGAACTGAAAAGCGATGGGCTGCTTCGTCCCAGATTTAAGGCTTAGTCGATTGCCACTACAGACTGATCGATATACAAGGCCTACGTATAGGTCAAACTAGGACTTCAACCTTGAAAGAACCTTGAATAAAAGTACAGATGCGGAGTATCGATATCATGCGTCTGAGACATCGTGACAGTGGATAATCGGACAAATGGTATAAATCACAAATGCGCGGTTTCGTCTCGAATCCCAGCCTACTACAATTCGCGTGACCTGGGCACACGCCGGACCGCATCGAAACAACTTGCCGAGCGGATGTATGCAGGTCTCTCTCGTGGCATGTGCACATCAGTAGGCTGATATCGTGACAACATCCGGAAGGTTTCTGGGCAAGCAAGTAAATGCTTTCCAGCGGGAAGGGAGGATGTTGCCGTAGTCCTACGCCGACTTTACTTGAACGGCCAGCCTAAGTTTTCATGGCTGCCAAGTTCATGACTTCACCGACAGGGAAGGTCCTGATGTATTGGGCACAGCGGCCGCAATCTCGGCTGGCAATGCGCAGAACAGGCCGGATCCTGCCCGAGGCGAACGGGTCTCCGAGGTCGTTGTTACCTCGACCTCTTGTCGCTAAGGGCGAAATTCCCAATCACCGTTCCCTTATATTCGAGATGTGCTAGTTCGGACATGTGGCGAATGGCGGATGGGATGATCGAAGATGTGACGGCACTCGGATATTGGTGAGTCCGTGTGCGGTCGAGGAGTTGATATATAAGCCGAGGGTAATAGGGTATATAAAGATCGTTGGCTCGGATTGAGGTCTGTAGCGTCTTCAAATCGAGTCCGAGGTGCCAAATGATATAGTGGAGTTGTTGTGTCCTTGCAGTGTCGCTCCGGCGAGTCCCCGTTGAGCCTGAGGACCCAGAGCCTGATATGTTTCCCGTCTACTCCAGCTCCTTCTCGTTCACCAACGCTTTCTCCTTCTCCGCCTTCTCCACTCCGACAACCCTGACGGCGACGGATTCCTTCTGCTCCCCCTCCTTGAGGTTCAGCTTCGAAAGATCCTTCTCCAGCTGAGCGTCGCTCTCATCCTTCTCCTCGTCTGCCTCTACCGCACCCTCCTCTTCATCCGTCTCGTAGTCCTCGTACTCGTCCTGTACGCAACGAAACAAAAAGAAACCTGTATCAGCTCCTTGCTCTCGTTGACGATTCATAACCGAGTCAATCAACCACTCACCCATTCGTACTGCACGCGAATGATCAAGCTGCAGCTCGGACACCTAGCGACATCGTCCCCATCCCTGAGCTGGCTCTTGGTGATCTCGAACCGATCTCCACACGGACACGGGTAATGGTAGATCCCGAGTTTGTCATCCCAAGTGAAATCCTCGATATCCACCTCGTCGTAAAAGGTCTCTGGCATGGCGTTGAGTAGAGTCTCTTTTTGTGTGTCCCTTTGTTCGCGTGTTGAAGGGCGGAGAAGGGTGCCCAAGTGAGTCCTTCGACTGCAAGCAGATGAACGGTAGCCGATTGTACAGGAGGAAGGAGGACGAGATTGTGTGGATAGGTCTGATCTGTCTGATTGTGGATCGTGGTGATGGATCAGGTCTCCAATTCTTCGGCAGCTCTCCGGTCGAGGCAAAATCCGGCGACGCGCAACTTTCACGTGATCGACGATCGCCGGACCAGTGTCGACGATCATCATTTGAGCTTCGCCGCAAGGGGCGGCTTTCATGAAGCATTAGGCATTCGTTGGATACGTTAATATAACTTGATTACAAATGATTATTGATTAGGTATGTGATTTGTTCAGGTGCGATGCAATTCGTAAAATTCGGTCTACGTTCAGTTCTTTCCGGGGACGGCCCAGCTAGGAGGCTCGTCCTTGCCCTCATCCTCGAGCTTGTCGCCCTCTTCCTTGGCTGGGAAAGAGATAAAGAAAGACTAAGTCAGCCCGAGTCGCTATAGCGAGAGGAAGGATGAGAAATGCTCACTCTTGTGGACAGACTTGGGGTCGTGCTCCGCTGGAAAAGAGAAGTCGGAGGCGTCAGCCTGAGGCTCTGATCATGGGAAATATCCGACAAGAACAGACTTACCAGGAGCGTAGATGGTAAAGCAGATCAGAGGTTCCTTGCCCGTGTTGATAAAGTTGTGCTTGGTGCCCTGGGGGACGATGACCAAGTCACCGGCGTTGACCATCTTCTCCTCTCCGGCGACGACGGCCTTGCATTGACCCTGAGTGAAGACCAAGTGCTGGTCGACGTGGTGAACCTGTAGTGGCAAGTCACGACCGGATCATGTCATCGAATTAGCGATCGACCAGGTGCAATCGTGCATCAAACGGGAGAGGTTAGGTTCACCTCTTCACCAATGTCTCCGCCAACGGGGATGGTCATCTCAACCAACTGAGAAGATTGACCAGTCCACAAGACCCGACGGAACTCCTCGCTCTTGGCGGGGAACTCGGTGGTCATCTTGGGGTAGTGTTGCATCTGACAGTACACGATCGGGTAAGCGCCTGCTTCTATGCGATGGCCGAGTCTGAGCACGAGGCCTCACCTTCTTCTCGGGGAGCGACATTCTGCTTGCTGATACCGAGAATGCACGAGCGGACGAAGACAGTCGATTTGGTAATGTTCGAGCGAGACAGTTGTTTCGCAGAGGACACGGACGGGCGATGATGGGCGAAGGAGACGTCCGACGGAGACAAGGCGATCGGGCGGTGAGTGTGGTTTTTCGGATGGGCGTCGCAATGGTTCGACTGGAGATGGACGAGAACATACTGTGATTTCTAGCTTCTATATGAGTGCTGCTGCTATCAAATTGGGGCGTGTGTTGTTGAGTTGCAGGAGGGATGAAAGGAACAGTGGATCGAGTTTGAGGTAGTGGGCATTCTCGGTCGATGACCTTATAACAGGGACGATCGCTCGCTCCACCCTTGACCCGTTGACCCCGCGCGATCCCGAGTGACGTCACGATTCATTCCGTTCCGCGTGCGATCGGAGGTTTCACCTCGTCGAGGGCAGACCATGAAAGCTACAGTGGCACTAGCTCGTGAACCGCTGAGGTCACTGATCAGTGAACATCGTGATATAATTATAGGTACATTTTTTTCCTCCCGCTACTCCGTATTTATCGTCGGGAGGTGATCGTGAGTGCTGTAGTGATACATCTTGTCTGTATCAGACATTTTTCGGGGATATTAGATCGACCCATTGTCCATTCTTTCGCAAACTCTATTTTCTATCGGATGCCTATCTTTGGCTTTTCTTTTATTATCCCCGCCCGTCAATCTGGATGGGAAAACTCAGAGGCAACGGGTGGTAGCCCATCGAGGAGTTTGCTTGATGCCAGGAGCCTGATCGCAGAACTCGACCATCGGAAGCGACTCGATGATCTCCTGCGATCTCGAGCGCAAGTCCATATCGAGTACCGACGAGCCAAAAGAGGAGCTCAGGCTGTTCGGAGCCGAGATGATGTATTCCATGCGTTTGGGGGCTGAATCATTCCAGAAGGGGGTCATAGGCTGCTGCCCTACAGTTTTTGGTTGTTGTAGCTGGGACGACGTTGTGAAGGTATTCATCCCATTTTGCTGGCAGTCGTAGGGCGTGGGACCCATCTGCTTTTGAGCCGGCCATCCGGCTGAGGGCTGGCGCGGTGCCATAGGGCGGTGCGCGTCGAATATGATCTCGGTGTCGCTTTCGATCTCGTCGGTCTCATCCAGCCTGATCTCCTTGAGGGATCCCGAACTGGAACCAGATCGCGACCCAAAGTCGAACGAGTATTGGGAACGGCCGTCCATCGGGGAATGAGTCGAGTGGATGTGCTTGCTGAGCGTGATCTTGCGACAGAAACTACAAAATTCAAGCGGATTCAACTTGGAGGATATTACGCTCATGGACAAGGGAATATTCTTACCTCTTCCCACATCCAGGTGCAGTACACACGTAAGGGCGGCTCCCACTGTGGATCTTACGATGCCGAGCCAACGAAGAGGAGTCGGCAAAGGCTTTCCCGCAGAGAATGCAAGGATGGGGTTTTTCTCCTGTGCTGGAATCCGGATGAAGACCAAGGTCAGTCGATCGCGCCAAACGGCGATTCATCGTGAGGATGTGACTCACTGTATTCGCATATGCACCGTGAGAGCCGATTTTTGGATGAATCGTTTCCCGCACGAAGGCAATGGGCAGGCAAAAGGTCTTTGGTCGGAGCCAGGGTCAGCAAGACAAGGCAGATCGTACTCCTCTGGTACAACTCACCTATGACCTGTATGTATTCGCTCATGTCGGGCGCAATCGCTCTTCCTCGTGAAGCGTTTTGTACACTGAAAGTGATCCGGAATCTCGCCTGCCGAGACCGCGCGCAAGTAATCGGGGTGTACGGGATTGTACCGGCAGATCGCGGGTCTGTCTTCGGCAGTCATGTCATCGTGTACGAGCTGCCATGAAGCTTTGAACGTCAGCTTCATAGGCTCGGAGAAGCACAAGGTCTTCAAATCAGGACTGACATCGAGAACATCCATACTGGTCGCGGTTGTCCGTGCGAGGTGGTCTTTGCTACCCCACTGGATCGACGCTGAACCTTGATGTCTGGACTGCAGGGGAAAATGTCCGGACTTTATACTGATATTCCTAGATACTGACTCCAGATGAGGCTCAGATCTCGTCCAGGTCCGCAGAGGACCGACCGCGGTAGTCGATGGAAACGGGACTTGTCTGTTCCTTTGTGATGGCTGATGAAGTGGGATAGATTGGAGACTAGATCCGGCAGATACCGATGATGTGGACCAGGAAGAGAGCGGAGAAGGTTGCGTGATGGGAGCTTCAATAGATCTCGCAGGCGGTCGAGCAGAGGGAGTACCGTGGTATGTAGGGACCAAGCCGAGCGGCCGAGAAGGATGAAAGGAGTGCAATAGATGTGACGTGCTGAGTTGAGTGTTTGAAGCACCTTGCAGCGGATGAACGAGTGGCGTGCTATGACTGCTATGACTCGAGGGTGTTGATGACAATCGGTAGTAGTCTGAGTCGAAATCTAGTCCGTGATCGATCGGAGGGTGTCGATTTCGGGTAGGTTCGGCGCAGGCGATCGAGGTTGATGTCTGGAGTCGAGTGACCAGTTGAGGCAAGGAAGCAATGATACTAGCTGGTATCTTGGTTTTGTTGATGGAGCGTCGAGGCTTGTCGACCTTGTGGAAGGTTAGTAATGGCCAATCGTCTCGTTGGCCAGGTCCGACCGGAGAATGATTTATGGATTCGACTGCGTTCATCTTGATCGAATGATGACGCAAGTCCAGATTTCCCTTTGAAAGCGTGAAGTTCCTTTCGCCAGTCTATCTGCGGCAACGGCACCGAGGATCAGCGAGGATCGAGGGGCTTCAAATGAAAACTCCGTGTGGCCTTACGGTGGTGGTAGCTGCTGAGATGGATCTCCGAGGGGTAGTTACCAAGGATCTAAGGATCCCTTCGACAGCTCAGACACGTAGGTGGGAAAAGGAAGCCTTTGACGACTTCGAAGGAAGTATACAGCGAGGGCTACAGTATACGTTGCTGCACTCGTCTGTCTACGATACTGGGAACCCGCGCTGCTGAAGATCGCGACTAGATTCCCTCAAGCGAGACCAAGTCATTTCCGTTCAGCCGCCTGGTTGTACGGTGTAGTATTGATGGGTACGTACGGTGATTAATCTCCTATCTGGGTCAGGGATTCTTGAGCGAACACAGTTTCGAAGGTTTGTCGCACCATATGACCGCTAGATAACTCAGTTTTTCAACCAGTTGAAACCTTCCGACGGAGGGCATGGCCGGTAATGCGCTTTGACTTACGTTCGTCTCTATATCCATATAGGCATAGGCCTATATGGAGTGATAGTCCCTTTCTAAGTATTAAACTTGCATCTTGTAGACGGCTGAGCGAGCGACCTTCCGCCACGCCACTCCACCATCTTGAAGCCCTCGTAGAACGCTCGAGCCGATCCACCTGTTCCCGCTCGTCCCCGTGGACCGTGGGTCGATTCTTCTTGCAAAGTAAAACCTACCGAGATGATACAAACACGGTGATATCACTATGTCCGCGAAATCTCTTCTAGCTTCTAGCGTGAATATGGTTCAAAGGACACCTGACTCGGCTCCGCTTGTCGTCTAGATCCACCGCGAATGACTCTCAGGAAGCCGGATGATGGAGATGGCGCGCCCCTGAGAGTGGCGTTGGGGCACGGGGATAGGAATCACAGAATCAGCGGATCAGCGGTGGGCACTGCTTGACGACGACAAGCTCGCTAAGCGGAAACGCCACAAAGAAAAAGCTGTGCAACGCTGATCATCCTTTCGCTCGTCTAAGGACGTCCCTGTCGCTCGGCGATCCGAGCTGAAACGGCGGAAGCAGAAATCGGTGGAAAGGGATGCATTCTTGGGAACGATCGGTTGGTCGCATTTCACATTCAAGTGGATTCGTGTACCATGTATTCGTCAAGCGTTTCACTTGGTTCGAACAGCTGACATAGCGATGTCAGACATGACCAACCTTCAGGTTGACTTGTCTTACCGGAACAAGAATTCGGTAAGCAAAGTGGTAACGGTAACCGTTTTCTTCCCACTAGCAGTTGCAGTGTTCGTCACGTCAACGATCTGCCTTCCTTTGAGACACGGTCAGGAGCTCGACTCCTTGAAAGGGAAGTCTCCTACCGCCACTCTATCGCAAGTCAGCAAGACATTATAAGCGAAGACGATCTTGTACGACCAACTCCTCACCGTTGCGCAAATTTACACGAATCGAGCGCCATAACGATGTCGGGCCCAACCAATCTGAGCTTCGTACACAAGCTGTTCAACAGCGTACCCGTCATTCCGTGAGTTTTGCCTCGGATGGGTTCCATCATTTGACCTAACAGTTGATCCCTTTCTTCGGCCGGGAACAGTAAGGGAGCTCCTACGGAAAGTTTCGATGCTCTGTCTAGGGGTGATGCGTTGTCCGGCGAGAATGGCTCGCCGCCAATGTCGACCATCGGGTCTCTCACTCTCAGTACAGGCAGGATCTCAGGCACCGAGTTTGTAAGTTTCCATCTTCATAGGAAAGATGTCGGGTAGTCGCTCAGGGCTTCGCTTTACAGATGGCTGCGTCGGGTTTCCTGTCGGAAGGAAGACCAGGCCTGGTCGGGGACAAGCAGTTGTCTATACAAGAGAATCTGTACATCAAGACGACCGCTCAGCAGAAGGTTGTGGGACTAAAGGAACTCCGTACGTTGGGAGGACAACCTTGAAAGACAGAAAAGTTGGCTGAAAAACCCATTCATCCTAGGGAGGTGTATCGGCCAGGTCGAAAGACAGATGAACCGGTCAATCAGCCGCGATCTGACCGCGACGAGAGCTATGGCCCTCGGAGAAGCCGCGCTCCAACCCAAACTTTCAGCGAGCGGGAGAGAGACTCTAGTTTTTTCCTGTCAAGTTCTTCAACACCTGATGGGAAGTGACGATAAGTCCCTGATCATGGCGGAAAAGGTCGAGAGCTGGTTGCCAGTCGCGGCCGAGCTGTTCGGTAAGAATCAAGGGGCCGCCGAAAATTGAATCAAGTCGCGCTTACGCCTGTCGGTGCTGCTGCAGGGAGAGCGCTTGGCGCTCTTTTTCGAGGTGCGGTGGATCAAGACGAAGCCATTCCCCACAGCATCTACGGGAACACAGTCTCCGCTCTGCTGTAAGTCATGAGGTCTTCCTTATCAATCATCATACGGTCTGATGCTCACGAGGCCTCTTGCTCATGACTGTAGGAAGCAACTCCAGACTGAGCCTCGAAGACTCGTTTGTACCGAATGTACGACTGAGAAGCCGCATTCCATGAGCCTGGCCCAATTGAAGCTGTTGATAATCCTCAAAGTCCACCTCTCTATGTGGAACAACGCCCGCCTGGCTGCCGAAGGGTTTATCAGCGATATCATCTGGCCCGTTCAGATAGCCTTGCACTGCTGCCAAGTGAGTACGCTCGATGATGTGTACGAACTATCACTGTCTGACGATTTTGATCGTTTGATCGATCCAAAGCTCGTACTCAGAAAGACTTCCAACAAGATCCTGGCTCAAGCGGTCCGTGCCCATCGAACCCTCCGAGTAAAAGCGGCGAAGGGTATCGAGGTATTGGCAGTGACGAGTTTCGATGCGGCATCGAGTGGACTCGCTCGACCTTCGAACCGGCTACGCGCAAACCATCAAGTGGCATATTATCTCGAGACCCTGGCGACTCTTTGGCAGGAATCCGCTCTGGTATGTCCCCGGCTACCGAGGTCTAACTTTGAGTACGCTAACAAGTACCCTGAACAGACACTTCGCTACAAGCTCAGCTCTGTGCGCCGGGAATACTACGACGTTAGAACCACTTGGGATGCAATCACATCGGTCGTGCAGGTACAGATGAACCCCGAAACGAGCAAGCAGATCTGTGTCCTCCTCCCGCTGTTGGCCTATGCAAATCCAACTTCATTTGGCTATTTTGCCTTGCAAGACGTGGTCGCAGTCTTGACCTCATCGCAAGCCAGGAACAACGGTAAGTTTAGTCGTAACATGTTTTGGCCGCTATAGCTCAGGGTATCCTCGTGGCTTTCTTTGGGGCAGCGGAATACATCAAGGTTCTTGGTCATATCATCAAAGCAGTAGGAACAAGCGCACTGGTCTCCCGAAACGTCATCTTCGAATTCATATTGCGAAATCTCGAGGACGGGATTGAGTGAGTGGAAGAGGTCGCCTGTGTTTACGAATATGCTGAGACAATTCGGTTGTCGCTAGAACCGATACTTGCTTCGAAACTGCGAAGAATTTCATGCTAGCGTTCGGTCCATGCGCTGCTTCGTATCTGGGAGAAGTCGTGGAACACGCCCGAAGGATCCCTTTGAGCCTTGCTCAGCTCAATCTCATCACGACAATCCCAGCCAATGTACCGACCCTGCGCAGGCAAGTTCACGAGTACATTACGAGCGAGATCAAGCAGAGAATCGCCAGCGGTGCTAATGTGGCAGTGAGTTGGATTCTAAGTCAAGCATTCTAGGCTGTTACTGATTAACGTTCGACACAGACCGCACAACAATGGGTAGCGTTGTTAAAAGTACTACCCGGTTATGCCACTCAATGTAAGTCTTTCGTCCTATGTCAGGTCCAGGTACATTTTCGTCTACCAATTCAGAGAACTAATATCATTAGCTATGCCGTAGACGCCGAAGAGGTAGATGAGGATGTCACGCAACTGATCGTACAAGCGCTGAAGCCAAGGAATCCACTGAGCGTCATCGAAGAAGCTCTGCAACAGCTACGACATCCTGCCTTGATCCGAGAGGAAGGATCTCCGGTCCTGGTCCAAGCCATTTTGGAACTTATGCAGGAGCGAAGAGGTCAGTCTGACTTTGTCGTCTGGTATAAAACATGGTTCAATCTAACATATCGTGCGATGTCACAGAGCCGCGGATGCTGGAAAAGTCGCTTGCGAGACTCTCTCAATCGAGATTGCAATTCCAAATGCAAGCAGTTACTCTACCCTTATTGCTTCAACTTGGTACTTCGGATATTAGGCTTCAAAGGGTCGTGGCGTCCTTGTTGACCATTCAGGCCGCGCGATTTCCGGCCCTGATCGTGCCTGTACTGCGGCGTTTTGTGCGTCTGACCTTATTGCGCGTGGACAACGAGATCGTGAACAGGTCAGTCGACCCTCTTGTTGAAGCTGAGGATCCGGTGCTAAGATCTCGCTTCAGTCATGGAACTACATCCAGTGTCGCGCTACAGCTCTTAGCAACTGTATGCATAGCTATGTGCGTTCACCGACTAACAGTCCGCCAGTCTAGATGCTATGTCTCACATATTCCTTCAAACCAGACCTTCGCTACCGTTAGCACTGTCTGAGTTGTATTCAAGACCCGTGCTTGCTCTCCTATTGGGAGCGCTTCGACGATACGAAACTATCGGTAGAGATGCTCCGACAGCGATCACCTGCCTAGGTAATCTCGCTAAACACTGCTCGCATGTCTGGGAGACAAAGGACATAGAGGAAGCTGTCGCACAGCTCAGAAGATTATCTCAGCCCCCGCACGACAGCGGCGACTCCACCCTGGCACTGGGATGCATGGCGGCCCTCATGGCCATACCTCAAAGTCGGTCACTACAGGATGGTGTAATGAACGAGATGTTCGGTACTTTTCTTCAGCAAGACACCGCATTCCTCCCCGTCGTCAAATGCAAAGTCATGGCGGTTGTGGGAGCAGTTGGAACGGCCGATCGCAACCCTGTACGAGACCGCGATCACAATGCGGCCTTGCGACGAGAAGACAGTAAGTGAACTGGCGTAGAAATCCAGAATATAGACTTATCGACGTTCCTTCGACAGGTCTATACGATGATAGACAAAGGCGCAGGGTTTCTACTGCAGTCTTGCGAGACAAGTTCGGCGCTTCTTCAATCGAATACCAGCTGTCGATTATCTCTGACAATCTGTTAACGACCGCCAACTCCCGGTCATTCGCTGGCAAGATCGCAGTATGGAGTACCACCTTGAAACTCTGTTTGATGGTACCGGAGGAAAGATACGCCGATCGACTGCCTGATATCCTTGAGGACGTGATCTCGCAGTACGAGTTGAACTCAAAGGGAAAGCTCATCAGAACCCACCGCTCGAAACTTCTCATCCTGATATCACAAGCTATCCTCCTGAAGCCAGTTGGATATGAGCAGGTGTGGCCAACACTGTATGAAAGGCTTGTCGCAATTGCGGAAGAACCCGAGTTGAAGGCCTCCGATGCTTCGGGAATTTTGCTGATAGTCCTCTCCGTATTGTCAAAAGGGAGAGGCGACATCAGAGCTGTAGCGCGCCAATTGCTGCCACTATTGCTGCGACTGCTGGAGTCGACGATTCTGGATCCAGGCACCATTGTCTTTGCCCTCAAACTGGTGGCGGTATTCCAGAGCCACACAGATCCCTTCATCGGAAGCATTGCTCGTCGCTTGATAAGGCTTGTCGACTCCGCAGAAGAGGTCGTCATGGAAGCTCTTCGTCTGCTAGCCCATCTAGCCGACTATGTCTCCCTGTTTGAGGCAAGTCTCACCATTCGTCAAGTTTTGGAAGCGCCTGGTTTCACAAATTTGATTAGCGAAGAGGCTTTGGCGTGTCGGCGAAAAGTAAGCCAAAATCGCGCACAGGTATGAAGCGTTCTAAAACCTGCTGAATTTTTTATATAGGTCGAATCATCGTTATCATTCGCTCCATTGGTGTCGCAAGACCTGACTTTCGCGGAATATCCTGATCTGAGACCATATCAGGATATGCAATTTTCAAACTTGGCGTTAACCGAGGCAGATCGAGCGGATCATTCTTTTATCAGCCATCTGTGGGATTTCGAAGAGGTGAAGGATCACGGGGATTGGCAAGGGTGGGCCAGGAAATTAGAGCATCATATCGTGGATGCCTGTCGAGTGGATATGATAAAGGTAGTTGCACTGTTGAAGCCCCAGGTCCCGAAAGGACTGTTACATGCCGGCTTCATTGCTTACTATGAAGCTCTCGGGGATGACGACAGAGTAAGTTCATACCTCCTTTGGTAGACAACCGAGACAGAGGAGTTGAAAGTTCACCACATCAATTATAGGCGGTGGTTCAGGAGGCAATCGGAAGGATCGTAACTAACCGAGACGCACCAGGCTACGTACGGGAACTGTGGCTTTCGATCTTGGAGTTCACACAAAAGACCCAAGTAGGCAGATTGCCCATCTCGATTCTCGAAATGGCCCGGAAATCGCTTTCGCATGAGCGGCGGCGACTGTCTGAGCGTGCGGACCCGATTCTGGTATGGTAAGTGTGGCAAGGTTAGAGGCTTTCTTGAACGTACAGACGTTGACGCAAAGAGCACATGACTCAAATGACAATTCCAGGTATGCAGAAATTGATGCTGCAGAATCGATGAGCGAGCCCGCTATGACTACCCTGGTCGAAGCAAACCTCCGTGTTGGAAGACAGGAAGATGCTGCTTGGAGTTCAATGCAGCTGGCCCAAGAACAAGGAGTCTGGCTGCAATCCGCATGGTTCGAAAGCCTTCAGAGATGGCCAGATGCGATCGAGGCGAACCGGCAGGAGGGATTGGATAATTTCGGCTCGCTTGATACCCTCATTACCGCTCGCCATGCTCTTACCGAGTTCCCGGAGGTGCTCAGGATCGCGGACGAGAAATATACTGGGCTACCATATCATCAAAAGGCACAAATCAGCGATTTATGTACCGTAGCAGCATGGGCTGAAGGCGACTTCAAGGCCATGGGAAAATATCTCTCATCACAACCAAAAGGTGCAACCAAATTGCTCTACAAGTAAGCGCGAGCAAATGACCCGCCAAAGCCAATGACTAAATGAAATACTTATGTGCAGAGCGGTTCTCGAGACTTGGCATGGCAATTACGAAGATGCAGCAGCACACATTTCAAAGGCGCAATCTGAGGTGTACAATGAACTACAGGTACGTTTGCGCCAGGACGGAACACGCGCCTAGCAAATCGCTAACAAAGTGTTCCGTGGACTCACAGGCACGAACAGCATTTTTAGACTTTTCGGCTAGCAATTACGCTACAGCAATCGGTACCCTCGCTAAAGCCCAGGTGAGATGATTTCCCCAACCTTTTGAGTCAAGCTGATCGTCTCCCGTAGATGCTGGTCGAACTAGAGGAAGTAATCAGATGTGAGGTGATCATCGGCTTTATTGTTTCGCCCCTGCTTGCTGATAGTCATGCAATACAGACAAACAATCTGACCACCATCCGGAAATGCAAAGAGTACTAGCGAATACTTGGCAGTCTCGGTAAGTAACAGTCCTTTGATGCGCCTTGCGACCAAGTCCCCAGACCTAATGAATACCATAACAAAAGCTTGAAAGCTTCTCACGTCGACATAGACTCGTTTTATAAACGACTGTTGTTATGGAGCTTGGCAGCCAAGCCGTGTGATCTGCAAGATGGATGGCTCTATCTCGCGAAATTGGTTCATGCCCAGGGCTACAAATCTGGCCGAAGGATCCTGGACTCTCTAGCTCAAGATGACCAGCCGGTAGGAATATTGCTGTCATGGATATCAAGCTTGGTTTGCTTACTCCTGAACCATAGGGGGACAAAGTGGCATACACGAGGCTCAGGTTCGACTGGGAAGAAGCGAAGAGTCCGATTCAAAAGACTCGGGTGGTGCAAGAGTTGTATAAACACGCCGTAAACCTGTCCGGCTTTTGCGGCACTCAGGAAGGATTGTTATGCCAGGTCAAGAAGTGGGAATTTCCCCAAGCTGGGTTCTCCCAGTCAGTTATAGCGTTGCATGGACTGTCGAAGGCGCTTAGCTGACTTGGCGACCTATAACAGAGGCGGGACCCGTCTCCACCGTCGTCGACTGGCGCGGTGTATGGCCCGTTTAGGGGAATGGACGCGCGAAGTCCGCCCAGATTGGATAGAGGTCAGTTGTTCCCCAGGCGAAAAGGATTCGAATACCACTTGATGCCTAAACTTGTCTCGTAGGACAACAAAATCCCAGCTTACGAATACATGGGGGCATCGGTCCTTTTGGAACCCAAGTGGTAAGCTCAAACCATGTTAGGTGTCTGAGGCCCCTGCCATCTCTAGATACAAATGGCTAATGGAAAAACAGGTCTCGGGGCATGGAGTGTCTAGCGGAAATGGCTCTTGAGATACTTCAACATAAGCAGGCAGCTAATCCAGGACAATCAGTAACCGATCATATGGTCGATCGATACATCTTGCCGGCATTCTATGGTATGTCATGGAGCGCGAGAATTTTTTTATCCGACAAGCTGAGTTTCATCGGTCCTCTGCTTGCTTAGCCCTGTTTCAATCAATCAAGCTACAGAGCGGCCCGGAACAAGGCGTGAAGGCGACTTTGCTCGCGCTAACTTTGTGGTTCCGTTATGGCGGGGCTCATCGGAGAATATTGACAGCCGTCAGAGCTCACCTGAAAGATACACCTACCAACACCTGGCTACCGACTATCCCTCAATTGATAGCGAGGCTTGGCGCCAAAGACATTACCCTCCGATACTCCTTGATCGACTTTTTGATGCAGATCGCTGGGTCCTATGCGGACGCCTTGATTTGGCCTTTGCTCACAGCATCTCAGACGCCTCGGTCGGTTCACCAGAGCGCCGCTCTAGATATCATGCAGCAGATGTCGGCGTCCGCGCTGCACACCAAGATGGTAAAACAGTCGCAAATGGTCGGAAGGGAGTTGATCATGTCTGCCATCAGCCCGGCGGAAAGGTGGAAAAATGCCATCGAAAAGGTCGGTTCTGCTACGGCTACATACGATCCTATAAGTTTCAACCGGCTGAGCGCTTATTGTCTCACAAAGATGCTCTACGTCGAAGGACTGAGCGCGTCTTCCTGGGTGGCTCTCTCGGAGGAGTATGAGGGGCTCAAGGTAAATTTGTAAAATTCATGCGCGCCGCGATCGCTAAACATTGTCAGCTAATATGCCAATGCATCTTCCAGGCGCCTCAATCCGAGGAAGAGTTCCTTTTCATACAGCGCTTCGGCGACGCCCTGGAAAGTGCCAAGGGAGAGGTGGAAAGATATCTAGCGGGTGCCAAGTCCGCCTTCTATAAGGCTTGTAGCGAGTATCAGAACGTCAGTACCGTTTGATGTCTCTCTTCGCGCGTTGGGTTCAGTCTTATTTACGGTTGTCGAGGTCTTCATAGATCTACCGAAAGATTTATTCTTTGCTTGACAACTGGCGAAGACCCAATTTTCAGCTCAACCTTCGCCTGATCGCGCCTCGAATCGCTAGCATGCAAGACAGTGACCTCATGGTACCAGGTCATTTTGATCCCAAGAAGCTACGTCATGAGCAACCGTTTATCGACAGGTTCGAACCGATGGTCGATGTCCTGAATACCAAGCAGCTTCCGCGGAAATTAGTCATGTACAGCAAAAAGGCCAAGTGGACTTTCCTCTTGAAAGGCAACGAGGACTTGCGGCAAGACGAGCGGATCATGCAATTGATCACGCTGACAAATACGCTGCTCAACCACAACAACGAAGCTTATAGTCGTCAGCTATTTGTGCAACCCTACAGCGTCACGCCTCTCTCCCCAGATTCGGGTCTGTGCCAATGGGTCGGGAATACGGAAACGCTGATGGCCATCGTAACGTCCGGGCGCGCCAAAGTCAAGGGGCAGCGATTGACCGACCGGGAGTTTGCAGCGATGTTTGCAGTAAGTGGTGTTCTCGTCTAATCGCAAGCCTAGGCTGGAGTTGACACCTGCTACAGACGGATCTGAAGGAGTTGCAAAAGGGTGGATTCGACTACGACAAGGGTAGGTCGAGGCGGCCTTGGCGGGGTGAAGCCACGTATTGACGCGACACCTGTTTCAGCCACTACGCGCTACGATGCTTTGTCGACCGACCAGAAACTGGAGAGGTACCGAAGTGCCCTTTCTATTTCGAAGCATAGTCAGTCTGAACTCTCTCTTGAGGCATCTTACACGCAATGCTGACCCATCTGCCCGCGTTCTACAGCCGACCTGAAAGACCTCCTCTGGAGACGAAGCTCCAGCTCCCAAACCTGGTTATCCCGTCGAACCTGTTTCGCGCGGTCCATCGCGACGACCTCGATGGTCGGCTACGTCATCGGTCTGGGGGATCGACATCCTGGAAACATCTTGATCGAGCAGATCAAGTTCAACGCGATCAGTATCGATTTCGGGGATGTGTTCGAGGCGGCGGCAGAGAGGACCAATTTCCCGGAACACGTGCCGTTCAGGCTCACCCCGGAGATCTTCAATGCATTCGAGGTGGATCCGACGTGTCAACCAACGTGTCTACCGCTGCAGAATCAGCTGATAATATCGCCTTCCCATAGTTTGCAGCTGTGCACGGTGTCAAAGCCCCAGGTTCCCGCGGTCACTTCAAACGGTCATCCTCGATCACCTTGGGGGTCCTACGTCAACACAAAGAGACGCTCTTGGCGATGTTGGAAGCCTTTGCGCTGGACCCTCTATTGACTTGGCAAGCGAAGGAAGTCGACAACCCAACCGGTAAGCTCATCTCGTTCTTCCCGATGCGCCTAAACCTTGAAACAAGAGAGACTGATCAGCTCTAACCTTGCGCTTTCCAGCCGATGACCCGTATGACGAGAAACGCGACCAACCGAAACCGAAACTGAAACCGGTACCGGCAGCTACCACTACCGCATCCGACCAGGTCCAAGCCGAACGCCGCAAGAAAGAGAAAGCGACCGAAGTCGTCCTCAACCTCGGAGGCAGTTTCATCGCCCCCGGATCTCTTGCGAGGTCTAAACCTGCCAATATTCGTGGGCTGGGCAGGGTACAGGAAGAGGAAGAGGTCGGAGGTTCGGTGGATGTGGACATGAACGGGAACGGGAGGAAGAAGGGGCGGTTGGATACGGTCCACGAATCTCGGGCCAGCCAGCCTGACGATCGACCCAACACTACTACGACTCACACCAATGCGACGATGACTACCACCACAGCCGCAAGCCAGGGAGACGACTCGTACATGGCCCAAAAGATGTCGCACATCATGACCAACGAGCGCGCCTTCAAGGTGTTGACCCGGATCGAAGAAAAGCTCGCGGGGACCGATCGGAACGGGGGCGGGTATACGGGTGGACCGCCAGTCGAGGTCGAAGAGCAGGTACAATATTTGATCGAGGAGGCCACCAAGCACGAGAACTTGGCGCAAGGTGAGTCGGGAAAGTCGCTTCGGACGATCAGGCAAGTGTGTTTGCTGGACGATAGAAGCTGAGATCCTTGTACGTGATCGTTTGGTTTCCACAGGCTACCCCTTAGGATGGCTTCCGACATGGTGAAAGACGGGTTCGGCGATGCGAAAACCTTGTATTATTAGATTTAGACAATTGCATGATCCAACTTCGTTTGACCGTTTATACAGTTGTTGACACACACATAACGAACCCATTCATAAATCACTGCCGCGTGTTTGCGTACCGTAAGGCCGGTGACGGACTCTCGAGACGAGCTCAAATCGCCTAGAGGATCCTTCCTCCGTCCCTGTTGTACTTCAGACCGGTGGCAGCCGCAGTAGCGATCGCTCCCAATCCCAACATCTTGGCCCATCCGAACCCACCGCCACCTCCGAATCCGTCAAGCGACCTGTTGGCGAGCTGATACTGACCGATGGTGATGGCGGTCTGGCAGAAGATGAAGCTGAGACCCATCGAGACGGGAGAGAGGAGCGAGGCGAGGGGGAATCCGATGACGGTGGCCCACTTAACCAACTCCGAGGGGGGTTGACGGGTGTAGAATCCCATGGCGGTGTTTTGCAAGAAGCTGCGAGCGGGCGCAGATGAGGTCAGTTTAACATACAATATTCTCGCCCTGACGTCTTTGCCCTGCCGGGAGAACTCACTCCATGACCCCGATTCCGGCAAACGAGACTCCGACGGCGTTGGCCAACTTTTGCTGCCACGTGTTGGGCCTAGGAGCTCGTCGGGCGTACACCCAGTAGAGGGTGATTGCCGTGTTGACAATGACGAACATGTCGGCGAGCTTGAGCTTTTCAGCGTTCCACTAAAGAGATCCAAAAAAAAAAACGAGACAGAATGGAACGATGCTTCGTCAACGTCCCGCTCTCTAGACCAACCTATCATCCGTCCCCATTGTTACTCACGAAGAAAGGCCAAGTCCCGATCATCAAGTTTCCTAGAGTAAAGTATGGGGCAATGTCGAGCGTGATGGGTTCCAACTTGCCTCCCGAAGGGTAGTAGAGTTCTTTGAGGTAGAGGACCTCGAGGATCTGTTGAGGTCCGAACCAGGCTCCGATGGCAAAGGGACTGATACGTCGGATCAACAAGGGAGAAGGTAGAAGATCAGTAAACGGGGAAGAGGAAAGAGAAAAGTAGCAAGGTCGACTCACGTCGGGTTGAAGGCGCCGGGGTTCCTATCGTTGACGGCCTTCATACCGGGGTCGTTGATGGCGATGGCGTACTGTTGACTGAGAAACATGTACGCCCACGAGATGGGAGCCACGATCTTGGCGGTGGAGAGTGAGATGCCCATGATGAAGTGTGAGTGTTGATGATGGAATGTGATGGAGGTTGTGTTTTGGATTTCCCTTGCTCGGATGAGGTCGAGGTAAGTGAAGATCGAGATCTGACTGTAGGTTATATACTTCCCTGACGGGTGACGAGCGAGCGGCCAGGTTCCCGTGACCGTGACCTCCTCGACGCATCATCATCATCGCTGCATCGATCTCTGCCGTGAATCACCTCTCGATCGCCGTGTCAGCCGAGGCTAGGGAGAGAGTAGTCACCCCCCGCCGGTATCCCCTGACTTCCCAGCCCGTTCCTCTCCCACCACACCCGTCGTCATCCATCCGGATCCCACTGGATCGGCGATCGGGCAACGAACCAGCGACGAGACGCGGGGTAGACGTCATTCGATACGTCATCTCTACGTCACGTGATCTACGACCGGCATGTACCTTTTATACAAAGTAAACACTTGGAACGGACATGACGATCGATACCATGATGTCCGCACTCTCTGAAGCCGGTTACCGGTTATCTACCGAGAAGCAATCGTTACTCACTCCTCTTTGAAATTCGACAGGTGAATATCAATTGTCTCTATACTTCAGATTCATACAACGGCCATAAACACCTGCGTCAAGATATTATACCGCACGACGAACCAGCTTCACGCCCACCTCCCCTCGCCCGCATCTCATTCACACGTTCCTACACATACGACAAAGCCAGAACACGAATCATGGACGCCGAACTCGTCAGGGTAGACCCCCCTCATACCTTTCCCGCTCTCACCTCCTCGTCCTCCAAAGCACGTCATATCTCTGCATCAAACTCAAACTCCGCCAACCAAGCTCTTCCGGAAACCACCTTTCCCTTGGCCATGCCTTCCAACCCTTCCCCGAACTCGGAATCGGACCCCCCACCACCAGGCCTGTCCATCCTCCATTCTCTCGACCTAGAGGAGATCGACCCGACGGTCTTCCGGTCGGTCGCTGATAGCTTGTGGATACCGGCGGGTGCGAGAGGCGCTTTCGGAGGGCAGGTCATCGGGCAGGCTCTGAACGCTGCGACGAAGACGGTTGGGAGTGGTGCAGAAGGCAAGAGGTGGGGTTTGCATAGTCAGCATGTGAGTCGGAAAGTGCGGAAAGTCAGTGCGATGCGTTTTCGTGCAGTAGCTAACATATGATTATCTCGATTTCGTCTGTTCTTCTTCTCGTCCTAGTGTTACTTCCTCCTTCCGTAAGTATTTCCTACCAATCGTGTTTTGAACGGATACAACACACCGCGCAGCACTGACTGCAATCCGATTCGCTTGAAACGTGCAGAGTGGTCGCGAGTGACCCTATTATCTATCGGGTTGAGAAGCTCCGGGATGGTGAGTCTGGAGATATTCTACAGGAGAGAGGGTGAGAAGGCTGATCGCAGTCATGTTGACGCTTTGGGGTGCAGGTCGGTCTTACGTGACCAGGTAAGCCTCAAGATATATCCTACAAAGATCCGTAACCCTATTACAAGACTGATTCGACCTACCTCCCCCGCCCGGCAGACAAGTCACAGCTACCCAAAAGGGCATCCCCGTCTTCATCCTCTCTTGCTCCTTTACCCTGCCTCCGCCCGTCACGGCACCACAACCGTCCTTCAGCGTGCCCATGCCACTAAACGTCCCCGGTCCAGAGGAGTGCGAGGCAGAGGAAGACAAGTGGGAGCGGGTCTTGAGGGAACGGAAAGAGGCCGGGAGGGAGGTCAAGGGGGATGCTCTGAGAGGATTGATGGCCTATATCCGGGTAGGTCGTTTCTTAGCTTCAACATGGATCTCTCATCCCACTCATGAAGCGACCGTGACTGAAACCGTAACTGTGCACCTGATCCGATTCCTGCAGGAGCGAAAAGAATCTCCGATCGCGCTCAAAGAGATCCCACGGACGGCCCGGATGAAGTTTCCGACGATCGCCGGCCAACAACTCGACGAGGCTGACGAACGGGCGATGCAGGTGCACGAGCGGATGTTGTGGATGCGGACGAGGGATCAGACGGTGGCTGGGGAGGAGAGTAACATGCAAAAGGTGAGTCGTAGTCTATCCGGTAAAGCCGAGGTAGACGGGATGAGGAAAGCTGATTCGAGACCGCTGGTGTGGGACAGTGCATCTTGGCGTACATCTCCGACTTTCAGTTTGTAGGTTCAGCAGCGCAGAGCGTCGGGTTGTCGCATACGAGCTCTCCACGTTTAGGCATGCTGGTCAGTCTGTCGATCTCATCTGACGCAAATTTCCGGAGAGCTGACCGTCGCCTTTCCAACCTCGAATACTCTCCGACGCAGGCCTCGCTGGACCACGTCGTCTACTGGTACTCGACGACGTTCAAGACATCCGACTGGTTGTTGCACGTCATCACCGCCCCGAGGACGGGCGACGGTAGAGGGGTCGTCGAGGGCAAGTTTTACACGCAAGAGGGAGAGTTGATCGCGGTGACCGTTCAGGAGGGGGTCGTGCGTGCCGCTCCGCAGAGTGACAAGGACCGGGCCAAGTTGTAGACTATTAGACAAAAGGATTCGTTGTACATGCTCTATTACACAATACAATAGCGTAAACAAGGTTTCGGGTCGATCCATAAAGATCTGCATAGATGTTTTTAGAAATTGCTGTTGAGTCCTGGAAAGGGACAAGCTTGGACAAGGTGGACACAATCTGTGCTGAAAGCGGTGTGCGGAAGCAAATCTGGGAGGACAAATAGGAGAAGAGGTCCAGTCAGCTCAAAGTGCAGATCACTGCATCAAGTGACATCTTCAAGTTGCAGAACCCTTGGAATAGGTTCTTATAGCTTCTCAGACCTATTCAGAGTGTAGAAATCGAATTCTAGGTCGTCCTTGAAGCTAGAAGTGACGGCATAGCGTTGTCGGAAGGGAACTTCGAGATTTCGGCCTTGCCCATTCCTCTGGAATCTCTCTGAATCACCTCTCACATCACCAGCATATCTGCTAGACATTCAAATCGACCAAACAACTCAGGCACACCTCGAATCGACCATGTCGCAACGTCGTGCGGCTGCCGCTGCCAAGGCGGCCATCAAGGCGGAAGAGTACGATAGCTACGACGAGTTGTTGACGGACGGCGAAGACGAGGAACAGGAGCCGGTCACTCAGGCCGATGGGACTCAACCTCCGTCTCTGATTGTTGGGTATCTGAGAACCTATAGGACGGCCCAGTATTCGGCCAGCGATTTGAACAGTGAGTGTCAGAGAGCGGACGTCGTCATGACGGAGATGTTGACGATCATTTCGGCTGCTAGCTATGTGCCAAACGGGAGACATCGACCTGCAAGTGGATTACCAGCGAGACGTCGTTTGGACCGGTAAGTCCAGTCGTGCAACTCAACATGGTCAACGGTTCTGAGTACGATGAACAAAACGGTTGTGTAGAGGCCAGACAGGAAGGCTTGATCGATTCGTTGTTCCTCAACTACTTCATCCCGCCGGTACTTGTGAGTTCTGCTGATCTGCGGAAAGATCAACCACATAGCGAATATTGACATGACTGTTCCGTCAGTTCTCGACCAGGACCTCTGATGATGGGACTCAGAAGCGAGTGTGCAGTCAGTAGAACATGTCGCTTGTATGACCCGGCATGTCCATTGATCGGACCTATCACGAACCATAGTGGATGGCAAACAGAGGTTGACGTCGATATGCAAATTCATGATGGGTCAGGTAAGTCTGCATGTCTGCGAACGCCCGAGGCATAGCTCACCGAGACTGATTGTTGCTTCGCAGATTCCTTGTGAGTCGGTGCTGCCAAGGTGGGGGAAGACGTGTGCTAAGAATTACACTTCGGGCGGATTGCATGGTCACTAGGGAAACCGAAGTGAGTACGCGACGCTGTGCATCGTGGGCGCCCTCACTGAAGTTCTCAATCGAATTCCACCTCGTCGCGATCACTTCAGGGCTGGATATGGCAAGGGGAAGAAATTCTGGTACACATACGACCCGAAGATACATCGAGGACGGGAGCTACCGCTGAGGGAGAAGAAGCTATTCGCCCAGAAGCAGATTCACTGTGGTGAGTGTCTTCTTTTTTCCTTGAAGCAGTTGAGCCATACGTTTGCTGAAATATATGCATCTGGCAGCGGAGTTCGAGGATCTCAACGAGGGTCAGGAGAGGGAAATCTTCCGTATGTGAATACATCGAATTTGATTCTTGTCAAAGCGCTCAACCTCAAGATCCTCTTTTATCAGAGCGTGTTCAACTCGGAGTCGCTCTGTCGGCAGCCGAAAAGTTACAAGCTCTCGCTACACCTTACTCTGTGTGGATGACATCGCTTCTGAACAAGCACGTTTTCGGTGAAGAAGGTGATACGATCAACAGCTATTTCAAAGACTGGAAACAAGACAGGGGACAGGCGTATCAGAACGTCTGCGTGCTGGTTTATTTCATCGAAAAGTACCCCTTGCCTATCACCTCGGTCAGCTCGATCGCCTTAGGATCCTGGCTCAAGCGGGTGGACGCACCGGAAGTGCACTTGCGCCGAAAGGTGGACACGGTGTTCTATTACTACATCGAGCTGATGAAGATGTATCAAGATGTCGCTATCACCGCCTGCGGAAAAAAGCTGTCTCCGATCGGTAAGCCCCCATACATCCTGCTCGGATCAAGTCCAAGTTTTGCTCACGTTCTTCCGACGCACAGAATTCTCTTTCATCGGGGTGGTGCTTTATGTCCTCGGAGCCTATATGAGCCTCGAAGAGATCGCTCGCAGGATCGGACACATGAGGACTTACGTGAGGCAGATCGACTCTAACGTCCGCTCGAACGGCTCTACCATTGCAGCCCTCGTGAGTGCCTCAGGTAAACTCGCATGGGCCGTACTAAACTAGACCACTGTATCCTGTTGTAGTGGCAATGGCTCGGACAACAACCTCAGAGAACCATTCCTGGGATGCGCCCTATGTTCGAGGAGGAACAAGAAGCGGCTCCTTCTGCCAGGAAACGTCGAAGAGAGGAGGAAGCGGACGGAGACTACGTCGGAGGCGGTATCCGAGCTGACAGCCCTGGGCAACGTCGCAACACCCGCTTCCAGGGATGAACCTCCGAAATCTACAATATAATACTTCTTCACGATCCGTATGGCTGAGAATGAGACTTTTTTTTTGTAAGATCTGAATCCTTAGTTATAGCTAGTCAACAGCAGCAGTAGCTAGTAGTATGACGTGTCTCGCGTCATTTATGGAATGAGCAATTGATCAATTGAGCACATGAGCGCGCAGCATCTGAGCTCTTGAACGTCCTTGTCATCGCACGAAATCCGTGACTGATTGTATCGGGTATTAACATTCATAAATGCTTTAACATACCAGAGGCAGGAGCCTTGAGTTGATCACACTCTGACCGCTGTTCAACGAATCAGAGCCAAAGAGGTTGGGCAAAAGGCTATCATATGGCTTCTTCATTCAGTATTCCGAGCCAAAGCTTGGACTCATATAGCCAGTATTCGGATATGGGATCACAAGCAGAAACGTCGGCCGATGGTGCAAGAAACTACAAGAGTCGAGCACACAAGGATATGCCAGTGTTGCATACGTCAAGGAGAAGAGCGGGACTGGAACGCTCAGCGACTTCTACGGTTGTCAAGAGCGTCAAGGCGGTACCGAGACCTATGTACCCAACGTTCATGTCTTCTCGGTCGACACGAAGAACATCTTGGGCTCGGAAGGGTCTTGGAGATCTTGGAACGATGGACTCGGCGACGAGGATGTACAGTGAACGGCCAGGGGATGCTCTCTCGGCGGGCTTGGTGGAAGCTCCAAGATTGACGAGAAAGGCGACATATTCGTCTCTGCCCCCTTCACCAACCGGAGCTATTCGGCTAGAGACTGATGGACTCCGAGACCTATCGGAACAGTCACATCTGGAGTTCGCTAGCTTGACGTTAGGCATCGACCCTCATTCCAACGACATACTCGCTCAAGCTATACAACGCATCGCTTCTAGGAGAGGCTCGGCGATCTCGCTAGAATCGGCCGAGGACAGGCTTCGAGTCGGCTCTTTGCCTCCAGAAGGCTTCTTCTGCTCGGCAACACCCATATCGGGCAGCCTGCCGAATCTGAGGGGAACCCGGTCCGAAGATGATTTGGATGAGGAAGACCACGAGACGGGTAGCATTCGGGCAGCTGAGGCCGAACTTAACTCTCCTCGTTCTGCTGGATCAACCATAGAAGATGAAGACGACACGTTCCAAGATGCTTTCGTCTCGCATGATGGCTCTCCCATCGATGGGTCTATGCTGCTTAGCGGCAGTGATGTTAATATAAACACTCTTGGTGGAGAAGCTGAACACGCACGGAGACTCTCTTGGTGGGACGTCTTGAGAGAAGCTGTAGTTGAGGAGGAGGAGCAGGCTTTGGAGATACAGGGGAAATGGTGAGTACGATGATGGAGGCGGTGATGGTTTGGGATGTGGGCTCACCTGTCGTCGCCTGGACAGGGATCGAATCGCCAATTTCCTAGCAGTTCCAGCAGCGATAGAAAAGGTACGTACTAGCTCGTTCGGCAGTTAGGCTGCATCTGATCGTCATTTCGACAAGCAGATCACGCTGCTCGGCGCCTTGCTGTGCTTGGACAGTTTTCTATACTACTTTACCATCCTACCCGTGAGAACACTACTGGCGATCCTCTCGATGGCATGGGAATCGTTACGCGCTCGCCGACTGCAGTAAGTCTGCTTGTATCATCCTGTGGTTGCGGAAAATAAGCTGATAATACGCAGATCCCCTGGTGTATCTCATCTGCAATCTATCCAGAAGATGGGTCTTCTGGTCGTACCCACAATCGTACTCCTGAAGACAACAGATGCTAGCAAGATGTATCACGGGGTGCGGGGCCAGGACACAATCAAGCTCTACGTAATCTTCAACGCTCTCGAGGTGGGTTCGAAGGTCACTAGCTGTACCGTATCATGTCGCCCATCCTAATCATCGGTCGCCGCCTACAGATCGCCGACAAGCTCTGCAGCGCCTTTGGACAGGACATCTTGGATACCCTCTTTGCGGCCGAAACTCTTGGAGCCAAGGCGAGCCATACTTCGATACGGCTGAAGGGCCAACGCGAAAGCCGACAAGAACGGGCTCAGCGCAGACGGGAACGAACCAGGCCTTTTTTCTTCTTTCTCCTTGCTTTGGCATACGTCCGTGAGTATAGCTTTTCCGAACAACAACAAACTCTCGCATGCTGACCCTCGATTGTCCAGATGTACACGCCTTGGTTTACTTCTACCAACTCGTCTCGCTCAACGTAGCCGTCAACTCATATGACAACGCCCTGTTGACTCTATTAGTCAGCAACCAGTTCGTCGAGATCAAAGGCTGTGAGTTTTTACCCGCGTGCGATATCCAGTCTCGTTTGCTGAGTCCGAACTCTCTCCAAAAGCGGTATTCAAGAAGTTTGAAAAGGAGAACCTGTTTCAGATCATGTGTGCGGGTGAGTACAAAGTAGACCCCATGTACTGCCAGCACGAGCTGACACACAATTTCCTGACCATACAAGACATTGTCGAGCGATTCTCATTGACCTTGATGCTGTCATTGATCGCTGGCCGAAACCTGATCGAAATCGTTGGATCCGACATTGGCTTTGATCCGAGGAGTCTTCTGAGAGGAAACGGTGTACTGAAGACTATCATGTCGGTAAGCAGCAAGGCGACCTCTGATACCATGTCAAGCACACTAAATTGTTACCCCCTTTCGCCAGCCTGTTCTTGCCGTGATTCTCTCGGAGATGGTGGTCGATTGGCTCAAACACGGTTTCATCACGAAATTCAATCACATCAAGACCACGATATACGGTCGATACACGGATGTACTCTGCAAGGATATATTACTCGCCGCACCGACTTCGAGGAATGGCCGTGGACTGGGATCATCAAAAGTAAGCTTGAAATCAACTGGATCTTTGGAAGCGAAAGTCGTGTTAACCTTGCTTGCGGCCCTTCGCAGCGGCGTACGCTGCTGACCGATCGTTCCACTCTTGTGACACGTCGACTCGGCTTTGCAGCCCTCCCGCTTGCCTGTTTGGTCATACGGATCACGGCCCAAGCATTCGGCATGGTCTGGTCGAAGGCGACCCCTAGTGTCTTGGAGGATGCCAGTCGTTCAGCGCTCGTAAATACCTTTGAAAGATGGTGGAGGCCGATCTCAACCACATTGGTATTCGCTATCGGATGGTTTTGGTAAGTCAGGTCCTGCACAGAATATCGTACAGGTCGACATCCAGCTGATCGAATCATGCCATATAGTCTCTTGGCGCTAAAGAGCATTATGGGTCTCAACCTACTCGCCTTCGCCCATGGCCGTCAGGCTGGGATGGACCAGCGCGAGCGGGAAGACCGAATCAACGATTTCGGTCGTAAACCTATCGGTGACAGCCTACAGGAGCAGGTGAGTTCTGATTGTCGGATTCCGCTCGACTTTTCGCTAACCCCCGCTGCTCTGCTCGGCTAGAAATACAATGATCAGGTCAAGGACCACTTGTCCAGGAAAGAGGACGACATGCCCAAGCTCGAGACGCACAAGAAGGAAGACGCTTCGAAACCTGGGGGAGTCGGTGGCGGCGGAGGAAAACCGAAGTGGAAGTTGGAAGAGGTTGAACGATGGTCCATGATAAAGAGGATCTTTTAATACGGAAGTTCGACAGCAGGTCAAGCACCATCTATCGATACCATGTGCGAGTTGCTGGCCTTGATCTCTTCCTCGAAGGCCTTGATGAGGTCGACGTCAAAGCTCTGTCCCCCTCGACGTCGCCATTCCCGGCCCCTTGACAGTGCGGGATGACGTCTTGGCCTTTCCCTCGTTCCAAGAGAGACGTCTTCTTTGGCCATTGGCAAATCTGAAAGAATACCTCGTCTTCGTTTCAGTAGGTAGATCTGCTAGAACTCGCTCATCCGATGCAGATCATCGAACGCGTCAAACCTTGTTGATCCCTTCCATGGTTGAGCGCACGCGAGACAACCAGCGTTTCGATCAAATCGGGTCGGGTGATCGGGGTCTACGCAGTCGGGTCGGCTCTCACGGGTTCGGCCGACGTTTCAAGCGGACGCGCGTGGGAGTTGGCCGATCAAAATGCCTTGGCCGAGCTGTCCTTTGGACGATCTCCGTTTGCAGTTCGAAGGACGTTTGTTATCTTGCGAGCACTGCCACAACTTCGACTTAGGCGATATGTCACGTTCACGAAACATAAGGAGAAGTTCCCGTCACAGTACAGCTTCATTTTGCTCCCGCTCGCCACTCGCGCTCTCTTTGACAGACGATGTCGATTGTGAAACGCGGGGCAGTCCCGCTTACCGCGGGATTGATCGGTGAGATGGCTGATTAGCTTCGCGTCTCATCACTCCCCTTCTCCCTACCGCCCGCTTCGGTCCCGCGCACGCGTGGTCAGCGATCAGTGATGTGATCAGATCACTTCGCTTTGCTGTCTTCTTTCCCTTTCCATCCCGACCTTCGTTCGTTCATCAATTCTACATCATCAGCAACTGCGTCACTCTCCCTGTTCTACCGCTGTCGGAAACAAGGGGAACGAAACCCCAGGGGCACGAAGAAGTGAGTGATTGTTGATCGCTCAGGAAAGAAGCTTTTACTGTCGTCGTCCTCCCTGTTCTTTTCTGTTTCCACCAGCGAACCGTCACTTTTTCCGATCACATATAGGGGTCCAAGCCGACGACAAAGGAAGGAAAAGGGAAAAGGGCTGCAAAGCGCAACAGAAAGGGCAAACCATCAAATTTTTGCAATCTTCCTTGTTCTCACGCGACGTCATCATAAACTCGAACTCGACCTTTGTCCTCGGCCCGTCGACACAAAAAGGAATTCCTCGAACTCGATCACTTCCTCCCTCTTCCAACGAAACCCTGCAGATCGTTCTCGTTTGCTCTGGATTTCTCCCTTTTTTACTCCCCCCTCGGTCTCTTCTCTCGAATACGGACCCACCGCCGATCGGTTCTTTGAGTTTCAACCTTCATCCTCGACCTCGCCGTATAGCCCAAAACCCACGGGCAAGACAAGGATCGACGCTCTGGAACACAACTCGTCATCTGGATCATCATCGCCGAGCTCTCTCCGGCACATCGTAAGGCCTTTCCTGCCAGCACTGCCTCCTTTGTTCAAAGGACTCCTTGATCGCTGACGTCTTCTCGCTCTCTCCCTCGGTCTTGGCCGTGTGCTTCGTCGATCGCTCACTACCTCCTATCTTCCTCCCTCCTCTGGAACTACGATTACTCGCCTATCACCCCTATCGATCCTTGGCCGCATCTCTTTGCATTGCTTTGCAGTTCTTTGCAGATCCACTTCACCTTACGAAACGAACCGGTCCACCCGTGATCACCGACCACCACAACAATCCACGTCCGACCCGAATCACAAAGGCAGGCTGAGTGGACTTTGAAGGAACGCTCCTCTAGCATAGCTTTCAGGGATATAAAGGGACTCTAGGATTTTCATCTAACCCACGAGGGTCGCTCCGTTCACCACCATGTCTGGACATACAAATACTCTTGCCTCTTCGATTCGCTCTCGAGGAAACCCTTTGTCCACAACGACAACCATCTCGTCGGATTGGACTCTAGTCACGCCAACTACAATACGGAACGAATCTCGTCGTCCGTCAACCCGAACTGCAACAACCTGGTCAGGCAGACCTCTACCTCGTCCTCGCACTAACCCGGGACCGTCCTCGAACGCTACACCCGAATCTAGCTCGAGTCGCCAACCTCCCCGACGTTCAGATCGCCTCCGATCGACTTCGACCAGAGCGAATCGCGATCTACCTTCGAGCCTCGCACACGCTCAGGTTATCGATTTGCCTCCCAGCGCCATCGTTACATACATCGGAGAACCTAGAGATTCCACCCAATCTCCGTCGCCACCATCTGTCCGCGACCGTGGCCCTTATCCACTGCGTCGGTCCCCCCGCACCTACTTTGACGACATCCTCCCAACCTCAACTCGAAGCAGACCTTCAACCAGAGGCGACATCATGGTCACTTTCACCGGTCATCAACAAGCCATGCCTTCCCGTCATTCGCCACTGCCTAGTCACACGGGCATGTTCAACGATAGCATGCTCATCGACGAGGTCATGCACACGCCGACCCCCTTCAAAGGGCCTTTACACGCGTCGGTAAAGGTGGTCCTCGACAACGCGTCGGATCGCCTGGAGATGATCGGAGGGGCTCGCACGGGGTGAGTTTCAGACGTTCCAGACGATTGGTGAGAGGCTTCGAGACGCTGATAGTCTGGGATTGGTTTCGGTCAACAGAACTGCATACTCGCTAGCTGGACATGTTGTTTTGACGGTACCGAACCTGCCCTTGGCGGGAGGATGCCCCGACAACTCGTTGCGAAACAGGATCAGAGAGCTGAAGCGTTTAAGGGTGTCTTTCGAGGGCAAGAGCGAGTACCATGATGATACCGGTATGTAACACCTCAGATCTTCCGAGAGAGAAAGAAGACTTGCTGACCGGCGCTCATTGTGGCTTGGCAGGTCGATATCAAGTCATGCAACTCTGTCGGGTCGACAAGGACTTGATGCCGGAACAAGAACGACCGCAGCTGCTCCACGACTATCCCTCCAGCCAGTCGTCTTCAGGCTATCAGAATTCGACATCTTACGCTCTCGCCTTTGACCTGACTGTGCCCGGTTGGTTGCCGGCTAGCTTTTCCAACGAGCTCACTACTACGTCATACGGGATGATCTGTGAGGCCGAGATCGGATGGGCGTCAGCAATGGATAGCAGTTTCACTTCCAACTCGACCGTCGACGGAGCGCTCTATGCCAATCACTCTACGGTTTCCTCCATGCCTATCCCTATCGGGAGTGGCTTTGGAGCCGCGTCTCGTTTCCTGCCGCGCTTGGCCAAATCGATGGCGACCGCTTTCACCGGATTCCCCGCTGCTCAGTGGGAATCGGATCACACTCGAACTCTGAGATCCGAGTTCAAGACCATCAAGATTGTTCGACACCGAGCGCCGGCTACCACTTCCACGTCTCTTGACGAGCGCGGTTTCAGGATTGGACAGATTGCCAACCAGACCGAGACCCCGCAACGCCACTTTACATTGAAGCCTTCGGAAGACAGCCCGAGCCCGATCGAATGCATGGTCAGCACGCCCGAGATCGTCGACCTGGACGGACCTAGCCTTCGGGTCAGCGTGCGACTTCGAGCTCGAAAGATGGCATCGTCAGCACCAGCGGCGTTGGCTCCCTCCGAGCCATCTCGAGCCATACCCGCTGGGGTCATGAGGTCGACCGACGAGAACGGCGACGTGTCTATGGAGGATCTTACTGGGATGGGTGAAGAGTCTTCCGATTGCGCGGGCCGTTCGCACAAGCGGGTCCCATCTTCGATTACCATTGAGGAGAGGGTCAAGATGGTCGAGATTGGAATGGAAGTCGAGGAGATCGAGCGATACAGGTGAGTCTCATATGGCTTTATTCGTTATACAAGAGTTTAGCTGATGATATTCGTCGGACAGTTCTCTTCCTGCTCAGACATTCACTTCATCCTTCCCCATCCCCGAGGACCAACCCAGTCTGTCGGCCAATTCTGCTCCTTTCGAGTCCAACAGCAATGCCTACCTTACCCCTCCTTCTCATTCGGCACGGATCCATCTCCTCGGTCTCGCTCCCACGACACTCGCCAAACCCAACCGGAGTCGAACTTTGCTCCTGGGAGAAGATGGAAAACCTCGAACGTACCGGTTCGAAGGCGAAGGCTTGGATCTCGGGAGCGGGTGGCGCAAGGTCAACATCGTCGTGCCTCTACCGCCTCGCTCAACCGATGGCTCGAACCCTCTGCAGCCTAGCTCGGAGACCGAAACGCCATATCTGAAGCTCAAGCACAAGCTGAAGGTGAGTCTGAAAATCAGGTTGGATGATCTCGAGCTCGCAACTAAACAAAGTTTATCAACTCCGAACAGATCAAGCTTATTTGCAAGACGCCAGCAGCAGTAGGTGCAGAGACCGTTGTCTGCCTGACCACCCCACTCCGGATGAGCACCTCGGCACCGACCATCAGACGCAGCCCATTCGCGTCTCCGACTGCGGGCAAACCTCTCATCCCACTCCCCGCATACAACCAGATCTTCCACGAGAATGGTGCGGTCCGAGAGGATGATGACCCTTTGCCACTGTATGAGGAACCTTCGACGCCCATCGCAGAGTTGCTCACATCTTCGACACCGAGCGAGAACGAGATGGAGTCTGCGGAGGAAGCTATGGACATTGCGGATCAGGAACAGGTACTACAAACCCTCGCTACAGACGATCACACCTTGAGTCCGGTACCAGAACCGTCAGCCCCGAGTTACGGACACCATGTTCCCCCTCAATCAGCCGACTGGGACTCCTCTATTCCTTCGCTCATATCGGGCACCCATCTCTACTCTCCGACTTCGACCTTTGCGTCCGTTCCCGGACCTCGCACGCCACACACACCTCGAAGTGCCTCGCCATCTTCTTTCGACGAGATGAACGGGATCGCTTTCGGGTTCGGAACACCGGACACTCTCGCCGAATCATACAGGATACCGGGATCTACAGGAGACGTTTACGGACAAACTTTACCACCCGACGTCATTGCACGATATCAGATGCTTTCGAGAGTCAAAGGCGCCAGAAATGCCTCGGGACTCTCGCAACTTGCCGCAACCCAGGAAATGAGCTAGACACGCGCTCAACGAGACCTTATAATGAGTATAGGATAGTAGCGATGATGAACTAGATACCAGTTTCTTCTCGACCGAACAAGCATTGTAAAAAGACTGTAGCATCTTATATCATCGCATACGGCAGCTCGATTGGATTGCTGATCGCTTGGACGATCATTGTCCCGATCGGTCTCTCGCTGCAAGCTGAAACCCCGAACTTGATCTTCCGGTGAGGTCGGTCCGCGTCGAGTCCACGCTTCCCGTGTTCGGCCAAACTCGACCTTGACCCTTGTTCAGCACGATCTTGGCCTAAACCCCCGAACTGTTGGTCCTACGGATCGAGTATGCCCACAACCGTCTTGACGACAACGATCTCGATCAGTCTTGCTGCTTTGAAAATAGTCCGCCGGCCACTCGGGCCTGCAGGCCATGGCCAGAGAACCTACCTCGGTTTCCCCTTTATTTGAGCAGAGAATGCGCATCAACTCGAGTCGCACTGTATCCCCAACGCCTAATACCAGACCGACGACACCTACCACCAACAACCACAACAACCACAATACGGCATCCAAATCTGCTCTGCTAGAATCGAGTCAGGCTACAGGCTCCGATCGACCATCATCGACGGAAGCGCAACCCTCGTCTGCGTCTGCTCTTCCGGCCAACTCTGCCGTACTGACGCTGAATCCGAATTCGATGGCCATGGTCGTAAACGGGGTATCCAAACCCGCCAAGAACGGTGCGATACAGTGGAATATACCGAATAGATAAGCTCAGGCTGACGATGACGCTGGTATCGGCTTGTGCTAATGCAGAAAAGCTGTGCCGGAATGTACTAATATACGGGTAAGCCCGCCTAGTCTAGCTTGACCAGATTTGTTGGCCTTGATATCTCACCGGATGTTACTCGCGAGACAGATCTTGCCGTTTCGAAGACAAGGGTGTAAGCCTATCCAGATATCGCTCATCTAGGATTTAGGAAACGCTAACATCCCGCACCGCTTCATAGTGCATCTACTCTCACGGCAACGTGCCCGGACCATCATCATCCAAGGGGTCTCAAAGCCCCACAGGGACTTCTAGTTCCTCCGGAGGGTGAGTGCTGTCTGCACCGGCCCATCGATACATGCCATACTGATTGACGTTCGACCGTAGTCGCCCTAGAGGACCTCTCGCAGCTGCAGCATTCGGTACTTCCGCTACCGCCCAACCGTTCAACCCGAACCCCTCTCGGCCGCTGCCCGTTTCGATGAGCTCGGCTGGATCTCTCAACAACGTGTCCCCGATGACATCTCCATCGCGAATGTCGGCTTCCGTGTCTGCACCCGTCTTCAGACCGGCAGGCAATGCGGCTCCTAGCACGGCCCCGTCGACGCCCAGCAAGATGAACGCTGTAGGCAGCAGTATCAGTACCGAGCACCTCAAGGCTGCGACGTTCGTGCCTCGGGCGGGAGGTTCCATGACTCCAAATGCTACGCAGAGCTCTATCTATCAGCCAACAGAAGATGATTCAACACCTACCACGCGGGCAGACGTGGGGGGTTACGTTTCGGGAGCGATGATGAACATGAATGGTGCTGTTCCCGGCGGGACCAGCTCGCAAGGGGTGAGTAGTTGGCGTCATGATCGGTACGATGGATTTGTACTGATGTAATTCGGGTCTCAGATGAATATGGAGCAGAAAGACAACTTTTACCCTACGGACACCAGGGTTGTGAGTATAGGCTGTTGACAATCAAGCAGACGCTCGCTTGAATACAAACTTCTCGCTTCGCAGCTTGATCATCATCTATATTCAACACCTTTGCCTCACACCGCCAACTTGCCCGCATCGCATCTCCCCCTGCACAACTTCTTCCTGCCAGCGGATTTGCTGGCCTTCATTCATGGTCGGGCGGAAGCCAAGCTGGCGTCCCGATCAGCAGACGGGTCATTACCATCGGAACTTCACGTATATCACTCGCTTCATACCCTCATGGCGGAAGCTACCCCTCAGGAAAGGAGCATGCGGGTATTCGGGTACATAACGGATGCCTATCGAGCCCGTTGTCGGCTCGATGGTCGACTATACTGCTTGCGACGCGTCGAAGGTAAGCAGGTTTCTTCTCGAAGCAAGATTCTAGTCTGACTGACAAAACCACATCTCGACGTCGTCAGGTTTCAAATTGGGCAAAGAGACGGCCTTTAGTGTCCTGGACAAATGGCGCCGAATACGGCATCCCAATATCGTTTCTGTGAGAGAGGCATTCACAACAAGGCTGTTCAACGACAGCTGTCAGTATTGGTCTTGGAGAGGCTGTCTGTAGAGCCTACAACTAACTGTCATTCGCGACAGCCGTCATTTTTGCCTACGACTATCACCCACGGTCGAGGACCCTATACGAGGCTCATTTGGGTAATCAGATCGAGATGATCACACAGGCGAACGGAACTATAACACCAGCGCCCAAGGCTCCGACTGGTATACCTGAACGCGTACTGTGGAGCTATATCGCTCAGATCGCCAACGGACTCAAGGCCATACATACCGCTGGTCTGGCTTGTCGCACAATCGAGCCCACCAAGATCATCCTGACAGGCAGGAACAGGTAAGGCGGCTAGCCTGGTCATGTGATATCGATATTTTGACTCACCGAGTCTCTTGCGTAGAATCCGACTGAACTGTTGTTCAATCTTTGATGTTACGACTTTCGACTCGCCATCAGCCAACTTGCATTACCAGCAGCAGGACGATCTGCTCAACTTCGGGAAATTGCTCGTCTCGTTGTGCTGCGGCACGACCGGTGCTGTGCACGCCCTGGCCGCATCGCTTGAGGCGATTCAGACCGCTTATTCGCCCGACGTCAAGCTCGTCATCCTCTACTTGCTCGGAAAGCCTGGGCCAGGAAAGAGCATCGACGATATTCTGGTCATGCTCGGACCGCGGCTATTAAATGAATTCGATGCCATGCAAAAGTGGGTAGGAGTTCGATGGTGATTCCGACACTGATGAAGTTGGCTGATCTACCGTTATCGGCGTCTAAATCAGCTACGCCGACAGTCTCGAGTCTGGACTCGAGGCCGAAGTGGAGAATGGACGTGTAGCGCGGATGTTGATCAAGCTTGGCTTTATCAACGAACGACCAGAGTACGTCTGGAAAGCGGAGTATCATACGAGCTGTGTAGGTTGACAGGGACCCTCGCAACTTCCAGGTTCCAGCAGGATCCTAGGTGGTCGGAGACAGGAGACCGGTTAGTCTTGGCTGATGTGTAAACTTTTTACCCTACCATGCTGATGGTTCCTTCTCGCTTCATAGCTATGTTCTCAAGCTGTTCCGCGACTATGTGTTCCACTCTGTGGACGAGGTTGGCAATCCGGTCCTGGATCTGACTCATGTGCTTCTGGCGCTGAACAAGGTCGGTTTACGCGAACGGTGCTCGACGCGAAGAAGAGCAGGAAGGCTAATCATGGCTCCTTCGCTCGTGTCATGGCAGACCGATGCGAGCCTAGATGAAAAGATCATGTTGGTCGCCCGGGACGAGCAGAGCTGCCTGGTGGTCTCGTACAGGGAGATTCGCAATTCCATAGAAAAGGCATACATGTGAGTCGTGATCGTTTTGCACTGGTCCGGTCCCGCTCGGAAGCTGATCAGAAGCGAGGGTCGATCCTCTTGCTATCTTAGGGAGCTGATGCAACAATCTTCCGGGATGCGATGAGTGGGTCGAGGGGGTAAGGGGTAGCAGCGCATGATCCTCTACGTTGAGAGGAGGTCTTTTGTATCTTGTTGGTATCGAACGTGAAGATAGTGTCGGATGAAATGTAGATGAACACGACCAGGGATCCAGGAGCCAGAGACCGATAGCGAGCGTCTCGTGGTAAACCTTAGCGCGTGTCGACCAGCTCGTGGGGAGGAGCTTTCGCGCAAAAGACGACAAGGAGCAGGAAGTGATATCCCAATTTAAGGAGATGTATGTCAACCACGTAACCACATCGAGCTCTATCATACTGTTCCTGCCAAACCGTCGCACCAGCTGATAGCGTCTGGAACGACTGGGCTTTTGGTTATCAGCTACGAGATCCAGTGCAGGCGGTTTCCGACTCTGAGCGTGTTTTAAGGCCCTAGTGTGGTGAGCTCGACGTGTGGGAATCGACGTGGTAGACAAACTCCTGAGCTTTTCTGGCCGTTGGCTCGCTGCTACTTCCCAGGTAAACAGCTTCGCCATTCAACCTTCATCTCTCTCAAAATGGCAATCGTCATCACTCCCGGTCAACAACGGTTAGGGGTTCGAGTGGCCCTCGGAGTGCTCCTCATCATCGTCTTTCGCTCGATTCTCTTCCCCTCGAATACGCAACCCAAGGAGATCCAGTCACATGGTGTGCTCGAACGAGTGCTCTTGACCGACAAGTACCTCGACGTACACAAGTACCCTTTCTTGCAACATCGTACCGGTCGAGATGAACGCCCAGACCTGTTCGACAAGGAGGTCAACGACGGGGTGATGGATTTCTGGACCAGGTTCCAGAAGCCCTTCATCACCGGTAGCGAGACTGCCCATCTCGACCAACAGGTTGTCCGAGGAGCCATCGAGGACCTGTTAATGTTCAACGGTTGGGTAGCGGGAGCTTGTCCCACGCTGAAACGACCGTTTGGCCAAAATTCGATGGATGAGCATTTCGAAGATCTCGCAAACCAGGGACACTTGTACTATATCGGGATCGTCGTCCACTCTGCCGATCATTTCCTGGTCGACCAGCTCGCCGTCATCGTACAACTCGCTCGACGACTAGGGACGCGCAACATCTTTGTCTCGGTCTTGGACTCGGCCTCGACGGATTCCACCGCGACCCTTTCGGATCTCTGCGAGGCGGTCATGATCACCCTGGGTATTGCCTTCAGGATCAAGCGTGTCCCACCCATGACACACGAACCCTCAGCCGCCTACTATCCTCTCGAAGAAGCTCAGGCGAGGAACTATGCCCTGGAGCCCTTGCACGAGCTCTGGCAAAAGAGGAGCGTCAAGTTCCACAAGGTCATCTGGTTGAAGGGGTTCACTTGCCCCAACGATGTGCTCGAGAGTCTGCGAGTCAGCGAGGTCAACAATGCCGCCATGGTCTGTGGTATGGATTGGGCCGAGCATAACGGGTTCTTCATCTTCTCTGACCGGTACGTAGCCAAACTGCTTGATTGACATACTGGAGCTTTAACCTTGACCCGAATCGAATCGCGTCGACAGATGGAGAACTAGGGATATCGAAGGAAACTTGTTCCGTCAGGCCAAGTCCAACTCGAAACCCGAGGCTGGACCTCCCCGAGACAAGACCGGTACCGAACGATACGCCAACCATCTGCCCTTCCAGGTCTTTTGCTGCGAATCGGGTAGTCACGTCGTCGACCCTGAACAGTCCTACTACCGGGGCATCGACTACCGGGCTTCCGAGATGGCTCAGAACTTGTCTAGCACCGAGTTGCCGCCCGATTGGGACCCCGAGTACCAGTGCATGGACTCGACTCAGATGTGGTTCTGCCGAGATCTCTGGACCGACGCCGCCAAGGACGGTCTCAAGGGCGGCAAGGGCGGTTTGAGCGGCAAGGTACCTATCGGACACAATCGAAAGGCCGGGCACAAGCGAGACGAGGTTCCACCTGCCGCAGCTGCCGAGCCCAACGCTGCCGAACTGAAGGCTCATGAGCGCGATGAAAAGGCCGAGAAGCAGGCTGTCGAGTTTGCCAAACGTCAGGCCATCAAGGATGACAAGGAACAGGATTCTGGGACGGACAATGACGCCATGGCAGAGAGCGACGAGAACGCGGCTCCTCCCCCCATGCCGGCGCAGGACCAGCTCCCAGCTTCCGCCTACTTGATTCCCAACGCGGCCTTTACCCCAGCGAGGATCCTCGTCAACCCGCGATGCATCACCACGTACGGAGGTGTCTCACATACCCAATTGGCGCTCGACCTGTTCGGCACCAAGGGACACGAGGACAACGGCGGAAAGTACGCCTTGGAGGACTGGATGGGTCCTCCTGACAGTTTCGTCTGTCAAGAGATGAGGACGACGGGAGGCCGGACAGCGCCCAAGAGTCAGAGACGTGTAGGGTGGTTGTTGCAGAACGAGGTGAGTCGACGAGTGGCCGACATGGGTTCCTGATAGGATTTGTTGCTGAACTGCCTCTCTACTTGGGGTACAGGTCGGAATTTAGATGGACTCTTATGAAGGGGAAGACAGGGGTTGGTGTGACCAGGCACATCGATCGGGATCAGACACCTTTGTACATATAGAGAAGCAGACCATGTTGATTGCATCGGTACGAGGTCTCATTGTAGCCGCAGAGGCCATTGAGCTGAGCCTCATTTTTTCAAGGTCTGTTGGCAGGGCTTGCGCTCCCAAGATCATCCCGTAAGTGTTGGTGTTGATGGTCAAGCTGAGGTTGAGGAACAAACGTTCACCATGGTAGTCGGCTGGTGCTCAGCGAGCTAGCTTGGTTCTTGGTGACCTTGTTCTCCTTGCTGCCTCCTCCGCTGGTCACATCTCGAGGATGACGACTTGGGCGATGCCGGCAAGGGAGGAGGGGAGGCGACTTGCACGCGGATCGGCCGATCGATCGCGCGAGCGAGCGACCTCGGGGGTGTCCCTGATCACAAAAGTCGCCATCCAACTTCTGCGTTGACAATCTGCGACCCGTTCGTATTTCAAGATTATTTACCTGTAATTTAACAACAACAGTATCAAACTCCCGTCTTGATATCCGGGCATGTTTCGGAGCACAGGCGTATCGCCATTGCGACTCGCTCGGCGGAGATGGCAGTCTAACACGGCAAACGTCGAGACGCAAGCTGTCAGACGAACGAAACCTTCGAGGTTGTACAGGACGGGGCGGTTCGTCTTGGTCACGGGAGGTGTCGGAGTAGCTGCATGGCAAGCGGATGAGAGATTGAATGCTGCGGCGATCACTAGGAGTGCTCGGGCATTGGCTATGGGGTGAGCTGCAGACTGTTTGCTTCGCTCTTGAAGACGTTGAACTGATCCGTATATTGCAGCTTGATTTGCACGCTTGACTGTGAGTACTATTTGAGCATATACAACGAGATCTCAAGAGCTCACTGTTCGAATCCCAGATAAATGGAATTTCAACCCAGAAAACGCCGCCGATATCGAGCACATGCACGAACGGGTCGCACGGCGATTCCATCAGACGATCGTCACCAACCAAGGTCTCTGGATCAAGGCTGGCCAGGCTCTCGGTCTTCAAGCCGCTCTTCTCCCTAAACCTTATCGGACAGCCTTTTCCGACATCTTTGACGACGCCCCGACGGTACCTTATGCGGAGATCGAGAATGTCATCAAGCAGGATATGAATGGAAAGAAGCCCGAGGAGATCTTTTCCACGTTCGAACATGTCGCGGTCAATTCGGCTAGTATCGCTCAAGTACACAAGGCGACTGTAAAGAGGGCCGAGATTGGGAAAGATGGAAAACCGACGGGAAAGACCTGGATGGAGGATGTGGCAGTCAAGGTCAGTGCGGGATGTCCAGCCGGGAATAACATTGCCCATTAAACACAGCCTGCTGTACTTTCGTTAGATCCAAAAACCTGCCATTCGGAAACAGGTCGAGTGGGATCTCTGGTGTTACCGATTCTTGAGCGGTCTCGCGGAGAAGCTATTCGATATGCCTAGTAAGCCTGCATGGAGGACCTCGTGTGCTAGAGTCCGAGGCTGATCAGGCTTACCTTCCTTCAGTGGCTTTCGTGTGAGACCTTGATATAGTGAATGCACCGCCCCGCATGCGATGAGCTGACCCAATGGCGATACACAGAGCCGACTACGTATCGGAGCAGATGCGATTGGAAACGAATTTTTTGCACGAGGCTCATAATGCCCAGAAATGCGCCGCGTTTTTGGCCGACACCCCGGAACTCCGGGACAAGGTGTACGTGCCCAAAGTCTATCCCGAGGTAGCTGGGACCGAACGGGTCATGGTCATGGAATACGTCAAGGGGTGCAAGATCACCGACAAGGAAAAGATCGAGGCCATGGGGTTCACGCCCAAGGAAGTCATGGACACGATGATCGCCACGATGAGCGCGATGACGTTCAAGTGGGGATTCGTGCACTGTGATCCTCATCCGGGTAACATCCTGGTCAGGCCGCACCCATCGGATCCGAAGAAACCTCAGGTGGTCTTGCTCGATCACGGGCTGTACCAGGACTTGCCCGACAAGTTTCGACGGGAATACACTTCGTTGTGGAAGAGCCTGTTTACCGTCGACACTGCCGAGATTCAACGGATAGCGGGCGAATGGGGGATCAACTTGGACGTCAACCTGTTCGCTTCCGCCATCACCCTCCGACCGTTCCAAGTGGAGAAGAAGGACGACTCGTCGTTGGAAGCCGCCAAGGACGCCAATGTCAAGCCAAAGACGGATTACGAGCTCCAGGTCGAGCTCAAGGAGAGGATCAGGAACATGTTGGAGAACGAGCAGAAGATCCCGAGGGAGTTGATATTTGTCGGCAGGGCTCAGCGGATCACGCAGTCGCTGAATCAGGTGGGTCAGGGTTGACTGAAAGTAACGTTGATGCGATTCTGACAACCTCTTTTCGTGGTCATTGTGTAGATTGTCGGTTCTCCGTCGCCAAGACTGAACATTTCAGCACACGTGAGCCCTTGTTCAATCCTACTGCCTTTCTTTCTTCCGAGCTGACCCAGACACGATTCGCTTTTCACCCCTCGCTCTCTATAGTGGGCTCGAAAGGGATGGAGAGAGAACCTTTCGCCGGGCGAGAGGACGCTCTGGGCTCGGGGTCCTAAAGGATGGTTACAAGACCGATCTGATAGCGTCATCTATGGGTTCGCCCTGTTGGCCCTGGATCTGAGCTTTTGGTCCAGCAGGGTCAGGCAATGTGAGTTGTCGTTCAAGTAGAAGAGAGATCGACTGAGACTCGAGACCTAATACATGTTACGTGGTTGCGATATTACAGGGTGGTATCGAGGTTCGGAAAAGGGCAAGCAGGGGTGGGAGGACGACCTGAACAAGAAGTTTGCGGGAATCGCAGAATCTTATGGGATCGCTTGGGACGAGGACCCGTTTTTGGGATAGAGGAGAAGTTGAAATGTGCGGGACGTTCATATGTGACTGATAGATAGAAGGCGACCTTGACCTTCGACTGTAGCGTATATCACTCTTCCCGATGGCAATAGATAATAAATGATTGATAGGAGAGTTAGAAGCGCGACGCCCTTCCTGCTCTCTCCCTTGGAATTCTGAAACTTACCGGATCGGGTAAGCGCGCGAGAGTGAGTGCACTGGAGCACCGGGGAATGTTCATTCATGCTGAACGTTGAACTACATCGGCCTGACAGCTACCCTGACCTACCTACCTCTTAAGGTCTCCTGTCAAACAAACACAGACTCGACTAAACAGACATCCCACACACTCCCCCTCCCCGCCTCTCCTCGACACTTTTTCCATTCCTCCCCCCCAACCCGCCCATCCCGAATCCCCCGTCTACCTACCGCTTTCACCAAACTCGCAAACCCCCAAAGCCAAATCTTCAAATCCGTAGCGCCTCTCCTGTCGAACTCTTCATAGGAACCCTACCCTTGCACCCGAAAGCTCAAAGCATAAGACAAGAAGAAGAAGAAACAGGAAACACGTCAGGAAACATGTCTGCTACTGAAACTAACGGTGAGTACACGCTACCTATATGAACGTGATATGGCCGCGTCATGCTATGAGGCGGCTTGAATGAAGTCCTTCAAGCGAGCTGCGTTTTCCGGCTCAGCTTGTCAAAGGAGGTCTTGTTCTGCCGCTGTGTTAGCGGGGAAGGCTCGCGAGGATTCGGGTATATGAGCGTGGTGTCAGTACTGAGGCTGACCTTGATGTATTTGTTCTTCTTCCACATTTTGTGACACGCAACCTGAATCATCCTGCTACCCTCCCCACTCTCCTCCTATCCTCGCCTGTTCAATCCTCCCGACCTTCGATCGTCCGTCTCGACACCCTTCCACCTTTCCCAGACCAAAAAATGCCCGTCCCCACCTCTCCCGAGCAGGGCGACAACGTCGACCAGACCCCCGCCGACCTCTCCGAGTTCCCCGGCGAGGACGGTCAAGGAGCCATCTCCATCCGCGCCCTGATCAGTACCAAGGAGGCCGGAATCATCATCGGTCAACAGGGAAAGACCGTCGCGGGGATCAGGAACGAGAACGAGGTCAAGGCTGGGGTCAGCAAGGTCGTACAGGGCGTACAGGACCGAGTTTTGAGCATCACTGGGCAGGTCGAGAATGTCTCCAAGGTGGGTCTCGCAACTGTTTAATGTCGTTCAAGCACCGTTTTGCTCACGTCTATACTCGCCGAAAACCGTCAGGCCTTTGCTCAAGTCGCCAAGACCCTCTTGGAAACCCCTCTCGCCGACCCCGAACACCTTCCCAGCAACGCCTTCACCTCGATGCGATTGCTCATCTCGCACAACCTCATGGGATCCATCATCGGTAAATCCGGAGCGACCATCAAACAGATCCAAGACGCTTCCGGCGCCAGGATGGTCGCCTCTAAAGAGATGCTTCCCCAATCCACCGAACGGGTCGTCGAGATCCAGGGGAACGTCGAGGCTATCAAACAGGCCGTTCATCAGATCGGAGAGTGCCTCTTGAGGGACTGGGACAGGGCTCAGGGGACTATCTATTACCAACCCGGTGCGGCTGGTGATCAGGGTGTCCTCGCCGGAGGTCTCGGTGCGGCCACCGTCACCGGACCTACCGGTGGGATCAGGAGGGCTAGTGCTACCCCGGCCTTTGGCGGCAATGGAGAGAGGAGGATGAGCAGGGCCGCTCCTCAGCTCGGTGGAGACAGGAGGAGGTCGGAAGGTGGGAACGGAAGTGGACAGGGCTTGCCTCCGGCTTCTCTGCCTGCTGCCGGGCAAGGATCGTTCGGAGGTGAAGTCGACCCCAACTTGAGGACGCAGAGCATCTCGATTCCGAGCGACATGGTCGGCTGTATCATGTGAGTCTACAACGCTTTCTACGCGGCTCGTTCAGAGTTTCGACGTTGATCACTGACGCAATCGCGATGCTTGTTCATAGCGGACGTGCCGGATCCAAGATCACCGAGATCCGACGACTTTCCGGGTCCAAGATTTCGATCGCCAAGACTCCCCACGACGACAGCGGTGAGAGGATGTTCACCATCGTCGGACCTCCCGAGGCCAACGAAAAGGCCTTGTTTTTGCTCTACAACCAGCTCGAGAGTGAGTCTATGAGCTCTAGGTCGAAAGCCGTTTTGCAAGAAGAGGCGGGTTATTGATACTTGATATCGGTTTCGTTCTACGCACAGGCGAGAAGCAGAGGCGGGTCGGTGCTACCCTCGGCGAGCCGATCCAGGAAGAAATCTAAGCGGACGCGATACGATCCTCGTGGAAACCTTGGTTTCAGCCTCTCTATGCGACTCCCGAAACGCCTCCCTTCTCTGGTCCCTCGTTCTCTCAATCTCACTCTCTCACTCTCTTTCCTCGAAAACCGCCTCAAATAAAAACACCATTCCCTTCCCATTATTCTTCAACCTCGGATCTAACGACCACCCCGCTCTCCCTGGACCGTATTTCACCCTTCTGCGCCTTTCCGTATCATCCCTCGCGAAACGACAAGACTGCCACCACCAAAGATGATGTTCGGGTTTCGCTCTACTCCTTTTTCTCTCCGCACGGATTCGACGATTATGATGATGCGTCGGAGAGCGTCGGAAGATGGAACGATACTTATGGTCTGGATGGGCAGGGGTGAGAATGGTCGGGGGGTTCGAATAGGTCGGATCACTTTCTGCTGTCTGTGGCGTCATGTCCTCATAGTTTTCTGTTCCTTGTCTTGAAATGGTATATAAGAAAGAAATGAATCGAAATGGCAATGAAAACTCGTTTAGGGCATAAAGTGACGCAGGACTGTGCGCATGGGTAGTACATGATATCGTAAGGCTCTGTGTAACGCCTCGGCTACTGTATCTCGTATTCGGTCATTGTGTAACGTCAGGGTCAAATGGCCTCAGGACCCTGGGTAACGTCCCGGCCATGCCCGTCCATAATAATCCATTCTATCTTATCCAGTTCTGTGCGAGGACGTGGGTGATCTGAGCATATTACTGATGAAGCGAATTTGTGCTGAAACTCACCGGTTTCTGGGTTTCTTTTCAGCTCCATCTCGCCCTCTCGCTTGCAGCGTATCGAAGAATCGCTTTGTGTGCCCTTCTCATCTCCTTGCGCTGTGCGGGCGACATATCCTCGCTATCAACGCTATCCTCGCTGCTGTCGCTATCATCGCTGCCGTCGCTATCATCGCTGCCGTCGCTATCATCGCTGCCGTCGCTATCATCGCTGCCGTCGCTATCATCGCTGCCGTCGCTGTCATCGCTGTCGTCACTGAGCTGGCTAGTCGTGACATTTGCAGTACCTAGAGAATCACTGTCTCTAGGATCCTTCGAGGCAGTGATGGTGATCCTTGTCTTCTCGGTCGTGTTGCGTTTAATGTACTCGATTACGGAATTGGCGTGGGCGCGCGTCCTGACGTCCGTAATGATGAGGTCGAGATTGAGCTCCTCGAGGTTGATCGGAGCAGTGCAAATTCTTGTAACGTGGGCCACAAGAGAGGGCCATCGGGTATATCCGTCCGCGACTATGCGACAAGAAGGTAGGACTACCCTCCTGCATCGCCGTAGGTGGTGGAGCCATTCAAGTTCCGCACCCTGGACTTCGACGTCGGTCAAATTATGCTCGCCTGCCATATAGTCTAGCAGTAAAACGGAGTCCGGACGGGTGGTGCATAGTTTGGCCTGGATCCTTTCGAGTTGAGGACACTCGTCCATGATCAGGCCTAAAACACTAGCTTTAACCTCCTCTCCTAGGACGGACAAGCTTCGCAGATCCTTTAGGCTTCGTTTTCTGCTTCGGGAGAGCACGAGCACAGCAGGGTCGCCATTGTAGATGACCAATTTGTGCAGCACTGAGACCGTAAGACCTCCAATTTTGATCGACGGTTTGTTCCAATCCAATAAAGAACGGTCTTTGATGACGGTTCTTAATCTGATCGATCGCCCGCTTGTCTCGTCTCTCGAGATTTCCGTCATTTCGACGTGCACATCATCGGACCCGCTAGTACAGAAGCTCTGGCTCCGACACCGCTCGATGGCTATCTCCTCGAGATTTGGCATAAGCTTCCAACCCGTAAGATCATAAAGAACCGGATAATTGGTCTGCCAGCCCATTAGAGCGTGTTGAGGATAATCGTCCAAGTCCAGTAGTCCCCGGTCGTAAATCGTACATGGCGATGATGCAATCAAAGTGTGAACGGATTCCAGATTTCGTTGTTCGCGATGCTGTTCAAGCGCAGGTCAGTATCAAGTACCTGCTTAGGGATCCTCGAGACTCAAGGCTCACCGGCTTGTTTCGCCATTCCTTCACTTGGTCATGAGTCACTTTCCTCCGCAGATATCGCAACGACGAGTCATGGCCACCCTTCGAACTCAGAGAGAACTGATTCAGCGCGTCGATGTCATCACTCTTGTGAATGGCTTCGGCGATCAGGGATCGGATCAGGTCGTTGTGGTAGACGCTGCTGGCTGCCGAGTCTGGCGGGACATAAAGTCCACCGGTGTCGGTCATGATACGAAATCGAGAACTTCGCAAGCGTTTCGAAAATGGATAGGTATCTCGTCGATGAACTGGCGACGTCAAGATTGCTTTCGTGTATACTTGCATATGATCGTTTTTGGACGTTGAAAGAGTTGATGATCAGTGTGTCGAATGGAGATGGCACGTCCCCGTCGACCCATCATCATCACGAAAGCCAGCGGATGCAAACTCGACACGACTTGAAACCACGGGCATACACTCATGCCCGGTCGTAACACAGCAAAAGTGGCGTCACTGTTTTAGCGAAGACACCTTGTCGCTTGTCGCCATGTTCCTAGCGCCCTCAACCGATCAAAGGCATTCCGAGAGGATCGCCATGTCCGTGCGCCCTCCTTTGTCGCTTTGTCGCGTATTCTCGGTCAAACGGATCCGCCCCGGTTTTGTCTCGCGATGTTTTGTTTGTTCTTGGGTCGTCGTCGCGCTCGCGCTTGTGACTCGCGAAAAAAGAAGGTTTTGAAGAGCCAGGTGGATCTTCGGGAGGTTTGGAACGATTGAGATTCTGACACGGGGTCAAACGACGTCTCGGTTGATGATGACGACGACCGAAATCGTCGAGAGGCCCCGGCGGAGCAAATTCCGGGCTCGAGCAGAGCCTTCGAGGCCGGCCGGGTGCCGGTGTTGTCCTCTTGGCCGATGAAACGCTTCCAGATTTGGAGCGACCGGTTCCGAGAACTCGATGTACAAGCCACGCACAGACACCTCGCACGTCGACGGTACGACAGTCGATCTGTAATTCTGACTTCTGATACCCATGGCACACGTGCTTTACATGCTGGCCTCTCCCTCCGTATATGTTCCGTTTTAAGTCGATCGAACGCGAAGCCACGCATCGAAAAAAGAGAGCAGCAGGCACGCCGATACCGATACCGAAACCGATACCCATAACACCCTTCCTTTGACTTTGAGTGTTCCAGATCTCGGCCAAGGGAGTGTCGACTATGCCCGGAAATTGACTCTCTCGATACCCAAGCGATCAAGCGATCCTTCTCGTCGGACATGGGGGAGTTCTCGAGGATCACGACGCCTCTTCTTCCTTTGATGTCACGCCTGCTTCCCCAAAAAAGTAGTGAAGGAGAGATCTCACCTCACAGCAATTCAGCAAGTGGAGGTGCGCGTTCGTCAGATTTCAAAACTTTATATAAGTAGCCAAGTAGACTCACTCACCGGGGCTCGACGATTCCCTTCGACGTCAATTGAAATCGCTTTGAAGACCGCTCGAACCGTCCGCATCCATCGATCCGCCTTTAGACTTACAGACTTCGAGCGATCTTCTCTTCGGTGAGTAGTACTTCTCATTCAAATCTCGGTTACGCTACAATCTAGGCCTCTTCTGTTCACGTCAGCAAATTCACGAGAGCAAGCCCTTCCTTTGTAATACCAAGCAATCTTGGAATTGGTGCCCTGATCGACCAAAGTCATAGGCGACGCCGGTTGTAAGTGTCACGCATGTCTGGACGCCGATCAGCGATCACCGACGAGTCTATACTGGGAGGCCAACAGCTAACCTACTTTTGCCCTTGCTAGGTCCATTCAAAAACTCCCTGCCCATGATCTCGCCTCCACACCTGAACGCCGCCTTTCAGGCTCAAAATCCCCAGTCGAACATTCATTCCGCCTACCTATCACTACCGTCTCTGTATTCCTCAACGAACTCGCAACCGGCTGCCCCTGTACGAACATGCCTCACAGACACCACCGAGCTAATCCTTCAGGAGAACGAAAAGTTGCGGAAACAGGTCGCCCTCCTCGAGCAGCTCGCCAAGCGGGAGTCGGTATCCCCCACATCGTCGCCGGGAAGTGGATCGGGCACGACTCGGAGACGTATCTCGAAGCTCCCCTTGATTCGTCTTCCACCTCGGACGGAAACTGTTGCTGGCACTAGCGATGAACAGAACAGTTTGGCGGCATCCGATTCGAGCATGATGGGACAGCAGCAGCTGCGTCCATCGCCTTCCGAGATGGTCGAAACTTACTTAGGTTTTGGTCGACCACCTATCAAAGGCGTTGCATCATCGGAAGAGTTGACCATCGACTTCACCTCGGCGACGGGACCGACCATACGGAGGACACAGAGCGCAAGCTTTCCTGTGACATCCGGCCCAAATGCGCCTGCTGCCATGTCCGTCGACTTGCCCTCGATCAGCGAAACCGTCTCGCAGATCGGACTCGCAGGACCGCATACCGGCCCTCCACTCGACCTCTCAATACGTCTCCCTCACACACCCGAACCCCCACCATTCGACATTCCTCGGGGCAAATCGCTGCCTACGTCTGACCACGAGGCTGCTTTCGATCCGGACATCAAAGGCGAGACCGTTGTTTTGCAACAAGGGTTGGACGGGATGCAAGGTGTTCAGACCGCTCCCTACCCAGAGTCATTGCCATATGGCACGACGACGAGGGCTACTGCCTGTCAACCGCTGGAGCAGTGTCAAGCCATGGAACCGTATCCGCAAGCCCCGGAGCAGGCGCCGATACAGGACTCTTCATCCGCGCTAGAACAGCAGGAAACTGAACCTCTGAGAGAGTTATTCACCCTGACTCCTCTTGACCGGACCAGCGTGAGGCTGCAAGAACCTTACATGCGAAGCAAACAGTACCCCCTGAAACGCGTCGACATGGGGCCAATCCACCGGGCCGCCGCTATTACCCAAACTCGGATCCGACTACCCAGCCTCGTGGCATACTCGATGCCGCACGGACATGCTAAATCCACCAAACCGAGCCGTTCCCCTGAGCCTTACCCTCGATACGACAGCTACTTGCCCTTGACATTGCCACCTGTTCAGGCTCGACGTCGCGAGGGCGCCACCACGTTTACTGCCCCGCAGACTTTTAGTCAGGTTGGGTCGACCGGCAAGGGGCAAGCGCCTCGAGGGTATCAACGAGCGGCTAGTCGGCGCTCCATGCAGGTGGTACGGGAGAACGACACCGAGTCCGAGCAGAGCGTTTCGGATCACTCGATTGAGCCGAGCGTGCAGCACGAGAGTCGGTATCTGAAGGCACTATCGCAACGTCGTGCTGGTCGTACCGGACAACGTGGACCGCGCGGAACAAGGTGATACCTCGACTCGCAACCAGAAAACACCCAAATCGAGGACTTCATGCTCTTGTGATCATCGAGACGGAAGCCACGATCCTGCCTATGCCTATGTATAGTATACTACAACCTGTGTGTTGCCTTGTCATGTCCTCTCATGACCTCTCATAATCGCGGATCGCGCTGTTGTTGATCTATTTCGTCTTCTCGTACTGTTTGTATAATTTACGGCGCAGGTCAGCTGAATGATCGGTCAAGCGCGATTTGGAGAAAAAAAATGACTTACGAAACACATATACGCCTTTGCCTTGAGAACTTCATCGAGACTCGCCAGCCTGACCGAAGTGCTACGAATGACGCCCGCAAGAAGGGTTAGTTGAGCACATAACATTGGCAGACGAGAAACGGCGGGACATACTCCGAACAGTAACACCACACCCGGTTGTCTACGGGGTGTGGGGCGGTAGATGTGCCGTCCATGGGGTCGGCAACGGCAGCGGCGGCCATGTCGGGCTCGCAATGCGTATCCTGCGCATCGGAAGAGGTAGCGGAACCTGCCCTGGTCTTGATGATGACGCCCGGGTCTACCAACACGTAGCAGACATAGTGACCGCTAATGGCAGTCAGACCAAGATGCACGACGACGGCTGCAAGGTGAACAAGGTCAGTACAGGCCTAGTCATGGTGGATGTTTGTTGGTGAACTTACCATATAGCCTGTACCGCATGGGAACGAGTTCAGGACCAGTGTCACCAGGAGGATGGTCCTGGTACTTGGCCCGTCCCACTCCATCAGGCCCGATGACGACCTTGTAATCCTGTCGCTCCGGAGCGAGGAATGGGCTCAGGTCGATCCTCTCGGGGAACGAGACAAAGTCGTCAATCTTTTTCAGCGCGGCAAAGCTTCCCGAGTACATGTTGGCTGCGGATTGCTTGCTCGACTGCTGGAACCGCTTAAAGTGGAAGACGAGGACGGGAGGTGCCCGTGCGATCATGTATCGCTTGAACGCCCGCTGGAGCACAAAGTGCTGAGACTTTCGTCGTTGAGGCGGAGGTGGTCGGACCACACTCAATCGTCCGACAGGTCCCTCGTCGCTGCTCTCCTCAGATGACGTCTGGTATCCCGACGTCCCTGATCCAGACCTGCCCGAGTTGCTCGACGCAACGGTGAGTCTGTCAGTCTCGACGCTCCCGGTTGTGCTGGGCCTAGGCGAGCGATTGGCCGTGAGCGACGAATTGGGCACGACGTTTTCTTGCGTCGGAGTAACACGCCCCATGGGTTCATCGTCGGTCGTTACGGCAATCTCGGGGACGACCATCCGAGGCTCTGCAAAGGCCACCGAATGCCCCTTGGCCGGCTGAGCGGCCTGCTGATCCTCGCTATCGCTGCTGCTTGACGAGGTCCCGCCTGCAGGCGGAACGTTGGCCAGTTTCGCCAACTTGCGTCTCCGTCCACCCCGACCGGTCTTGTATCGCCAACACTTGTGACACGCAAACGCATTATCACCCTCCAACACTTCGACCGCTGTAAAGTTTTTCATGCTGTCCATGAGATCCGTCTCGAGCCCGTCGATCGCGGGCAGAGATACCCCTGCAGGACCTTCTGCCAGGCCATTCCCCTCACCCGCCGAATGTCCACCAGTCGCGCCCAGACCCTGCTGCACCTGCATCTGAGCCATCCCACTTCTCAACCGCTCCAAAGGGTCGTCCATCGCCCTAGGCGGCAGATTGGGTCCGTTCAACAACCTCCGGATGTAAGCCGCCTGTTCCGGTCTAGGCTTGGGTGGCTTGGTCGCATCCTCCTCTTCAATGCTCTCTGCCACCAACGAGCTATCGAGCGTAAGCCCGACCTGGGAATTCCGTCGGGAGCTGGTCGGGGTCGTCTCGTTGCTCCTAAACCCGGAAAACGGGTATATACTCGAGATTCCCTTCTGCTGCCCGCTCGGAGCTTGAATCGGAGTTTGGCCCCCAGATCCACCGCCTGTCGTCGCGCCAAATGAAGGCCGATGAGGCGGTTCTCCAAATCCAGCCCCTCCGACATCGGCAGAATCAATGCTGCTTGTCGTACTGGGTCTCGATCCTCGCCTCTTGCCAGTCCACGAACTCAACGACGTTCGTTTCTTCAACGGCTTGGACGTCGAATCCATCGAATCCCGTTTCAGCTTGTTCCCAAAGAACCCCGCGCTGACGCTCGGCGCCTCTGACCCGCTCGTCATCGAGACCGCGGTCGTACTCGTCACGCTCTCCTTTCTCCCACCGCCAACGTGAGGATTAGCAGCTCCTGGGAACCTGTACCCAAACCCTTCCTCGTCAGCCGTGGTCGAATCATGATGCTCCCCGGCAGATAAGGCCTCGTGCACCCCTTCGAGGTAGACGCTAGGCCCGTTAGCCGCGCCCGACGAGGGAGCCGAAGGGGGCGGACCGGACGTTTTATGCGATCCGAGCTTGAATACGGCCTTGATCCGGTCGCGCTACATGTCGTCAACATCGATGTCAGTCTCGTAGAAGGGGGGAATGTACAGACTCCACACATCAAGGCGACCGAACCGACTCACCTTTCTGACTTTGGGCTGTTGTTTCCCGATACTGAGACTAATGTCCATGAACCCCTCGTACGTATGCGAGACCTACAAAAATGACCCAGCGCGATCTTGATCAGCCTCTCCGTCCCCGACAAGAGTTCTTCTATGCAAACCACACGTCATGACTCACGCTTTTGCACCCCTGGCAGATGACCACGCTAACCAGACTACCGCCAAAGAGGGCATCTGCAAAGGGGATCATCCGATCCTTCACCAACACCCCATCGACCTTTTCCTCCCCCTCGGCGGTGTGCGTCAACAACCCGGCTCCCACGCCCGAGCTCGAACCTGAATGGTGAGAGTTGCGTTGTCGGGTCCGTTTCGATTGACCGTGACCTGGACGGAGATGTCCCGAAGCGGTGGGAGAAGGAGGCTGGAGGACCTTGATCAGGTCTTTTTCCTCCATTGACATCGAGTCTAGGAGGTGACGCAGGAGCTCGTGGGCATCTTGTTGGCGGTACTATTATATCACATCATCGAGATATATGTCGTTATGTTAGCAAACATGGCCTGACCAGACTCGACAAGAGGACATGCAAAAGATACGAAATGATGAGGTAGGTGACGAAAAGCAGACTCACATCCTCGTACTGATCGTACTTTTTCCCCAGCTCTCTCAACAACGCCTTCAGACTGACGCTCTTCTCCTTTTCCGCTGAACCTCCTGCACCTGCACCCGACCCATCCTCGCTGGCCTTGATCGCAGCCACTTTCTCGGCCTCTTTCAGTCCTTCATCTTTGGCCTTCCAAGCTTTCCCTAGACATTTCTCGAAAGCCAGAGTGACTGGGAGGAGTTTGGCGTGTTCAGGCTCGAGAGCGGCATCCAGGAGGGAAGGGATGGAGTGTGGGTAAAGGGGGTAGCCATCTGAGCCTGTTGCTATGGAGGTGTATGATTTGGCTGGGTGGTCAAGAGCTTGAACTTCGGGTGGCAAGTGAGGTGTAGTATGGTTCGTATCGTTTGCAGTAGCGGACGAAGCTTCTGCTGATGGAGCTGCCGAGGGAGCTACCGCAGCATTCGCCGAGGACGACGTGTAAGGAAAGATGACTGGTCCCACGAGATCTATCAAGCTCGTCGTCGCTGCCAGAGCCTGGAACGTCGAGTTGAAGAAACAAGTATTCCCCTCGTTATACAGTCCTGCTGGTTTAGCACCAGGTCCGTTGGAGAGGATGGGGTGTTTGGCAGCTAAGAGTTCGGCTTGAACTTGAAGCAGGCGTTGTTGGTGCGCTTCAGTCCGACGGTTGGTCTGCAGGTGAGCCGGGAAGGAGGCTCCAGGGGCTGCCATCGTGTTTAAAGAGAGAGACTGAGAGGCCGTGCAGGAGATTCGATTGATCGACCTCGAGTGACACAGGTGGGTGATCTCAATAATCAAGGAGTCGAGAGTTGTGGATTGGCCGTGATTACGAGCTGGTTGTTGGTGTGAGCGAGTGAGTTTGTCCGAAGATGCTTCCACACAACTTGGTACTCTCTGGTACCTCCCTCCCATCAGCACGTTGCACCGCGGATCCTCGCTCTTCACGCCCCGGGCGCCGGACTATCTTCGGTCCGAGGCACAGTCAGATGTGAAACGCTTGATCACAAAGCGATGAAACGGGATGATCAATCAGCAATCAGCTCGCAGCGCGATCAGACTTCATCATCGCGATCTTGATCCGATCAAACGCCCTCATCTCATAATATCCAACTATGCTCAAACAAACCTCGTAAATGCGCAGATCCCCCAAATTGGCTGTGGTCAGAGGGCTGACTAAGCTGGCAAGGCGCAAGCTCGTCCCGTCGCCTGAGAATGTTGGTATACGAGGTCGCAGATCATCGATCGTGAGCGACGATGAGCCAACCCGTGTCAGAATACCCGAAAAGGACAAGCCAACGAAAGAGGGACCAGCTTGACATCGTATTCTGACGCTTTGCAAGCTGATCTGATCACGACTACTGCACCAGCTCTTCGACCAAGTCGACAGCAGCGAAGATAGTAACGAGAGTGGTGGTAGACGAAAGAACCGAATAGAAGACATGTCGGTGCAGACAAAGTTTTATTGCATATATTGGGTACTACTCTTTCCAACAACGAGTGGACGGAGGATATTGAGAACAGCAGGACAACGCCGCCGCCTGGCGGGCAACACCGATCTACGATAGAGACAGGCCCAAATCGAGACAGACGGCCCTCATTCCGTGCAGCACTCGAGTCAACTAAATGGCCACTTCAAGGAGCTTGATACAGGTTCATTGTCAAGTGTGCTCAGCCATAAGTCTAATCCGATACAAGATATCCGAACTTTCCCGTAGATATGTGTTTCATATAAGTGAAAGAGACAGAAAGGAACTATTGACGGTATCATGTATCATGAACAGGAGGATACCAGTCTCAAGACACATGTATAACCCCCCTGGCTTCAAGGAGCGATCTAGTTGTGAGCCTCTGATTGACACAGATATCTGTTACAATCATCTGATACCAGCCTTACAACAGCAGCAACAGCGCTCATGGACTTTGACGAGCAAGTCAAGCAGCTCGTGAAGATTGTCGAGCAGAAGCGCAGGGAAAAATGGAAAAGGCGGGAACCATCCGGCAACTTTCAGATCAAGGCTGAGCAGGACACCAACACAATCGACAAAAGTCGAGAGCAACGTCAAGCGACTTGAGTCGCAATGCCGTAGCACGGTTACAGCATCGTAGAGCCTGCTTCGTAGCATGTTTCCCTGCGTCGCCTTGTGATGTCTTAGTCTCTTTCTGTAGATCCTTCTTCCCTTGAAATCCACATAGGGTTGTTAATCCTCCTTCTAGTCAGTCTTTTGCTTGCTCTGATCCTGTTTGGATTTGATCTTGCCGTTAAGTAGCAGCTTCTCCAGTTGTTGTTGCAATTGCGGCAGGTCCTTCTCGGCTTTCTGCGGGGCATTTTCTACATGGAAAGGGCGCTTGGGCTTTGGCATGGCGATTGATTGTGTTGGCTATGTATTGTGGTAGTATGACCGATCGTACACGTCGAATCGGGTTGGCGCGGCATCGGTCAGAATTTGTAAATCGTTGTGAGAGAATACATGGCTGACATCGAAAAGCGATCATAACCGTACGATAGCTCGGAGATCGCTCGCATACAAGAAGGCGAAAACAAGCTTCCGTTTTTGTACAACGCTGGCGATGTCTCTATCCCTTTCTCACCCCGCCAGCAGCGCTTTGAGCCAACTTTTCTTCCATCAGGCTCTTGAGGTTTTCCCTGACCAGCGCCTCGTACTTGTTCTTCTCCTCGGCCTGCAACTTGAGGATTCCACGCTTCTCTTCCGCCGTGATAATTTGGTTTTCTACGAGATGTAAGCAAGTCCACACGGACCAAGTGAATGAGCAACTGCGAACCGAGATACTCAATTCCGCTGCATCGCGACCCGACTTACCCTTTCGCATTCGCACAGCGTTCATTCTTCGGTGTCGACTTCCACTCATGACATACCCACTCGCTTCGAAGTTCTCGATCTGTTCGCTGGACAAGCCGATCTCTCCTCGTCGTGGGATACGTTGACCGGATTCGACGAATTGCGACATGGCCGCTCCTTCTCCTGGTCGCAGGTGGGCGTATCTGTCGGAGTAGTCGGAATGTTAGCGACACGGCATGGGAGGGGGAGAGGGGGGATGGGCGAGGGCGATATACTCACGCTTTGCTGTCGTGCTTCCTGGCAGGCGCATGACCATCCTCGACAACCAACTGCGGGCCGACCTCTTCATCATCACTGTCCATCTCGGCGGCCTTGCCTTTCCCCTTGGAGCTACCTGTCACCACGGCTGTAGTCGTAGTCGTAGTGCTGGCCGCACGAGTCGAAGAACCGGGTTCGACTCGGACAGGCTCGGCGACCTCCCACTCGTCCTCGTCTTCTTCCTGACCACGTACTTTGAGCGATTTGCTCCTCGATCGATCCCTCCCACTCGCACCGTCTCTATCCCTCGTCCGCTCCCTTTCCCTCTCACGGGACCGACTATCACCCCTGTCCCGATCCCTCTTTTCCCTCCGACTTCTCCTCCGTCTCTCTTCTTCCTCGCTATCCTCGCTCTCGCTGGAAGACGAAGAAGACGACACGCTTCGACGGCGAGAACGACGGGAAGACTTGTGCTTGGACGAAGAAGACTTTTTGTGCCGTTTGCTGCGATGCTTGGAGGAAGACGATTTCTTTTCTTTCGCTCGGAGTTCTTCGGCTCTGCGTAACGTAATCGTAGAAGAGATGTGATCAGCAAACGAATCAGTCGCATTCAAGATCTGATTGGGGGTGGAGAGCTCACTCTTCTTCCTCGATAGACCGTTTAGGTGAACGGGGCCAGACGGTCACGGTAGATTCGTCTCTCTGCCGACGACGGCTGTGGCAGGAGGTGGAGGGAAACAAAGCGAGCGACGCACAGGGTACCGATATAATGTCAGAACCTAGCGATTGATACACGGGGCGAAAGGCACTCACGCTTCCATCTCTTGTTGACTCAGCGGACCGCCGAAACCGGCCCGACTCTGAAACTGGGGAGGGGGTCCACCACTGCCACCATATCCACCTCCACCATTTCTGGCTGGTGGACCTTGTTGATCAAAGTATCGACCCCCGCCTGATCCCCCGCCGTAGCCACCACCCCCGCCTCCTGCATACCCTCCTCGTCCCCCATCATACCCCCCATCCCGTCGTTGATGTGGGGGTACATCCCGAGGCAAGTCTCCCCTCTGGTTCCCATATCCATATCCACCGCCCGGTGCGGGAGGAAGAGTCGGCGGGAAAGGCGGTCGGTCGTTAGGATAGGGTTGATAGGAAGGCGACGGTCTTCGTTCAGACCGGGATGGGCCGTTGCTGTTGCCGTTCGAGTTCGAGTTCGGGATGAATCCCATGCGGGAAGGATGAATCTGAGCCATCTTGTTGTATAAGAAAGAGTATGCACTTGTTGGTGTGAATACGTCGATGTCGAGCATCAAGCATCAAGAACACCAAGATTGCATGAATTGGGCGAGGGTGGTGATTGCTTGGGCATGCATGAGGATGCGCTTTCGATTGGCACACCCACCTATTCCGTCATTTTCACGTAATTATGGCGTAATGGATGCCGTCAGCACACCGCGTTTGTTGTGTTTGTGCACCATACATCCTCATCATCAATCACGATGGATGCCTGCGGCCTGCGATAATCATGCTGACCATGCTGCATGCTGACCATACGCCAACATCGCTCGATGTCTAGAACATAGGCCAGGGAGGTTGGGAGCATTATCGACTCTTTCCTGTCCCCGTTACGATGGACGCCAGCCAGATCCGTGCCCAGATTCGGAACACGCTCAATGAGACATGGCTCGACTTTTACCGTCGCATTCCTCATCAACCGCGATCCGTCCGGTACCCCGAGTACGTGGAGATCTCGTCCAGGGAAGGCTTTCGCACGCAGTCGAATGAGAGGTATAAAGGTATGGCAGAGAAGAGGAAATGTATTCAGGAGCACAGAGCGAAGAAGGCCAGGGAGGCCAAGGAGAAGGAAAGGACGGACGCGGTCGCACGAGCTCGCGAAGATGAACAAGACGAGGACGTCACGATGGACGAGGATCAGGATGTCGAGATGCAAGACGTGGGGGCGACTGAAACCATCAAGCCCGTCTCGGCTCATGAAGGTAGTTGCCCCTTCTGGATCGATCCCGAAGTACCGCCATCAGACCTCATCATCGGAGGAACTGTTGTGAACCCTTCAATCTCCGGCCCCACTGCCAGCGGATCCACTCAGGTCCCAATCGACTCGAAGCCTTTCGCACCCTCGTTCATGAACAAAACAGTATTCTTGGTAGACCCCAAGAGCGCGAGCAGATTTCTTGGCAGTCGCCGACAAGTCAAGGTCTTTCATCGTCCCGGATTCATGGAACCCATCTCTCATGGAAAATACCTTTCCCGTACCGCCTTCTCTCCGGCTACCAGCACCGGGTCCGGGAACACCCGCGCCGAAACCAGGTTGAGCTCCACTTCGAACAAGCTTACCGCCCGTAGGCTTCCTGTCGACCTAAACCTGTACGGTCCCCCCTGCCACCCGGCCAGACAGTACAAGTTTTGTAACCCCATCTCGTCGACCATGTGGGTCTCCGAACAAGTGGTTTTACCGTTCTTACCTACATTCGAGGATGGGACGATATGGAACATTGAGGGTCTGCAAAACCTGTACGACAGAAGGTATGCTTGGAACGACGAAGATCGGGATCCAGACAGTAAGTATCTCTTCTGATCGGGCCGGTGGCTCATGTACGTGGCTTGTAATGTGTTCTCATCTTTTCCGTTCTCGTGTCCGCCTTCTCGCAGTCGATGTCATCCTCGTTGAAGTTCTCGCCAGGCTCAAAAGCTGGCGCGAACAGAACCCAGCTCTAGCGAAGTTCGTCTCGCTTCCCCAGATCCAGGCGACGGGGATCTTGCCTCAAACGGTCGATCAGATAGAAGAATGGCGGGCGTTCAGGGACCTGTTTCCGTTCCCACTTGCGATCGAGGAGATGGGATCAGTTGAAAATGGAATGTCGCCACCGCTGCAACAGCAGCAACAGATTCAACAGCAAGGGCAGCAGGAACAGCACCAGGCAGGTCTGGGAGGGGGGATTACGCCGGCGACGACAGCATCGGATCCGGAAGTCAGGGAGGTTGACAACATGGTCGCTCGGAGTGCAACCCCGATGACGCCAACCACTGCTGCGGTATCGGGTTCCGGTGTGCCAGGCCTGGCGACTCTGATGGCCGCGTCGACGACAAAACGGATCGAAGCGGGTCCGAGCCGGTTGAGCGCGGAGCCGAGTCGCTTCAATCTGTCGTTGAGAACGAGCACGTCTGCGACCGGTTTGCCGGGCAGCTTGTCCCGTCGACAAGACTCTGCCGCGCTCTCTTCCCATACGAGCAAAAGAGTCAAAGCTACGACTGCCGGGTTTTCGACACGTAGAGACCGACGACGACCGCGGCCAACTTGGACGGATGTTCAAGTCAGGGAACTAAAAGCAGTGTTCATCGAATCCCGTCGATGCCCGGAAGTGACGGATGAAACGTTGGCGGAAGAAAGGGACAAGGAAGAAGAAATGTTCTCGACCATGAGGAACCAGCAAGAGCTCCTCTGTCCCAACGGGTCTTGTCGGATGTACGCGTGTCCGTTTCATCGTGAGTCCTGCCGAGTCGCGCTGTAGGTCCAACAGATACGGAAGGCGGACGTTGATAACCTGCGACGTACTCACAGTCGGGGATGCAGCCATCGAGGTCATCCCTTATCTTGATGTATCGACTGTGCCCCCTCACGCAAAGACGTTGCTTCACTCCGAAGATCTCGAGCGGAAGTGCTCGAACGAGTGCTACTTTGCGCTGCGCGGGGCCGACGACAACGTGTGTACGGAGATGAGAGAGGCCGATAAGCATTTATTGCGAACCTTTTTAAGCGGGCTGCCCCCCGACGGTGGGGGTGAAGGACTATACGTCTGCGATCTGGTCGATCTGTTTGCTATGTCCCAGGGACCCAAGGGCAGTGGGTGGTCGTGCTTACAAGTAGGTCGTTGCTGCCCTTACAATCCGTTCAAGGCTGACCTTCTGAGTCCGTCTTTAGCTCGGCCTCCATGTCAAGCGCCTGTTCGACGCGTTCAATACTACTGCTGTAATTTCGGCTTCGAACGCGGTCGAGCCTGTCATCGTTCCTGCGGCTAACATCAAGGCCAAGGACACGTTGCCCGACAAGATGCTGCCCAAGAGGGCGAGCCAAATCCAGAAGCAGATCAGACAATTGACGGGGGATGCTTCAGGGAGATCGAGAAGCAACACGCCCGCATCGGCCAACGAACCGGTTCCTATATTCGAACAGGAACACTACAACATGGTCCCGTGAGTCTTCAAGCGCTTCTTGTATGACACGATATTATCGCTGACGCACTATATCAGGAACGACTTGGCTCTCTGTTCGCATGAAGGCCCGTGCACCACAGACAACTGCGAGTGCTTTAGGAAGCACAATTATTGCACTCGAGAATGCAGGTGTCCTCCGACGTGTAAGTCACGGTAGCGATTCTGTTCATCCTGGCAACACACTGTTTTGACGCGCTCTTTTAATACAGGTCGCCGTCGCCACCCGGGTTGCAGGTGCGCTCCCTATCACGTGTCACCAGGCCTGCCCGAGAAGAGGATGACTTGCGGGACCGACAAATGTCCCTGCTTCAGGGCTGGTAGAGAGTGCGATCCCGAAAGCTGCGGTGACTGCGGTGCAAGGGAGGAAGTTGAAATGGCCACTCGACCAGAAGAGGAACGTGTGTCCGAGCAGAGCGAAGGTCAACGCTGGTTTCCTGGTAAATGTCGGAACGTCGGCCTGCGGTCTGGGGAATTCCAGCCAGTACGTGTCGATTATAGCAGTATCCATGGGTATGGTCTCTTTGCCAAAGTCGACATACCCAATAATACGCTTATCATCGGTCAGTACTCGCGAGCGAGTATCGGGGTTTCGCTTATGAGATAGCTTATCGATCATCGCCATAGAATACGTTGGGGAAATGGTGAACAACAACGAGTCATCCAAGCGAGAGTGAGTGCAAACCACCACGCTTCTTGAGATCAAGCTAAACGGACGGAACCGCTCTGCAGGAACTTATCTGTAAGATATGAGATTTGAGATCTCCCTTCGATATGGAATCTCACCGATGTGATGGTTCCGCGGCCAGTCTCCCCTTGGCGTGAATTATTTGTTCGGAATCAATAACATCATGGACGTCGACTCTTTCCGTCGAGGCAACGCATCCCGGTTCATCAACGAGCCAAATGACCCGAGAATGGCAAACTGCGGGCCGCGAAGTAAGTCGTTTGCGGCAGACTTGAGGGAGCATACTTACTCAGGTCGTCACATCAACAATTTTTAGTCAAGATCGTCCAAGGAAATCATCGAGTCGAGATTCGAGCGAGTAAGTCGGAAGGTGCTGGTCAAATCTCTCGCTCGGCAACACGTTGATATCGAAAGTCTCAACAGTCCGCGCTATTCGACTAGGCGAAGAACTCTTGATGAGTTACGGGTATGCAGCTCGCGCAATGCTGTAAATCTACCCTGATCGCTTTGCTGACGGGTTGCGCTCGTGCTCTCTGGTCGTAATAGCAAAAAGTTCCACAACAAGGAGCAGCAACTGCCCACTTCAACCTCAGCTCCAGCTCTGAAAGCTCCAGCACAATCGAAACGAGCTGGAAAGCAGAAAGAGGTGTCGACGCGGCCACCTGGCAAGAAGCCGATCGAAGCATCGAATTCGAAACGGAAGTTGCAGCGGAGCACTTCTGGGAGGAGTACCCCGTCCAGCGTCGTGCTGCCTGGGCAGGGCGAACCCGGACCTTCCTCCACAGCTGCGAGGAACGATACAGCGGCGGCAACGGCGTCGTCTTCGAGGGTAAAGCCGACTTCTCAAAACGCAACGCAGGGGTCCAGTGCCGTTCTCGGAGGGCCGCAATCGTCTCCCATGGATGATGTGCCTCTGCTGGACGATCCGACTTTTGTCGGAGAGATCGATCAAGACTTGAGTGACGACCCAGATTACGAAGCAGATTCGGCGGAATCCGATCACTCGATGTATACCGGGGAGACGGCGAGGAACAGAAAGAAAAGAAGGATCTTTCAACTGGCGAGCAGGAGGTAGAAGACGTCCGATGTATTCTTGAGAGACCAAGCGTGTAGTGTACGCTGTGTCCCCATGTCTGATATACTTCAGGGTGATCTCTTGAAACGCCTCGAAATCTCGGATTACGTAATTTTGGGAATTTGGATATTTTCGATTTCGAGTGATCAGCACTCTGAAGGTCCGCTCAGGATCACTCATCACTTCAAGCTCTTGAAGGCGAAACAGCTTCACACCCTTCTTAGACATACGATTCGGAGTACAGTCTTCATCAAAACACAGATAGACAGTCTGAAATGGTGGGTGGAATCGGTTGACTGGTGTCACAAGCTCCGCTTGTTGCTAATGGGGCGAGATTTGCTATCTATCTAGCCTACAAAACGTACGACCGGTCAGAACCATGGTCTCGGAAAATCGATCATCAATCGAAAGGCAAAAGATCTCAGGAGAGATCCTAACACTGTCAGATTTACGCAAGAATCCGAGAACCTCCGTTCGGTCACCCATGAAGGAGATCTCGAAGAGTTTCTGAACAGCGCGGCCTTGGCCGACACCGATTTCACCGCTGGTCCGTTATCCCGGCCAAGCTTTCCAGAATCAAACTTTGCTTGCTAACTTTCTCGTCGGTTTCTTGCAGAGAGGACCAATGTCAAAGTCATATCGACCCCTTCCATCCCCAACTCGAAGAACCCTTACCTCTTGAGCGCCCAAGAATCGCAAGCGATCTCCAAGAAGCAAAACGAGCAGAGGGGCGCATTGCGAGTGCCTCGACGATCTGCATGGGACGAGACGACAACTCGGGCCGAGCTTGAGAAGAACGAGAGAGATAGCTTTTTGCAATGGAGAAGAGGCCTTGCCGAGTGAGTCGACCTGAAGGACCCTTGAATGTCATCACATCATGTCCAGAGATCAACTAACTAGTGTAATGTCATGTCCCCTGCATGTAGAGTCGCAGAGCAACACAGCTTGCTGCTGACCCCCTTCGAGCGAAACCTGCAAGTCTGGCGTCAGTTGTGGCGAGTCATCGAGCGATCGCATCTGATCGTTCAGATCGTCGATGGTCGTAATCCGGTCACTTTCCGGTGCGAGGATCTGGAGAAGTACGTTTCCGAAGTCGGGATCGGTATGGGGAACAAGCAGAAGAGGGGCGTCAGGAAGAGCTTGCTGTTGATCAACAAGTCGGATCTGTTGACCAAAAAGCAACGGTATGTTCCCGCTTCAAGGTCCATCTCAGCTCGTTCGCCATGCTAACCTGTTTTCTACGCACTCCCTCGTTAGACAAGCTTGGGCGGATTACTTTGATGCTCAGAACATCCAATACGCCTTCTTTTCCGCTTTCAATGCCACTGCCGCTCAAGAACAGGCTGATAAACAGCGAAGGAGGCAGATGGGCGAGGAGGAGGAGATCAAGTTTGCCGAAGATCAGTATGCCGCAGAGCACATGGACTCAGACACGGACTCCGAAGAGGAAGAGGAAGATGAGGAGGAGGGGAAGAACGATATGGCTCAGGTTGACGACGAGGATGACGAAGATTTCGAGGACGAGGACGATATTGAGGATGAGGATGACGAGAGTCCAGAGGTACAGAGCGCTTTGGCCGAATCCATGCTCAAGGGACAAGACGGAGAGACGGCTGAGACTCAAGCGCTCAGGAAGGAGATGGAGCAGAAGCTCAGCGTCGATACCCCCGAATATGATCAGCTCGCAGAGAACCATGCCATGAAGGGCATTTTCGATGACGAGGTCGACCATGATCCTCGAACCCGGGTTCTGACGGTTCTCGAGCTAGAAGAACTCTTCGAGCGTGTTGCTCCATCTCTATCCGAGTTCGCCACCGAACACAACCCTACGCCCGACAAGTTGACTGTTGGACTAGTTGGATACCCCAACGTCGGTAAATCGTCGACCATCAATGCTCTGCTTGGATCCAAGAAGGTCAGCGTATCCGCCACGCCTGGAAAGACGAAACATTTCCAGACCTTGCCCTTCTCCAACAAGGTCACCTTGTGTGATTGTCCCGGTCTGGTCTTCCCGCAATTCGTCCACACCGAGGCCGACATGGTCTGTGATGGTGTCTTGTCCATCGACCAGATGAGGGAATACAGTGCGCCAATAGAGCTCATCTGTCGACGAGTGCCTCGGGAAGTCTTGGAGGGAACCTATGCCATCCGAATTGAAGTCAAGGATATCGAGGATGGTGGTACCGGTCTCGTACATTGGGAAGACTTCTTGTCGGGTTATGCTAGTAAGTTCTGGCCAATGTTATACTAAAAAAATAGCACGGATGCTCATCGCCGTTCCCGATTTGATCAGTCGCAAGAGGTCTCACGCGAGCTTCGTTCGGTATGCCTGATACGTCTCGCGCTGCGAGATATGTCCTCAAGGACTATGTTAGCGCCAAGCTTGTCTTCTGCCATCCTCCACCCGGTATCGACGCCGATACCTACATGGAGGATAGTCGGGCTAAGATGATCGAAAAGCAAGAGGAAGATATCCGCCTTGGAAAGAAAAAGGCGCCCGTTACTCGAGTAGCAAAGGGTGCCGATACATTCGTTGGCCCGAGTGAGCCCGATGCTACGGAGGATGCTAAACAGCAGGCTCGAGAGCGTCAAGCGACCGCCAAGTCTATCCGACAGAACGCTGCCTCTGCGCCCGGACGGTCTGCTGCTTCCAAGTCGAAGGATCTGGAGAACACATTCTTTAGCGAGGCCGGCCCTTTGCCAAGACCGGTCGCCAAAGGTGCACCAGGGCTCGGGCAAGAGGGAGGCTACTCACGGACGATGATATATCCGCACGCTCATCGTATCGGGCCAGACGGTCTTCCCATCGATCAGTCGCTCATCAATCCCGTGGTGTTACCGACCAGGAAGGGAAAGAAGCACTTCAAGATCAAGGAGGGCAAGAAGCGAAGCGGTAAAGGTTATGACTGAGCTGTATCCGGGATCTTGTTGCATCATATCAGCTGTAATATGTAATATGCCATCGTACAATCTCGTGCCTTCTATTACGATCTTGCCTTCAACGCGTCATTTTCCAAGCGCTTCAACATACTGAGCATGGCAGGAGGTGTCATGAGCGATGAAACGACGTCGTGATCGTACTCTGCTCGGACGACGTCGAAAAAGGTTTTGTAAGTGTCCATGACATTGTTCTGCATGGGCGGTATCAAGACCCGCACTGTGGCCTCGTCCTGCAGATAGATGACTAAGCTTGCAATCCATCCTGCAATATTGACCTCTGCGTTGTCCCGGAAAGCATCATGCGCTGCCTTGACCTTTTCTGGGGTCGCCCAGTCCTGCGATGTCAGGTCTGCCGCTTGCCCTCGAGACGATTTTTGTGACAAATACTTTGTGCACCGGTCGAGCCATGTCCGTATCGACACAGTCGCCTTGTCGGCACATTGGCCGATCGCTTCCTCGCATACCCGCTTGAGCTCGCGATCCACATCCTACAACTCTCCTAGTCATCAGTACCCCTTATATATATATGGATCATGTTTCCTTCACTCACATGCTTGGCGGTTGCTGCCATCCTGGAGGCGGGTTCAGATTTGAGACCCAACAAACCTCCTACTCCTACCAGGTTCAAAGCTCCAGCCAATAGGGCACTCAATGTAGCTAGAAACATCACTTAGTATTGGTAGCCTGGACTTGCATTACGGCCGGGCAGTAACTCACCATAGACGCCCCCATTGCTCAGTCCCGCTCGAGACCGGCTTACTATATCTACACTAGCCGTCATTTCCTTCAAGATGAGCAGGTGCCGGATTAGAAATAGTTGGGCGTCAAGCTCGGCATCCTTTTTCCGCGAGGCAAAGATTTGTGCAGCTTTCAGGAGAGATTGCCTGCATGTAGAGATGGCTTCCTCGGCGAGATCTTCGAAGATGTTGTTCTATAGAACAGCTCAGCTCGACTGAACAAGCAATGGAAAGAAGGAAAACGGCTCTTACCTCTACATATGTATGCACAAGCGACAATACCCATAATGTCGAGCGGAGAGAAGGATACCATGTCTCCTGCGTTTCCTTCTCAGGCATCTGCAGGAATGCGGGATTGTCCTCGTCATCGTCATCGAGTGATACAGCAAACGTCTGCCTGTCCTTGACTAGATGTTGCGAAGCTATCGAAAATGACCTGAAGTTAATACAAGTTTAAACAGCACTCTGAAGCGCAGATGAAAGACATACCGTTTCTGAGCTTGGCAGGATAGTCGAGATCGTCTTCACGTGGAGCATAAGAGCCAACGTCGCTTCGCAGGATAGCCTGGCTCCGGAAGATCATCCTCGTCTGAACATCGCGAAGGACCATATCGAGCAGCTTCCCGGCATGGAAGGTTTCACTCGGTCGATGAGGCTGAATGTTGGATTCGGGTTCATAGGAGATGTACCGCTGAAGGGTCAAATCGTTGCCAGCGGGGGATCCGAATTTGGGGAAATATGACGATCCTGGACCTGGCGCTGCATCAGGCGTTGCTAGCGTGGTGGGCTCCACGTCGTCGTCACCAAAGTCGGCTATCATAAGACCCTGTAAGACTGTGCAGACATCGCACAGCGTGGGCAAGTCCATCTCATGCAGAATCCTTGGTCGCAAGTGATCGTAGAGATGATCACAAAGTCCCTCCAGGAAGGTACTGTATGCAAACAACAGTCAGCCAGACTGCTCTAGTCATAGGCGGCTTGGTCCAACCCTTACTATACCAGCTTCTCCCCTGTCTGGAAGAATTGCTTGTAAAGATTGTATTCATCAGAGCAAATACTCTTCAGGTATCCGCAACCAGACCGAGTCTGTTACCGAAAGACGAAAGTTCAGCTCGGTCCACCAACCACCACGACTGCCGTGCAGTATCTTACATACCAGATCTATGATCCCCGCCGTGGCAGGTTCCATCCTCTTGACCTCTCTCTCCACCCGTGGGCTGATCAAGCTCTTCCGCACCGAAATCCAAGCGCTATGACAATCGTCCAACAGGGATCCCAACTCCGTGGGGTTTTCTGCCGCTCGGAGTTCGAGCTCAGCCAACAGGGGTCGCAATGGAAAGGCGAACGAGGTGAATTTGGTGTACAAGAGGGCGATGGCCGCAGTTTCGGAGATGGGATACTGTGATGAAAACGAGGAACGATCAAGGTCGGCATCGCAGTGAGAAGCAGGTTACTACGTACCTTCGTATCGGTGATACGTTTTTGAACCTCTTGTCCCAGTGAACGGAGAGCGTTGACGACATAGAGCTTGATCAGGGTCATACTCCTAGTCATGCATTGCTGATATCGAATCAGATAGATCTCGGCATCCCTGAAGTCTCTCTGTGAAGATTGTGAGGGTGTCAGCCGCCGGATGGAAACAAGCAACGTTACAATAGCCACTCACATGGGTCTTGAGATAGGTCAAACAGCTGTCTAGTCTTTCGACCATTCCGAGGAACCCATCGCTAAGGACGAGCTCGTCACCGGGGTTATTGAGCATTCTTTGAGCTTGTTCCAAAAAGGTAAAGTAAGACAGGCGAGATGAGAGATGGGTCGTTTGTAGGTTGAGTTGAGACTGAGAAGGCAGTCACTTGGTGTATCAGCATCGGCCGCACAGTGGTAGAACCTGGAAGACACACCTCTTCCTGCATCAAGGTCTCCCCTGCGATCCTGAGGCTTTCTCCGCGCTCCTCGACCCATTTGAGGCAACCTATCATGGCATCCACGATTTCCTCCGACTGTTGCAGGTCTTCCCCCACTATCCGGCAAGCGTCGCCATACGCCTTGACTTCCTCGAGATGGGTCCTGTAAGCCGAATCTTGCGAGTGCAGCAGGGAGGATGTCAAGTGCGAGAAGTGCTCGTGAAACTGTTGGGCGCTCGAGACCACCGCCGGCGTTACGTAGGATTGCTTGGATAGAGACATCGATGAGGCATTACGGGGAATTCCTTGGCCGGAAGGGGGTCGAGAGATCCCTAAAGCAGATTGAAGCAGAGAGTTGGGTTGTCCCTTCTTGAACACCGCCGATGCCGACATAGCGGGAGTGGCAGGGCGACTGGGTCCGGCTTCAGCATTATTCGAGTACTGATCCCACAAGTTTTTCGGTCAGAGAACGTCCTCATATCATCATGTTCATTGTTACCAACCTTTTCTGGCAATGGGCGAACATTGCACGCTTCCCGGACGATACCGACACTGGTGATCTCGAGCTCATCCAACGGTGCGGCGGCTTCCCAATCCGCTAGGGAGAGACCCCGGGTCTGCGGAGCTGGAGAAGACGTTTGAGATCTCCTCATCTACAGCGTATATATTAAGTCTTGGCGGTTTCCAGTTGTTTAATAGATGGGCAAAGTGTAAGAGGTAAGGTAGGTAGATGTAACCTCAACCAGCTAACTTAGCAGCAGCGCAGCTTCGGCGACCTTGGCGCGGGGATCGGTGGGGAACGACTTTGTTGCCTTTGACAACCCCTCGACCTGTTCATCAACTGCAACTGGGCAACTGGGCAATTACTCACCTCTTGCGAACAGGACATAGATACTACCTTTCGATAGGATCTGAGCTAGACAGACGTCTGCCAACCAAAGATGTCGAAAGAAGAGCGAGTATAATATCGCCCTCTCGTATGCGTAGTAACCTTACTAATTCCCCTTGATCTTCTTTAGAGCAAGCATCAGGCCGGTTGAGGATAACGCAGAGGAGACGCCTGCGACGCCATCCTCAACAAAGCCCAAGCTCAAAGCCAGACTGGGAGAGACTCAAATTGTAGAATTGTCGGATGACGAGGATGACGCGGACCTCGTTGGTCGGGACGATGATGATACCGCTGGAGATGCGAGCGACCCAGATTTCTTGAAGGAATACCCTGACGAAACCGATGTGAGAAGAATACTTTGCTATACTACACATCGATCCTGTAGAAACAGCCTGCTGACCCTTCTCAAACGCTTTCAGGACCTGCACCTGCAACACCTGAAGATCATCAGCGAACAACTCACTCAGCTACACTTTCCTCGTTTCGGGAAACACCTCAACCGGCTATGTCTCCGACAGAACAACCTCACATCCCCACTGCCTTCCGAGGCTTTTGAAGGACTGGAAGCTTTGAAGGAGTTGGACTTTTACGACAACAGATTAGGATCCCGAGTGCACGATGACGAGATCGCTGGATGCCCTAATATCACGTACGTGAATCGACCTCCAGGTTCAACCCCTTTGATGCATATACTGATCTCGAAAAGCATATTGCTAAACAGAACGCTCGATCTATCATTCAACAACATCCGACATGTACCTAACCTGCCCAGCAAGAAACAAGTTGGCACGCTCTACCTCGTGCAGAACAAGATTGCAGAGGTAGGGGAAGGCGAGCTTGACTGGGCGGCTGGGTCGATGAAGAGCCTCGAGCTGGGTGGGAACAGACTCCGAGTGAGTTGTTGAGTGTATACAAACGGTCGGGTCAGCTAGTCGGGTGTCTGACGTCCAAACGGAAATGACTGCCAGAAAATCGAGAACCTAGAGAAATTGACTCTGCTAGAAGAGCTGTGGTTGGGAAAGAACAAAATCAGGGCTTTTGAGGTGAGCACCATGTTCGGTCTAACCTCATAATGGTTAGCAACCAAGAAGTTCTGATATACCTATGTCTACATGACTCGACCAGAACTTGAGCACTTTCAGCAACCTCAAGATCCTTTCGATCCAGTCTAATCGTATCACCAAGATGGAGAATCTCGAAGGTTTGGTTTCGCTGGAGGAGCTTTACCTGAGCCATAATGGATTGACCAAGCTTGAAGGGCTGGAGAAGAACGTGAGCGTGCCCTCCACCTGACATGACGCATTCACCGATTATATGGGTACTGATACTGACGTATGCGCTGTGAGCAGGAGAAACTCCGAGTGCTAGATATTGGAAACAATATGATTGAGAAGATCGAGAATATCGCACACCTTACGAATCTCGAGGAATTCTGGGTGGGTGCACTTAGAAGCGAGCAGGTCATCTAGTAACCTCTTTGCTGATGAGTTGCCTGGTCTTGATATGACGGAACACAGGCAAGCTACAACAAGATCCCGGACCTCCATGATCTGGATAGCCAGTTGGCTGTACTGCCCAACCTAGAGACCGTGTACTTGGAAGGGAACCCTTGTCAACTCAAGGACCGAACGGGATACAGGCGCAAGGTCATTTTGGCTTTGCCTAACATAAAGCAGGTGGATGCGACGTGAGTACCGCTGTTTCAGATCTTTCTCCTGCATGTCCTGACTTTGTTCGCTCGATTTTGGGCCAACTTCAGATACGTCCGGATGTGATTCATGACAAAAAGCAGTATTCAGGACATGGATAGACTAGTCACACTGAATGGGGTAACGACCGGGTACATCACGAATATTCTTGTAAGGATGCCATTGCAACGCCGAATCGACCTGCCAATGACGAGATGACGATTTCACGACCTCATATCCATATCCGGTTAACATGATTTGTTGGAAATCAGAGATTCTCGGGCCTTTATTCGAAGGTGTCCATGTACCATGTGACCTTGATCGTCGGGAGTTTGCAAAGGGGTTTCATCTCTTTGCAGCTCCAATCGACGCCGGCGACTTGATCGAAAACGAGGGCCGAGGTCTACAGAGACCGAAATGAGCGAATTAGCGCGGAGCATTTCCAACGACAGTCCCGCGGGGCTCCTAACCATGGCCTTCTCGTCGCATGGAAGTCATTAGCGTCGATCGGTGTGACTGACCTGGACGTATTCGGTACTTCTGTCGAGATAGCGCTGGCTTTGGAGAATGGATTCCGTTCATCTGCAAACCCGTACGGCACAGGGAAGTCGAGGGCATGTTTACCACGGAGTTGGCCTTTCTGCTCCCTCCATCAATCAAATGCCGGTCATTAATTCATACCCGGTTGAGGTCACTGCCGGAGGTCAGTGGAGCTCGAGCAACAAGCGATGGTTCATGATGCACAGGTATATATAGAATTCAACGATCAAGGTCAGAGAGAAGGATTTTGGTGGTGCAAGTCGATTCCTCTTCCAATCAAACGATATCCATCATGAAGTTCTCCACCGTTGCAATTCTACTATCACTCGCGAGCACATCCGTGGCGTATCCTTTTATGGGTACACCAGGTGCTCCTCGCCACTACCAAGAATGGTCTAAGGAAAACGAAAAGCGTCAACTGGGTTTCAACGCTGATGCGCAGAGGATCGACGTTTCGGGAGATCACGCGTTCAAGCCTCCAGGCGCGGGAGACTTGCGCGGGCCCTGTCCCGGATTGAACGCTTTGGCCAACCACGGGTATCTACCGTCGAGCGGAGAGATCAGTCTGGATCAAGCAGTATCCGCTTGCAACAAGGTCTTTGGAATGGTGAGTCGCAGCGACTTGTGAAACGCGCGCGACTCGATGCTGATCAGAATCGGCGCGTAGGGTATCGACTTGGGGACTTTCCTGAGCGCTTACGCCACCGTCATCCTGGGTAACCCCCTATCACTGAGTTGGTCCATTGGAGGTCAAAAGGCTGGTCTGAATCTATTGGGCCTGCTCAGTCCGCCTCAAGGTCTTTCCGGAAGTCATAACAAAGTTGGTCACTTATCTGCTTGGGCGCGACTTTTTGCCACCCGCTGACAGGCTTATTCTGTTAAACAGTACGAGTCGGACGCCAGTCCCGGTCGATTTGATGCGTTCCTGAACGGCGGAAACCCGGCAGAGTTGTCGGTTCAGAACTTTGAGAACCTTTACGCACTGCAGCCCGGCGAGACAGGTGGAAATTACGATCTCGGCGTCCTGATTGACCACTCGAGGCGTACGATCCAAGAGTCTCGGGCGAACAACCCACAACGTAGGTCTCGGTATCGTCAACCCCAATTTTGCACGACTACTTACTTCCGGCTCTACTCTTGACGTGTACTAGACTTCTGGGGTAAGTGGCGATGCTCATGGCTTGCCGTCGTGCTTCGTGTCCTGACGACAACCTTGCGCTTCTCAGGTCCTTTCACCGGCCCCATCGTCTCGTCGGCAGCGCACACTTTCATTCCGGCGTTCATGAGCAACCACAGCGCCGAACGTCCCGAGGGATTTTTGGACCAAGATGTTCTCAAGTCATTCTTTGGCGTCACCGGCACCCAGGGCAACATCCAGTCTCAGCGGGGTCACGAGCGCATTCCGTGAGTCGGGTCAATCAGACTTGGGCCATCAATCAGGAACACTGATATTCATCTGGCAAACATTCACCTCAGTGAGAACTGGTATCGACGACCTATCGGAGACGAGTATACCATCCCCGCTTTTACCCTCGAAGCCGTCGAACTGCAACTCGCCGTGCCAGAGCGAGTCGCCGTCGGAGGCAACCTCGGCACTGTCAACTCGTTCACCGGAGTCAACCTCGCCGACCTGACGGGCGGAGTGTACAACTCGCAAACCTTGTTGCAAGGAAACAACTTGATCTGCTTCGGGTATCAGACGTTGTTGACCGTCGTCCCTGACGTCCTGAAGGGTCTAGTCGGGGATGTCAGTTCGGCATTGAACGTCTTGACCAGCAGAGTCGCGCCATCATTTGCCCAGTTCAATTGTCCTCAGATCGAATGTAAGCGCACTTCGTCTTTCGATCGCGATTCCAGTGGGGGATACTGATCCTGCGAAATCTCGTCGGACGGTGTAGACTACAACAAAGACCTGTTCAACAAGTTCCCCGGGGCCGGAGCAGGTCTCTAATCCAGCGCCTTCTAACCAGTACCATCAAGACGTCTTCTCGCGAAATGTACACCGAGCCACTCAAGTACCGGAACTCAATTGAAACAATCAGGCAGACATCTACGTAATTCAGGTCCCGTTGAAACAGGATAATATCGTATGATGTATGACAATGGACATGTTCCCACAATTCGCGGTGCTGATCGCCAGTAGGATCAGCTTTCGATACAAAGGGTCTTTCCAAATTCGCCATGTTGGGCGGCCTGAGCGCCCTAGAATTTCGTATCCGTGATGTAGAAGGAAGATGTTGTAGTGGTTCTGATTCGGGTCGATATTGACGGCCCTCGTAGGTATCCGTTGGATTGCCGGTCCGATGCGGAGTAAAAAAACATAGGGAAAAACGCAACGGGGGAAAGGGGGAGAACTTGGAACTGGTATGGATACAAAACGAAAAACGATCCCGATATCCTCTTCTTGCTTGCTGAAAGGGTTTCCTGCCCCTGCCGTGACTCCTTCTTCTCTTCATCCTTGTCTGCGTTCTCGGCCCCGTCCCCGCCGCAATAGAGCCTGAGCGAGCGGCAACGAGAGAGTGTGGTCGATATCGATCCCAGCCTAAGCGTCTGCCGACGTCTGCATCTCGATACTCCCACAACTGTTGCACTGAGCCCACATGCTCCGCTTGCCTGTGATCGGGTCGGGGTGGTCAGAGAGGAACAGGCGAGGGATTTGCGAGCATTGAGGGCTGTCAACGGGATCCACAAAGAGGTATAAGGGTTCAGCTTCGGCATGGATCGTAGCGATACAGCGGAGGGAAAGCAGAGAGGCTGTCCAAGCAAATTCATGATGGCTCACCCGTGGACATTCCTAGCCTTTTCGATCTCTTCGATTAGTCCGGGGGTGGACGTCGTAGTCCCCGTCGTGCCATTCAGATCCATCATTCCGTCCATCTGCATCCGCGATCCCGCATCCATCCCATTCATGACATCTTGCTGCATTCCCATCCCGGTTCCATTACTATAACTAGTCCTCGGTTGCATAAGCCCTACCCTGGGCGGACAGAGGTCTTGAGAAAACGACTGGACGGCGAGCGAGTTGATTCCCAATACGGACCCCGAGATCGAGTTGTTATCGTTATTGAGAGTGGGGTCCGGGGTGAGGTTGGTAAGACGAGGAGCTGACTGGTCATGCAGCGCCGGAAGAGGTCGGGAAAAGTAATCCGCTGAAGAGGTAGCTGCGCTTTGGTTCGTGTTCTGGGCCGCGCTAGAGGTAGAGGCTAGGTTTGAAGGGAAGATCGGGTTCGAGCCGAATACGTCCTGAGGTACTGCGTTCAGAGGAGTTTGAGGTTGAGACCCATTTTGCGATCGAAGTTGAGATGAAGATGGCATGCGGGAGATGGGAAAGGGGGAGATGGGGTTCTGGTTGAAAGCGGATGGTGGAAGAGTCCGGAGTTGCTGCAGAGCGGCCGAGACGTAGTACGATGATTAGGCTCTTACATTAAGCGGGTTGATAGTAGTAGTAGGTGTTTGAGCTCACCTTGGCGGCACTCCCTTCGTCCAGCAACGGGTCAGATGCTGGAGCATCCTGGTCGAAACATCTCTTCCTTTTACCTCCGGGAGTGAACATGGGTTCCGCAGAGTTCGAGCCGGTCGAGAATGCGTTGTCTGGGATATCGATATCCATAGTAGTGGTATGTGTAGTTGATCGAATCGCTTGGTACGAGGGTGGTATCGGTTTGGCGGGTCAGAAGAATTGTTGGGATATGGATGGGGATGGTCGAACGTTATTCTGGTCTGAATCAACCTCCCCGACCTCCTTTGAACTTTGAGGACGCTGCTGCGGGGGAATCTCCACAAAACGCGTAAAAAAGCGCGACGCGTTCGAATGGAAAAGTGACGTAAGACGTTGCAAGTGTGATTTACGTAAGGACATTACGTAGCGTCGCTATGGGGTCTCGACTTCAACAACAAACCGAGAGAGCGAGAGATCACAAGTTCACAAGTTTGATCATAAAAACACAGGTATTCACAAGCAAACGAGCAAGATTTAATAAGCCTTACCTCCTCTACAACTATCGCTTTGGTCGAAGACGTCTTTTCGATCATGTCCTCCCACACCACCAACTCCATGTTGTCGAACCTCACCCCGACCCAGATCCGTCTGTACGAGAAACAACAAGAACACGCCTCGCTCCAAGCCCTGAAGGAGGCTAGCGGGCAGATGCTGGAGAGGGTCGAAGAGCTCGCTAGGATGAGTCACGTCATGGCCGATGGAGGTGCTGGTGAGTGTCTCTTCGGGCCATCACGAACGTCGGGTGTCTGGGGGTGCTAATCCGGGTCTGTTTGGGTTGTGCGGCATGTGATAGCGGTCGGCTCGGTATTGAGGAATTGGAACCAGGTGTTTTCCATCCTCAGCTTGTTCGGTGAGTTTGGTCTTCTTGTTCTCAATCATCACCTGGCATCACTGGTGTGCAGCCCCTGATCGACCGTTCTTTCTCGGCCCATGCGGAATAGACAAACCGCCAACAGATTCTCAACAAACATCGGACCCTAACCAAAAGACCTCTTCGACCACCGCTCAGTCTAAATCTAGGTCCACACAATATCCTTCTGCAAATGCCGAAAGCAGCTCCGCCGACGCTGATCGAGATGACCGAGAAGAGATCGAGGAGGAACTGCCGATGTTGGTCAGGTTACAGTTTGACAAGTATCAAGCGCAGACTCAGGGTCAAGCTTCGGGTCAGGATCAGGTGGACGGTGAGAGTCAGGAGGAAGGGTTCTGAAGAGCACGGGTAGGGGGAAAAACGGGAGCGGGTCCAGCCGCCGTGTAGAGGATCATCGGGGTGTAGGGTGTAGGGAGATTTATGGGGATAGGCGAGGATGGGCGTGCTGCGAGATCTTCTGAACACTCCTCGGCGCTACAAGCGCGACGACGTAGGGGGAGATTGCGAAAAAGAGACGTGACCTTCGCTCTCCACCTGGTCGGAAGTGGTACTTGGGACTTGGGAGCATGCGAGAGCTGGATTCAATACAGCATGCTCATGCGCTTTGATTCACAATGGTCCAATGGGGAGAGCGTCATTCTCCGCGAGCGCCAACGACGGGCGGGATCTCGCACAGTACATGCAATACAACAACCAAAAACTTTCCCATCTCGGGGACAACAAAATGCGCAGGCATCAAAAGCTATCGGACAGACGGGCGGCAGAGCACGCTCAACAGACTTCTGCACTGCTACACTCCTGCTCGACCGTAATGGAGGGCTACGACAAACCGAGCCCTGTGCTCGATAAAACAGACAATGTTTCTCGTCGAATCTCAGGGACAAGGATGGACAGATTACGGGCCTCAACCCGAAAGAAGATGCCGACCTCTGCGGTTCGTCCGTTTGCGCTCCATCGTACGGCCCCGAGGGACGTCTTCGAGAACGTTGGGTTGCTGGCCTAGGTCGACCGGCGGAAGAGTTGGCCCTTGCCTTGGTCTGGTCGTTCGCAATCCCAGCCCGGCCAAGTCCCGGACTAGATGATGATGATGTCGGTCAATATCCTGCTCTGGAGAGGGAACGACGGTGCCCGTCTCGGACAACTCTGGAGTAGAGATCTGCTGCTCTTGGATCGTCGTCAAGTCCGAGTGATCTAGATCTTCGACATTCTCAATCCAAATCTGAATGTCATCCTCGTCCTGGTCATTCTCATCGACGTCGAAGTGATCTCTAAGGTGATCTCGGACGGTCCGCTTGCCTAGCGTCTGGAGAGGCTTCGGAGCAAATCCGCGACCTCGAGGTCTGGGTCGATGATCGATCGTCCCGGCACCATCATGGAACGAAGCCGAGACGAGCGTCGTTGGCGCGTGCGTCGAATCAGACATGATCAGGGTCGGAACCTCTTGATCATGATCGGTGTCGTGGTCATGATGGTAGACCGTCCTCATGGTATGCCATTCCCCCGTCGCGACTGTCGATGCGCCGACGACACTAGTATCGATTCGGGGAACGGGCGAGTTGAGACGCCTCCCACTTCCGCCTACGCCGGGCGCATGGAACGTCTTGTGAACGAGGAAGGGGCTGTATTGTCCAGGAAAGTTGGTATCGTACGGCCATCCCGCCGAAGGCTCGTCGTCGTCATCTTCATCCTCTTCGCCGTCATAGGTGACCTGCAAGCAATCTCGAGGGTATTGACGCGGAGACGAGTATACGGGCTGAGTGAGGAAGTCTGAGAATGGGAACGCTCGCTCGGAGTGGGCCGACGGGACGATCGGGGTGCAGTTGCTTTTACGTGGTGTGGCGGGCATCGCAGTGGCCGGTGTTGATCATGCGGGACGATCGTGGTGGTCGAGGGGGGGGAAGGGGAATAACGGAGTGGGATGTGACCGTACTGAATCGACAGACAGTTATCGATGTATTGGTGCATGCTTGACCGAGAAGGATTCGCCGCCGTTTTATGTACAGAGGCGGCGAGTCAAAACGCGCATCTCGTCCCCCCAACAACCGGCCTTCCTTTGAGCGAGAACGAGGGGTCACTCGTGGTCTGAGACGTCATCGTCGCTGCTCAAGGAAGATCAGGTGACGGACGTCGAGCGAGAAGCATCGAATTAGGCCGTAGCGGAGTATCAATCAAGATAAGGTAAATGAATGAAGCGAAGCTACGATCTCGGATTTGACGGGTCTGTCTTGGCGAGACAGTATCACTTGTCTTATAAATGTTATACATATGGCAACGATTGAAACGACCAGTCGTTTCGATCAAGCAGCCGAGCTCGTTCAGGCCGAGATAATAAGCTTTTCCTGTTCTTCAGTCTTCTCCGCTTCTTGCGGCATCTTGGTTCCCTCGGGTATGTATCTGGGAGCTGACGAGATCAGCAAACGCTCTTGATTGACCGCCTCGCTACGCTTGGTGCCTACCTCTCCTCGTATTTCCAAAAGTCTTCCCAGCGGCCTTGCAGCGTCAGACTGGCCGCGACAAAGGTGACGTATCCGACAGCGCCCAGGTACACCCAAAAGACGGTTGCTTGGCGTTGAGGAAAGATAAGCATAGCGCAGGTCGACCCAAGAGCTGCGCCTGCCAGACCAGCTCGATAGGTGGGCTTAAGGAACCGGGGCGATTCAAAATACCCAGGGATGCGTCGCAGATTGATCTCGGGTTGAGCAGCCTTTTCCAGGCTTTGTTGTGATCTGGCCACAGAGGATGCCTCATCGGCAAGCCTATAGCGTTCTTCCGAATCGTAACGAGCTTGATCAAAACGCAATAGCACGGCCAACTGAAGCGCATTACCAACAAGAACATCGCCGTAGATCAGCCAATTGTGCGCCAAAAAACGAATCTGGGTGGAGACTCACCTGTGCAATAATAACGTCCACGCATGCGCTGGTCGCTGACAACTGCAAGAATGAAGCGAGTACGGCCGGACCCAGCAGGTGCTGCGACGAGCTCTTCTGAGCATCTGCACGGCTGACCGGACTAAGGTCGACCCGGGTATCATTCCACCATCCTCGGATCAAAAGAGAAATGATGAACCCAGTGATGCCTAGCTGAAGAGTACGTTGTAGCGTGAGCGAGAAAGTTTCGATTAGCATCAACTGTAGAAGCACGATGGGGGACTCACAATGCCCCAGAGGATCTGCAGAAACCACTTTCTGATCTCATACGGCCTCTTCCTATCCGTCGCACCAGCCGCACCGACGACGTTCGTCAAGAGGGCCAAGGTTGTCCATAACCCGTGCTCGTCTGCCTCTGTCCTCAGGACCAGCATGGCAGATAGTCCGGCAGCTAGGATTTGAACAGTAGCTAGCTGGATGGCTGGACTGTCTCGCCATCCAATTGACGGTCTACCTTGTTCGTCTGTCCGGAAGACACCGATATGATAGTCTGCTGGCCCTGCGGGCAAGAGCCCTGTATCGGGATGCGACCAACCGTAAATCTGTCGACCAGATTCAGAGAGCATACTTCAGCTAAGACACAGGACGAAATCGATGAGCAGGCTCACCCGATCTAAAGCTAGAGCCAGTTGGATGCTTAGGATCGCAAAAAACATGCCGTCGAATAGACCCGCTCGAGAGTGATACCAAGCGAGACCCGAGCCTGCCATGATGACCGCGCCGATGACGGCAGCTATCCTGTTGAGGATTCTTCTGATTTCATCCTCGGCCCCGTCTCTATCCCAATCATCGAGCCGGTGTGGCTTCAACCTTGAATCATCTCGGAAGTATCGTCCAATGACAAGAGCGATCTGAATAGAAGCTGGCTCTTAGTACGGTACTTTGCGTGGTCCTCGTTTGCTCACACGTACTCGTAGCTCCGAATCACAAGCCCAGGCGATTGCGAACCAAGCTAAACCATTGACGGCAAGCACCCAAGGGTTCGGGTGGTTCAGGACCTGGTCGATGACTTGGTCGAAGTAGAGCATAGTTTGGGTGTCTCTGCTATTATACTGCGTTGCATAAGAACGCTAATGATTCCCTCGCGGTTACCAGCACGGTTCATCTTTGTGGGCTATCCTAGACCTTTATGATAGAGACAGGCCTGAAGACACGGAGCCTGGAGCAAATGAGCCTTGGACCATCTGGTGATCTGGTGCGCGATAAACGATTTCAGGCTGGGCGCTGGGGCCGGGACAGCCTGGCACCGCCACGTCACTAGCGCCTCGACGATACCCGAACGTCACCTCGGCGAGTTTTCGAGGAGCTCTGCACGATCCGCGAGACGTTGGACCATGAACATTTCCGCATTCGATACAACTCGACCAACTCCACACACAAAGCACACATCACTTCGCTCTCCCCTACTTCTTGAGATTAATCCCCCCGTCCGAGCTTTTCCAACGCCCGCACGAGACCCTGTTCCTCGACATCGGCTTTGGTGACCCAGAACTCTTCTCGGCCCTTCATGATATCGGCGAGGACGGCCCCTCCGAGGAAGACCATGTGTTTTCGTCGTGGAGGGTCTTCGATACGGATCTTGAAGTTCTATAGAATGGTCCGGGTCAGGATCAAGAGTCGGCTTTCTGTATGTGAATGCGAACCCTGCCGTGTACGTACCTTCAGCCTCTCAGCGTTTCCTCCCAAGACACGGGTGAGGTACAATTGCTTCATTTCCTTCTCCAGCCTGCTCGGCAGACCCGGGTACATGCTCGATCCACCGGACAGGACAATGTGCTTGTAAAGCTCAGATCGGGTATCGACGGCCGCCTGCTGGATCGTCTGGAAGAGCAGTTCTGTCGTAGTGGATCGTCAAAGAGACAAGGTTGTATAAGCCATCAAGATCATCGTCGCGCATTCGAAACATGACCTCAGACTTACCGGCCATACCAGGTTGTTCGACATCGACGAGATGAGGCTGGAACATGCATTCCGGGGCCTCGTACCTCTCCGATCCGACCTTGATCACTCGTCCGTCTGGAAGCTGAGATAAACCGTTTCGAAAGTTATGTTCAGCATCCGTCAGATATCGAGAGAAGGCTCAGGGACACTTACAGTGTAGCTCTCCACCAACGTGGTCGTCTCCTCTGACAATCTCTTGTCCATGTCGAGATCATAACTGCGCGTGCCCAAAACCGCCTTAGATCAGTCTCCCAATTCGCCCGCAAAAGGTAAACACCTCCTCCACACGCCCAAACCCACCTGACATAACACAAAGCCTCCTTGATCCCTCTGACAGTCTCGAAATCGGCCGTCCGCTCAAACGCGTAACCCCGCATCAGCAACAGCTTGATCAGGTACCGCGTGACATCCCTTCCGGCGACATCGAGCCGACGGGTAAGGTGAGGGAGGGCGTAACCGTCGTAGACGGGCACGATATGGGTGACACCGTCACCAGAGTCGACGACGACACCGGTCTGCAGACCTGGAAGCGGGCGAGATAGGAATACGTTAGAAAACAGAGGTCAGGGAATAGCAGGTAGACGATCAACTCACCCTGAGCATACAATGTGAGCACGGCCTGGATCGCGACGTAGACCCCTCCGAAACCATACTCCTCGAACATGACCTCGCACATCCTCAATCGATTGCTCTTCGGGTTCATCGGGGGTTCTGTCAACAGCACCTTCCTCCCCTTGGTATCCACCTTCAACTTCTCGTCGAACGTGTAGTCCCACAGATGCTGCATGTCCTGCCAGTTCTTGACGATACCGTGTTCCATAGGATGGGTAACTTGGAGGAAAGATCGGTGTTCCGAGGCTTCGTCACCGATCATGAGGTCCTTGATCTGGGATGATCCTAGACGCTCTTCGGCTCGGAGGATGGGACGACCGACGATCGAGGGGAAGACATGGGTAGGAAAGTTTTGACCTATGGGGAGGATTTGTACCAGCAGTCAGCAGCTGACCGATTGCGAATGACGGACCGGCAACAGCAGCTCGAGCAGCTCGATACTACGCTCGATCGCCTGGTCTCCTTGCATATCGCTGAGCTCGCCGACTCACCGGCAAACCCGGCCTTGACGAAACCCGTTCCATTATCCACCACCAAAGGTACTGAAGGATCCATCTTGGCGTATATTTGATGCTATTCAGATGATTTTTGAAGCAGGCGACTGCGACAGAGACTGTGGATATGGTATGTTACGCAAGCTTTCGAGCACCGGTGACTGTGGACGCGATTTCGTGAGCTTTCGCGTATCAGTGACGTGACGAGCGACTTCATGCACTTACCAAAAGGCGAGCTGAGAGATGGCCAAATGTGGGGGGCGATCGTTGAAGGGCTCGAGCTGCTTGTGCCTCGTAATGACCTGCACGTTACACACTACACGCTGCATGATGTCGATGTGGTTGCTGCTGTATGCTGTATGGGCAATGTGAATGACGTTGCATCCCCGAGACTTGTCGTCGACCACGAACCTGACGTTTCTTTATCCGCGGATCGCTTCGTCGACCTCACCCTTTCCCACCTCAGCGTTGACACGCCTCTCTGCCCATTCACCCCCTCGATTCCTTTTGATCACCATCATCATCATCATCGTCACCATCATCGTCATATCGACATCGTGAACCCGTTGTATCGCTATACGCACCGTCTAACAGGGTGAGCAAAGGGTGTAGCCAAGTTTGACCATATTCAGCGTACTCACGACCGGCCGTCTTACCTTTTGCCTTCGCTTCCCCTTTCTCCCGCCATTCACCGTTGGAACGCTTCGCCCTCGCGTCATCGACGATATCGGCAACACACACGTTTGCCTCTTATCGAATGTCGACTTCTGCGACGACCAATATCGTCCCTACAACCCCTGCTATTTTCAACGGACTCCCTACTGGTCATCTTCCACGACTTGACCTGCTACAATACCTGCTGGACTCCTCGATCGTCATCAACCTCACAACGAGCAGGACTATACACCTCGATCAATAAAAAAAGAAATAGAACAAGCACGATGTCTTCCGATCTCTGCCCCGTCTACGCTCCCTTCTTCGGTGCCATGGTCAGTCCCGCTCTTGGTTAACTATCACAAGATCTGACGAGAACTGACAGCGCTCTACAAACCACCTTCCTTGCCATCGATCTTCTCCATCTTCACGAAACCCCATCCGCAACCTTGACGACCTCTCTCTGCATCCAAATACCCGCATCTAACAGGGCTGCTGCGCCGCCATCTCTCTCACTTGTATCGGAGCCGCTTACGGTACCGCCAAGTCTGGTGTCGGTATCTCGGCCATGTCGATCCTCAGGCCGGATCTGATGATGAAGTGTGTCGTACCCGTCATTATGGCTGGTATTATCGCCATTGTGAGTGCTTGGTCCACTCCGTCTGCTTTCTAGAGCCATAGAGCAAGCGAGACTAGAGGCTGATGGAATGACCATGTGTCTGCTCGATATCGCTTCTAGTACGGACTGGTCGTCTCGGTCCTCATCTCGGGTGACCTGCAATCTCCCATGCCCTTGTACACCGGATTCATCCAGCTCGGAGCCGGTCTCTCGGTCGGTCTTGCCGGTCTTGCTGCTGGTTTCGCCATCGGAATCGTCGGAGATGCTGGTGTCAGGGGTACGGCTCAGCAGCCGAGGTTGTTCGTCGGAATGGTTAGTCGCTGGCACGGGTTTTCGCGCTACCAAGTATGGGAGGGAATGCTAACGAAGTTGTTGGACACGTCAACTTACAGATCTTGATCCTCATTTTCGCCGAGGTTTTGGGTCTGTACGGTCTCATTGTTGCCTTGATCTTGAACACCCGTTCGGGCGAGACTCCTGCTGTGAGTCCGACCGCAGATCCGCCTTAATCGGCGAGGCTATCACATGGCTGACCTCGTCTCATATTTCTGTAACAGTGTAAATAAGCGGAGAATCGATGAATGACATGTGTAGATGTTGGAGACGAGAGATCAAGGGGGAGGCGATGAACCGAAGGGTGACTGACATCAGGGGATCCCGGGATTCAGGGGAGAAATGATCCCCCTGTCTTCTAGGGTCAACCTGGATCGGGAAGGAGTCTGAACACCGTAGAGGCGCTGGCGGCATGAATGCGCAGAGGAAGAAGAAAAACCAAGAAAACATATACTTTGCTCGTTTTGTTCCGTCCTGATTCTCTGAACTATATATATATACTCTGATGGATGAATACATATATACCTCTTTCCCAGGTGGTTTCGCTCCGACATGATTCGAGTAGGCTTGTTCTTTCTATCCTGCTTCCGTCCCTCCTCCTCCCCTCCCCTTCCCCCCCCCTGTAGATGAACTTCAGTCGAGGAGCAGTGGCTCGACAAATCGCCAGATGTTCGGTTCTCTTGACGTTGTTTGTTGGGATATTCGCTTCAGCAAGCCGCACTTCCATATGTGTGATCTTATCTTGTCTCCATTCGCTAGTAATTGACGCAGTACACGTAGCGAGATTGCAGCGCCTTTTTTGTCACTCTGCTTGATCGCACTTGAGGCAGGGGGTATGTGAAGCAGTATCACCCTGTTTCATGATTACGTCCTTCCTTTGTGTCCAGGGAAGGCAAGATCGCAGCAGACTGTTGTGATTGTGTGTTTCCTCAACAGTGAAACGTGAGCATGAAAGGGGCTTACCTTTGTTGTAGAATGGTGCCGTTTTGTGCGATCAATGATTGGTTGGACTTGGCCGTACCTATATAGGAGAGTCTGAAAGACTGACTTGACAGTATGGTCGCTTCAAGTTCCCCTCCCCCCCCCTCCCCCCCTTTCACACATCCATTTGAAGTTATCCAACGCTTCAAGATGTGGTCTTTCAAAAGAAGCTCAAGTAGTAGGACAGCCTTCACTTCTTCAGAAGTCCACAAAGAAAAGCCCAATGCCACTACTGGCAAGAAAAAGTATGGTCACCAATCGGCTCTACCAGATTTCCTCTACCCACTTTCATTTGCTGGTCCTCTTCCACCTTTTTGGATCTCTCCAAAACGGTTCTTTTCTCACCCATGGGTCCTGTACTCAGTTGGTCTGATCGGTGTGATGATAGCAAGCCTTGGCTGGCCGCTATTACATTTTGTCACTGGTCATTGGATGAACGAAATTACCAACTTGAGCAAGACAATTCAGGAGAGGGAGGACGCAGGATCAGATGCTGCAATCTGGATGCTAGGCCCCCTACTTGGTGCATTTTTTGGCAGTTACCTCTGGTTCCAATGTTGTAAGTTTTCTCACAATTCAACACCATCTGCAAGATTCCTTGATTTACAAGTTGATTGGTCTTGAATCAGATGGCAGAGCTTCAAGGACATTAGCAACAAACATGCGTTTGGAATACATCTCCTCTGTTCTGTCCCAAGATGCAGCCTACTTTGACACCCATGGTTGTGGGGAGATCACTACTTGCTCGGACAAAGACATTAACACGATAGAAAGAGGTTACGGAGAACATCTTGGCCGGTCTATGCGCCTCATTTGCTACATGATTGCAGTGAGTGAGGTGTTACACTAAGCAACAAGAAGATCAGATCACTAAGCACAATAGTGTGATTGTGTAGAACATGACAGTGGCTTTTGCCTCACTTCCAAAGCTGGCTGCAGTATTGTTTCCCTTCACCATCTGTCTGCTTGGACTTTTCTTTCTGATTGAGTTAACAGTCAGAAAGCAGTCAAGGAAAGCTGAAGCAGCATATGGACTTTCAAACACATTCCTGGAACAATGCTTTGCGGGTATCAGGGTGGTTCAGACATTTGCTATGTCAAAGCCATTGATGAAACATTGGAACACCAGATTCCTGGAGAAAGTGGAGACCCTACAGACCCGCCCAGGACTTGTGCGTTCCATCAAAATTGCATGGTGTCATTTCGCTTCGTGTATCATCTTGGCTGCTGGATATTATTACGGGTGGTCTCTCAAGGATGAGGGCTACCAGCCTGGATCCATCTTCAATGTAAGGCCATGTCTTTTGGATATCCAGTTGAATAGATACGTGCTGACACAGCATTCTGAATCTACAGACCATCTTCTGCTTCACAACTATGCACTTTGTGGTATACACCCGCTTGAGCTCTGTCTCTAGCTTTTACAGTGCCATTGCCTGTGTGCAAGTCCTACGTCAACACATTGAAAGACAGCCTTACATTGATATCCGGGATGGATCTGGCATCGGACTCAAGCAATTCTCAGCTGGTTGCGGACACACTCCCACCATAACTTTTCAAAATGTGACTTTTGCCTATCCATCCAGACCAGGTATCAAAGCCCTTGACAACGTGTCGCTTGTAGCGGAGGCAGGTCAAACCACAGCATTTGTTGGCCCATCTGGAGCAGGAAAATCATCAATAGCATGTCTACTTGTCCGGCAGTATGACCCCAGCACTGCAAATCAACCAAACCCATATGACATCAGCACTGCCATGAAGAAGGATCTGTATTATCACTCTCCCAGCAAGACATACACCACTGACATCATAGAAAAGGGCAATGCTATCACGGGCACTGCCAGCTTTCAGATGGGCCTCAAACCTGTAAAAGGGGGAGGCACTATACTTCTAGATGGAGTTGATTTGCGCCAATACAACCTGCACTCCCTTCGCTCACAAATCAGTGTGGTGCATCAGGAACCCCAGTTCATATCAGGGAGCATCTGTGACAACATAGTTTTGGGTTTGACTGGAAGTCCCGAGGAATGCCATTATAACCACGAAGAGGGCAATCAAGAAAAGAACTCAACAACTCGGCAGCTTTGTGTTGATGCACTGAAGAAGGCTGAGGCTTGGGATTTTGTGCAAAATCTACCAGAAGGAATGGATACCCAAATCACGGGGGGTCGCTCTGGAATACTATCTGGTGGTCAACAACAACGGTTGGCCATTGCAAGAGCGCTAATTGGAAATCCTGCTCTCTTGATTCTGGATGAAGCCACAAGTGCCCTGTCCAGCGACGTTGAATTGAAAATTAGAAACAACCTGGAAAGGGAACAGCAACAGCGGGGTTTGACCATCATATCCATTGCTCACCGTTTACAGTTTGCTCAGCGTGCCCACAAGGTTATCGTCATGCAGCAGGGCTGTATTGTGGATACTGGCACATTCACGGAGTTATCATCACTGGACCGCCCTGACAAGACCTTTGCCCGCCTTCTCGACAAGAATTCCACCAAGGAGAACCAAATTCTGCATGTCAACCTCAGAGAAGACGATAAGACCAGCCTAACATCTGACACAGACAGCTCCAGAAGCGATCTGCCAAAGCATTCAAGCTTGAAGCATAGCACAAGGGATAATACCTTGCCCCACAGCTACCTAGTCCCAAAGCAGAATCTAACGGGTCTGATGCAATATATCTCTACCAGAAGGATACCCTTCTTTATGATGATCCTCTCCACTGTGCTCAATGCATGCACAAGGGTAGTGTTCCAACTATGGGTGGGACAATCCAATGCCAAGCTGATCGGAGCTGTGAACTCAACAAGTATAGGGGTCCAATCGTTGATTTGGCTTGGTTATGCTTTCTGGTGGTTTGGAGTCACCTATGGACAAGACAGCTCCTCAGGAATCACCCAAAAGGCAGTGGAAAGACATCTAGTTTCGGCCAGCGCTGAGTCCCTGCTTCAGCAGGAAATCTCATACTATGAAGAAGAACTCTTTTCTGCTGGGATGCTTACTGCCAACCTGGCAAAACATACATCAGGTATAGCGGAAACTTTCACCATCAGCCTCACACGGGTAAGCAGTCATATCTCTATGTATTAGCTTTGTGTCCAGCTGATCTGTATCAATTCACAGGTTGGGGCACTGGCTCTTGCCTCACTTGGAACATTAGTGATGAGCATGATCTTGTCAGCCAAGTTTGCTGCCTTGATATTTCCATTCATACTGTTAGCGGGAGCTGCTGGATGGCTACAAGTCAAAGCTCTCTCAAAGTTTGAGATGCTACGCCGAGGTCCTCAGAACCAGCTCTCAGCCATAATCAGTGAAGCGGTGGATTCCATTGCAACAATCATGATCTTTGGTCAAGAGGGAAAAACTGTCAGTTCTATCAAGAGATTGAGTGGGAATACCAACCAGATGAGGAAATGGGAAAGCATTAATCAAGCTATCCAAGCTTTAGGAGAATCCCTTGCTTTTGGAGTTGGAGCTTTACTGTTATGGTAAGACAATGGGTAATGCCCATCCCACAGAGTCACAATTCTTTGACAAGCTGTTGCATGATAGGTGGGGAGGTCGCCTTTATGTCAGAGGAGACATTGTGAGCACTTCTACCTGAATCTATAGAAGACCACCAGTCACTGAATATGTTGATACGTTGCAGTCCCCAGTTGCCTTGTTTGCCATATTTGAAGGATCATTTAGTGTGATCTTCATCATTACACCGTATGTGCCAGTGCTCACATGAATCTGATTGCCAGAACCTGAAGATATGACTAACATATTGGTTCCTGATTGGAAGACTACTGGAATACCTGAATGCTGTCACCCGAGCTCTTCTCAGCTGGGAGATAGTGCGAAGCTACTTAGAGCGAGAACCCAAATATGCCTGCAAGGAACAATTACAAGTAGAAGGTGCTCTTATTGAGCAGGCCATCCAAGGGGACATCATCTAGTATGTTTCAATCATTCTTTATTATCCAGTTGTCAGTCTAACCTGATGAGATGAAATAGTGACAGTATCACAATGCGTTACCCAAAACGCAAAGATCATCTTGCATTGGATAATCTCAATTTATGCTTGAGAGGAGGCCAGGTGAATGCCATTACTGGCACTAGCGGAGGTGGGAAGAGCAGTAAGTCTCCCTAATGCTCCACTCTGCCCCTAGCTAACGTTTTCACAATGTGTAAATGTAGCAATACTGGCATTACTGCAACGCTTCTATGACCCTACTGGTGGCCAAATTACTTTTGGTGGCCTTGATTCTCAGGCTATTCCTCTAGAAGCTCTCCGGTCACATCTTGCCATTGTTTCCCAAAATTCTGTGCTGTTTGAGGGTGACATACGCTTCAACCTGAGTGTGAGTTACTAGCCATCCGAGCAAGGATCAAAACAACGATTTAACACTTTGATATACAAATAGTTGGGTGCCAAGGATCCAGACAACATCCTACAAGCTGAACTTGAGCATGTTTGCAGACAGGCCTGGTTAGTCCTCTCTTTGATTGCTGCTGACAGGGCAAAACACTAACACTGCATAAATCTTTCACAGCATTTTGGAGTTTGTTCAGAGTTTGCCAGATGGATTTGCAACAGACATTGGTCTAAAGGGTACCAGATTGTCTGGCGGCCAGAGACAAGTAAGTTTATAGTGAGATGGCATGGTCTAGCTGTTGCTCCAGGCTTATCGAATCCAACAGCGTTTATGCATTGCACGAGCTCTTTTACGCAACCCAAGCATCCTTCTGCTAGATGGTGAGTGGTCTCAAAGAATCAGGGCCTGCTTCTGGCTGATGTCATAGATCTATTGTCGTAGAGGCTACTTCATCCCTTGATGCAGTCAATGAGGCTGAGGTTGAAAAGGCCTTGCAGAATGCGTCCAAAGGCCGGTATGTGATGCTGGCATGTCCATCTGCCACAATACTAGCGCTGATGGATCTGAGTCTCTAGTACTGTTATTGTGATTGCACACAAGCTGCAGTCTATCCGGAACGCTGACTGTATCTTTGTCATTGCTGGTGGAAAGTTGGTGGAAGAGGGGACACACACAAATCTTGTGGAGAAACGTGGTCAATACTACAAACTGGTCAAAAGTCAGTTGTGAAGGGGGCCGTATGCTGGCTTTGGAGACAAGTGCTATGTTTGGATTTTTGTGTATCTGCATATTGGCAAGTTGAGTGAAGTGATGTATGTAACATAGATCATAGACACATAGAGTTTATTTCATGTATAACCGCATGCCCGTACTTAACGATTTGAACTGATACACAATCTTGCTCTGCCTTGATTCTGTCATTGTTGTCTCTCACTTGTGACAAGTCCCTATCACATGAGCTAACAAGTATCCTACAAAGGCTCAACGAGATATCTTGCAAACGACTTGCAACTCTCAGCGGATGGACCGGCTGAAGACAGCTTCCGGATTGAGGTCCTCCTGTCCTCCCAAGCCCCACTCTTTGATCAAATCCGTGGGAGTGCAAAAATGGATGTTGTGATGCTGGGGACATGGCCAAACAGCAGGAGGGGGAGGGCAGAGGTCCTGTTTCAGTTGGGCTGCAGCCAAACTTGACTCCTTCTTACGAGTCTACATCATCTTGTCATGACTGGATTTATGAATTGGAGGATTGGGAAAGAGCGCAGGAAAAGTGCTCTCCTACATGTTAAGGCATTCACACACAATGAATCTTTCACCCTGAAGAATCCTTGCGGAAACGAGGCTTGTCAGTGTGTTGGATTGCTCGTAATTGGATTTTTTTGTGCCACTGCCAGAAGGCATGGGGCTTAATCTATCTCCCCTTCGTTCCATCTCACAGTAAGCCTGCCTTCCCCGTCGAAAAATCATGCTTGGGATTTATTCACATCAGGATCTGGGCTAATCACTCCAAGATGTCGCTCGGTCTTTTCTTGGGTCCCTTTCCCGGTTTCTTCCTAGGTGTGACAGTGAAAGATTAGAGGTGCTTAGGATGATTTCTCGGCTCATTCAAGACTCCTGCAAGCGGTCCTACTGGTCCTCTGCCGGTGGTCGTCATATGCTATTACAGCTCGCTAACCTGAGCGGTATGAATCTGACGATATGCACCCCGTCAAGCTTCAAGACCTAGGTGCTAGGCGATCACAAATTGCGATATGCGCCTCAATCCTCTATCCTCTAGGAGCCAGTCCGCTCTTAGCGCGTCGAAGGGAGAGCACGGAACCGAGATTCAGGCGAATCCATCAGACTGATTCCTGTTAGATGCTAGACGATCGAAGCTCACGGTTCTGAAGCAATCCAGTGACTCTAGCCGCCTTCCCATTCTAGTGCCGTTAGACTCAGACTTCTTACGGCCAACTCGGTTGGGATCAAAGCAGGTCGGAAGCGGAGCGGACTTTCGATACAAAGGAGACCTCCCTTTTCCTTCTTTTTGGACAGGAATCTTGCATCTTCCTACATCGAAACCATACAGAGGAAGAGGTCTCGCTAGATACGCAGAAATTATACGGTCGACCACAGCTCACTAGGAAGGCTCGACTCGAAGCGGCAAACCCCTCGCCATGTCGAACCTGCCTAACCGACCTTCCTTCTCTAACACTTACCAGCCGCGACCCCGATCACGAAGCCCATCTGGCTCGTCCTGGCGGCCTCCTCCCTCCCATCATTACGACGATCGCAACCCTTACAATCAGCCCTCGGCCTATTCCTCTTCGTCCGGACCATATCAATCTGGTCGAAACTCTGCTCCTTACTATGATCGGCCTCGGGAAACATACCCTCATCCGAGAAGGTCCAGGAGCAGGAGCCCAATGAGGGGTTATGACAGGGGAAGTGGCAGGGAGAGGGACGGGGACCCATATGCGGATGAAGAGAGGATCCCACCTCCCCGACGATATGATCACGAGGCCTATCAAGGTGGGTGTCGCCTTTGGACCTTTTATAACGCAAGCTAATTGCAATCACTGATCGCGGGCGACTATGATGACAAAGCCGATCGACCCAAGCGACGAGAATCACCCCCATCGATGGGCAATGGGATGGTTAGCGAGAAAGTTGATGTCGCGATGCCCATGAGGAATCCGGCAACCGAACAGCCAAAGTGGGAGAGGGGACGTGATGTGACGGAGATGGAGGTGGGTTCCTTGCTCGGACAATCTGTTGAAGACATCAATCGCTGATGGAGCGGCCCTCGTTGCCCTGTTTCTTCTCTGCAGCAGCCATACGGTTATGGCGGAAGTTCAGCCTACCGAGATCAAGACCAGCCTTATCAGCGTCAACAACAGCATTACCAGCAGCAGCAGCAGCAGCAGCAGCATCATCATCATCAGCAGCAGCAGGGTCACTTGGATTACGAGGGCTACGGGGAAGAGTCGATGCACGATAATTCGAGACCTCCTTCCGAGCCTTCGAGGGATGTCATCTTCCTCGGTCTCGATCTGAACGTAGATGAGGAGGTCGTAAGTCGCTCTTTCAACCGTGAGGCGTTATTTCGAGTCATTTAGCTGATATCCCTGTATCTGCATTTCACATCCCGCTTGCTCACACTCCTAGCTGTTAACATACTTTCGATCGGAACCGTACAGCTTGGCCCTGGACTCTTTTACTGTCGTCAGGGACCGAGCGACGGGGCAGTCTAGGGGGTTTGGCTTCGGAGCGTTTGCCAGTTTGGACAGTGCGGTTGATTTCGTGAAGGGGTAGTAGGTGTCAAGTGTAGCCGTAAAGGTTTGAAGGTCTATTCGCTGATCTGGAATACTTCTTCGCGCAAAGTGGCCCGCATTTGCACATTCCCCCTCTCTTCCCGGGCTGTTTGCCCATGGACGTCCGGGTGGACTTTTCCGCATCGACTTCGTCTGGAGGAAGGGAGCATGGGGAGCGGAACGGTAACGACGGGATGAGAGACATTGGTCCTCCCGGGAACGGCAATCGGGTCCTGCTTGTTCGGGGCCTGGACCCTCAGACATCCCAGGAGGAGGTTCGGGACCGATTGAGCGCCGAGATTGTCAGGTTGGCCGCGACCATGCCTGGTGACGGTCGAGGCCCAGTCACGGATGGAAGGCAAGCCATACGGCGGGTGGTCATCATTCGGTACAAGAACACCAAGATTTCAACGGGCTTGGCCTTCGTCGAACTCGTATCCACCGATATTGCTGTCGCTCTGCTAGCCCACTTGCTCTCTCGGGTCGCTCAGCCCGTTGGCGTTGTGGTAAATGGCAGACCTGTAGCCTGTTCCTTTGCGAATCCCGAATCTTTCGTTCTCGCCAATCACCCCGAATCTGGCAATCTACCTGTGCAGACTACCTGGTTAATTCGAGGAGAGACGGATGGGGGCATCGGAAATGTTGAGGGTTGGGTCAAGTACAGAGAGGATTACCAAGGTGCAAGCGAAGTACGAACACCATCACCCGGAGCAAGCATGGCGATCGATCCGAATCTGGAGTTGTTCTTGGCGAGCTTGGTCATCCCTACCGACGATGTTGTCTCCCGAACAAAGGGGAAAAAGGAGTTGGGCGAGGCAGCAGGGCCGAAGCTTCTGGACCGAAGCGCTGGTGGTTTCAAGATGCAGCCGGTCAAGCTCAGTTTCGGGGCGGCGAACAAGAAAAAGGAGAAAGATGATGTCATGGTGGCGCTTCCGGTCGCTGGAAATCCTATGTCACGGGCAGACGTCCCTATGAACGGTATGGACCGGAATGGTCAGCCGCAAAGTCATGAGCGTCGCTTACTGCGTGGTATACTCTGTTATCCTTGTCTCGCGTGTTAGCTGCAAACGTGTTAGGGGAGCCGGAAGATGACGAGCCCGCAGCTTTGCCATCGAAAAGTACGTCTCTCTTAGCAAGCTCACGAGCTTTAGAAAGAACCTGCTGAACATCTGGCCCTTCGCCTGACAGCATTCCCCGGGAGGAGCAAACACGTGGTACCTCCTCTGGCATCTAGCAAGAAGGTAAAGATGACGTCCATCTCGGCGATGATTCGTTCAAATACACGAAGGATCGTCTATCATGTCGCCACTGTGTCGAGCTTGCGCTAACCGCAACCCGTAATCCTCAATCGATCGCCACGCACTCCCGCTTAGATGGCATCCAACATCTCAAAATGGCAAACCCGACAAGGCGAACTGAAGGCGGATATAGCTCAAAATCAAGCGTTGGCATCGTCCGCTAACACGAAATCAGCGGGCTTCAATGCAATCCCCGTCGCTTCAAGACAGGCAGTGGCAAGCACAAGCGTACATTCTTTCTTCCTGAGCGGCGATGATATCATACATCCGGGTCCACTATTGACACGAACCTCGATACGACAATCACTAGCAGACTGCTTCACCTGAACCTAGTGCCGGCAACACGGACGATTTTGACTATCGGGACGTCAGCAAGATGGCCTGTCTTCTGTGCCAGCGACAATTCAAGACTCTCGACATTCTGGGAAGACACTGCAACGCATCGGAATTACACAAGGCTCGCATCAATTTCGATTGCTCGCGGCGTCTTTCGCCGAGTAATCACTCTTTTCCAGATATGAGCAGGCTGGCTAACCCATTTGGCTATACCTTCTGCCTCGGCTTGACCACAAAATACATTCGACGATGTAGAAAAACCTCGCCGACTCGTCAATATGCGAAGCTGGAAGAGACCGTAAAGCCGCTACACAGACTGACGAACCGGTCTCAGAGAAGAGCTCGGCAAATATTTCGGCGTCATTGTACCGCGATCGTGCAGCTGAGCGTCGACAGGTGTTCCATCAACCAGCGATGCCTCTGCCCGAAGAGAGTCGCTCCGCGCCGAAGCGCAAGTTTGCCAAAGCCCCGACCCCGCCGCCGCCCAAGCCTGCTCCAGGACCCGCTCCAGGTGAAGATACTAATAACAAGGGCAATCAATTGTTGAAGAAGATGGGTTGGACCGAGGGTACAGGCCTCGGGTTAGAGGGAGAAGGTCGACAAGCTCCCGTACCGACCCTGTTATTCGCGGAGAAAGCTGGGATTGGCGCGTCTAAAGGCAAAGATGCGACGAAATACCAGGGCTTCGAAGGCTACGGGATGTATGCAAAAGACAGCGTATGTGCGATTCAGGCCCGAACCGCGCGCTTCTGCTGATCATCACAAGGTCAGACCATTGATCGCTTCAATCAGGCCAAGTAAATCAGACGTGGCTGCGGATTGTATCGCATGGCGAAGACTGTATCGCGTGCGCTCTGCAAGACGTGTACTTCACGAATTATCGATACCTATACATGAAGACAGAAGCTTCGCCTTCCCGAATATGTATGTGAGCAAAGCTCCGCAGGATCCCAAAGGGAGCAACGGCCGGGTCTGATGACCGATCGCACCGACCGTCCAAAGGTACCCCTTGTGTCTTCCTTTGTCATTTTCTGACGCTCTCTTGTCGATAAAGGGCAGCCGAGTTACTTATGTCTACCCCAATGCGACGATTCGAACTGTCCTGCTGACAGGCAACCGGTCTCGTTAGGGTGTGAATTATTGTTGAAACTTGAGGTTCGACGCAATGTCTTTCACAGATCTAGAAATTCCTACCAAGCTGCTATGGAAACGACTCAGCGAAGCAGGGGTGGAGGGTCCATCCAACTGGAAAGAATACGAGATCGAGGGAGCTCAGAAGAATGACGCAGGGGGCGACTGGGATGGCTCGGGTAAGGTGTCGTGTTGTTTAAGCTACTTGACACCTTCACTTACGTAGGCGAACATGCAGGTTCGATGCCGTTGCGACTCACGCATGCTGTACTTGCGATATGCTTGAATCTGGGCACACCACAGGGCATCAGAACCAAGACGGAAGAAGCATTCTTCGATCCGTCGACACGACATCATGAGCGGAGTATGCGGGCGATCATGAACAAGTTAGTTGATTCGGTGGAAAACCTGCAGAAGATGTCCATTCTAGCGGTGAGTACAGACGAAACTATCACCGTGAGCTTGTATTGACGGGTTTTCTTTCAGTTACCGGACCCGCGTTCCGAAACGGTTGTCAGTGCTCTACAAAGAGCTAGGCGGGAGGCCAAGGATCAACAGATGCTCTTTCTGTACAACGATGTGAGTGTTCCAGTAAGGCAACAAGTTTGATGGAGATGCTAAGCTGATGATGGCTTATTGTTACGAAGCACGGCACCCTGGTAAGCATGCTTGACCGCGTATGCATAGTATCGCCCAGCGATAACAAGCTGATCGCACAATATCCGTATTCTAGGCCCCAACGGAACAAGGGGAGATATGGTGCTTCGACACCGACTTTCCTATCAGTCCTACCACTTACAATCCGGTTTTTGTGTCGGCATTGGTAGACGTTGCACTCCCGTAAGATGACCTGTGTGGGCATAATTGGTGCCGGCAGCTGATCGAGTCTGCGTGGTTGCAGAGGAACCATTTACGTTTGGGATTGTGACAATGCTGGCAAAGTCATTGACAGCGCTATTGAACACGCGAGGAGGAAGGATCTGGGCACGGAGTCGGATTCAATCTTCTTGAGGGACAAGAGGCAGAAGTTTACACATCTCGATCACGACATCCATTTCGGAGCGTCGGCCCACAAACAAGTCCTGCCAACTGCTGATGGCTTGCCTAGGTAAGCACGGAGCGTTCGAGACTCGAAGCGTCAAACAGGTGCTGACTGACTTTCCTTCGTTTAGAGACGTGTTTACCGTCTGCATGCTGTCGCCACTCTTGATGGCTTTGCGCCACCACTTCGCAGCCGATGATCTGAAATTGACGAAGTCGATGACCGCGGCTTGCCCTCCTATCACGACGGAGATGCTCATGAAACTACCCGGCCAATTGAATCAGCGTGATACAGTAAGTTGCTGTATCCCGTTCTTCAGAAGGTCCAGGAAAGACTTTAACCGTATTTACAGCCATTAGGGGAGATGAACTGGCTCCTAATGGCCATCCTGGAGACTATTGCCTTTCAGAGTCTCCCGTTGAACCTTTTTCGCAAACTGTTCCGAACCAATTCCGGACTAGCGGGCCTGGCGCGTGGTTTCATACTGGCGTAAGTGAGCGCATTCTACGAGACGCTATCATGGAATGTCCTAAGGCGACACGCATTACAGGCAAAGAGTGCTTCGACAATATGACTGTACTCCGGTCAGCTATCCTCCCATGCCATCAACGCATCTGCATCCACTGTGGCAAGTCTGGGACACCGCTGTGGACGACCTGTTCTGTCAACTTCCCCTTCAAGAACCCCTGCCTGGCCAATTACACGTCTACCGCTCGCCCAAACTCCTCTCAGAACAGTTGTTTGCCTTCTCGGCACAACTTACTCTTTTCGCGGACAAGCGGAGAACAAGGGAAAACAGGAAGAAGACGTCACAACTGTGCGCCAACTCGCTCCCTATCGTCTTCTTTGCTGCTGCAGGCGGGCCGTGTCGCTTGTTGGCGTTGACGTTGATGGTGGTATGTCCATCTTCTGTGAAATCTTCTCCTCGCCGCTGCCCCGATTGATCGTCGTACATCCTCTTCAGCGCTACCTCGATATAGGCGGTTGTTATCCCGTCTGGTGGTGCTTCGCCTGTGGGATAGATCAGCTCCGAAATCGCATGTTGAACTGGGACAATAGCGAAGAGGCGAGCCAGGTAGCCTACGTTTTTCAGAGGCTGCTCCAAAGCGAGCAAGGACCTGCAATGCTAGCTCAATATAATTCATCCACCGGCCGTACCACGCTCTCTTCCTTCACTAGGATGCTCAGCAACCAGCAGGACGGCAATTATGAGCTGGGATGGTCCCCCGATACCGTTGCTGGAGTTTTCTACATGATGAGTGTGGCGACTCAACAACCGGACTTTGATCCAGTGTCGATACAAGAGGACCGGTGGATCGTCCTAATCGTTGAACACCTCGTCAGCTCTGACGACTTAGCACGCCAATGGTCATTATTGCTCTTGGCGACCATCTGGTCGCACGACCAGATCGTAACGGCTGATCACCTGAAAAGGATACTGGACCTCCTAGTCGAACGCGTGGCGGACAACAACGAGCAGACAAGGTTTGCGGCTCTGTACTGCTTGTGGCAGTATTTCCTGTCGGATGCATACAGCCGAGCGGATACGTCTCTTCGAGGGCTCGTGCTACGTGCCGCTGCCAGGGTCTTTGCGACAACGCAAACCGACGCGTCCATATTAGTGAGAAGGTTACTCTTGGTCTGCGTCGAAACTATTCAGGAAAAGAGGCCGTATTGGCTCTCGTTGTCTCCTTGGTGCTACATGGCCACCAGAGTAAAGGATGAAGGCGGACCCGCTCTCGAGAAAGAATGTGCACTCCTACTCCAGTGCTGCTTACGCTGCTGCGACGAATGCGATACGGTCGAAATGTCTGCAGAGCGCTTGGCAGCTTTAGAGGCTATCTGCAATGCCATCACTCGGTTATGTGATGACCCAGACACTCGACTCGCCTCGCTCGCTCGGGAAGTCTTCAACAAAGCAAACACGTCCGCACGGGATTCGGCAATAGCCCAATGTCTTCCGTTGCTACGACAACGGCTGGAGGATTTCGAGGACGTCATTGATGATATGGATCCCTCCTCCGATTCCAAGACATCGTCTGCGCTATCGAGCAGTACTTTTCGAGGCAATGGAGTTGAGACCGAGCAACACGCCAACGTCTATTCGCGACTCTTGATTGCGGTCAGGAATGTTGTCCACCAACACTATCCTAAAGAAAGATCTCCTTCTTACGTGACCGAGGAATTAGTAGAACAGATCAACGGGTGGCGACATTGTATGGAACTCTATTTCCATTCGTCCCGTCTAATAGTATGTGCCATTCTTTCTTTGCCACTTGAACCGAACACTGAACGATTATATGAACAGTGGACTGAGAAGAAATTGAGCAGAAAGGAGCTACAAGCCGCCGAGAAAGTTCGCCGAGGCAAACATACAGGTATGTTTGCGCTCGGACAGCACGAGTGCCTAGCGAATCCCTGATAAATCATTCCGTATACATGTAAAATCCCATCATGCAGCGTTCGAGTCTGAAAGCCGAGCTGACAAGTCTTGGGCGACTGAGAAAGCGAAGATTGAGGTGGATTCATTGCTCAACGCTGTTAGGTCAGCGCATGCGCTTCATAATGGTGTGATCGTCCGAACAGAGGCTGATCGATTTCTATAGGTTCCATTCATTCGAAGCTTTGATGGCGACTTCAGAGCCTCGTCGGACCGTGTGAGTACAAATCGACGAATGTCACGTATAAGCGCACTCATCTGATCTACATCACCATAGATTCTACGATCTCGACAACTTGCAAGCCACAGACAGAGTCACGTTGACCATCCCGCCCAGATGGGGTGATCTTCTGTGCACCAGATTCCTTGAAGAGCAACACGATGTCGGCACGACCATGCAAGTCACATCCGAGGGCGTCGTCAGGGTACAACGACACGTCCTAGATGCGGATCAAGACGCTCAGACAACGTTGCTTTTCCGTTGCCCAAGAGCGTCCGGATACAACGTAGTGACGAGGTGGTCCGTACTCCGGCAAGAATTATCCATCTCACCGAAAGCAGGTACGATCGTGCAGTGGAATCTGCAAGAAGCGCGCCAGACTCGCAAGTATCGGTCCGTCCGCTCGGTACCGATCACTTGCCTGGATTATGAAAAGGAGACCGGTCATCTGCTCCTCGCTGGCTACGAGGACGGCTGTCTGGAGCTGTTCGATCAACGGCAGCAGAAAAGACCGTCCGTTGCTCTCTGGAACGCGAATTTGGGCAGGAAATCCCTGTTTTGCCACTTGACGACCGGTCAAGAGATCGTCTCGGTACAGTAAGTCCGCGTTTGATTCTGATCGGCCTTGGCTGCTCTTGTTGATGAACGGGTCGCTTTACAGTGAAAACGGTACCATGAACATTTGGGATTTGCGAGTCCCCGATCAGCCGATCTCGACCAATCACAACTCGCTCGACACGGAAGGGAAAATTACCATTGCCGCCACGGGGATGGACTCGGTTTCACTATTCGCACAGTAAGTTTGACCCGAAGGCATGGTAGCGCTGCGTGCACTAATTCTCAATGAACACACCCAGACTCTCGCTCTACCCGCCTGACACTTCGCCCGAATTGTCCATCGGACGGGTCTCGTTCCCAACACCCGTCCAGACCTCGGTTCTGAATCTTCCCGGCACTTTGCGGCCGGGCGATCCGGCTTGTCTCGCGTTTCATCCAAACTCGCTCATGCTCGCCATCGCGACGCCTGCCGAGAGAGAGGGTAGAACCACGGTCTCGATTCGGAGTATCAATTAGATCTTGTTCATTCGTGCCTGTGACTTTTTCTTTGTACACGTATCGATATCATTCTATGCGGGCAATTCCCTCCACGCCAAGAGGTGTCCCTCTTGTCCATCGAACACCTTATCGACCCTCCTTGCCAGCCTCACCATCATCGCCTCGGCTTCCACTGTGTTCCGGTTGAGACTGATCGTTCGAGTCCACACGTCCCTTCAACTCGGTCTTCATGCCACTAGGCGAGGTCGCACTTTGGTCAATCTCCTTGATGTCCTGCTTCTCAGCCTGATGTAATCGATCCTTGATCAGCCACATCGCTCGAAATTTTTCAACCGATAACACGGGATTGCAGACGAACCTTTTCCTTCTTTTCCTCTTCCTCCTTTGCGGCCTGCTCAGCGGCTTCCTCCTCCTCCTTCTCCTTGTTCCTCAGCTTGACGAATCCCTCGCCACTCTCCTCGGCAACCAGGTCGATAGCCTGGATCGGGCCGGGGACGGATCCTTCCTGCTTTCCAGCCACCTTGGGGTTCTCCTTCTGGGAGACCTTGTTAATCCTCTTCTTGGACTTGTCTTCGGTAGGCTTGACGTCGGGGCTAGTAGGGAGCATAGGGACGCCAGCACCGGATCCGACGCCAAAGTAAGAGGTACCGGTAAGGGTGGCGATGATGCTGAATCCTACGACGATGGAGAGGTAGAACCTGTAGGTAGAGTACCAATGAGGAGCTAGAAAGGGATGACAACTAAAAGTCAGCGGAACGCAAACGGGGTAGTTGTACGAGTCTTGTTTCGACTCACTCCACCCGTGGGTGCTAGCACGCTGGTCGAGCAACCACATTCCGGTGAAACCAGCCCATTGAACAGCTGTGCAGAGTTTCGGGAGTGAGTATCAGAACCAGCAGAAGGGTGTAAACGGTACGGAGATCGGCACCCACCCAAGCTGACTCCGTGGGTCATGAACGTCGTAGGCCAAGCCATCAACACGGGCACGACCCCGAGTGCCAGCCTCTTGTACCCTTGAGACCCGCCGAACCCGACGAATTCCATACCCCAATGCAGAGCACCGAGGAAGGACAAGATGATGGCTCCGTAGGTGATCTGGACCGTCTCGAGGTGATGCAAAAGAGAGGTCGCCGTTTCGAGGTCGATCCCGGTGAGGGTGTCTCGTCCTGAAAGAATTCAAGGTTTGACCAGTATGAGCATGACGAGGACTGCAAGGACGAGCTTGAATAGTAGGTGCGTACCGGCTTGAGCGGCTCCGGCTTCACGGGCAGCAAAGATGATCCCGACGGCCGTTCCGATGTAAGGAACCGTACCGAGAGCACCAAAGTTGAAAATGTGAGGAGGAATCGATTGCGCCAAGTTCCTGGTGACCGAGTACTGTCGGAGACGAGTTTCAGGTTAAAAAATGTGGACATATTGATTTCGAGATAACTTGCACTGCAAGTGGAGAAAGAGACTCACGAAATCGTCGGCCATCGGAGTCGATGCGTGAGGTGATTCTCGTGCACCTGCAGCGGCAGCCTGGGGAGATCGACCAGCGATCATCTCGGCAAAGTCCTTGACGACCGCTCTCGCCTGCAAAGTATCATAAGGGAACACCGAGTCGCTCTTCAGATCTCGCATCTCCCTGTATGAAGCGACTTTGACGACCCACCTCTTCCTTGGCTCCGGTAGTAGTGTGCTGGAAATCGACCGACGACTGCTTCTCGACGGCCTTTTCTGCAACAGGCTCATCCTTGCTGGCTCGTCGGCTCTCGCTAGTGACGAACTGCCTCGTCAGCAGAGCCCTCTGAGCCAGAAGAGGAGAGATCTGGGGTCTTCGTTGAGCGTCCAGGACGTTCTGGATCAGAGGTCGGACGGGCAAGGCCTTGGTGGTCGATAACGACCTGGCAGAGGTCAAGGCCGAGACCTGTTGACGTGCGAGCGGACGAGCGGCTTGACGGAACATGGCGAGGTTTTGGTTGTGCGTGCGGATGGCAAGATCGGATTTGAAGAGCTCAAGGTATGCTGAGACAGGAGGTTGTCCACGATGATGATGATGCTAAGTATGTATGTCCTCCTTCCCTCTTTTCTGACCTCCCCCCCCCCCCCTGCCCTGCCTGACGTCGTCCCCTTCCCAAGCGAGCGAACCAGGTTGACGTCATCATTCTCTCGCGCTTACTACCTCTCCGGCGCCGGTCGATCGCGATCAAGGTTCAGTCATCAAAGTGTGTGAGTGCGTGAGTGAAACAGGAAAGATGCAAATGAAATGATACAACGTATCGGCTCTATACACCCCATCGGTCTCTAGCAGCTAGCTGTCATCTTTTCGTAAATAGGTCGTCATTGTGCCCACCATCCGCACGTTCCCCTCTCAGCTTCCTCCCATAGGCCCCAACCTCTCCGCCAGTCCCAAAGGCACCTTGGCCCTCTCGGTACCATCTCTCAACGATTTCAACCCTTCCTCCATCCTCTTCATCGCCTGTTCCGATTGGAGCACCTTGATCCTGAGTGACTGGATCTCGGCCGCCCTGGCCGCATCACGTTTTTCGGCGTTCGCTTTATCGCTCTTCCGAGCCTTCCGCTCCTTTTCCACGATATAGAGTGTATCAGCGATCTCTGCCTCGTGGTGTTTCTTGATTTCGTCGATCTCTTCCTGGAGTTTCTGTGCTCGATCGTTGGCGTTGTCCTCGACGTTGTAGTACGTCGTGATCAGATTGTCGACGTTGGCTTTGAGTCCCTCGATGTCTCGAGCCACGCCCGCTTTCAGTTTACGGTTCTTGGTCGCCGGGCTGATGGGGTCGGCAGCGGGGGCAGCAGTGGCAGGAGTAGTGCTGCCGGTGTTGGCAGGATGGGCAGCCGTATCACCATTCGTGCTCGGTCCCGCCGGATTCGGCGCTGCGTTGTTCGCTGTGTTGATGGCAACGCCAGGAGCGGCACCCGTTGATCCATCACCTTGGATAACAGGCGCTTGACCGCCGGAAGAAGCACCATTGGTCACCCCGTTCGAGCCCGACGACTCCCCATTCGAAGCCTGCCTCGTCGCATCTCCACCGCCACCCTGCAAATCCATTCCCTGCCCGGCCGCACGCATCCAATCCCTCAGCGAAGCCGTCGTCGACGCCGCGAGCTTGGCAATAGTCTTTTCGGCCTTGACGAGCTCGTCCTTTTTCGTCTGCACCTTGGCGTCCAGGTCAGCCCGTTGTCGAGGGTCGTCCGGACATTGAGATTTCAGCTCTTCGAACTGCTTGAGATTGTCCTTGGCTTGCATGAGGTTCTTCATGGCTCGTTGTTGAAGCATGAAATTACTGTGGAAAAGCAAGCCAGAGGTCAGAGAAGTTTGCGGGTAAATCGCAGATTGGAAGGTGAGGATGCGTAACAGCTACTCACTGCAAGAACGTATCTGCGGCGTCCGATTGTTCCGATGTCATCACATGACTGTCTCCCCTTGTCGATGCCCTCGAAGCGTCCCTCATATGCACATCCCGGCTCCCTGACTGCCTCTTTCCCGACTCCCTAGATCCTGTATGTCTCGGCGTACTCTCCCGCGTGCCGGGCTCGCGAACTCCCTCCCTGCCCTTCCCCGGCGCTGATGCTTCCCTCGAAGGTCCGTCCCTCAGAGGTCCATCTTTGTGTAATGGCCCACTCTTGGGTAACCCCTCAGGTGGTTGTCCTTCCCTTCCAGATGGCCCATCCCTCATCCCTGTTGCCCTCACATTCCCCTCCCTCGCTGCTGTGCTTTGCGAGGCATCTTGAGAGTGAAAGGCTTCGCGAGCGAGATCTCTTACAGGAGGTTCCCTGGTGGTAGCATCTCTCATATGGACATCCCTCACTGTTGCATCCCTCATGTGGACATCTCTCACTGTTGCATCTCTCATGAGAGGCTGACTCATAGGTGCATCTCTTTCCTTGTAAAATCCTGGCTCGCTCCTCGCTTCAGGGTACCTGCCTACTGCCCCGGGAGGTTCTCTGGCCTCTCCAAGGTCCATGGGAGAAGCATAATGGCTCGGTGAGCCCCCGGGTCTCGAGCCCTCCCAGCCTCGTACAGGTGCCACGGGTCCTGCAGACCGATACCCCGAATCCGGCACTGGAGCCCGGTAATCAGAACCTGAGATCCGACGAGAGTGAGAATGATCCAGTGCCGTCGGCTTGTTCACGTTGGCATAGGGACTGGTCGCATAGGCGGATGGACCTGCTACGCCGCTCCTTCTGGGTGAAGCTGATCGTTCTCTGGGTGCATATCGGGCTGGGACTCGATCGTCCGGCCGACCGGCTCGATCGTCAGGCCGATTGTATACTGTCTGAATGTTTGGTGCCCTTTCTTCCCTATCCTTGTCGTAGGTTCGCGGTCGGTACATCTTGTCGAGATGGGCAATTGTGTTGCAGGTACCGGTATCACTTGGCTATCGAGAAGGCGCCTGGTCCGTGATTCCTCTCGTGAGATGGAATAGAAATTTGGTACCCGCGAGACGTATTGACGAATGATGGGCTGGAGGACGGTAGGCAAGAGATGTACGATGTACGATACGATATGATGTTGACGTTGGCAAGAGGGAATATGAGCATGATCAATCGATTTTCTACGACGCGACCCCCTCGCTCTTGGGAATTGAATCGGGAAAGCGCGAGTCGCGGTGACCGAGGTCGTCCCTCTCTTTCATTTACACAGGGGTCAACCTAGGCTACAAGCGTCCTACCTTTGTTCAATATTAATCTCGATACGCAAAAAGGTCAATTCGCTATCGAACTGGCAACCATGAACCCACAACATCAACCCCAGCAGCAGCCACGCCCGGCCTATCACGTCACGTCTGCCATGAATCCGAGGCCACCTCTGCAGAATGGACCGCTACCACCGCTATTGCAGCAAGGTGAGCATGCCTTTCTCTCAGAGATTACAGTCAAACTGACTTGATGGCTTGTACTATTCGGCAGGTCCTGCTCAGAAACGGCCTTCCATTCCGCAAGCCAACTCAGGACCTGCTCGCCCACAGCTCGCTCAAGGCTCAGCACCGGTTCCGCCCACCCTCGGATTCCCGCCTCAACCGTCTCAGAACGGCATTCCTCCTCAATACCAACGCTCACAGCCCGAGAGTAGTACTGGAGGGCCGTCAAATCTCAAGGTCACTCAACCTAAACCAAGTGGGGGAAAGTATTCGAAACCACTCGAGGTCAGGACCGATCCTCGAGCTGTCGGTAAGTCAGGCGAGATATGACGGTCGGGTAGAATCTCCACCCAGCCGAGTCTGATTCTGAGCTTCCGATTGATACCTCTGGGAATGCAGTCTCTAAGCTACTCTATGTTCATGGCGATGTCGAGACTCCTAACACAGAGGCGGTCGACTTTGTCCTCGACATGGCCTACGATTTCATGGTCCAGCTCGTGAGCCCGCCTTCGCTCTTTACTATTTAATACCCAAACCTTGATATGCAAAGCTGAAACTCCTCGTTCATGGCAGATGAATCCCGGCCCAGCACCCAAACCCTCTCCACCCCATTTCAACTCGACATCCCAGGCACAGACCATCACCACGTCGACCCTCCGGCATCGTCTCCGCGGGCCACACAATCGCAAGAAACTCGCCGTCCTACAAGAAGCCATCATCAAACAAAAGCTCGCTGCGGACAAGGCCAAGAAGGCGGCGGTGGTCGAGAAGAAGACTAAGCGCAAGGTCGGCGGAGAGCAGGGCGAAGCGGAGGTGGATGTTGAGGATTTGGCTGCTAATCTGGATATGCCCGGGATGAGCGGGTTCGGGGGGATCTACTGATCCTTTCCGTACGAATCTCTGTGGATGAACGAAACGATTTACGACTCTTAACGACAAGCATAAGATGATGCTCTCATATGTATCTCGCAACTATTGTGATACAACACTCGATCGCGGTTGCACGTTTAATGTCTATACCATGGTACGCTCGCAACGAATCATCCAGATCCACTCGGCTTGGTGCTGTTCTGTCCAGGAATGTTGCTCGTCTCCTTTTTGACGTGCGTGAATGTTCCACCACCGAACCACCTGTCGTTTGCCGCTGCGACCCTCTGTGCGGCAGACAGTGATGGGGTAGCGATTTCGATTCCTGAATGAGCATAAAACTCAAGCCGTCAGACAGGTTCAAAGCCATCAGCTAGTCACGTGACACCTACCTTGAACCGGAGTAAAGGCCAAGCTGGTAGCAGTACCAGACAACGTAGGATTGTTGCTGTTCTGAGCAGCCTTGCTGAGCAGTTGCGTTCGTAGTCGGTTCGACTTTGACATTTTGGCTGCCAAGAAGTACCCGAGGGACATCAGTTTTGTGAATTGTGTCCATCTGGAAACGATAGCGACCTCACCTTTGCTAGCCTTGCTGACCGCTTCTGCCCTGATCTTCCCACTCGAACTCCCGATCATACCGAGACCGACAGATTCTTCGCCCAAACCAGTCTCGTCCTCAGCTTGACCGAAGACCATACGGTTCTGCAGTTTGCGCAGCTCGGTCTGAGCGAATCCTTCCTTCTGGCTTCGAGCTCTGCAGGTGGGAAGACGTCTCAGTGGACGCACGAAACGGTTCGACGAGCCGGATAGCAGCTCACCTTCGACCACCTCGCTTCTTTCGGTTAGTCTCCTGGGGGATCGGTAAGGCCTTGGTAATCTTGCTTGGTGGAGGCTCAGCCATCTTTTCGATGTGTTTGACCAGCTTCTCGTACAGCTCCTGGCCGAAAGCACCTGAATGGCGAACGAGATCGTCGATACGAATGCGTATGGTCCTATTCAGACTACTTACCATCCCTGCACTTCCTCTCCAGATCCACTCTTCCAGCGAGAACCAACTTGCTCGCCACGGTCCGCTGCACCTTTTTACGCAACTCGGGAGGAGCTCCTTGAACGATCGGTGACTGGTAGACGAAGCCGGTATGACGTTGCTGACCCGCTGCCGACAGATATGACGTAGCCATACTCTTTTTCAGAGCTCCAAACAGCTGTTTCGAAGACGGGAATACTCAGCACGATGTGAAGGCGAGAAAGCACAACACCCTGACGGCTAGACCCACGTAGATATTGCAACTAGGCGTTTTAGCAAAGGCAGCGAGACCTCCGGCTACACCGAGAAGTTTAGCAGCGATAGTCGTGCTGATAATGTTTGAGACATTTGGGGCGAGAATGTTCATTCGAGATTCGACATAAGCGAAGATCTATTGGAAGGTGCCATATTAGCACGACTTCCTGCTAGATTCAGAGCTCGCAGAAGTGACTCGCCTTCTCTCGTGCGTCCCTCAGCTCTACTGCCACATCACACGCCTTTTCGATGACTTGCCACTCCCCTGAAGATAGCATTCTCCCTCGAGAGATCGAAGCAGTCATGCTGACACCCAGGCCATGTCGGCCTCCCAAAGGCGTCTTTGGCTTGGTGAGATCCTCCGCATTGCCGATCGATCTCACGGCATTAATGTAGTCCCAAGGATCCGCGATGATCTGCTCGAGCTCCGGGAAACGAATAGAGTAGTGGTCGCGAATGAACTGATCCGAGGAGGCAACCGTTAGTTGGCGGAGCAAAAGAGGGGGGTCGAGCCTTGCTTACCTTGTGAACGAGAAGCAGCTCGTTGTCTACCTCGACACTCAGGTTGTTCGCTTGAACGATCAAAGCGTATTCAGGATTCTCCTCTATTGGGCCACTCTCGATGGAATTGTCAATGGGCTTGTCTGTGTTGGAGTAGAATTCGATTTTCTGTACGGCCGTAAGATCAGGCTCCGTTCTGGTCAAGGATAAAATACACTTGATACTTACGGCAAGAGCTTCATGCAGCCTCTTCGACTTGTGGAGCTTCACCACCGACTCGACATTCTCAATCGTCTTGAGGTTCATATGTTCGACCTCGTCCCGGTCCAGCTCTTCTGCTGGCCGTGTACCTCCTGCAGGTACGTAGCCCGCCACAGACTCGCCGCTCTCCAACTTCTCTTCCTCCTCCACAGGCTTCATGTCATCGTCTTCGTCGTCTTGTACGCTTTTGACGCCACTGGGCAATGCTGGAGGGCCCATGTCGCCATTGGCAGCCGAGCTGGGTCCAGCAACAGGCTGTTCCGTGTCGGAAGGTCCCCCCTCGTCCGAGAGACCGTCCAGATCGTTCATCAACTCGTCAGCTAAAGACATGTTGAGGTTGTTTGCGCTTGATAGGAGAAGACGTTAGATGGAAGGGATGGTTGTGTAAACGAGTATTGTCGATCACTACGATCACTACTCGTAGCTACTTGGATACATGCGACCTTTGAGCTTGTCGGCTCCGCAATCTCGCTCACGTAAGCAGACTCGGCGAGGGGGTGACGACCGGGTCATATGATCATTTGCCGACTGCCCGGGGCCAGTGTCGTATGAACGTTATCTGTGCTAGTAGCTAGTTGCAAGTTGTCTCGTATTATTCTTTTAATTGGCATGGGATGACAGTCTGATATAGTAAGACACACAGCACATGTGCTTCTTTTCCGAAACCACCTCTAAATGGTCTTGTCAAACTTGTCGTCGGCAGAATAGGACTCGGTCCTGTTATCCCTCAATAGCAGAGGAGCTGCCGAGATCTCATCGAGCGGAGCCTGCTTCCCGTGACTACCAGCCTCGCTACCAGAACCTTCGGGCGAAAGCTGTCGACTAGGCATCTGCGCCTTTTCTGCTCGCCTCTCCATACGCCTGTTGTACGCCGCCGAACCTCGGCCGAAGAAGGTGCATCGACCCTCGGACCACTTGTTGTAGTAAAGTCCGCCCATGACGGCGATCCAGTAGAAGACGTAGGATAAGATGCTACCGAGGTTAGCATCGTTGTTCCAACCTGGATAGGATCGAAGTCAGCTTTGCGCCGGGCTGGGGCAGACCCATACGAGACTGGCTGGACTTACCGACAATGGCGTTGGCAAGCTGGGTGAAACCGTTGGAACCGATCGCGCCAGGTTCCGGGTTGCCGTCTGAAGTCAGAGCTTGTCAGTTCCTCTCCAAGTACGTGTAGCGTGCGTATCAAGCCCGCTCACAGGTCAAATGCCAGACGTTGCCCTGGACCTGGTAAGATCCGGGTCCGTTACCGGTCTCGGCGACATCACCTCCAACCTTCTTCGCAAATCGCTACGAGAATACCAAGGAAGGTCAGCAACTCTGGATGCACGGTCTGAGAGGCTCAAAGACGCACGTAGTATTGCAAGAACCAAACCGCCTTGGACATAAGACCGGCACCGATCAAAAAGAGGAAACAAGTCGAGACGACCAAGAACCAGTGCAAGGCAAAGGTAGAACCAGTTCGGTAAATCAGATAACCTATCGGAAGTGTCGCGACCGTCAGTATGACGACTTGATAGTCATCGATGGAGTTTGACTAACCGACGACAGCACCGGCAATAAGTCCGACAATGGTTGCGATGGGGATGGAAGTACCGGATTGACCAAGTGATACCTATCATAGAGCACGAGTGACGGATCAGTAAAAGAGACGTACGCGGTAGATTTCGCTCAACATTCCAACTCACTCCGCCGACAAAGACGACCGCCTCGACACCCTCTCGTAGCACGGTGATGAACGGCAACAGGAACAACGCCCACTTCCCGTTCCTGGCCTCCTTCCTAGCCCGGGCAGCCTCTTCAGGCTTCTCATCCTCCAACAGCCCGGTGGACGAGACCTTGTTGTCGAAAGCCTGGGCGAGCTTGATCCTCCACTTGACACGGGATCGGTCCATCTTGAGAAAGGCGAGACCCATGACGTAGATGAGGACGGCGGCGATGATACTGAAGATTCCTTCCCAGAGTTGTTCACTCTTGGCCCAGAGATCGCTCAGCTTGGTATAAAACTAGAGCAAACAAGCGGTAGAGAGTCAGCGGAAAGTCCCGAAGCCCGCTTTACTATGAACATCCAACTCACGACAGCGATGAAGGCACCACCGATACAAAGAGCAATAAACAGCCCGGTTGCGGCACCAGCCCAGATCTAACGGCAGGTGGAGGGTATATTAGTGTTGACCTTGCCAAGATATATGCCAGACATGGCAGAGCTCACCTGGATTCGCATTCGCCTAATGATCCGCTTGACGCGCACGGTCTCGCCATCTTCCTCGTTGCCTTCGATTGCGGGTCCTGATCGAGGTGCGAGCTGGCCAGAGCTCATCAACTGTTCCACAAAGGACAGAAGCACCCTGGGATATATGACGTTGACGGATCAGCGTCGCTACTTTGATTCGCGTCCGTGTTGGGTTAGAGGCGCCTGGCTTACGAGACGATGATGGCCGCTTCGATCGTCTCTCGGAAGATGATGAAGAAGATGGAGATGGAGAATAAATCTTTGGCCATCTTGGTAGGCTTGGTTTTGGTTCAAATGTGAGGTCTATTGATATCCTAGCACCTCCATCAAATCTCTCAAGGCTGGATGTGAGCAATCGTTGAGCTCATCCCCTGCTATATAAATCCCTCATGCCCTCCCCCTGCCCTGTGAAAAAAGGCCTCGACGGGGACGATCGGGATAGACTTTGCTCATTCGTAGGCTATCAGATAACCGGGATCAGAAAATTCGCTTCGTTAGTGCCTCGCGCGCCTGGGTCTCCCTCCCTCGTAGTTCCGCTGATCCGCTGATCGCGCTTGTAAAGGCTTCCGCCTCCGAGATCAGTGGATTCTATTCTCGTCCCGCTCTAATTCGACGGCCGTCGAGGTCATCAAGGTTTCCCTCTCACCCGAAACTCTATGAGAGCGATTCGCCGGTCGACATGAAACTAGCTCAGATCACTCGACCTCTGTCAGAGGATTCGAGGTCTCCAGGGCTGCTCGTCCCATCATCGCTCATAGGTTGGAAGACAGCAGGCAGCGCGCAACATCCTGCAGTTCGGTATAGTTCGGCGTCTACTATGCAAGCGATTGCAAACCTCCTGTTGTACCGCCGCCCTAGCAGCCGAGACTTGTAACTTGATGCACCTGATCTCATCGTGCTTGACTTTCTAGCAATGCCGAACAATTCTCCAGGCGTAAGATGTTTGCAATAAGAGGAGGTGATACCGCTCGTTGTAGGTGATCTGAGTCGTGCTAATAGCCTGAAGCATGCGTCTATGCGGGACGAAGTTGCCCGCTTTGTAAAGCTGCTCAGCGTGTCCCTGCCTGCGTAGACCATGGCGTCTTTGTTCATATTCAACAGTCTCATTCGGCTGGAGGCCGCCCATGACACGGAGCTGCGGTGTTTCGGCAACGTGTCCGATTCCGAAAGAAGATTCATGATATAAGTGCAGTCGTGACCGTTACAAGATGACCGACAACTAAAGTGACAGACTGCTGTTTGGTAGATGGAAAATGATGTCGTACTTTTTGCCCCTTTGACGTAAAGAGAATAGCTTCCCTATCGGATGCGGTTGAGTTAGAGAGACATATTCCGTGCGCCCACTGCTAGCATTACGAGTTCTGGAAATTTTCGAACTACAATCCAGGATCGGGATCATGGGCGAAGCCGTAAAACAGGGCAGTAGAGGCCAAGCGAGCGGCGAACGAGATTAGGGACAACTTGGGATTTCAGGCCTGCCTGTCAAGACGACATGATAAGGCTTCAGCAGGCAGCGCAAGAGGAGGCCAAAGTTGCGCATTTCAAACATGCAGAGACGCAGCGCCTCACCAAGAGCGACAGTCGCTCGATCGACCTGTAAACTTCGCAATGTCTGCACAATCACTTTGATACTGAGATGATTCATGTCAGTCCTTCGTGGACGAATCCTGCTTGAGGAGTCCTGAACAAGACCAACCGGACCAGGTGCGTGAGAAATATGAAAAAAGGCGTCATGCTTGTCTCTTCATCATCGTCGACTTTCATATACAGCCAGTCAACAGCATGTCATCTATCATTCAGCCGGCTCAGATTCAACGTAAGTGAACAACGTCTGATTAAGAAATCTTTGTAGACAAGTCATGTCCAGTTCCGGCTCGGAGCCCCAAGTCCTGCTGTGTTGTTGGCCGCACCAAAGATATTGAGTAACGGCAGAGTACCGTCTCCCTTGGTAAGGCCGCCGTGGAACCGCGACTGTAATGAAGAGGTCAACATTTTCTACCGCGACCTTGGAGGTATACATTTATCGGCCTGAGGCTTGGTTCTTCATCTTGCATATCACAAGTGGTCTCGAACATGCGAAACGACGTGCGAGGACGAGTCTGTTTCATGTCGCCTTGCGCCTCGGCTGCCGCGGACGGATCGCCCTTACGGCATGGGTTGCTTACCCTCCACCTGGAACCTCGGTCGATCGACCCTATTCATCATACCCTCGACCTCGCATTTCGTTCCAGTATAAGATGATAGACAGTGCAGCAAAATCCGGCGTTGATCTAGGAAAAAGACATCTCGCAAGATGTCCTCCCCATCAACAGATTCTGTGGATCGCCAAGCGACGCCCCGGCCTCCAGAACCTGGCAGCAATGCCGCTGCTGATACGACCCCAGCAGCTCGGACGAGGCCGGCAGTTCCATCTGCCATCTTCCTGGAACAAGCCGCCCTAGCAAATCAGCAACAACAACGAGCTAGCATGTCTAGCTTGATGTTCATGACGTTCTTCTTCTTCATGATGTCTGGAGGCAGTCCGCCCATGGGGATGGACGAGATTGAGCAGAAGCGTAGGTGTTCCTTGATGACGAGCTCGATACGTCTTTCGGTGCATTCGCTGACCCAGCGTCGTCAACAGGGCACGACCTGGATAACTTCGGGAACGCTGTTAGCCAGCTTCAGCTATATCTGAATGGTTCTCAGTCGAACTACAGTTTTGTAAGCCTAGACAAGTGTGGATGCAAGCGGCTTAAGCATATTAGCTGATGTTCTCTCTCATTTTGATGCCAGTCACCCTCGCCGATACCATCAGGCTTGACACTGCTTCCACCATACCTACATCGAGAGCATCCTTCAAAGACTCTTCCCGTGGAAGATGATTCGGTGTTCAGTCCACACTACTTCCAGAATGTCACTGGATTCTACCGGGAAGCAGACGCGCATTATCTCAACCTGACCGACCCCTCCTCGTCCAACTCTTCTCATCACTTCTTTCGCCACCTCGAGGCTACCCATCGAGTCCCTGGGACCCATACGATAGGGCCACTCATCAATCACACGAGCTATAATGAGACTCAGGCTACACGAAAAAGAGGAGACTTTGACTGGGCGGGCGTTACCTCTTGGTCTATCAACATCAACGAGAAAGAAGTCGTAGCTCGTGACGTCGACGGGAACATTATCGTCAGGGACCATGAGCGAGGAAAACATGGATTGAAGGAACAGCAGGATTCGTTCGATGATTGGGCTTGGGTGCATGTGGTGCGTGAGCAGGTCCTCGAATGTGCCGATTGAAACGCGGAGCTGATATTCCGGTTGAGCTTCGCAGTCCGGAATGACATTCTGGAATTCTGACAAGACTAGCGTGCTAGACTACCAGCTAGCTGGTGTACATCAACGTTCTACTGGAGAATATACCCTCCTAGGTATGCCTGCTGGGTGAGTTCATGCTGATCCCTTGTTCTCAACCCGAAGTATAACTGAACAGCAGGCCGTTCTTAGCCAGGGAATCGACATTCGACTGCTACCCCCCCTGCTTCCCGATCGACACGCGCGCAACTTGACAGGCAAGATGGTCTTGTTCGAAATGCAGCGGCATCTGGCTCGACTTCGAGCGGATCCGACCTTGGGTGGCAGTTCCGGTAGCAGCAATTCGGATGACGGTATGTCATGTTCCTTCGAGACCCGATTTGGCGGCCGTCAACTGATTGACCCGGTCTGATAGACGAAGCTCCTTCCAATGATCCTGCTTGTCCGATACAAGTCCACCTCAGGCTTCTACCGGTGCCTTTCCCTTACTCTGCGCAAATGCTTAAGGAGTACGAGCGAGAGATGCGCGAACCAACGGGTATCTACGTGCAACAACCTCCGAACGGAATCCAGATCGAGGGAGTAGCTATCTTTGATGAATGCGGGGTCGCTTATGGGTTGACGGGTGGTCAGGGAATCGCGTGAGTTATCACGTAGACCGTCTTGTCTCCGCTGTACTGATCTTCCTTGTCTTTGCAGAGCTGATGCTTTTTGGCATAAATCCATACACTGTAAGCATATGTCGACCGGGTTGACCGGAACACAGAAACGGTGAATCCCGAACATCACTCACTTGTGCCTGCTGCAGATGCTGCCTATGCTGCTATCGCGAACCTGATCATCTTGTTCTGCTTTGTGTGGGAGATGGAGGCTACAAGGACGCCCAGCGCGTTGGCCAAGATCTCCTTCTGGAGCATGATCCTGATGGTCGGGGCTGACGCATGGCTGTTCTCGGCGGTGAGTAGCTTTCTAGCATACACTGTTCTCCCGCAGCAGATGGCTTACCGATGTGTCTTCAGCACGCGGTTGTGGCGATCATGTCGGACAATGTTACAACCCTGCCATTGCTTCTGCCTTCGTTTCTCTGTCTCTGCACCGCGCTCGTCTTTGGTCCGGTAAGCCACTTCGGACTGGAAACAGCTTATAGCGTTCGAGCTCACCCCCTGCACTGCCGATCAGCGCTTCATCGTGATACTACATAGAGTGCAAGCACCAGAGTCTCCCAGCACTCCAGCTCGCACAGCCCCTGAACGGCCTGCGAATCCAGAAGGCGGGGTAAACGACACGCCTGGCACGAACGACGCGGAGACCACTGGCTCGCCGATGTCGAGACTGGAGGCTTTGCAAAGCGAGATCAACCGGCATCCTCAGCTGCGTTGTCAGTAGGCGAGACTGAACTTGTTAAGTGTGATAGAAGGAGCTGACAAATCTCCATTTTACCGATACAGGGCTTACACTGATGCTGTTCTGTACCTTCCTTATGTTCATCGGCGTCATTCCGCAAGTCGTGCCTGTGCTACTGGGTATCCTCTATTCATTCTGGATACCGCAGATATGGAGGAATGCAAGACGAGGAAACCGAAAATCCTTGACTTGGAGATTTGTCCTCGGCATGAGTACTGCCAGGTTGGCTCTACCGTTATGTAAGTAGCTGCACCGTCCGGGTTCTTATCATTTGCTCAATGTGACTACATAATATAGACGCATTCGGCTGTCCCGACAATGTGTTCTTTGTGGAAACCAATAGTGAGTGTAGAAGTTTTCCCTCGATCGATTTGAAGCTGATCGACGAGTTCAGGTTCGATTTGGTTGCTTCCGATCTATGTTTGGGCCCAGGTACTCGTGCTCTGGGTACAGGAACGGTTCGGTGCATCGTTTTTGTAAGTGTTACAGCATCACTCGCTTTACCAAATTGTTTGGGCTGACATCTATTGCCTTGATTCCGCAGCCTTCCGCAAAGAGTCAGTCTCAGCTCATCATGTCCATTGCTGTAACAATCGCTGATATATGTCCCCCTTTCCAGTTCGCACCTCCCCCACCTTACGATTATCATCAGCCGCTGCCTATCGGCGACTCGGAGTCTGGTCAACAAGACTTTGGTAACTGTTCGATTTGCATGGAACCCATCCTCGTGAATCAGATTGGCGGATCCCACAACTCGGACAATAAGCAGTCGCTGGACGACAAGTCTGCGCTTGCCTCTACCGCCACCAACATGGGTGCTGTTGGTAGCAGAGTCATGAATATCAACTTCCGGCGCACTTACGCGCTCGCACCCTGTCATCACCTCTTCCACACTGATTGCTTAAGTCAATGGATGTCAATAAAGGTTAGCAAAAGACTTGCCTCTCCGTGAGCACACCCTTCGATCGCACAGCTAACTCCTCCAGTTGCGCAGAATACATGTCCGCTGTGTAAACGAGGTCTACCACCTCTCTGATCTGAATCAATCTAGACGTTGTATCACATTCATATTCACAAGCATAGCATTGATAGTGTCGTATGGTCGCATCGAGTCTGAAACCAGGCTCGACACATGCTAATGCTCTATTCTACATCACAACGGTCAAGGTCGTTAATATTATCAAGTCTATCGTGGCCAGTCTCATGCGGTCTATATAGGGAATCGGTATATTTGAGTGTGTCGTGTGTGTCGTTATGCTGAAAAAATTGGCGAGACGATATGGCTGGACATGCTTTGCAGTCAGTTCTCTGTCGCGCTCGTATGCTTATCGGGCTTAGACTCACACAAGAATTAGGCCTCTCTCGCTTTGGCCAAATCGGCTTCGAGCTTGGTGAGTTTTTCGGCGTGTTCAGTCTTCAGCTTGTTCAGGTCGAGCTCCATCGCTTCTTGAGTTTGCACAAAGATCTCTTTGCTCATTTGGGCCGCCTGTTTCAATGCGACTAAAGGGCTTGAGTATCTGTCCTGCAGATGATGTTGGCAAAATACTCACCTCGCGCGCATCTGTCAACTCCGTATCCTTTGCCGCCAGCTGTTTCTGGAGATTATTCATCTTCTCCTGAAGCTCTGCAAATCGCGCCTCTGCTTCGTCTAGCTTCTGTTCCCGTTCGTGAGAGGACTGTTTGAGGTCCTCGATCTCCGTGGCATGGGTTTTCAAGGACGCTTCTTTCTCCTGGGTTAGAGCGCTAGTGCGGTCTTCCAACTGCTTGATCTGGGAAGCATGTCCCTCTTGCAAGTCGGCAAGAGTTTTCGCATGAAGTTCTTTCGCCTGATCGGCTTGCTCGGATCTCTCGATCTCGACCGCATTCGAATGCGCTCGCAGGTCTTCAATTTGTTTCTCAAGAGCTTCAAGGCGTTTGTCTTGTTCGCTCTTGGCCTGTTTCGTTGCTTCCTCGTGATCCTTCAGGGCTTGTTCAGCCTTCGTATTGACCTCGCGCAAATGCTCAACCTCCGCCATGGCTTTATCAGCATCTTCTTGAAGAGCTTTCTGCTTGTCTGCTTGGATCGCGGCATCGTGAGAACGCTCTTGCTCGTGATGCGATTCGAGCTCTGCAATCCTCGCAGAATGCTGGTCGTTCGCACTCGCGAGCTGTTCCTGAGCATCGAGCTTGGCCTTCTCCAGGACTTCATACTCTTGCTTGCTAGCGGTATGGGCAGACTCGGCTTCCGACCTGAGACGCTCGACTTCGGCATCTTTCGCGGTCATGATCTCCTGCATGCCCTTGGCTTGCTCATCTTGCTTCGTGACGAGATCATTCTTCAACTGCTGTAAAGCTTCGTCGTGGATGATCTTGAGACGGTTGACTTCTTCAAGATGCGCCGCGTTCAATTCGGCCTTAATCTGCGAGTGATCTTCCTCGGTCGGGCTAGCACTGAGCTGTCTTTCTAACTCTTCGATACGGCGCAGACGATCTTGCGAGCGGGATTTCTCTTCGCCGTGGAACCACTCCGCATCGGCGACGCGCTTCTTGGCGTCCTCTAACGCTGGTTGCACGGCATTCAGTTCCGTCCGACAGGTCTCCAGATCGGTTCGAGCGGTCTGAAGGTCTTTTTGAGTGGTTTCGAAATCCGAGCGAGTCTTGGTCAGCTCCTCTTGAGCTACAGCAAGTTCGCCTTCCTTCTCCGCGTATTTGGTCTTCAAGCCGGAAGTCTCTTCACCGTGGTCCTTCACCACCTGTTTCTGCGCTTCAAGCTCGGCTTCAACTGCTTGCAACTTGTTGGAGTCCTCTTTGTGCTGCAACTGAGTCGCAGCAAGAGTCTCTTTCGTCTCGTTGAGTTGCGCGCTCGCCTGTTGCAGGTCCGCTTGAGCCGCTTCGCAAGCGGCCTTAGACGTTTCCAGCTCGGTTCGATACCCCTCGCACTCCTCTTTAGCGATCGCAAGTTCCTTCTGGCGTTGTTCTAACGCGGACTTGACAGTGTCTAAGCTGTCCTGGACAGCGGCAGCAATTTGCTTGGTATCGCTGAGTTCGGACTGGATCTGCTCGAGCTCTGTCTTGAGGGTAGACAAGTCGGTTTCCTTGGTGGCAAGGGCGTCTTGTGCCACAAGGAGATCCTCTCGTGCAGCGTCTACTTCCTTCTTAGCGCTGTTGGCTGCAACTCGAGCCGCCTCGAGGTCTCCCTTGAGGGTCGCGATTTCAGACTCGGCCGAGGTTTGGGCAGCTTTCACCTGAAGCAGCTGTTCTTGGCTAGATTCTACCTGCGCTTGAAGTCTCGCCGTTTCCGTTTGGGCAGCGCTGAGTTTACCCTCTTTATCCTCGAGAGACTTCTCGACTTCCGACAGCGCTTGCAAGCGATCCTCCATCTCCTTCATCTGAGTTCGGAGGGTGTCGAGCTCGCCTTGATGAGAAGATGCGGCTTGCCGAAGAGCCACTGCATTTTGCTCCTTTTCTTTAAGTGCTTCCTTGAGCGTATCGACTTCCGCCTGGCTTTTCGCAGCCGTGTCCTCGACGGCTTTGAGAGCGTTGATCTCGTTTGCGAGGTCTTGATGCTTCTCAAGCTGCGTCGACAATTCGGCCTCCTTCTCCTGCAGCTTTTTCGAGAGAGACTCAACTTCGGAAGCAAGTTTTTCTTTCTCTTGAGCGTGAAGACGGGCTTCTTCCAGTTCCTGTTGTGCGTTGGCTTCGCCGTCTTTTGCCGCAAGCAGGGCGTCCCCCCGCTCTGCCAGTTCCAACTTGCACTTCTGCAGAGTCTCCTCGAGACCCTCTACCTCAGCAAGTCTTTGAACGATCTCTTTTTTCACGCTAGCAGTCTCCTCTTCGGCGACCGCTTTATCCTGTTGCGACCGCGAGACTTGGCCGTTCACATCCTCTAGCTGCTGCAGCAATTCATCTTGTTTCTGCACAGCAGCGCGAACTCTCTCGTCGAGTTCGTGTGCGGAGGCCTCGGCTGCAGCGAGATCGAGAGCGGACCTCTCAGCTTCTGCCTTGGCACTGTCGAGATCTTTCTGTTGATCAAGCAGTCGTGCCTCGAGGGCAGCTTGATTGTTTGCAGTCTCGGCCGCCTCCCTGCGAAGGGCCTCCAGCTGTGTTTGTGCCTCTTTGACATCATCGGCAGCCGACTGCTTTTCATGCTCGAACCTTGCGATCTCACGTTTTGCAGCCTCTATCTGCTCGTGCAGAGTTGAGTCGTCCTGTTTCATCGCTTCAGCTTGGTTTTGGAGCGATTCGATGCGGTCTTGAGCCTGAACCAATTCCTCCTCCAGTGACTTGAGACGAGTAGCCGTTTCTTTCAACTCGCCGGCCTTGGCCTCCACCTCGGCAGTCAAATTTTCCTCGAGGGACTTTAAAGCGGTAGCGTGTTGCTCTTGACGAGTGTTCATTTCCTGGTCATGGTCCGCTCGAGCCGTCGCGATGGACTGTTTGACCATCTCTTCAGTATGTTCCTTTGCAGCTTCTATCTCGAGCTGGAGTTGCATCTTCTCTTCTCGTGCAGCCTCGAGGTGGTTCTCAGCTTCCTCAAGTTTCTCTAGAGCGGCAACGAGCTTTCGGGCGGCTTCATCAGACTCTTCCTTGGCGGATGCCTCGATCTCGGCAGTAGCTGCCTTGAGGTCCGCATCACGGGCGGTCAAGTCCTTTTCGAGTGCCGCAGCTCTGGTCTCAGCCGCTCGCACCCTGGCTTCTGCCTCTTGCACGTTTTGCTCGGCTTCTTCAGCGTGTAGACGGGCTTTTTGTTCCTGATCCGAGAGGTCCTGCAACTTTGATTCGAATTCCGATACGACTTGGAGGTGGCTATCCTCCAGTTCGGCAACCTTGGCTGTCAATGTCTGGATGGTTTCCCTTTCCTCCTTGAGCTCGGCCTGCACGCGCTCGAGGTCCTTGATGGCAGCTTCACTGGCGGTTTTGCCCTCCTCAATTGCCTTGTCCCGCTCGGTCTCAGAGGAAGACAACTTGGCTTTGAGCTCGGACACTGCTTCGGCGAGTGCAGTTTCACTCGACTCGAGTTCCTTCTGTGCGTTGTCGAGGTCGGCTTGAAGATGACGGATCTTGGACTCGGAACCGGAAAGATTCTTCTTGATTTCGTCGACAGACTGATCCTGATCCTCCATAGCAGCCTTGTATCGCATGGACTCTTCCTCTGCTTTGTCAAGACTGGCCTGAAGTTCCGAGACCCGTAAGTTCAGAGCCTTTGACTGCTCTTCGGCATCTGCACGCATCGCTGCCAATCGACTTTCAGCGTCCTCCCAGTCGGCCTTGTCTTTCTGTAGCAAGGCCAAGTCGCTCTGCAAGCGTTCTGACTCGGCATCCAAGTCTCGAATCCTGATCTGCGCTTCATCGAGTTGACGTTTCGTCTCGTCTAGCTCGACTTGGGAGGACTGCACGTCCGATTGGTTCTTGTTAGAAGCCTAGAAACAAGGGAAGCATGGATCAGTGGCCTATCTTCCAGAAATGATGACCAGACGCACCTCGAGATCCTTAGACTTCTCTTCCAATTCACGTTCAAGATCGGCAATCTTAGCTTCCAAGGCCTTGAGACTCTCCAAACGGCTTTCAGCCTCTTCCAACTTCGTCTGAACCAGATTTTAAAATACCCATTTCAGTATCCTTTTGCCTTGTAAGACTCCCCGTCCGTACTCACACTCAAGTCAGCCAGGTTAGCCTCGAGAGTCTCGATCCTGGTGGCCTTCTTCTCCGCTTCAAACTTCCACTGCGAGACTTCCTGGGTAAGGGTCTCGATCTCGGTCGACGTGGCATCATGGGTGGACGTGAGGGATTCATATCTGTTCGAGGGGTCTGCGTTCAGCCACACTAGATAACGATCCAAAGTCTGGTATGATACTCACTTGGAGACGAGATCGCTCAACTCTCGCCTGGTCGCGCTATACTTGATCTCCATCTCCTTGAGTTTCGGTTCCAGCTCGGACTGTATAAGGTGACTCAAAAATCGTCAGTTAGAGGAATCGGCAGCGACAATCAGTGCCCAAGACTTACAGCATCGACGCCCTCCTTTCGGACTTCGGCCAACAATCGCTCTCGCTCGTCGATCTCACGCTTGCAATCCACAATCTCCTTGCGAAGCTTGTCGACCTCGACATGAGCGTCCTTGAGCTGTATGTGGATCGAAAAAGGTCAACTCCCGCTCGTCAAGGCAGACTAGTTTACCTCGGACTCACCTTGACCTCCATCTCGTTCTTTCTAGCAGTCATGGACCTAGCGACCAAAGTTCCCCCGGCACTGCTGGACCTCCCTGTCACGGAAGATCCTACCCGACTGGTACTAGCCACCGAGTTAGTCCGGGTCGCAGCAGAGGGGACGACGAACGCCTCGTCCCGCTTCTTCGTACCCGAAACTTCCCTCGTATGAGCCGCACCTGAGATAGATCCGGAGGTCATGGAGGCTCTCATCCTGACCGCTGTAGGACTCTTGGGCGCAGAAGCCGAAGTCGCAGCCGTCGTGCTCCCTCCTGCAGAGAATGACCTGGCGCCAGTCGCGTTGACTTTGTTGACACCGACGGCGGCTTGAGCTCGAGTGGTCCCACTGAGTGGGGTAGACGAGGTGGACCCTGCGGTACTAGTCCTCTGTCTAGCGACGTCCGCCTTGTTAGCACTCGCCGCGGTAGGCGCGGTGACGCGGTAAGGATGGGGCAAAGTGTTCTTGGGCGGGACCGGAGGTTCCCTCGCGCTCGCCATCGTCATCGATCTCGAAGCAGGAGGTTGAGGTAGAGGTTTATCTCCCTTGTCAGTAGCCTTTTGAGCCGAGCTCGCCGTAGGTTTCGTCAAGGACGTCTTGGTGGTACGTACGGCCGGTGCCGTGGTTGTGGTCGTAGTCGGCTTCGCAGTCGAAGCAGCAGAGGGTCGAGCCGAGGTGGCTCCAGCGGTGGTTCGTCGGAACAAGCCCGCCTTGTTCCCAGCGCCGGTGGAAGTCCCTGCAGGTTTGGCTAGAATGAAACAAGTCACAATGTCTCGTATCAGCCATTCCGTTTCATGACTCCTTATCGCTTTTCGTCGATCATCATCAACTTACCTTCGACCCTTTTCACCGATCCAGCGCTGTCCTTTCTCGAGCCCAAAACGGCCCTCTTGACCCCTTCAGCCGAAGCACTGACCCTAGCCCTGAAAGCTGGTCGCACAGCCGCTCCAGCTACACCCGTAGGCGTCGAAGCACCCGATTGATCTTTGCTCTCGTTCCCGGGGGTAGACGCGCCCGACTTGTCGGCCTCAACAGTCCCTGTCTTGTCTTCGCCAGTCCCAGCGCTCTTCTCTTGGACTTTATCCAAGCTTATCCTCTTCTCCTGCTGGACGTCCATACTTCCCCTCTCGCTCCCCGGGGTCTTGTCACTCAACCTGGATCCGGTCCTTCGGAGTCCTTCGCTGACTCCCTTGAAGCTGAGTCGTTTGGTAAACTCTACAGCCTTGTTTCCGCTACGACGGGAAGAGGAAGGTTGAGAGGTGGGAGTGTCGAGAGAGGGATCGTGACCGACAAGGTCGGAGGAGGAGACAAACACGGCGTCGTCGTCTTCGTGGTCAGTGTCGTTGGCGGGATTGCTGCTTGCGATTTTGACGTCAGTCTGAGTGGTAGGGGTTGAAGGAACGGTCTCGCTTTCAAGGTCCTTTGAGGTGGGAAAGACGGTGAGAGTATCGTTCTGAGGAGAAGCGACGGAGCTGCTGACGTGCTCGGTTTGGTTGTCCGAGACGACCTCTTCATCGGCCGGGGTCTGGTCGTGAATCTTGCCAGAGGCATCGTTATCCTCAGTGGACTTCAATTCAACGTCCGAAGTCGACTGGCCGCCAACCGACTCCTTGGGTTTAGGCGCAGGAACGCTCTCCCCTTCGATATCTTTGGTCAAGAGCTCGACCTTGTCCCCGCCGTCCATAGCAAGGAGAGACTCTTTACTGTTCTTGCCCTGGACACTCTTGGTCGAGTCGATGTCGATGTTCTCCTTGTCGTGCTGCGTCGCCTTTACGACCGCAGACTGGTCGGTCATGCTGGACGGTGCCGGGTGTTGTGGTCGAGGTTTGGGTTTCCGTGTGTAATGTCGTGAGTGATTCGTACAGTTTCAAAAGAGTGTAGTGGTGGTGCTGAGTCGATGTGCGTGGTGGCGAAAAGTGGTCGTGATATGAGAAGGGAGGTGTAATTGATGATGTCAAGTTCAGTCCGAACCACTTTTTGATGATATGATGGGAATTGATTAATGGGAATTGTGTTGATACGTTGATGGGAATTGCGATGAGATTGATGGAATTTGTTGTTTTTGTCTGGAAAGCGCGGCTCACATGGCACTTACGTACACATGTGAATCATCACCGGAATCAGATTTAGCACCCGGTCTCTCCCGAAGCTGCTGTCTCGAGAATCAAGCACTTCAGACCTCCAGCTTCCATCGCGATCCCGATGATCCCTGATCTATATGACAAGATACGATTCAACCTTAATGATTTCCAGTCTCAAGTCCGCCTCTGTTTGAATGCCTTTCATCTCCCTGAGAACCGCCGTGCTCACTCTCGGTGTGTTCTTGGTCACCCGGTATATCGTCATGCCACTCTTCTTCCGTCAACATGTCGATTACTCCGGCAAGGTAAGTTCCGCGATCATCTACCGGCGGCAACCCTCGCCAAATAAACAAGATTGACTCCAGCTGCACACTGTTCTGGTTTTGATACTTCTCTAGCATTGTTATATCACGGGCGGATCATCTGGTCTAGGGTTGGCATTAGCCGAAGGGCTAGCTCAGAAAGGAGCGGACATCACCATCGTCGCACGTGACGTGAAGAAGCTCGAACAGGCCGTCGAGAGGATCAAGGCAAGCTTTGCCTTATTTGTTTCGATCTCTTCATACAGTAACTGTACTAACCTTTTGCCGCGTATTCCCTGCAACCGCATCGAAAATTGCAACACAGGCCCAGACCACCTCCCCAACCCAGAAGATCATCCAGATCTCAGCCGACCTGTCCCAATTCAAACCCTCTGCCAAGGCTTACCGTCAATCCATTACGCGGCACGATGGCAGAGTCCCGGACTATGTGTTCTTGTGCGCGGGAGCGAGCAAGCCGAAGCATTTCGTGGAGATGGGCTCGGAGGATTTCACTTGGGTGAGTCCGCGAAATCTGCTTCTCATTCCTTCCTCTTGGTTGTCATTCAAGCTGAATTTGTTCCTCTTCTTGACATGTCGTGCGATGTGTACTCGTTTCAAATCCTTTCCAGACCCTGAACGCGACCTATCTACCCGCACTACACACCTCTTCGGTAGCCCTAAGGACGATGGTCAAGCAGGGTATCAGGGGCGGAAGGATCGTGTTCGTCTCAAGTTTCCTTGGGTATACGACCTTTGTGGGATATACGGGATATTCTGCGGGGAAGTACGCCATCCGAGGTGAGTCCCCGGCCCCCCTTCCGTTCTTTTTTTTTCCCATGAGTTCCTCGAGTATTAACTGACCGGACTGAAATGCCTATCGCTCTCACGACAGGTCTGGCCGACTCGCTGCGTTCCGAAGTCCTGCTTTATCAAAAGTCCCACGACCTGAAGATCCACCTGTATACCCCGGCAGGTATCTTGTCGCCCGGATATGACGAGGAGGAAAAGACGAAACCGGCAGTGACGAAAAAGATTGAAGAGGGGGACGAACCGATATCGCCGGAGAAATGTGTAGAGGTGTTATTGAGCGGTGAGTCTCGGATGCAGGCGTAGGCGCGGGAAGTGTTGCTTGATAGTGCGGGGAGTCGTCGAGACAAGCGGGCCAGTGCTGACGAGTGGTCATTCCCATGGGCACGTTTCAGGGATGGACAAGGGGTATTACCAGATCACGAACGATTTCATCACCGATCTCGTTCGAAGTCAGACTCGAGGTGCCGTACCTATGAACAACACCCTGTGGGATATCATCCTCAGTATCATTGGCTTTGTGAGTCGTATTTCAGCTTCCCAACCGAGTGATACAACGGATCTCAAGCTCAACTGTGGTACGGATGCGCATTGGGTTCAATCAGATCGGACTGCCCATCTGGCGTATCATCACGGATGGGACGGTCAGGAAGCACGCTGATCAGCATTTGAAAGACGTTCGGATCAATATGGATGGATTGGAGGACGATGGGGACGACGACAAATAGGTTGAACGAAGTTATGATGGACACAAGGGATTTCGCGCGGTCCGAGCTTTGTCTTCGTGATACCTCGCCACGTGATTGGGCTTGTGACATGAATGTCGAACCTCGAAGTTGATCCCTCCTTCAGCAGGAGCGGCAGCTTCCTTTTGTTGAGGCTTCTGAATCCTACCAAACACCATAGGAGAGATGGGTCGGTAAGCATTAGAAGAGCGGCGGCTATACCGGCTGAAGCTGAAGACTTGAGAGATGAGATGATTGTCGTATGGCGTAGGTGAGCGGTTGACCCGTTGATAAGAGTGGTTGCTGAGCTCGGTAAAAGCTGGAGAGATAGGTTGATAGTTATAAGGGGGTAGGAGAGCGGTTGTACCGTGCTCGTGGCTAGTGACCTATTCTGTAGATTCGCAGTGCGCTCTCCACCTGTCACCGCGGTGTCGCCTTGTCAGGAGTATCCCCCACGTATGATGTCCAGTGCGGCGTAACGCGATTATGGTGCAGAGGTGAACGAATCATAGGCGATATGGAAGAGCGTACGAGGTTATTTCGCTGGGGTAGGACCAGCCCTACAATTGAGAACAAGGAGGAGGCAGTACATTCCGGGTTGTTTAGAATTTCAGACTTTCGCTGTCAGAACGCTTCGGCCACGATGATCGACGAACCAGCCATGCCGGAGGGAGTCAGCTCGCAATCCCCGAGATCGGATCCAAACCAAACTTGATCAGCTAGCGGGCCGGATCCGGTGGCCGTGCATGATAAATATACAAAACACTTGAGAGCATCGAGTAAAGGATGACGTTGGTCGCCAGATCGCCATGGCGCGTTGCGAGTTGTGTATGGGCAAAACAACAACAACGATAAGACGGAAGAATGCCGATGAAAGAACTGCGGGTTTCAAGTCGTCTGCGCGGCGGGCGTATGCCGAATCTCGCTTACGATCCTGCGCCCAGCCCCTTGTCCGCAGCACCCCTCGTGTCCAGCCAGCACTACTTTGTTTAGCGTGTCCTCCCGCCGGCATGATTGAGTTGTCGCAAAAGCCAAGAGGTGGTCACACGACAAGAAGGAAGACGAAACGGGGTCATGAGTGGCATGAGTGGAGGGGTGGTTTTGCGATAAGTCGAAGATGGGCTTGGGCAACATGGGGGATAGATGACCCCCCCGCAGTTCAAGGTTCGGTGAATTTCGGCTTGCGAGGACAGATATAAACCGTATCATCCGTCATACCATTTGTTGTGCGCCTTCTTGTTCGTCATCAAGGCGATAAGCAGGATTCGCTACACCTACCATCGATTTATCTTGCAAAGACCACCCACCTACCCACCGTACCACCGTACCAACCTCTACGACGGCTATTTCCGGGAGAAACCACTCGAAATCCTCCGATCAGGGACAACACCAGGCCCGGAGGTGAAGCTTCGCGGGATCAGATTTTATCTGTGCCAGCCAGGAGCGACGAGGGGAACGGGCGAACAAACACGCATCCCCCTCCTGCCTCGCACCCAGATCCCAGAGCAGGTCCAGCCATTCCTCACAATTTCAGAATTTCCCAAGGTCCCAAGGATGGTTCCCAAGATCTCGACCACGAGCAACGACGGCAGCGTCGGTCACTCTAGGTCGACAGATTACCCATCCTCTCCTCGCACACCTACCCTATCGTCTACCCTCAGTCCTCGACTCAAGGCCAGTCGAGCTAGCGGTAGTGGTCGTTCTCCCGACATCAGTCCGCACCGTCTACCTCCTCGACTTGATGCCGGACAAGCCGGGGGGCTAGCATCATCATCATTACCTCCTCCTCAGATCTACGCCAACGGGCACGTAATTCTCAACGACGAGCAAGACCCCCTCAACCAATTCGACCTGGGCCCTGACGATCAGTACAACCGGGGGTATATCCATCATAACAGCACCGAGCTGGACGAAAAGTACCGAGACCTCGTTCATAACCAGCTCAGACTAGGACCAGGGTACGACGGCAGGGCCGTATCGTATGGACCTGCTACCCCTCCCGATCGTTCGACTAGACAATCTGGAAATCGATCGTCGCCGGGACATTCGACGCTGGGACTGACCATGCCAGATTCTCCGGGAAGGAGACGTTCATATGTGGGAGCATGGCAGCAACCCAGTCGATCCAGCATTAGCATGGAGGATCCGGCGGTCTATGCCCGGGTAGTCGATAGACGTCCTGGAGTCTCGTCTTCCGGCCTGAGGTCGTTCTTGGTCAACCCCCTGGCTGTCCCGACGAGCCATCCTTATTTGCGCGTACTGGCGACCATCGTCGTCTACGGTCTCACGCTCACGGTCGTATCGAGCTGGCTGGGCAACACCTCTGCCGTCGTCGACTCGTCCCTACTTCAACGAATAAAAGGTCAATCTTCCCTCTCGGACTCGGAGATAACCAGGCTGGCCGAGGAGCTCCGACTGTCTTCGTCTTTCCCGCTCCCACCTAACCGACCTGTCGATAGGTATGGATCTCCCAACGCTGCGTACCGTGCGTTATACCCGTTGGCACCTCCGCCAGCCCCGTTCCCGGCTCTGAGGGCGACGCATTTCTTGCCGGACCGATGTCTCGAAGGGTGGTTTGCACATGGGGAGATTCTGTGTTCCAGACACGAGATAGGGGAGGAAGATCAACTGTAAGTCGGAATGACCCACGACGAGGTAGCTTTCAAGTGCCGGGTGTTCGAGATCAGCGAGACTGATATTCTGCTCGTTTCCAGTGACGTGACCTGGCTCTGGGTCAACGGTAGCGACCCTCGATGGGAAGCCCAGATGATCGCCGAGCGCGAGGCCAAGGGGATCTATTCGCCTGCGCACCATTTCAGGGAGAACAACGAGTTGATGTACTCGATGCGGAGCGTGCTCGCCAATATGCCGGGTCGATTGAGGACGTTTCACTTGATCACGGCGGATTACGCGTTTGATACCCGGACGGACTTGCAATTGTTGCCCAAGTCTCCAGAGGCGTTGAGGGAGCTCGAGTCGTTGGCGGAACAGAAATTCCGACCGGATGGGAAATGGACAAAGTCGGGAGAGCCTACAGCAGCGGTGGAGGAGGACGGGCTTGAGCAGCGGGACGTAGGGGACGATCTGGAATCACGGAAAGAACAACCGGCGGCTCGGAAACCCAGGGTCATCTCGAGCAAACTCTCAGGCTGGTTGAACTCGGCATGGAGGGTCGCCCAGGTTCCGACTTGGTTGAATTTCGAGAGGATCGACCTGGCCGACCCTCAACATCCTTTGCATCATTTTTACCAGAACCCGAGTCTACCCAAAAAGCCCGTAACGTCCCACTTGCACACGACGTCACATCCCTCGTTACGCTACGCGGTCCATTCCGAGATTTTCCACTTGCCCACACACAAAAAGTCGGCTACGGAAAAGGCCGCCTCGGGACTCGGCGCGCCAGAGTACAAGGAGGACGAGTGGAAGAAGAACGCGCTGCCCACGTTCAACTCGATGGCCATCGAGAGCAAGATCGGTTGGCTCTGGGGTCTGTCGGACGTCTCCCTCGCTCTGAACGATGATCAGTTCTTCCTGAAACCGTATGCCGTATCGGACTGGTGGTCAGGAATCTACGGTACAGTGCTTCGACTGGACTACAACTACAACCAACAGGTCCGACCTCTTTTAGACAAGAAATTCCTCAACAACGCGGGGGAGAATGGGGGGCTGTATCATGCCAACTGGTTACTCAGCCAACGGTTCCCGAAGCGTTTGAGACCGTACTTTGCCCATGTGCCCAAGGTCATCACCCGGGGTCTGCATCATGAAGCTTCGATCATGTTCAAGGACGCTCTGACCACGTCGGCTCAACGGAAGTTTCGAGAACTGGTTGATGGCGAGGGAGATGTTCATATGCAGTGGCTATTGATGGCGCTCAGGATCGAAAGGTGGAGGGAAGCCATGCTGTGGACCTGGGTGGTGGCGCGGGTAGGGACTCGGCCTGCTTGGGGCGAAAACAAGGGAGGGCAGATCGGGATCTGGGGAGACGAGGCGAGGGACGATATCAAGGAGCTCTTCGGGGTGACGGATGAGGACGACGACGTCATCGAGATCGAGGTCACTAGGGGTGAAAGATGGACCATGGAGAAGGACCGGATGGCAGGGAACCTGGAGGGCGCCGGTTGGGAGGCTCCTAAGAATACCGAGTTTCTGTGGTGTGAGTCGTCGTCTGTGGAGAACCCGAGAATTAACTCGAAACTGACGACATCGCCTTGGACCAGCTTCGATGGACGGTCATATCCCTCCCCTCTTGCCCTTTGGCGTGCCCAAGGAGAACAATGACGTATGCAAGATCGGCCTGGACAGGTGTCTGGGTCGATTCTGGTCAGCAAACGAAAACGTCACGGCAGACGACATGTTCAAGCGGTTGGCATTCAGCTACCCTGCCTGTGGCGACTGCTGTGAGTGTGCTGTTTTGAGTTGGTCGTCCTGAAGTCATGGCTGATTTGTAGCTACTGTATTTAGTCTTGACGGCACTGGTGACTTCGTCCGGACCTCTTGGCCTGTCGGCCATCTTCCCTCCTGCCGAGATGATCTACAAAACCCGGGCGGACGACGAGCACCTCCGGAAGATCGACTATCTCGCCCCACCCCACCTCCCGCTGACGGCTACATGGCAAGAAGCCGATTTCTCTCTCGAGAGCGTCTTGTCCGAGAGCACCTTACCTGGGGAACCCGTAAAGCTTAGACGATGGTCGATGCAGCTCTTGTCGCGGTACTTGTACATGTCAGGAAAGACGCCCAGTCATTTCCACATGGCTAGAAATCCAGAGCATGTACAGGGCGTCTTCAAGATGGTTGACAAGGCCAAAGACGTGAGTCCGCTCGCGACCAGCGTATAGCTCGGCTGTTTTGGCTCAGTAGCTGACTGGAGCGAGTTTCTTGTTGTCAGGTCGCGCTGCTAGGATTCAATGACGATATCGACAAAGACTACGAGGAGACGAGACGTCTCATGATCGAATGGTTCGGGAAGAAGTGGCCCGTACCCGCCGTTTGGGAAAAGGGTTGGAAGCCGAATCGATCCTAACAGACCAACCGCAGAATGATAACACAACAAAACAAGACACCCTTCCGAGACACCCCAGCTCGACGCCTTTTCGACAATCCCTCTAATTTCCATCACATACTACATACCTCTTCTACGCATCATACACCATCTTGACTGTACTTGACGTTTGACTGTAACGAACCCTATCATGAACGACCATACGATACGATCACACCACCCAATATCTAGTGCGCTTGATGTGTTTTCTCTTTCCGCGGTGCACGCCCGTGGCGGCTCTGGCCCAAGGATCCTTCTCGCAACCGAGATCGAGACGTGGCATAGCGCGGAAGCAAATCGAGGGGAATGAGTGTGAGAAACTGGGGGGAGCGCGTACGTCATGCTCTGGCAGGGTGGGAGCGTAGCTTCAGGAGGATATAACCATCAACTTTGATCAAGATCAACTCCACAGCTCACCGCGAATCCAACTATTCCTCTTTCTCTTCCCACCAAAAACCTCCTTACTAAACCACCCCAGAACAACAAATGTGAGTCATACAATCTACAATTCCTGGCAGTCCCGTTCTAAAGCTCTTGCTATGGACCCTGGCGAGCTCGGAGCTCTCCCATACCCTGTTTCCTGCCTATTCCCGCTCTCCATTCTCATCATTCATTCCGACCGTTGACTTACCCGCAGTTCTGTTTCTCTCCTTGTCATGTTCCCTACTACCATCCGTAACTTTGCCGTATCAGCTCGATCCAACATGTCGTAAGTCACTAAACGAAAAATTTTGGGGATGCTGCGGGACAAACGTGTCTGATCCGAAATCTCTTTCAATTGAATGTCGCATCAACAGCAAGGTCTTCTTCGATATCGCCATCAACGGTGCCCCCGCCGGCAAGATCACTTTCGAGTTGTTCGACGACGTTGTTCCCAAGACCGCCGCCAACTTCCGTGCTCTCTGCACTGGTGAGAAGGGATTCGGATACGCCGGATCGAGCTTCCACCGAGTCATCCGTGAGTGCGATATACTCTGTTGTCTTGGACACAACATCCATGCTGATTCAACAATCTTCCTTTTCGACGACTTGCAGCCCAGTTCATGCTCCAGGGAGGTGACTTCACCAACCATAACGGAACCGGTGGAAAGTCCATCTACGGCAACAAGTTCGCCGACGAGAACTTCAAGTTGACCCACACCGTAAGTTCAATCAAACACGATCAGCTTGTCGAATTGTAGGATCGTACTAACGCCGCTGCCGACCGTGCTATAGCAACCCGGACTTTTGTCCATGGCCAACGCCGGACCCAACACCAACGGATCCCAGTTCTTCATCACCACCGTCAAGACCTCGTGGTTGGACGGAAAGCACGTCGTTTTCGGCAAGGTCGTTGACAACTACGACTTGGTCAAGAAGATCGAGTCTTACGGTTCCGACTCCGGTAGTACGTACCAGCTCGCCGCAGATCATGTCCGAAACGCAGAGCTGATCGCGGCTTTTCTTGCGCTACTTCACAGAGCCCAAGGCCGAGGTCAAGATCACCAACTCTGGTACCTGTTAAACAAACTCTATCAGAGTTTGAACGACCGATCTTGTCTAATCTCGTTGTTCTGCGTCTATCGGGGACACGCGAATGAAATGAAATGAATCGATAACTCGCGTGCGGAGCGCAATCAACCTATGATATGAGCAACAGTCCAAGCCTTATTTGAATGGATGTAGTGTCGATGTTCCCAGCGATACTGAGCCCCTGACAACGTATGGGGTCGCTCGCCGGAGATGATGAAGTCGCTGGTCACCGCATTTCTGATTCTAGAGAGGGAGCGCCGGCTTGCCAGACTACATTCCATCTTGCGATCTCGTTGCCTATAGCCCTACCGTTTATAGTGAAGGAAACACAACGTAAGGCATGTACGGTCCGGGCGATGTCTCCTTTCATATTCATACGGTAAGCTATACAGATGGATACGATCCTATCTAACCGTGAACCTGTCAGAACTGTGAGGCTGTACCCACGACGGACGTTTGAGATTGGCTAGAGCCGTACTCTGCGCTTGAGGATATGAAATCCAAAGCTTCTCCGGCTAGTGCTGACAGCGATGGATTGCTTCGATCGCTTTGCAATGATTCCAGCTCGAGCCGAGTCTGGATCTCATCGGTTGTATTGGGGGCTTCGCCGTCGCTGTACTGCCAGCGTCGCCAAACAAACTTGAATCGATCCCAAGACCCTCCCGACACCAGGATGATGATTTGACGGGCCTTATTCGTAACTCTTGCTTCTGCCTCGGCTGAATGATCCGGATAGTCTGACAAAAGCTCGGTGACGCCATCTTTGAACTGTTCGAAGATGTCTAAAGCGTTTTCTCGCCATCTAAGGAATTCCTTACCACTCCGGTCGTATGGCTTGTACCATGGGCTTCTCCAGCCTTCATGTTGGAAAACCTTTCGAGAATTCTCGAGAATGTCAAGCCAACTCCCGAAAACCTTGTCCTTCGGCAAGTCCTTATCCAGTTCTTTCGACAGCCCCTCATGCAACATTTGTGCCGCTTCAATTGTGGAAAGAATTATATAGGTTCGTATGGCTATGAGAGCTTCTGGAGTGTAGATGGACCAATGAGAGGCCACATTACGATTGTCAAAGTGTTTGGTCACTTCCTCCTTGATGCGTCCCAGATCCCCTTCGCCGTCCCTCCAGGCGTCCTCAAGCTTGGTGTTTAGCTGGACGCAACGTTCGGTCAGGTCAAGATTGGTACTGGATGATTCTTTGCGAAGGAACGTGTAGACCAACTCCTGCGCTGCTAGTCTATGCCTATACACATCTTGGCCAAAGGCGAGGGTCCGCTCCTCCATGATTGTTTATTGTCGAAAGGTGCTGGTCGGAAGGATGGTCTCCGGATCTGTGAGGCGGTTCAGTTGACAGCCATCACTCCCATGAGGCTCGTTGCCGCCAGTACTGATATATATCATGGAGATGCCGCAGTACAGCTTTTCCTTTGATTCGCTGGCAGAAGCTATACCCCACCCGATGTTGTGACCTCGCCTTTGCCCTGTCCTCGACCGCTGCGAGGCAGAGAAGAAAGGAGCTATGAATTCGCCAATCTCCGGATGCGCCCGAGTAGCCCATTATGCACCGATACACCGAAGAACGCCGATAAGTTGAGATATATCAAGGATGGTCTCTTGTACCTGCAGCGGTCAATACAAAAGTGACCGTGTTGTATCTGTACACCTATTATCGATGTTTCAGGTCGAATGCCACGCGCGCTGCGCCTCACTCTTCGGGTTCCTTGGTGGAATTGGTGGCTCATGGCTAGCGAATTTTGAAACCGTGGCTAACTTTACGCAAGGTACAGAACAATCGCACGATCCTGTCCAGCCCCTCCTCTTCCTGAGCCTTACATTCCATCCTATATGGGATTCATCGCGACATCGAAGTTTTGACAAACGACAGTCTCGAAAATCCGAGCTCACCATTATGGCTAAAGCGAATCGCGCCTTCGAGACGTCTTGACAGATCAGCTTGTTGCTTGCCTTTCAGAGCGAAGCCAAGACAGTTCACGCCCTAGCCAATCCTCTGCCACTCGTCAAGCTAACATGCAGTACGACTCTACCGTTCATTTCGTCCATCGGGTCTGATTGCTCGCTGCGCACGCATCGATCATACCAAAAAGAGTCGGGGGTTACTTTTTACAAGTTCTCGTTTTAGCCACACAATCCTTCCATCAAACCTTCTACTTGGGCTTGTCTTGAACTGCACGACGAGAGATTAGAAGCATATCAAAATCAGCGATCTCGTCCAACAAACCAGTTGATGACCAGTGAGTTCGCCGGGACTTACCGTTCAACAACAAAGTGTTGGCATCCAAGACGACCTTGTTCCCACTGGTGCCCAACATGCTAGCGATATCCCTGGCCGCCTCCAGCTTTCGGAGCTCCAAGAAACCCTTGTTAGCCTTGATGGCGTCGCTGATCAGTTCGGCCGATCGGGCTTCTCCCTGGGCTCGGACGATAATGGATTGCTGTAAGTCGAAGGGGGGTTAGAACCGTAGTCAAGTATGCTTGATTGGTAGAGAAAATCTCTTACCTTCTCCTGGATGGCCTGGTCTACCAAGAAGGCAGCTCGCTGAGCGATCTGTTGTGCGACCTGCTTGGCTATGGACCGTCGCAACAACAGAATTAGTTACCATTGGGCGTATGAAAATGTAGCATGAGTAACTAACCCTCTACGGCGTGGGTGAATTCTGGGCTGAAAGCGACGTGCGTGATCGAAACGTCATCGAGGATCAAGTTGAACCTCCTTGCTCGCTTCATCAGGTTGTCCCTGACCAATCTCGACACCTGAACGAGCGCATTGCATATCAGCATCTTGGCAACTCGGGGGGATAAGCGAGAGAAACGGGACTGACCATCTCTCGCTGCGTGATCAGCTGACTGGCGTTGAACTGCGCAGTAACCGACTTCAAGACCTCGTTGACGATCGAGGGGAGTACTCGTTCGTCATAGTCGGTTCCAAGCTCTCGGTAGCTGAAAGAAGCGTAAACGGCGTGATCCTTAGCAAGTGATCAGTGAGCTGCGAGGCACGAGACGATACTCACATAGTGGGAAGGTCCTCTACAGAGGGTCGGGAGAGGACACGACAGGTGATGTTGACCATCTGTAGATCTACAAATCAGGAATGCAAATAATGATTAGCTTCTGCTAGGGAATGGAGGAAGGTAAGAAGAGGCGTCAACGGCTCACCCTTGGTTCCGGTCAATGAAGCAATGTTCCTGGGCTTGGCCCTGACATCGTAAATGATAGGGCTCTCCAACCAAGGGATCTGAGATTTTGGCGAAATCGAAGTGGGCGTCAATGGGCTGTCATGCTTTTCGGAAGACACTTGTTCAGCATTGAGGGGTGTCTGCTCACGTTGAAATGGGTTCCTTCAGGGTAGATGGTCGAGCCGATACCATTCAATCTATACGAGACGAGACAGGGACAGATACAGTAAGTTTCCAGTCTAGATGTCAAGGGGCGAAGAAGCAAAGCGGGGATATGCTGCTTACCGGGTGTACTTGATCGCTCGGTGTCCTCCGTCGACTATCGCAGAGGTATCCAAACAGCATCAGCCTCCATCATACAGCTATCCAGTTGATAGGAAACCAATCTGAACTCACCGTTAAAGATACTCTGGTTGATAGCGAATCCACCGATGGCGAGCGTAACAAGCAACCCGCCTCCGGCCATGAACCCCTTCAGACCTCCGGGTCCACCGGCACCTCCTGGACCGCCCTTGCCGCCGAATCCACCTCCACTACGTTGAGCTTTGGCGAACTGCACGGCGAGCCTTTGCAGTGCTTCTCGACCTGAAAAGAAGCAGGAGTGTAGATGTAAGAGCCTTAGTATCGAGCGAGTTGTGCGGGATGACGAAAGCGTCGAGGATCGCCCCCCGGAAGTTGCCGATCGACTCACCTGATTGAGGGTTCATTTGATTAGATTGATTGATGAGTGACGTCGATGTGATTATAAGAAGGAGAGGCCTTCAACGATCCTACTTGATGAGATGTCGTTCATTTGTATGCGAGTCCACCGTTTCTCGATCGAAATCGCTGATCGAGCGCCCGTGAACCTGCTGCTGAGCGGCGAGAGTTGGGAAGGGCCAAGGGAAGTGTGTGCCGTAAGTTTTATGCGTTTCATCCCTCTGTTATTCGTTATCAAGTCAACATCACCGTCGTGCCTCATTGCTCATCATCGTTGCGAATCTTGCAGGAAACATCGACATCGAGCTCGTGAGCTCGTGATCCTCGTCGACCACAAAGGAAGCTGAAACGATCCAGACTTACATATACACCTCACTTGAACACTCTCTACCGGTCTGAATTCTGTCAAACTTGCATACAACTAGCTTACTACTGATATCCCCGACATTCGACACAACTGCAATTATGTCCTCTTCATCAACAAGACCTTCCCCAGTGCTCGAACACGCTCTGAACTTGCCCATCTTCAAATTCCTCAAGGACAAACGGGTCGTCCTCGCTTCCTCTTCTCCAAGGAGGAAAGAACTCCTCGACCTGAGTGTGAGCTGCATTCCATCTATATCTCCCCATTCCGTCGCCCGTGATGTTAGCTCGCAGTCGAGGACTGCTCCATTCCGAATCGTTCAAACCGCTGATTGTCGTCGCCTTTCCTGAACGTAGGGCCTGAAACCGGAGATCATCCCCAGCGAGTTTCCGGAAAACCTGCCGAAATCCATGTTCGCGCACGCTCTGGCCGAGTACCCCATTGCGACCGTAAGCTCGCATTTGCCTTTTCGATGCACAAAGGGCTTGCTAATGAAATCTGCGTCTCTTGGTTACCGTCATCGTCTGGAATCAATCGCGATTCGATGCAACTCAGGCGGGAGAGAAGGTAGGTCCTGTCCTTGTCCATATCGCGCTGTCTAAATAGCGAGTATTGAGATGCTAATCGTCGTCACGCCTGCATTCTTCAGGCCTTGGAAGTTTACGAGAGGCTCGTCAAGGCGGACGATCGCGATGCACCTGATCTGGTCATCGGCGGTGAGTCCAGCCTTACGCTTTGGCTTCAATTGAGCCCATGGTGTTGATGTTGATAACGATCATCTCTTTCAACACATCGTCTGATATTGATCGATTGAATTCACCATCTCTTACCGATCGACTTCGCACTGCATCTTGATCCTTGAAATGCCTAACATCGACATACACTGGGAAACCGTCCCGACATGCAGCCGACACGGTGATCATCTTCCCCCCTCAGTCCAAGGACCCCGACTCGCGAACGGCATTGGAACCGGTTGAAGAGTCGAAGGTCTTTGAAAAGCCGTTTGACAAGGACGATCATGTGAGTGGAGCTCAGGGCGAGTCGTTACGACGGGGTTGATGCTGAGTCCATATGCATACGTTTTCGAAGTTGAGGATGTTGCAGGATCTGAACGGGAAGACATGCGAGATCGTCACGGGGGTCACAATAGGTAAGTCTAGCCTGATACGCACGGTGTGAGTAGCGAAACTGTGATTCATGGCTGACTTGATGACGGTTCAAATGCTTGTAGTCTACCCTACGCTCGGTGCGCCGGGTTACAAGCTACAGTAAGCCCTCCTTCTGCTTCTCCCCTTGATACTTGTCGGATAGGAAGCGCTGACGGGATCGAACCCATGTCGAACAGGTCCATCTCGGTCTCGACAATCGCGCACTTCCGAGAGAACACCGTGAGTTTCCATACAAGCAGTACGCTTATCACTGGATAGTTCGAGCTGACGCAGCACATGGTTTACATCTTCATCTCTGTAGGACGCCGAGTTGAAGGCGTACGTCGAGCATGGAGAAGGGATCGATCGAGCGGGCGGGTTTGCCATCCAGGTACGCTAGGACAGTCCAACCTTTTTCTCGGTGTTCTCCGGGACCTCGCTGACTTTCCCGAACGCTTCACCTATCCTGTTGTATAGGGCGCCGGTGGGTTCCTCGTCAAGTCGGTCGAGGGCGACTGGAACAACGTGGTAGGCTTCCCCGTCTGGGAGTTTTGGCATTGGCTGGGCGACCTGTTGGAGGACGACGTGTTCAACGAGTGATCTACTGGGTTACGGTCGGAAGGCGGCGTTACGTAAACGATGGACTTTGTATTGTATCTTGTACCAACGACGAAGACGATGTAGAGTAGCTAGATACTAGAATAGTGTCGATCGCGAATAGCGTTCGTACGTAGTTTCATCGTCGAGCTCGGGGCGGTTAGTAACCGGTGTCCCCTCGCTCCGTTTCTCCGTCGGGTGAGATTTTGCATCCGTTTGCGCTAACTCGCTCGGCGATGATGATCGTCATCGCCATCAGTTCAGTTCAGTTCTGCGACCGAATCATCCTCTCGACCTCTCGCAGTCGGGGTCAACCATGCACAGTCTACTACTTGTATACTTGCACACAATTACACTTCCATCTTTACAATCTTCAATAAAGCAGACCAGTAGGTATAAGATTTCCCACCGCCCATACTGCACGATGGCGGAACAAGAACCTCTACTGAACAAAGCCAACGGCGGCGACACCTTCTCCAGGACGAGCACCAGGACCGCATACGACGATGCTGCGTCTATCACTGCCACCGTCCGCCCTACCAAGTCTTCGAGTACGAACATCAAGACTAACGACGATAAAGACGTCTGGAAACTTCCCATCTCCCAACGATCCTCGAAAGGACCCATCTTGAACAGGTTGTTGGTCATCCCGACCTTTCTCCTCGGGCTTCTAGCGATCTTCTTCATACAAGTACCGGTCTACCCTCTTTGGCCGTTGATGAGGGTGTTCGGAGACAAGAGTTGGGTCGGCAAGGTATACAATTGGGATGTCGAGTTTACGAAACAGTTGTTCGGGATGCTTCGTGAGTCGTCAAGGTCTTGGTTTCATGATGCGACACGGGCGATGCTGGGTGTGGCCAAACAAGGTTGATTGAAGACTGATAACTCACCGTGGGAACTGTGACTTTCGGCAGTGATCATGACCTTCTCCCTATTCTCCCCTACGTCGATCACCATAACGACCCCGTCTTCCGGTGCAACCTCCCTTCCTCTCTCCTCCCTCGTCGTCCGGGACCCACGGACCGGCGAACCTGTCGGCTTGAACCTTCCCAAGAACCTGATCATCATGAGCAACCACCAGTCTTACCTCGATTGGATGGTCATCTGGTTCATGGGATACATCAGCGTGGTTCCCGCACAAGCGGCGGATGGCCTTGAGGCGGCGGGAGGAGAGGCGAGCTGGAAGGAACAAGGACACGGGGCGAGGAGTATCATCATCATCTTGAAGAAACAGTTGAAGAAGCTTCCGATCGCTGGATGGGGCATGTAAGCGTCTTTTCATCTATCAAAAGCTGCGGCGTATCACTAAGGCCATCTAGCTGATCCACCCTCCTATACGTAACCTCAATGTCTCTTCTTGCCCTCTGAACTTCACCGTCCACAGGCAATTCTATAGATTCATCTTCCTCTCCCGCTCCTGGGCCGAAGACCAGAAAAACCTCACCGAAGCTCTCTCGGACTTGTCCACCAGAGGTCGGAACAGGCCGGAATCAGGATTATGGTTGACGATCTTTCCCGAGGGGACGATCACTAGCGACGAGGAGAGGGCGAAGAGCAGGAGGTTTAGCGAGAGGGAGGGCATTGTGAGTCATATCCGTCATCGCGCAATGGATAATGAGAGCTAGGTTTTGATGGTTCTATATGTATATTTCCGAACTAGCCTGACTTGATAAACCTCTTGCAACCGAGGACGACGGGCATGTTGTTCTGCCTCCGAACACTCGTACCTCAGATCCCCGACCTGAGGATTTTGGACTTGACCATCGGCTACCCTGGTGTGCCGCGTGGAGGTTACGCTCAGGAATGGTACGTTGCTCTTTACTTGCTTGCTTCCGGACATGTCGCTAAGCCTGAGAATTTTCCATTGAATCGTCAACTCGGTGTAGGTACGGTCTGAAGAGCGTATTCATGCTCGGCGTTCCTCCTCCAACGATTCACGTTCACTTGCGAATGATCGACCCTACCGACGGCTCCGTTCCAGGTGTTCTATCCACCGATACTATAAGCACAACTGCTAGCGACGATACCACTACTGAGGGAAAGCATCAACCCGCCCTGCCCGGTCTAGCGAGTGACGAAGAAGCCAAAGCGTTCGGCGAGTGGATGCGAGGAAGGTGGGCCGACAAGGAGACCTTGATGGACGGGTTCACAGCGGCGAATTGGGAAGGGTTCCACGATACCAACAACGGCGAGGCGGGTAACAAAGAAGGACTGTATGGAGAGGGGAGTGTCGAGTTTCCGATCAAGCTGTCTTAAGGTCTGAGCTCAACAGGTTTGAACCGATATGTGTGTATATGACGCCGATAAAGGCGAATGTTTGTTACGTTATGCTCAAGGGATATGGCTACGACTGTTCTTCGTAGTGCCCCTGGAACTGATCTGAGATATTGATCCCGCTACGATCCCAGTCGCGTTTCACCTACAGTAGGTGTCACTGATGATGGTTGATCATACTCGAAAAACAGTAGCACTGTCCGCTTCGATGTCAGTCTCGCACACCGATCTGCAACACTCGTCTACCCCCGCAAAGAGCATGGTCCCATCCGTCCAACGTTTCTCGGATCGGTCGGTTAAGTTGGCGTAAGCTGTCTTAACAAGCGGTAGACATGAGCGAAAATTGCTGACCTTCAGATGCGGACGGGGATCGTATTTCGTCCCGGGACATTGGATTTTTCGACGTTGTCACAGGGAGTGTTTCGGACGATGCTCATGGATCCCAAAGTCACCCGGACGTTCAATTACTACCTAAAAATCGAAGCGCAACTGGCCGACATCATGGGAGATTCGTCTCAGGTACCCGTAGTCACTTGCCTGGACGTCTTGGCCCGTCCTTACCCCGGTATCGAGGCCGTCTTTGAGTTGGGCCGATATCCAGAAAATCTAGAGGAAGTCCATGTTGATAAACCAGACGGATTGAGGGGGGATGTGGAAAGGGTTTTATAAAAGGGTGTAAGACGAGAGTGATGTTGCGGACTGATCTGAGGAAAGGAGTGTGATGTCACCGGTGGACGTGTACAGGGATTATGAGGGGTATCTCTCAAGGAATGCAGAGGGACGTGTTTCTCTATGGATCATGACAAGTTTGATTGATAGCACCTCTTGGTTTATCGAACAAGATGACATTGTCGATGATAATTAATATGCTTCTTGCCTCTCAATCCAGGCTACTACTGCGAACCCAGAACGTTGCAGGGAGTCTTGGGTCTGTTTAGGACACTGGACATAATTGCTGGCTGAGAGCATGAGCACAGCGGCAGCGACGGCAACCAAGGCCAAGCGATATGTGGGATCCGCGTTTCAACCCTCCTTTGGCTATGTCCAGGCAGGAGAGGGAGGGGTGGACCACGTCCTTTGTCTCGTCCGTTGCTCTTGCCACCAATCCTGACGCTATCGAGCGGCTATATCTGGCCCTGAGAGGATATCTTCCAGACCAGGGCAGATCCTAGATTGCGCATCGTCCACCTGGTCTCGCGATTGGCGCTCTTGCGTTCCAAGTTTGACGAGGTTGACGGTGTTTACTCACAGATCCTGTACTGACTGGAATTCATTTGTAGATACGGTCATCAAAGAACACTGAGCCCTCCAGGCCAGCGCTGGAGATCTTTCCGATTGGTTCAAGGGTTGCCTTGCGAGGGATGAGGCAATGGCTCAGACCCAGTTGTACCTCGCTCAAACCCTGGCTGAGACCCAGGCCCGTCTCGATTAAAGCGAGCGGGACCTCGCCGAACTTCAACAACAGCAGCAGCAGCATCAACAGAACGCACAGAACGCACAGAACGCACAGAACGCTCAGGACGACAAAATTGACCCGAGCTTGTGATCGGCGCAGAGTTGGATCGACCTTGTGGAATGTTCACCCAGCAGACGCTTAAGGCCATCCAAGCCGAGATTACCCGCATACGGAGGGAGCAGGCCGACGACGACCAAGCCGGTCCGGCAACGCATACACTTGGCAAAGGTCCGCATCGAGAACTGCTGCGCAGTGTGAATTCTACTGTGGGCAAAGTGCGATTTCAATATCAGACCATGCAGAGTATATAGGCAATGTCATCTACAATCTGAAACGATAGAGTCGTCACGCTGATGTATTCACCTCGAGGCATAGCAACGCAGTCGTCAGGCATGTGTCTATAAGCGATTCCCCCGCTAGCACGAAGCGCATCCTGGTTTTTGGCTCTCTTAGATCCGGCCTTGTGCAAGGTTCGCATACTCTTAACACCAAACGACTATCATCAGTCTTCCACCTCACTGATCGACCCGAATCTACGCCGACTCACTGCTCCCTGGATAATTCAACTCGTTCTCCTCGTATTGAAGCCCTCCACCGAGAGTTCTCGCCATGGCTTCTATTAGGGATTCGCCAGGAATCTGCTTGTCCCCCGAAAGTTCCCAGTACATGGCGCCCCCTAGTCCTTGTTGGGTGATATAGTTGGCCTTCCGGATGATGTTCGGGACCGTATCATACGTTACCAGTCGGCCGTTGGAGCTAGTGCGTGCGAGCGAGGTCAGACTTGATCCCTTTCTTTGAGAGGATTTGAAATTGCTTACGGTTCGAAAGACCACGATGCACCTAACCGTTCATCCTCGAACACCTGCGCGCCCTGTCGAGGCAAAGCTTTATAATCCCACATTCCTTGCTCCCATGAGCCCTCTCCGGTGCCTACAAAGTCAATACTAGGCTGATCAGCCTATGGTCAAACTCAATCTATTTGAGAGAACCTTACCGTTGAAAGGCTGTCCGATTCCATGCGTTCCCATAAACGCTCGCCCGTAAAGCGGCACTCCTGGAGCAAACAGACATCAGATCGAACACTTTGTCCTGCAATAGTGACTCGCTCGACTGACCGACGACGACTTGATCCGGTCTGATCCCGTTCTGGATGTAATATCTCACAGCGTCGTCCACGGATGCACCACCGGGCTGAGCGGCGTACAAGTTGGCCTGATGTCCCGAGACTGAATCCCACGAGCCGGCAAACTGCGAAGTTGGCGCATACGACATTGAACGTGAGCGAGTGTCGTCGGAGAGAATCAAGACTCCTGTTGAAGTGCACTCACGTCGTATGTCTACAACGTTTACATGGTTAAGAATGATTAGCTATTGGAATTGAGCTATTAATCACGAACTTGTACCTGCACTCACCATTAAGTTCCAGAAATCCACGTACTGCGACATCCCTCTGATATCCAGCTTGGCATAGTTATCCCTGCCGCTCGGTACTGCCACCTGCGAGTCGTTCCAGGATCAGCATCGATAACTTACCGCTCTCTCGCTAATCCCGAGCGAGATAGGAATACGGCTAGGGCAACTCACGGTCAACTCATAAGTCCCCGCCGACCTGCCTTTACTCCTAGCGAGTTCGTCCAGTTCTCTCCGGCATTTGGCGAGCAGGTCGACGTATGCGTGCGCTTCGGAGGAGTTTTGAGGGTATTCCCAGTCGATCTGGATAGCGAGGATGAGAACTGCCTTGAGATCTGGTCTCTTTTCGCGGTCATGCGTTAGATCGTCCAGCTTACATCAAGCCTGATCCACGTTCACCAGAGCAACGATTCAACACTGCCTTCAATCAGCTAAATCGTATCGTTAAACTTTCTGTCTGTACGAGTAGACTCACCCATCCAATCCCAAGTCCTCTACCAGCCTCACCCCGCTCTTAGCGAACTTCTCCCTCTTTCCCGCATCCTTGCCGAGCGGGACGAAATTGTCCCGGTACGACCATCCTCCGATAGAAAGGAGCACTTTTAGATTGCTACATATGAGTCACGCCGGAATATTGATCGGGGTTCGAGTATGAGTTCCAAGTCTCAACTTGGTAGATGCTCTTCGATTTCGAAGACATACCGGTTACTCCTCTTCAGGCTTCTCAACACCCCAAAGTTCCCTAATAGTCCCCCATCATCCCCGCCCTGTCCCGGATGCCGAATCTCCACATCCGCCCACGAATCGCTTAGAACGACACCGCCTGTATGTGGGTCGACGTTGGCGAATGCGTAGTTGAGGTGAGTTAGGTTTTGGTGAGGGATTTGAGAGGGGAGGTAGGCGGGAGAATAGATCGACCTGATCGTTTCCGGGCAAAAGGGTGAGATCGATCGAGGTGTGCTTCGGAGTGCGATTATGGGAAGGACGTACCAATTCGTGAAATAGCCTACGCTGCGTTTACCCTGCTGCGGCCGCTGCGGGATAGGCGGAGGACCTCCCTGTTGTTGCTGTTGCTGCTGATACTGATTGGCATACATATCATGTTGACCCCATTGCTGAGGCGGCTGAGGCTGAGGCTGCTGCCACTGTTGTGGAGGCTGTTGTCCATGGTTGTTGTTGTGATTGTCAGTATTGACGCCTAGCTTATCTAGGAATCGTCTCATCCCGTCTGCTGTCTGTGCACGGGGCAAGGAGAGGAACGATGTGATGCAGACGAGGACGAGAGTGAAGAGGAGAGTCGTACGGAGCCAGGTGATCATCAGATATCGAGGGTGATCAGTTAGAGCACAGCCTGACTGCTACTCGGGGTTGATAATAAATGTCGGCCGCCTTGTTGAAAGCCTAGCTGGCCTATATATACCAGGGCCAGAGGATGGAGATGACGAATCTCGTAGACGAGGGAGAGCCACAGCGTGGGAAGTTGAAGGAGATTCTTCTTCAACTCTTCTAGCTTCTTCATCATTCCCAACAAAGAACCAAACGAATGGATCACCCCGCCTGCTACCGGGTGATCGTGATCTGCTGCCAGCAGTGCATATCGCGATGTGATCACCTCCTTTTAGAGACGGGCCCGACCCAAGCTACGGCCAGTTACACACTACACTTCTGATAACGAACATCGAATCAGGACCGATATCTTCAGTCGACGCAGGCGTTCGAAACATGATCGGACCGAACACCCCTCCCAGCAGTTGGCATCTCGATCATGTGCCCACCCCGATTCTCGACGCCATCCTTCTACACCTCTCTCCGGCGCCTAAACAATTGGCGACCATCCGGAACCTCTTCCCGCTCTCCCCGGATCTGAAACGCATGTCGATGGTCTGTCAGACCTTTCGTCCCGGAGATCATCCTAAGGGATAAGATCTTGCATACCGTGTTCATCGGAAGTCATGCGAGTGCGGCAAAGGAAGCTCTGTCGAGCATCCGTCAGGATAGCTTTCGTTATATTCAGTGAGTCGTCCGGGACAGCTTGTGGTTGGCTCTGTCAGAACGACATCTGACCTGATTCCGGTCGGTGTGAACAGAAACGTCATACTTTTAGGCTGCAACTTCGACGATTCTGTCTCCGATACCTTCGACGCGATTCGGCAACGGAAAAAGTTTATCCAAAGCTGTTCCAATCTCGAGTCATTGAAGGACGAGACTCGAGAACTGGGTTACATGATGGACATGACCTTGCCCTCGACGCTCTCGACCCTGTTCGTTCATCTCAAAATAGGGTTAAACCGATCAAGGCTCCGGGACTCTCCTCCCTAGTCATCACCGCGGATCTCACGTTGATGGAGAGCCCTTACAATTTCGAGGTTTCCGCATACCCGTCCAAGGTGTTGGACCTGTGCCGAGACATCGTCAGATTGGATCATCTCAGCCTGCAGTTGCCAGGACTGCGAGTTCATCCGGTTCCTCACGGACTCCCTCAGCCGCTCGGAGACAAGGTCGAGGACATGCTCCCTGCCACTTTGAAATCCATCGGCGAGCTGCATATTCAACTCCCTTTCTGTTCGCCAGAACCAGGCCATCCGAGAGAGTCGCATGCCGTGAGTCGTCGCCCCGTATGGGCATCCTTGGCGGAAACAGCTACAGAGCGCATAATACTAACGCGTTTGTTTCTCGACGACAGGGTGGCTACCTGCGATGGCTTTTGACCACGAAGCCCAAGATTGGCAAGCTCCTGTTCAACATGGCTTGGAGGACCTGGTACTTGGCTCCGATCGCGAACCGCTCGGATACCCCGAGAGCGGTCCTCGACTCCATGGGCCTGGGCGTCCTCAAGTACGACGAAAATCGACGGCCGAGGACGTACCCGGCGGGCAAAGAGTCCATCAGGACCGTCAGCCCGGCCATGATGCGATTTGCCGTCATGCTGTTCGAGGCTCAGCCTGACCTCCAGGTCATCACCTACAGGTTCGACCTGGTCCCCCACGATCAGCTGCACGATACGCCCGCCATATGGTTCCGTACGGCGACCTTTACCAGGTCGGACGGTCCCAATCGGGCGCAAGGGTATATCGCCTATGACGATCAGATCGATTATCAGGTCATTGATGCCGTCATACAAGCGCAGTTGAACAAGTAGTGGGGGTATTAGTTTGATGGGGAGCTTGATGTTTGCACGGCATGATATCCATACCACACGATTATGATGACGCAAGACGACGAGATCACGGACATCTGGCTAATTTCGCAAGCCCCGTGATTCCCGCAATGTCCGTTTCTTTTGCCCTTTCGCCTGTGGCTTGCACTTTGGAAATTCCCTCAGCTTCGGGTCACCTGGCAGCTGCTCCGAGCTTGTTATCATGTGCATTCGTGCATGTTCAATCGATTCAAGAACATCATAAGACCCTCTTCCTCTTTCCTCATAACAAAAGCTCACAGAGCAACCACATCCTCATATTACCATCAAAGCCGCAGATTTATCACTATGGCTCCTCTCACTCACCCCTCGGTCGTCGGTGAGTAGCAGAAAATACACGGCTAGAACCGACTTTTCGCAAATTCTTTTTACTGATGGTCATCTCGTCTTCGTCGTCCTCATTTGCCACTTCTAGACGGCTGGTTCAGGGAGATCAACTCCCAATGGCCAGGTAAGTCGGCCGTCTATCCCAAAGATCTTGTATCAAGAGCCATGGCAGCTAATCCGTTACTTATCTTACCGCCGCAGGCCAGGCCATGACCCTCAAGGTCGAAGAGATCCTCCACACCGAAAAGTCCCTCTACCAGGACGTCCTCGTCTTCCGTTCCTCGACCTACGGAAACGTCCTCATCCTCGACGGCGTCATCCAGTGCACCGAGCGTGACGAGTTCTCTTACCAAGAGATGATCACCCACTTGCCTATGGCGTCGCACCCGAACCCCAAGAACGTCCTCGTCATCGGTGGAGGTGACGGTGGTGTCATCCGAGAGGTCCTCAAGCACGACACGGTCGAGCACGTTACCCTCTGTGATATCGACGAGGCCGTCGTCAGGGTCTCGAAGGAGTACCTCCCGCACATGTCGGCCATCTTCAAGGACCCCAAGGTTACCGTCTTTATCGGTGACGGGTTCAAGTTCTTGCCCGAGCACGAGAACGAGTACGACGTCATCATCACCGACTCGTCCGACCCCGTCGGTCCCGCCGCCGCCCTCTTCGAGGCTCCTTACTTTACCCTGTTGAAGAAGGCGCTCAAGGAGGGAGGTCACATGTCCACCCAAGGAGAGTCCTTGTGGTTGCACTTGCCCTTGATCAAGGAGTTGAGGGAGACCACCAAGCGTCTCTTCCCCGTCGCCGAATACGCCTACACCACCATCCCCACCTACCCCTCGGGACAGATCGGATTCGTCTGCTGTTCCCTCGACCCGGAGCGAAGCGTCTCTACCCCCCTGCGAGAGGTTCCCGGGTGCAAGTACTACAATTCGAACGTCCACCGAGCGGCTTTCGTTCTCCCCGAATTTGGAAGGGCCATGGTCGAGGACGGTAACCTCATCCAGGAAGACTTTGCCGGTGTCCGACCGGGTATGGAGAAGGAGTCCAACAGCTCGAACAAGGACAAGCGGGTGCTCGTCCTCGGTTCCGGGTTCGTTGCCGCCCCGGCCGTCGAGTACATCGTCAAGAAGGGCTACCAGCTCACCGTCGGGTGCCGAACCATCGAGTTGGCCGAAAAGATGGTCACCGCCTTCCCCGGTGCCAACACCGTCCAGGTCGACGCCACCTCGCCTGAATCTTTGGACAAGGCTTTGAAGGAGTGTGACTTGGTCGTCAGCTTGATCCCTTACATCCACCACGCTGCCGTCATCGAGTCGGCCATCAGGAACAAGAAGCACGTCGTCACTACCAGCTACGTCTCGCCGGCCATGAAGGCGCTCGAGGACAAGTGCAAGGAGGCCGGGATCGTGGTCATGAACGAGATCGGTTTGGACCCTGGTATCGACCACGTCGGAGCCGTCAAGATCAGTGAGTATATATCCATGTCGATGACAGGGGTCTTGGAATAAGAAATGGATGGTACGCTGACTGTGCCTACTTCTGTTCCCAACCCTTAGTCGACGACGTTCATAAGAAGGGAGGCAAGGTCCTCAGCTTCATCTCCATGTGTGGTGGACTTCCCTCGACTCCCGCTGCCAACAACCCGCTCGGATACAAGTTCAGCTGGTCCGCCCGAGGCGTCCTCCTCGCTCTGCGAAACACCGGAGTCTTCTACCGTGACGGCAAGGTCGTTACCGTTCAGGGCAAGGACCTCATGTCCGAGGCCAAGCCTTACCCGGTCTCCAACCCGGCTTACAACTTCATCTGTTACCCCAACCGAGACTCTACGCCGTTCAGGGAGTTTTACAACATTCCCGAGGCGCAGACGATTCAGAGGGGGACTTTGAGGTATGCAGGATTCGATGACATGATCAAGGCGTTTGTCGAGTTGGGCTACTTGGAGGATGACGCCAAGGATTGGTTGAAGGAGGGAAGCGAGATTACGTGGGCCCAGATCACCGCCAAGGCCATCGGATCCGAGGCCAACGAGTCGTGAGTTGCAGAGAATGAGCTGGCCATCAGTGTTACACAAGGAGATGGCAGCTAATTACTTATCAACGCCGACCTCGCAGTGCCATCATCGAGAAGCTCCGAACCTTGTCCTCGTTCGCCGAGCCCAAGACCAACATCCTTCTGTCTAAGTTCAAGAAGCTCGGACTCTTCTCGGACGAGGCCGCCGAGGCCCGAGGCAACTTGCTCGACACTCTCTGCGCCCGTCTCGAGAACCTCATGCAGTACGAATCCAACGAGGTCGACCTCGTTTACCTGCAGCACACCTTTGTTGTCGAGCGTGCCGACGGCAAGGTCGAGACGATCACTTCCGTCTTGGATGAGCAGGGCTCGCCCAACGGGTACTCAGCCATGGCCAGGCTCGTCGGTGTGCCGTGTGGTATCGCTGTCGATCTCGTCCTCCGCGGGGTCATCAAGACCCCCGGTGTCTTGGCGCCTTATGACATCGAGGTGAGCAGCTGCAGATCCGTCTAGGCACATGACAAAAGCTGACATTCTCCTTTCCGTGTCTCGACAGCTTTGCAACGAGCTCGAGAAGGAGTTTGAAAAGGTCAACATCAAGATGGTCGAAGAGGTCCTCTAGAGCGGTTCGAGGTGTTCTGTGTTTCTGCAAACATGTAAAGGATCGACGACGGGGATGCTTTCGCTTCCATGATTGATCTGCTAATGGGATGAATTGCATCGGCGTTTCGGCCTGTCATTCGATGGCGTAGACTGGATCGGTCAGTGATGGCGTGAAAATAATCTTGCCGCAAACAAAACACACTGGAAATTCCAGGAACGTCGCTCCGTACACGAGCCAAGTCTGCGAAGTAAGGTCGAGCCAATAGATTTCAGGCGGATATCAGAACAGGTATTTCCCAGGAAGAGGATCTGTTGGTCTGCGTGCAAAGGGTTGGGCGGAACGGCTGTGGGATCCCGCCGACGATGAAATTGGCCATGGCCTCAGCTCACTCACGGTTGAACTTTTTGAAAGTATTTAAACCCAGCAATCTCGAGGTTCAATCCTCAATTTCTCAACACTAGGTCAGAGTGTGGAGTATGTCAAAGACAGACTTTCTTTGCGTACTCAACCAATGGGATCAAGCCTTCCCCGTCGACTTCATCACAGTTGACAATCTAAGGAAGAGTGCTCAGAATCGGGTGATGAAGCAAGGGCTAGAAAGGAGAGCGGGTAGATCAAAGGGGAAGGGGAAAGAGAAGTACAAGGAACCCCAGCTGTCTTTGGTCATGTCGGATAGACCATTGCGACTTTGGCAAAGGGACGGCTCGAACAAGACACTTCACAGCCCATGCAGACCAATCTCGGACGTTTCCTTGCTGTCACAAGCGCTCTTACATTGTCGATCCCTACCACTCCCAAGACGTACGAGATCACAGCTCTGAAATTCAGAGATCTCAAAGCGCAGCCAACACCCTAGGAGAGCGCTTTGGCAAGTTTAGCCAGAGTTGTCGCTTTCTCATCATCTTCAGGCGCCCGAGTCCTCGTGAGCGAGCAACAACATTCCACAGAAGACGACTCGCACCAATCAATTACAGGGATGAGAAGCATGAGAAGGGATCAAGAAAGTTCACATATCGCGAGGGTGACGTTTGTGGATCATACATTTGCTTCCGATCATCGGAACCTTTTCTTAGTTCGGGCGAACGCGCATATTCAAAAGTGAAGAAGTACTCGACTTTTGACACAAATCGTTGTGACATCTCTTTCGTTTGTTGACGAGCCTCCAAAAACTTTGACGTCAGCCCATACAGATCGCCAGACGCCAGAAAAGATATCAACATGGATGAGATCGTAGTACCTTTCCCTGCAGAGTGAGCCTCGGCAGCCTTCGGTCCCAAGTTCCGATGCTCATTCCGCATTCATCCCGACCGTCAACAGCTTCCATGTCCATCTTCGCCAAGGAGCCATGTCGGAATTGGTCACTCCTCACGTAGCTCTAGGAGGAATTCGAACCGCTTATATCATGGTGAGATCATTCACTAGCTCAGAAGGTTCGCTCGGCTGGAGCTGATCTGCCTTGACACTCACTCTTCTAGCCCAACCTGATTCCCCCCATCACCACGACCGAGCGAGCTATGGAGTATAAGGCCGAGCTGGAAAAGATCGATCCCAAGGTGGAATACCTGATGACACTGTACTTGCACGAGAATATGTTGGAGGAAATCGACGTTGAGGGGCAGGAAGGCAAGGTCTTGAGGGGGGTGCATGAGATCAGGAAGGCTAGCAAGGCCGGTGTGAAAGGTGTGTCCCTGATTATATCTGGGCGAAATGTGGAAATCGCTTACGTTTGGTAGTCGCTGTTAGGAATCAAGTCGTACCCTCGAGGAGTCACCACCCATTCGTCGAGCGGGATCGAGTCGTACGAGCCTTACTACCCCGTCTTCAAGGCATTGGAGGAGGAAGGCATGGTTCTCAACTTGCACGGAGAAGTGCCTAGCGATGACAAGCTAGTCAGTTCAGGTCCCTCTCTGTCTCTTATGGTATAGTCCAAGGACTCGTCACTGATTTACACGGGTTGGACGACTTGTAGAACATCTCGGTATTGAACGCCGAAAAGCACTTTTTGTCGCATCTACGAAAACTCGCTGGAGATTTCCCCAAGCTCAAGATTGTGCTCGAGCATGCCACCACCAAGGAGGCCGTCGACTGCGTAAGTCTCCATGCACTATCGATGAGAGTTGACTGGAAGCCGACCAGTCTTGATGCATCTTTCAGGTCAAATCCCTGCCGAACAACGTCGGATGCACGATCACCGCCCACCACTTGCTCTTGACTATCGACTCGGTTCCATCACAGCCTTTCCACTTTTGCAAGCCCATCGCTAAAGAACCCGTCGACCGAGCTGCCTTGCAAGAAGTCGTCGCGTCGGGTCACCCTCGATTCTTCCTCGGATCCGATTCCGCCCCGCACTCGATCGTCAACAAGATCCCGAAGATGCCGTCGAGTTACCTGACTCAGGAGACCGGAGCGATCGAGGGTAACGGACCTCAACCTTGTGCCGCTGGAGTGTATACCAGCCCGATCTTGCTCCCGCTCGTCGCGCACATCTTCGACAAGCTCGGCGCGCTGGACAAGCTGCCCGGATTTGCTTCGCATAATGGACGAGCGTTCTACGGTATGCAAAGGGAGGGAGCCGAGGGGAACGTCACGTTGAAGAGAGTAGAAGGTGGGGGCAGGGTACCAGCCTTTTACAAGGGTAGTGAGCGAGGGATCGACGCCGTACCGTTCATGGCCGGTGAAGCTCTGGGTTGGGAGATTGCTTGATTGTAGTAGAGATTGCAGGTACAACGCAATCATCTGCCAGCGTATGGAAAGTGGTTTCGAAACAGGTTGTTTCGTGCACTCCTTGGCGAAAGACCTTCCGGTGTGACAACCATGACAAGTCCCGCTCCCTGTCTCGGCCGAGAGGGACCGACGGTGATTCGTCATCCTCGTCAAAGCCCGGTTAATCAAGGTCGAAGGGAGCATCTAGCTGACGGACTCTTCGACTCGAGTACATAAACATCGGACACGGACGTCTACTTTGACAGTGCGCACTCTGATCGACCACAAAGCTGCTGAGATCATTAGTCCCAGCTCACGATGTCCGACGCTGCCTCTTTGAAAGACGTGGAATGGCTCTTTTTCGACGTGTTCGGGACCGTCGCGGATTGTGAGCTCGCCTGTTCCTGCTCGACATCAGTGTCAATAGCTGACCTTGCCATTTCGTGCATAGGGAAGAGTCACATCTCTGCAAGTCTATGTAGGATCTCGAAAACGGTCGAACCTGAAGCCTACGAGGCCCATCTGAAGCCGGACGATGCGTTCTGGCAGGGTCGCGCTCAGGAATGGAGGACCCGGTTCATGAAGCACATTAGGACCAAGTTGGGGAACAGGGAACCAGGCGGTATGGATGTGAGTACATAGCGGATAAAACTATAAGTAGCAAAAGGACCTGATTCTTCGTAGGAGGTCCACGGACTTCTGTTGGATGAGCTCGTCAAAGAGTGGGGTGTCGAGGACAAGTGGACGAAAGAGGCTCGGCTCGAAGCCGTCAGGGAATGGCACGCTCTGCCAGGTAGGAGCGATATCCCGTAGCAGATTCAGAAAGAGAAGCTAAGGCGCTAAACATATACCTGTCCAGGCTGGGCGGACTCGACGGACGGCTTGAAGCGGTTGAACAAAAAGTTCATCCTGTAAGCTGATGGCCTTTGCGGATCGTCATGAGCTTCTTGCTTACGTATTCATATTCTATATCTGCAGGTCAACTTTGACGAACGGTGATACTGCCGTCATGATCAAGATGTGTCGACGATCCCAGTTGACGGTCGACAACCATATCACGTCAGTCGTCCCAGGTCTCGTTGAAATGGGTCAGCTGACGAATCGAGATGTTGGGCTGTAGCGGAGACACCATCGGGACTTACAAGCCCGACAAGGCTATGTACCTGCAAGCCATTCGATTGTCTCGACTGGACGCTAGTAAGGTGGCCATGGTAGCGGCGCACGCCTACGATCTCGACGCAGCCAAGTCTCAGTGAGTACAGTCCGAACTGATGGAATGTAATCTATCCGCTAATACCTCTCCTCGACAGCGGTATGCGTACAATCTATATCAAGAGACCCACCGAGGATGCCTCCGATCCGATCACGGAAGAGAGCGCCAAGGGAAGATTCGACATGTTTATCGATATCGGCGGACAAGAGAAGGGGGGTTTGGTAGCGCTTGCTGAAAAGTTTGGATTGTAAGCGAGAAAGCAAATGACAAGAGAGACTGCATTCCGATGTGGTTATAGAGATCAGGCGGGTAGCAAATCATCGTCAGCCAGGGAATCATGGCCGAGACTTTGTGCGACTACCCGTAACTTGATGTCGTAAGAAGATTCGTGAATCGTAGGTGACATTGTAGGTGACATTCAACAGCTCGCCGGCCGGATTTCGCTAAAGTATACAAGGGTTCATTGCGTCCCAGTGCGGTGTGACCTTCATAGCATTTAAATTCCACGGCTTGCCAGCCGGGTTTGCTAAAATTTACAGTGTCACAGCGCGGAGTGCTTCCAATATATCATCGACACGGATCAACACGCGCATCGCTTCATGTGCGACCCGCCGGTTTCGTCAAAATAGCGTCGTATGTCCCGAACAACGTGACACGACTAGACTCGGATTGAAGATTTCGAAATACGTAAATCTTTTTCAGAGGACCGCGGGCGGCGGGGTTAATGTTAAGTCACGTACGTTTCGTATGATAGGCCGCCCTCTTCTCGCTTCTAGATTCTCCCCACGCTTCTCTCTCCACCACTTGTCGTTCACTTTCTTCCGGGCAATCCTCTCTTGGTGCTGAACCTCTATTTCGGTTGCTAGCCTGGCCTGACGCATACCTTCGCCTTGGACCTTCTTCGCTTGAACCTGTTCGGCATTGTTCAGTCCCGCTTTCTTGCATTTCCCTTATCACCACAAACCTTTTCGGGATTGTTCAGCGCCCGCTTGCTTGCAGCTTCCATCTCACGACCCGGGTTTTGGGCACGTAGACCATATGCTAATCACTGGTCACGATCTCATCACAACCATTCGTACTCCCTGTCGGTACTCGACTTTCAGGACTTATCGCCACCGTACACCAGGCGCATGCGATGTGCTGCCCAATAAGCGACCGTATCTTTCAAGGCATAGGATCGCTAGACAAAGTTATCACAGTCGGCCACCACGTCTTCGGAGAGCTCGACCTTGGATTTCCAAAACCAATCATTGTGCTTCCTGAAGTGTTCATCCGGGTTCCTCTTCTCCTTCGTCGCCCAGATATTCTGCGAAATCGCCGCATCAGGGGTAGTAGATCGTAAGTGATCTTGTTGGGCTTGTGACTGAGCTTGAAAGCAACCGGAGTCCAAGTGAGTTTCATCCGGACTGCGACACAATGATTATAATCATGTGCAGCGTCAAATAGAGTGGTCATTCAATGGAACAAATATCCCAAGACCAGCATGGAACATTGCAGCTTCATCTCCCCAGAGTAAGACAAGGTAGTCATAGTTAGAACACAGTACTAGATTGGTAACTCTCTGTGTTACTTACAATCAATCCATGCGAAAAAAAGGATCCAAAAGACATTGACGATGGCGAAAACACCCAAGCACCGGATATGATAAAAACCGGAATGGTTTCGGGTTATGAGTCGCTTCAGGTCGCATGCCCATCCTCACTAGAACTGACCGATTGAGTCATTCAGTGGTAATCCCTTCAAGGAGTGTCGCCAACCAAGCATCAGTCGCATCCCTGATGGCCCTCATGTCCTTGCCAGAGAAAGGTCCAGGCATAGCGGAGTGACTCACGCGATTGTAAGCAGATCTTTTCGCTCTGCACTGCGGTTAGGTGATAAGATATGTTGGACTGATCTTGTTGATGTCTTCAAGCAGACAAAAGTGAGTATTGGTACCCATCCATGGGGCCCAATGTCAGTTTCCGGCCACTAACCATTCTGTCAAAACGGCTTCCGCAAACAGACAACTGACGCGTATATGCGTTTCATGATCCGATCTTCGCGAAGCGCTCGCTCAAACACGTTTCAGTCTTGCAGTCAAATGACTGATCATCTGTATCACGTTCGACAAAATGAGCATCACTTGGCGATCTCAAAAGTCTCGAAACTCCAAGCGAAACGAGACGGTCCTTGCGGACTGGGTTTCTGCAGGGGACATGCTCCCTGACTACATCGGCCTTCCGTTTTTTGAGCCAGTCAGCATCGAGGAGTGGGAAGAAGGCGCCATGGATTTCGACATCGAGGCCAAGGAAGAGGTTGAATCGCAGCTCCAGTGACGGCCAGCTTGAGCGCTCGACCGCGCGGGATAGTTTGCGACTTTCCTTCGATACTACGCATTACCTTGATTTGATCTACTTCGATACTCGGAATACTTTGATCTGCTTTACTTTACTATAGAATATTACGGACTGGTTCTACGATACTACGGAACATAAACCTGTCGGAGATACCATATGTATGCAACTACGTGCAGATAAAAACATATAGGTAAAGACATGTTTGAGGTCAGGTCCATAGGATATGATGTGATGTCACATCGAAGTACATGCGATGTCACATCGTATCGTGCTCAGAAATCGTATATAACCGGATGAGAGAATCGTTTCCAGAGAAAGTAGAGAACCGGTACAAATACAAAATGGCGTTGTTGCCAGAAATATATGCGTCCTTAGACAATCACTATCGTGCGAGACATGCCGAATCACATGAACATCCCGCCCCCACCGAATCCTCCGCCACCGCCACCACGTCCTCCAAATCCACCTCCCATACCTCCTCCAAACCCGCCTCCCATGCCTCCACCAAATCCACCACCTCCGAACCCAGGGCCTCCTCGAGGTCCACCTAATCCGCCCCTTCCTCCAGGTTGTCGCAGGTCGGGCCCGTCTTCACCTGGGGGCGATAACTCGTCGAAATCCGGTTCACCAGGCGTCCTTCCTCCACGTACGCCTCCATAATCCCCCCCTAGTCCTCCCATCACTCCGCCTCCCCTCGGACCACCTGGGAAACCAGGTCCGACGGGATCCCACCTCGCACCAGGGGGGTTGATCATCCCTCCCGGTCCTTGTTCCCGACCATCGTCCCTCCTGCCTCTGAACATTGGATGGTCGAAATCGACTAGCATCCCACCGCCATCCCCGCCTAGTCCGGATCCCGGACCAAAGGGGCCTAACCTACCGCCCATCCCTGGGGGCTGGAATGCGGCGAGAGGGTCTAGGTCTCTATGTCCGACTGAGGGGTTGTATGGGTCATCACGCATGCGGTCGCGATTGCCATAGCCTGGGTCGGGGCGAGGGTTGTTATAGGGGTTCGGATTGGCGCGAGGTGTGGAAGTGGGATTGGTCTGTCCACCATTGTCGTCACTAGGACAAGCCGATTCGATCAGCTCTTCCTCTTCGACGCGATATACTGTATCGATCAAACGAGGGCTTACGGCTCGGTATATCCTGCGATTCTCAGCCCCGGAATGAGCTTGGCGATGACCTCCTTTTTGTACTTGTCGACGAATTCCTTTAGCCTGTATTACCCGTGACGTGGCCCGTCAGCATCCCATCTACCAACCTAGACTTGCGCGATGAAGAAACAGGTCTCAGGTAGACTTACTTGTTGTCGGAGACGAACCCGGACTGGACACCTTGATTGGTCGGGCTCGACGGGTCATCGGATCTCGGCCAGGGTAGGAAGTCCGGGACAATAAGTTCGCTCAAGATCGTCGAGATCTGACGAGGTTCTCCGTCCTGATGATTCGTTCAGAAGGAAGAAGGCCTAGCGTTAGCCACGACGAAACGAGGAGAACGAAAGCCTGAAGAATCCAGACACTCACCTCGGCCATCCCGCTGACATTGACCCTGCCTCCCATCCTCCCGACCCTTACGAGGAAATTCAACCCGCTCTGCTCGTGCTTGTACGTAAACGTGTACGAGTCTTCACCCCGATCGTTCCATCCACTCGGAAGACGTGCTTCTGTAGCGAGTCGGACGAACCTAGTGTCCAGAGACGATGACGATGATTGGCCTTGAAGCGCTTGGTCATCGTTGACGGCCGTCTCGGTCTCGCTGATCGTATCCTCCGTATCCTCTCCAAGCTGCTGTTGACCCTCATCTTCATCCTGCTCTTCGGTATCTGCAGACTGGTTCCTCGATCCAGAAGGAGTGGCCGGACGAACGAGCCTGAATTCGAGCGATGTGTGGATGGCATGTACGAGCACGGCGGCGAGGTCGGTTGGGGCCGTCAAGGTTGACCCAGGCTGACCCCTCTCGGGCAAGAGGTAAGGGACGAGTTGTTGCAATGTGGATGTCGAGGTAGGGTCTGACATGATTGTATACCCTTGTGAGAAGATTCGAAGGGTTATATAAGAGGTAGAGTGAAGAGAATGAACTCACCATATATCAAAGGTAAGGTAGTCGAGGTAGTTGCTCGCCTGCTTCGCGTCGTCGCTCATGTCCGAAAAGTGAGAACGATGATGACGAATGACGACATCATCACAGTCTTGAATGCTTTGATCGTCATCTAGGAGGGCAGTGGAGGACCATGCATATAAACAATCTAGGACAATACCCATATGCATGACAGACATCGTAATAAGGTATGACCACATCTAATCGTGACCGTCATCCCCTAAAGCAGGATCGTTTTATTACTCGACCTTGCGCACTTTGGCCGGCGCGCCCGACTGGCCCTCTTCCTCTCCCTCCTTCTTTGCATCTGCCGTCAAACCCTCTTTGCCCTCGTCAACCTGTACTTCCTTCCGCTCGACCTTGATCCCATGTCCCTCATCGGGCCCGTCCGGTGTCCCGGTCTTGCGCTGATTCTCAGCCTCAATCCCCTCACCGTCGGCGCGAACGACCGCCTCACCCGCCTCACCCGGCGTCCCTCCCAACCTCGCCCGTTCTTCCTTTCCCGGATCAATCACCTCTACGCCAGTACTCACGAACCGATCGTTCAGACTCTGCGTCGAGACCGTTCGCGGCAACTTGCTGATCCTTCTCGGTCTGATTATTTTGGTTCTGTCGACCGGACCGACCCTCAAGCTGGAGCCCCGGCTGACGGTCGACGAGGCCGAGGAAGCCGTATCCGATTCCATATCGCTGCTCCCGCTCTCGCCCTCCTCGTCCTCTTCGTGACCATCCCTATATCCTCCCGCACCGAGTCCTCCTCCCGATGGGTCCAGAGCGCTCAGATCCGTCGTGCTCGAGATCGCCCTCGGCCTCTCGCTCAGCCCGTGCTGGACCACCCCGCCTCCGGCTCCACCACTACCCGTCTCGCCATCCGCACGTAATCGGTGAGGGTCCTCGGCAGGTCCTGGTCCCGTACTCGGTCCGCCCATACCTGTCCCGGCTAAGTTCGTATCGGTGGGTAAGGGCGGGGTGATGAGCGGACCGGCATCCAGTTCGTCTACCCTTCCGAGGAACGGTTCTGGGGTAGGAGCGACGGGGGGTCCTCCGAGCGGTGTCGATGAAGACAGGTCCATGTCCATCGGAGCGCTCGTAACCGCACTCGTCCCCGAATTAGACGCCGCTGCTGAAGACGAAGCGTCCCCGCTAGAACCCGACCTGGGCATGACCGTCTCCTCCCCGGCATCCTCATTCAAGAACGGTATCAGCCCGAACAAAGGCCTCTCCAAGGCCAATGCCGGTGGAACTCCAGGGACGCCCGAGCCGGGCGCTACCGTATCTCCTCCTGTCGTCGTTCCGATAGAGGCATTAGGATCAAAGGTGGTGGTGACGAGGAGAACGCGTTCGAGTGCCCGGACGTATTTGCCGGGAAGACGGTGTTGTTTCGTAGGGAAAGCTGCGAGTTCGCATAATCTCTGAACGGTGAACGGTGGGTCACTGGTGGGTCGAATTCGGAATTTTAATCTTCGTTAGCACGGTGAACGGCCACAGATGGCGACCATCTACCTTGACGAGGACAAATTACTCACTCTTGAAACTCGTCCAACAACCTCCAAATCCCTTCTACCATCCCTTCCGCCTCCCTAGGCCTTAGCTTTCCTGGCAAGACTTTGCCTCCGATAGCGGCTTCTTCATCGTACAACGGATCCCCCATCACACCCGAACCTGCACCTGCGTTGACGATGGGTTGTGTCTGCTGGTACGCGCTCGAGGAACCCGCTTGAGATTGAGACGATTGAGCCTGGATCGACTGGTGCGTGTACCCTTGTACGCCCTGCCCCTGTCCGACCCCCGTATACCCTTGTCCAGCTCCAGCACCTGGACTTGAAGACGACCCCGAAGCCACCGGTCCTCTCGCACGATCTCGATTCCGGACCAACGGTGGGAAAGGAGGGATGATCAACCCTCCCTGCGTGCTCGGCGTCAAGTCCATCACCACCGACGAGGACGTTCCGTACTGATCCTGTTCCGGTTCGGCGGCAAAGGAATCCGCGGAACCTTCTCCCCGGTTGAGAGGATGTTGCTTCGAAGTCGATGTCGCGTTTGTTGAAGAGGAAGAGTTGGAGGTGAGGGCGCTGGCGTTGTGAGGGGAGAGGAGGAGGTCGGCTAGGTTCTTGACGATCTTGATCTTGAGCATGTGGGTTAGGGCTATCCAGTCGGAGCTATTTTCGTGGACCAGAGTCGAATTTGTAAATGAGGGGATCATAGGTTAGCTTGAAAGCTGTGCGACAAGGAGGAGTTCAATGGGTCACACGACTCGAGGAATGGGACTTGCTCTGCCGTGAACCCTCTACGTGCGACGTCTTCCAGCTCCCGCTGATAGTCTATCAAGCGCCAAGCACAGCATCAACGTCAACCTTCCGAACCAAATGATAGGGCAAAGAGGGCGACTCACCTGGATTCCAACCCTGAATGTCCCAAAATCCACCCAAACTCGACCCGGACCTCGCGCCTACATTCTCGTCCTCGTCGTCGCTCTTGAGGATGGGTTCACGCTGCGTGTCCGAGACTTGCGAGTCCATCATCTCGACATCGTCCGCCGTTGCACTCGTGGCGGTATCTTGTGAGGCCATGATGGGTTGTCGGTGTTGTCGATTTCCTGTCGAGCTTGTCGAATAACTGCAGAACAGTACTTGTGTGTGTGGAATATGGTTGAATGATGATCAACGACCTCCGAGCGAGCGAGCTAATTATTGACGATGTCACGATCTAATCTGACACGTCATTCTATTGACTACTGCTTATCAAAACAACGTAATCCTGCCATAACGATCTATCGTCAGCCCTCGGCCGATCGGAGATGCCGAAGGTTGGTGTGTCGCTCACAAAGTTGCAGCGAAGTTGCGGGTCACACATCAAACTCTAGCAATCTATTACTACTTTTACTCACACACTACTACAATTACTACTACAAACAATCATGACTTCAACATCCACAATGACAAGAGCTGCAGGCCAGCTAGCTACCGTCCCCAGAATGCGCCTCGCCGCCTCGTCCGGGAGGATCTGCCTCGATGGTGAGCTGTGCTCCGGGTCTCGCCCCTATACTCTCAACGCTGATTCCACTTGTCTGATCTGAATCTTTCCAGCCCGGCTCTTGAAATATCAACAACAGCTTCAACAACCAGTCTCCCGATCGTTCGTCTCTTCCACCTCGTCGATTCCCGCCCGCATCCCTCGGTCGACATGGTCGAGAAAGCGACCGACGGTGGTCTCGTCCATCTACGCTCGTCGACAGCAAGAGAAGCGGGCTAGCGAGATCATCGAGATGGCAGCTAGACGATGGGCTTCCACATCGTCTTCTTCTCCTTCACCCCAATCGACGGACAACTCGTCCTCAGTTACGGCAGATTCGGTCAAGGCGTCATTAGCGTCCTCGAAGGATGTCTCCACCTCGACCTCGTCGTCTTCTCCACCTTCGACCGAGACCAAGGCCATCGACACCCGACCGATGCACAAACGAGCCTGGGCTACCATCAAAAAAGAAGCCGCCCACTATTGGGCAGGAACCAAGCTCCTCGGCTCCGAGATCAAGATTTCCAGCAAGATCACCTCCAAGCTGCTCAAAGGTGGAAGCTTGACCCGTCGAGAGCGACGACAACTCCGACGAACGACCAACGATCTGTTGAGGTTGATCCCGTTCTCGGTCTTCTTGATCGTACCGTTCATGGAACTGCTGTTGCCCGTCGCTTTGAAGTTGTTCCCCAACATGTTGCCTAGCACGTTCGAGGGCAAGCTTGCTGCCGTGAGCATACATCCGCCTGCTTTCGATCTAGCGACTCCGATAGCTGACCCGCGCATATTGTGTGTATGTTGATGCAGGACGAGAAACAACGTAAAGTCCTCAGAGTCAGGATCGAGATGGCCAAGTTCTTGCAAGAGACCATCAGCGAGAGCGGGTTGCGAGCCGAAAAGGTCGTCAACAGTGACGAGTTTAAAGAGTTTTTCCGCAAGGTTCGTACTCTGTGTCTTTCCTGTTCTTCTGTCAAATTGGCTCGAGAGAGGCTAATGAGATATCGTGCACTTCTCCTACACCCCCTGGCCGCAGGTCCGATCGACCGGAGAGAAGGCCTCTTCGGAAGATGTCATCCGCGTGGCCAAGCTCTTCCAGGACGACATCACCCTGGACAACTTGTCCCGTCCTCAGCTCGTCAGCATGTGCAGATACATGAACATCAACGCCTTTGGAACGGACAACTTCTTGAAACATCAGATTCGGGCTAGATTGGAGAAGATCCGGGTAGACGACATGGTCAGTCGCCACGGTACCTTGTGTCTTGGATACAGTCAAAGAGCCTCCGAGCTGATGGAGAGACGCTCTCACTGTGTGGTAGATGATTCACGCCGAGGGTATCGACTCGCTCTCGACCAAGGAACTGCAACAAGCCTGTCAATCCCGTGGAATTAGGACGATCGGGATCTCACCCTCGAGGCTGCGAGAAGAATTGGGACAGTGGATCGAATTCCATTATACGAGCAGGATCTCTGGGGTCTTGCTCATCTTGAGCAGAGCGTTCCATTATGATCAGCAGGAAGAGGGTGTCTATAGGAGTTTGGAGGCGACTTTGAGCAGTCTGCCCGACAACCTGGTGCGTCCCTTGCCGCACCGTCGTGATCGTCAACGATGAACACTGACTCCGATTCTTGGGCACTACAGTTGAACGAAGCCGAACTCGACGTCTCGGGAGAAAAGGCGTCGTACAAGGAAAAGCTCGAAGTCTTGCAGCAACAGCAAGAGCTCATCGAGGACGAGGCCGAGCAGGAGCAGGAAGAGACCGAGGCGAGGGAACAGGCCAAGAGGGAGAAGAAGGAAAAGGAAGAGAGGGAGAGGTTGAGCAGGTTGGAAGAGGAGGCCAGGTTGGCCAAGGACATGTTGCCTGGGGATGAGGTGAGTCACGAAGTGCAGCGTTCAGCGGCGGGGTGAAGACTTGCGACTGACGTGGACGCCGCTTGGTTGTTTACAGTTGACGGAACCTGCTGCCGCTGCCGCTGCCGAAAAGGACGGCAGGATGACCAAGGAACAGCTCGGCGAGTTGGCCGAGGCCTTGTCCATCTTGTCGGCCAAGTCCTCGATCGTCAAGGAGAGGGACGAGCTCAAGCAGTTGATGTCGGATAACATCGCTTCGGAGGAGGTGAGCGCACGAAGAACGGTCCAGAGGTTTGTGGAAGCCGTCGCTAACGATTGGGTCCTCAATTTCAACTTCGCTAGGAATCCAAGCTCAAGCCGGTCGACAAGGAGACCCCCGAGGTCTCGCTCAACAAGCGTATCCGAAAGATGATCAAGACGATCGACAACCAGCTCGAGACGTACGATGAAAAGGTTGGATCGTCATTGAACACGATCCAGTGTAACCCTCAAGGACAGATCTCGTTGGACGACTTGAAGAGCGCCATGCAGGTCATCAAGCACAAGCCGGATGACGAGACGATCGAGGCCGTCTGTCAAAAGTTGGACGTGGATCAGGACGGTTTCGTTGTGAGCAGCGGCGTAGTGTTAGCGGTATAGGAACTCAGCTGATCTATCTCGGTTGATATTGCCTTTACCTGCCACAACAGGTTCTCGACCACGTCGTCGAACTGACACAGGATATGGGCCTCGGAATCATCGTCGACGATCAGGCCAAAAAGATCCTCGACAAGGGTGCCGAGATCAAGGATACCAAGCCCAAGAAGGAGGACATCATCTCCGACTAGGCGCGGTCGTCCCGGACATTTACGTACATACAATCATATCCACCATACACACAGCTCATAGAATCTGCGTCACCAAACGAAGCAAAAATACCTTGTCATGACGTTCCCTGGATGAGAGTAGAAAAGGGAAGCGCATGTCTTGTAGACCTGTATCCATGCACCACAACACAGAATGCGACAACTTGATGATCGCCGCAGTCGCTTTACATGCGCGTCGCCTGCGGTCCGGGGGTAACTGGGCGTGTCGAACGTCGATCAACCTGATTGATCATGGCTATGCTCGCCTTTTGCCCTTTTCGTACCTGCTTGCACACCTGCCTAACAACCCCCGACCAAGTACATCTATTCTGGACCATGGGCAACTGTTTTTCCGATCCGTCTGCACCAAAGCAAGCCAAGAAGGGTAGCGGCGGTAACAAGGGGCACGTCCTCGGGTCCGCCCCTACACAAACCGCAACAACGCCGGCAGTCGCCGTTCCAGCTGGTACAGCCTCGGCACCCCTCTCACCGCCGATACAATCGCCAGGGAGGATACTAGGAGATGGATTCGAGGATGCGAACCGTGGGAACGATGCGCGGACGATGGCAGCGGCTGCAGCCGAGGAGAGGATGAAGAGCGTGAGTCATGGGTCCTCTTTTGGCCAGCCTATAGTGCCGCGATAGCTGATGCCGTTGCACCGGACTTCAGGCTAACAAGCGAGGAGTACAGAATGGCGGAGGAAAGTTGACTGCCAAGCTCGAAGCGGAGAGGCGGAAACCGTTATACTCGAATGATAGCCAGGATCAGCCGATGGTCAGTACTCGGCCTGCGTGTGACAGTGCCAAGCCCAAGCTCATCTGTGCTTTGGGCTCGCAGGATATGAGAAATTACAACTAGTCATGATTACGACTTCAAGGATTGGCAATACCAGGGACGTAAACAAGGCAATACCCAGGGAAATCTCGTTGTACTTTATTATACCATGCTCTAACCGTTGTACGATCGTGATCTATCCGTCTCGGTGAAGCTTACCAGTCCCCACCTTCGTCATTCATCATGTCCAGATCGCTTCTGACAACGGCTGTCCTCGCTCGTTCAGCCTCGACCTCTTCCTCGGACAGCTCGATCTTGGTCTTCTTGTCCCATTCGGGAATCCCGATCGACACCGTCTTGCATTCGAGGTTGCGAGAGGCAATGTTGATGAGGGTAACAAGTCCGGTCTCGGCGAAGCGGGGTAGCAGGACGATTCGTGTAGGTGCGTCCGATTCTGTCGAGGGGTAGTTTCGGGAATGAGCACCGTGGTAGATCCCCGCAATCAGTCGACGACTGCGCGACTCACCACCAACCAATGCCGTTCGGAACTCTGGCTGATTGCCCCAGAAATACACGTTCGGTCGTCGCTCAATGATGAAAGGATCCTTATCCGAGAAGGGGAAGCACCCTAAGTGGGACCTCGATGGATTCAGCTATGATGCCCCTTATAACGTGAACGAACCCCTGTACTCACACAACGTATCTGGTGCGGTCGGAGCGATGTGTCTCCATTCAAGCGTTCTTCGGGCCATCGACAGGCGATCATCCGAAGGCAGGTACTTGTAGATGTCGTCCAATGCTTGTCCTCCAGCTCCCAAGAAACTGTATGCTCCGGGTTGTAGTATCGTAAGCGGTTATCATCAACTGTATTATACGCGATCCGACGCACCTCTTGCCGCCCAACTCCAACCAACATGGATTCGTCTCCATCGTCAACGCCTTGCCACCTCCCATAGCAGCATTCCTCAACATTGACCGCGGGAATGGTTGTTGTGGTAACGTCGAGCCGACTGGATCTTCAGGGCCAGGAACAATGTGTACCGGTAGGCCGGCAGTGAGAAGGTCTGTAAGCAGGGCGTCCAGGGTGCTGGTAGGGTGTGCTGTGTAGGTAGAAGAGTCGTATCCGTATCGTTTCTACGATGTGATCGTGAGGGCGAGGAGGATCAGATTCTGTGGACTGCCAGGTCCAAGCCCAAACTTACGGGCTTCCTGTCATCCTCGTTTCGAACCGGTTGTGATAGACTGTTTCCTGCCAGAATTATCCGGCCCACTTTTGCTCCATCTATCTGATCCTGCCGATTCGATGAACGGTACCTCAGCCGGCAGAGCGAGTCGCTGACAGCGTGCTGCACAGACTCACATCGACGCCCCCAAGCTCTCCTGTTAGCCATTCCGACAACAGCTGCCCCTTGAGATCCTCTGGTACTTCGCTCGATCCCGCCGATAAGCCCGAAATCAACGCCACCCACTGGGGCTCTCCGTCTTTCGTTTCCATATCGACGTTCTGCGTCACACTGTCCGCGTCCATATCCACATCCTCGTCTGGAACGACCTGTTTAGCCTTGCCCTTGCCCTTGTTGACGTTTTGCTTGGTGTCCGTTTGCAACGGCTTGACGGGTTTCAGCGAGCTAGGGGAGGCTAAAGGAGGTAGGCCACCAAAGCAAAGGTCGATGACCTCGAAATCTCCTGAAGCGTTCTCCATGCCGAGACAAGCCGTTACGACGCCTGAGCCGGACCCCGATGAACAACGTTAGTGGTGGGTGGAGAGGGATGCGTTCAATGCGGTACGTACCTGTAACCAATCCTCCGCCTGGTCGCTCGACCTCTTTTCTCAGGCGTTTTCCTACCAGAGTCACCCTGCCAGACTCATCCTCGAGATGCACTACGTCTTCAGGTGAAAAGATCTTTCTGCGGGGTGGAGGTGCAGCAATCCAGTGCTGACGGTGCGAGAGTCACGAAATCAGCTCAAGATCGCTTGAAGCGGTACCATCGTCTGCAGCTTACATCTCTGCCCATATCTTCCAGAATATTCGGCTTGAGAGGCATTTCCATGTAGATCGTTCCAATGATGTAGCATAGCTTTGTTCGTTCGACGTTGAGGATCCGCTTCAGGAGCTTCGGTTTCCCTGCCAAGGTATGAGACTGCTTAGCGAGACCTAGTTAACCCGGCACGAAGCGTCTCACCTGGCGTCTCCGCCCATCTCTCGTTAGCTACCTTTGCGACGAGGGGTCGCAGCTTGAGCAGTCTTGTAAAGTAGATGTTGGCATACTGTGTCTTGTAGTTCCGGGTAGCGATGTCGTTCAGGACGAACGGGTCGTTGAGCGATGCGAGCGGTTTGTAGGGTATGTGGGTGCGGGTCGTCACGCTATTTGGCTCGATATCGTCGAGCAGATGGTCTTCTACAGACATGGTGGGCACAATAAAACGCTAGTGACAGTTTCAGGAAGATCGGGTCGATGCAACGATGACGAGTGATTTCAGGATTTCTTGATTTCTGGGAGGTCAAGAGGTCGAACAAAGCCCAAGGGGCACGGTCGCGCGTCGCGTCATTTGAGCGCGTCGCGCACGAGGGTGGGTTGAAATTGCTATATATTCGTACGCAAAATGGAGCAAACATCGAGTCTTTACTCGTCTATCGGCTAAGATATGCGCCTTTCATTGACAGATTGTTCTTGATCGCGCGAGAGCGGGGTTCGACTCCCCGGTAGAGAAGATTCTTTTTTGCCAAACTGGAGTGTTTTTTTCCGACGACTTTCGTACTTCCTCTTGACACGAGACTCGCAGCCAAGCAGGAAAGGCTGGGCATACCTCTAGCTGATCTACACATGGTATGTCATATCATTTGATCGTATGACCGAAACGAAGTCAAGGAGATGGGAGCGACGCCGGGAGGAAGAATGCGTTTCATGCAGGCACGGCAAGATGCACTTGTGGCACCTGTTCGTCTCAACGTGTAATCCGCTGTACAATAATCATCGGTTTCCCGATGTTCATGCCGGCACATTCTGAAGTCGCATAGGGTCAATCACATCTAAGACAAGCTTTTGTCAATTTGAGATGTCAGGATTTGGTAAGACATACCGCACCCTCTGCCGGACCTCTTAAGCTAGCGATCATGTCGCGCAAAGGCCAAGGAAGTTCTCAACTCAGTATCGGCTGCTAAATCCAAAGCTGTTGTGATTACGGTACAGCAAGTAGTGCTGGATGCGGCGATTGAATGCTTTTCATGAAATGTCTCTGCATGACAATATGACATCGATTAGTACAGCCCGTGAATAACACTACCTTCCACCCACGGGCATCCAAACACATCACCCCAATGCCCAGGCGGTCACAGTCGACTGGGTGAAAATGGTCAACTCCTACAATTTGTGCTGTATGAAACGTAGGAAAGACAAGCTCTTCACTGGGTTCACCAGCCGGCGGCCGACTGGCAAACTGATTCACAATCGCAGTGACACCGTTGACAGGCCTGAATCTGATCGCACACGTCATTGTATATCAAGATCCTTGGGGGCGCTTGATTGGCTGGACTCTTCCGGTCATTCTTGGAGTTGATGTCCATGTCCTTGGAGTCGATCTCCAAGCAGTCGTCCTCTGAGTGGGCCTTGTACATGAGGAGGGTTGTTAGTCCCCCGTGACGTACCAGAATCTTCAAGGATGTCATCATCGAGATGGACAATAGGACCGGGCGCTTCGTGTGACGCAAGCGCAGCGCTTCGATCGTTCATATGGGCGTGGAACTGCTATTGCTATTCGACACCTCCCCTTTTCTCCGTAGACAGTCAACAACAAAATGGAAAGCTTGTTCCGCCGATCTTGCCGGCCACAAGAGTGTTCGCGTGACATGGGATCGTTGCCGTAGCTATCTGCCATAGTCGCATTCATTACTGGGTTCCTTGCTTCGAAACGTTGGTCGCTAGCCAAATTCATACAGTCATTGGATTATAGTTTTCGTCCTCGTAATCAAATAATCCCGGTAGGGAAGTTTTTTTTTTGCTGACTATACACGATTTTCGTCAAGATCAAAACCTATCTTTTCAGAACCATTCTTGCTGATCTGTGCGACCTGATGATGGCGAATACTGCTGCTGCTCTGCATGTATAGGTAGGTACCACCTTGTACTACAGGCTCGACGGCGGACTGGATCACAACTTATGCCTGACCGACGCGTTTCACATCGATCGAGAGGGGCCTCCGCGGTCGCACGCCACGGTCATCGCTTGGTAACGGCATTGCTGCCAACTCACCGTATCTGTGCTGCGGGTACCCATGTCAACGTGGACAATAAGCTGTTGTCGACTGATATCGCAGCATATCTTGAACGGTTGCGCCGTTTGCTAGCCGTCACATCGCGCTCGTTGATCCCTAATCGCAACAGTAAGGGAGGTCAACACGGCAATCGGAGGCGGGTATCAACCTACTGTAAGTTGCACCCAATCTACCCGTCAGCTTAGTCGTCTTCGTGAATGTATTTCGTAGCACAGAGCATATTCCGTTCATCTTGCCTGTCATAAAGGTGTTCGTACGACAATCTGGGACCAGCGCGCAACAACACTCGATCGTGCTTGTAGCTGTCAACGTCGGCCCTTGTATTCGACCCACTAATCACGGGCCACTCACTCCACACTACAAGTGCTTCTAAAATGATCGCAATAGCATGTTGACGTTCAAGGGAGCCGAATGTGCGGTTTATATCGCCAACTCACAACCACACTTGTGTAGCTCGGTCGGACGTTCGGCTCAGACGATGTCAAGGGCTGTTTATCGTGGATACCAGTTTCTGAATTTCGAACATTGCACTACAATATTTCATATGTTATTGCTTGTTCTTCCTATATAATCGGAATCAGGTCAGGTCAGTGCGTACTGTATAGTCGAGAGTCGGCGGGCAAGGGCTGCAAAGGCCAGGACACCTCAAGCATCATTCCATCCCGGTGGCGGCCTATCGAAAAACGAAACGTCCTCCCGATCCGTCGAAAGTGCGAGATGTCACTCCAAAGTTCCTCTTCACCATGACATAGTTGATAGAGGCCCTACCGGGCATCTATAACATGAACTAAGGCGCCAACGAAACAGATGTTTGGGTTGGATGTTGACCGTAATCTCATTCGACCCTCAACACATAGTTCCTGACTGTTCTCCGCTGCGACAGCGGAGTCTCGACCGTGTTCATTCCTCATTGACATGTCCGATCTCAATATAAAAGACGTTCCATCTAGCAACCCCCCAATCCCATCCTTGTAACCCCGCCACCTAGAGCTCATCCCTCACCGTCCCCTTCCTCTGACCCCACCCGTCCTCCTGATCCTTCCCTTCCTCCCGCTTCCCATCCGCCCGCTTAAAGAACCCTAACCTCTCCACGTTGACCGCCTTGTCGTGCGCAGCGTGCGGCGCCGCGTCCTCGTCGTCACCATCGGATCGTCGACCTTGGTTCTGGGATCGTTCGATGGCTTCTTGGCTGAGCGATCGGGGAGAGGGTCGGGTGATGGGGTCCCAAGTATGCGAGGGTCCCGCTCGGGGGACGTTGGGGATCGACGGGTAACTGCACGAGTAACGATGGTTGCTTTAGCGGGAGTTCTCATTATAGACTCGGTAGAAGGAAGCCTGCTCACTGAATCCCCTCTTCCGGACACGACTCGACGTGCGTGACCTGCACATCCTTCGCAGCCACAAATCGACTGTCTTGGAACTTTCCCTTGACATGTACGGGCCAGAAGATGGTCGATATCGTCTCGTTCACGCACGAGACCTGCAGACCGCCGGTCCCGATCGAAGTCAGCAAGGGAGGAAGGTATGCGGCCTAGATTGAGAGTATACTCACGTAAGGCTCGAATCCAGTCTTTCCAGTAAGGGCGTTGGTGATCTCCGCCCTGGAATAAGTTATGCCTTCCGAAGGAGTGATCTGCGAGTTGGGCATTAGAAATCGGTCATCCGAAATCTGGAAGCCACGTTTGATGACGTACATCAGAGTCTGCCAATAAGCGCCAAGGTTCCAGCGATTGGTGTAGGTGGTGGATCGAGTCGAAGAATAGAGGGACCTGGAACGAGTTCGATAGCGTCAGCGAACAATTCCGCATTCAAGGATACTGGCTCTTGTGACGAAGCGAGTAAACTCACTTCTTCACCTACGACATAATCGTCGAAACAACGAGGTTCGAGAGTAGAGATGGACCTTCCACCCGTGCGCCACTGCAGCAAAACCATTCAGCTCTCAACCGCCAAACAGGACAAGTCCCTGGAAAGTGTCTAGACTCACCGCCCTCTCCCAAATCTCCTCGAGCCCCTCCCCCACCTCGCTCTCTGCCCATTCCGCTTCCCAAGTCTCGTACTCGGCTCCAAAAGTCGGCGAGGTGGTACAGAACGATCCGATCTCTTCGTGAGAATAAGCTCGGGGCGCGGTAGGTTTCTGCGGGGTGATCGAGTTGGATGAACAGCTAGGAGCGATAAAAAGACATGGATTTAGATTCAGGTCGGGATCGAGATGATGACGTAGCATCCCCATTCTGCGTTCCATACGACCCGACTCACTCCAAGACGTCCAACCCGTCGATCCCCCATCTGCCCTCATCCCCCTTGTCAGGTTCGAACCGTTGCTTGAAGAGGAACGTACCCCCAGGTGAAGGTACGCAACATGCGTCCTGTCCGTTGGCGTCGGTGGAGCAGGAGACGATGTCCGATGATGTGGGTGGACACGATGTCGCCGCGTTTACGCTCAGGGCTACGAGCAGCGAGGAAAGAATGGCCGGAGGGAGTTTGAGCATGGTGGCTTTGTATAAGACCTGCTTGTTCTCAAAGCTGTGCTGGCCTTGTGAGAGAATAGTACATCGAGGATGGTTGTACTACTAGTAGCTAGTCGTATGTGACCAGATTCGGAGCCACATCTCCTCTCCCATTTGAACGCGGGGTCTCCACAAAAACTGAGCCAACGAGCGAAATTTCCGGGAACCTCGAACTAGCAAGAAGTATAACCTCGAAAGACATATTTGTACACTTCCACTTCAATCTACGATACCGACAGCATCTCCTCAACTGACGACCAACGCTGACCATGTCCGCCCCGCAAGAGGTCATCCTCTCCACCTCTTCCCTCTCGCCCTACCCGTTCCAGCCGAGCGCATCGAGCAAACCCACCACCTCGACCTCGACAAACACGCAGACCAACTCGCCCTCCTCGATCACCCTGCACGACCTTCAATCTAGCACCCAGATCCACTCGTTCAAACCGTCAAATTGTCTCTCGAACAATGTCGGCGTTGTGCCGAGTCGCCAGGGTCAGGGTGGAGGCGTGTTCGTCAGTCAGGAGAACAAGGCGTTGTTGTGTTTCTGGGCATGGCAGAAGGTGAGTTCGTGCACAAAGTCGCTCGAGAGTGATGTCTTGCAACGTCACCGATGCGAGTCTCCCTGTTTTTGCTGTATATAGGACCAAATTCAATCACGAATTCACTTGCCGGAGAAGCTCTCGTGCTTTACCGTCTCGCCAAACGGCCTGTGGGCAGCAGGAGGTAGTTCGACGGGTCATCTTTATCTTTGGGAGGTCAGTCCGCCACATCTTCCTTTAAACGTGCTAGCTCTCAATCCCCGAAACTCATAACTTCTTGTCCTTGTTGCCTGGACAGATCGCATCCGGCCTCCTCCTCTCCTCCTTCGATGCCCACTACCGATCCATCCTCACCCTAACCTTCTCCCCAACCTCCCAACTCCTCATCTCGTCCTCCGAAGACTCGTCGACGTTCGTCTGGAGCGTGACCCGGCTAGTGGACAACGACCCCAGGTTGATGAACGCCCTGCCTGAACCGTGGGGAGCGCTCGAGGGGCATAGTCTGGCCGTGGTTTGCGTCGGTGTAGGGAAGGGTGGTGGACCGGCCGGTGTGGAGGGGAGAGTATGGACGGGTAGTATGGATGGGACCGTCAAGGTGCGTCGAGAGCTCATCAACACGAGCGCTCAAGATCTTGTTTACTGATCGTCGACGCTGTTTCCTTATCCCACAGATCTGGGCCCACAATCCCCCGACGCTGTTAACGACCTTCAAACTACCTCCATCGCAATTCCCCACAGCGCTCACTATCGATCCGCTCGAACGTTCTTTCCACATCGGCACCCAGACAGGCGACATCCACCACGTCAGGCTGTACCGTCGGAGAAGAGAGATCGGAAGGAGAGAAGAGGACGAGGCGGTCTATGGTAATCAGGCCGTTGCGGATGCAAGCGTCGCCGTGGGTGGGGGTGGGGTGGGTGGCGAAGAGATCTTGGTGGTCGATGGTGAAGCGAGGGAGAAGGGCAAGGGGTCAATATCATTAGGGTGAATTTCTGTGCAACACCTAGTTTGTTTGAAGTCCATTACTGACAGGATGCTGCTCGTTGCGACCTTAGCGTACCCATCACGACCCTCGCCCTCTCGTCAACACAAGCGCAACTCGTATCAGGTACAGCGAGTGGACAGATCCATGTCCACGCCCTTCCATCGCATCAACACCTTCGAACCATCAACACTCATGCCGGATCCGCCATCACCCACCTCAGCATCATCTCCCGCCCACCCGACCTCGTCGGTCATCTATCATTAGGAAACTACGCCGAGATGGGGACCAAGGAGGAAGGATGGCCCGTCATTGAGGTGAAACCTTTCGAACGGATGAGGGTGGGCAAAAAGGAACGAGACGAGCAAGAGGTCGGGATCTTGTTGGGCCAAAAGAGCCAATTCGACGTGCTCGACGAGTTTGATATCGACGACGACGACGCTTCGGAGGAATACGCTTGGACACGGCCGACCGGGTCAAACGGGGCGCAAGGGACGGGTAACGGGGAGGAACAACAAGGCAAGATCGATGATCTACAAGCCGAGGTGGTCAAACTTCAGGCGCAGTTGAAACGGGCCAAGGAGATCAACGACGAGATGTGGAAGGGCGTCGTCAAGCGGTCATTTGACGTCGAGTCGGCGGGACCGAAGGGGGGCGACGTCGAGATGGAGTAGTTGGCCATTACATGTGTACACGTGTTTTATAGCAGTATCGACCGATGGTCCGTCGTATCCCATGGGCTCTCGTGGCCAGCTGGCACGAGCATGTCGTCCAGCAACATAAACAATAGTCGCCTGTGGCCTAGCATTTTGGTGCGTCTGTCAAAAAAAGGTAGCCTGCTCTGCAGTCTTGGCTACTTTCAGAAAGACCTTGTCCCACAACTTCGGGACACATCTGTAGTCTGACATTCTGTTCAGGATCCTGTACGTCTTGTTTCGACTGAGTAAACCTCCCTGAGCTGATCCTGTGAGGGTCCCGCTCCACCGTTCTCGCTGCGTTTCACAGCAAAGATTTTTGAGTCACCTGGCGAGCGTAGGTTCCGACTCGATTCCTGTGATAGCTGGAGGGATGACCCCCTTGCCTAACAAGAACGTACATATATTCCCACAATATGGGGCCGGCCTATCCTACAAGAGAGGTCATCATACTGAAGGATCAGATGACGAAGGCAGAGGAGAATTATGCTGCCCATAATATGAAGTCATCAATGCGCACGGGGATAAGCTTGCCCAACGCGACAAAAAAATCACCCAACACGACAAGAAGTTCAAGGATCAGGCTACCGCTGTCGACAAAAAGGTCAAGGACCAGGCTATCACTGTCGACGAGAAGTTCAAGGACCAAGCTATTGCTGTCGAATTGCTCAAGCAACATCTTTCTGAACATGAGCGCTCAACAAATTGGTGGTCACTTGTCTCAAATCAATCAATCTTGACAAAACATATCCTACTACAATTTGCAACCAATTCAACTAAAGCACATGCTTCCTTTGCTCTTCGTCGGCTTTACGCACCTTGTTGCCATCCTCTTCAATTGCTCAGATTTTTGTCTCCCCCTGACTCTCTCATCTTTCTTGGCTCTTTCTCTCTCCCTACCCGCTCTCCTGCTTCCGGTTCTCTTGACGCTTGCGTTCCTCTCGTCCTTGACGCTCCCAGCCCGATTTCAATCGCCGGCTACCGTACCATCCGGCAGGTTTCCGACAATCATCCTGTGATCGCATCTTGATGCGGACTTAAATGAGGGTGAGAACTCCGTGAATATTGACTCCATACACCAGTTCAACTCCAACTGATTCCCGTGCAGACAGCATATATCGATTGATCAGCCGCCCGATCCTAGCGCCCAACCTCGACACTCACCAATGTAAGAAACCAAAATCAATACAGCAAGTTGCTGTTGGAGTGAGTGAAATTCTTTGCTGAGCATTGGTGTCGCAAGCTGGCGTCCCGCCTGCGCTCAGCCAGAGCCTGCAACTTGCCGAGATCCAATCGATTTCTTGATGGGCGCGATCAGACACCTATTTGTCTTGCGTCTTCCCAAGGCAGATCTGCAAGAGCGAGCGGGTAAACTTTCGGTATGGTTGAAGTCGATCTCAACTCTGCATGCCGCCAACAGTACCAAATTTACCGGCTGGTGGCAGAAGCATGGGGTCACCTCGGATGAATGGGTCGACTACTACGACCTAGCAGAGGACGGCAACGACGAGGACGACTTTGTCGTGGGGGATCAGGAAGAGTTTGAAGACAATGATGACGATGACAAGGAGGAGGATCAATATGCAGAAGTGGAGGAAGAGGAGGAAGAGAAGGAAGAGGAAGAGGCGGACGAAGACAAGGACGAGGATGACGGCAGCGATCGGGCGGCAGAGCGCCACGTAATCTTCATATAATTCTTGTACTCGATCTCTTCTCGACTATCATCATATTTGAAGAAGAATGCTGCATTAAGGGGTGCCTAATTGTACAGAACCCTCAGTCGGTAGTTATAAGGAGGCATTTGAGCGGAGCAGACGACTTGTAAGTGAATGAATCCTGCATTACAAGTACAGCAATACCTATCCTGTTCACGCGCGGAGTGAGTACCTAGTCATATCGCAAAGAACTACCTTGTCATGTATAGCGTGTCGATAAACATCTCTGCGAGCAAAGGCACGACCGGCTTGCCAACACTGGTCTGACCCAGACCGTAAAGCGCGACGAGGTCGCCATCCTTGTCTGGCGGGTTGCTCTTGACCTCGTCGATCACCTCGCGCAGGTCCTGCAGCAGCTTGTCGATGGCGCTCACAGATAGCAACTGAAACGACAAACTTAGATCAGCTTGATTCATCCAGCGCGACGCACGCCAAGTCCCAACTCACAGTTACAGCCAGATGTAAAGCTGAAGGGTTGGCCAACGCGTTCAAATGCCAGCCGCGCTTGCTCATCAGGTCACCAACAACATAAATGTTCAGCGTGTTTGAGCTGAATGCGATGACCGAAACGAGAGGGTCGCCCAAAATATAGAGATCGTCCTGGAAGTCTTGCTGAATCGCCTTCTTGAGCTTGCGAGCTGCACCGACAATCTGCTCGCACGTTCGAGCATAACCACTGTAGACACACAGTGAGACTCAAAACTACAACAGAAGCAACGTTTTTTGGGATGCTTACTCCTCTCCCATGTGCATCATCACGGCATAAGCTCCAGCGATGATTGAACCGGGCCTGTAAGGACGAGTCGCCACTTTCAGTCGGGATCTACCTCAAAATGCCGAAAATTCGTCTTACCTGGATCCTGCCATCGACGGCGAAGCATAAACACCTATGTCGCAGCGACTCAAAGTCAGCGAATGCATGCTTCCAAAGAAAGCGCTCGGACACTCACCTCCAGACCAGTCAGGTTGGATGTAATACTGATACTTTCGGAGTTCGCGGTCTCGATACATGATCACCGACGATCCTAATGCATTGAAGGATTAGCCGATCGAGATGTATGCAGCTGAGAGATCGACCACTCACCCTTCGGACAGAAACCTGCATGGATAGCAATATGAAGTTCGGGTCAGCATGAATCACTGTCCGGTGACGACGTTGATCAGGTACCACGCACCATACTTGTGTATGTCACAGCTGATCGCAGTAACACCGTCAACGGAGAAATCAAAGTTGGGCAAATTTCTATCCTGCCTCTTCAAGAATGGCATCAAGAAGCTTCCGAGACAACAATCGACGTGGAGCCCGATCTTGTACTTCTTGGCCAGCTGACCGAGGTCAAAGATGGGGTCGACCGCGCCATCGGGGAAGTTGGGAGCGGAACCGACGAGCATGATAGTGTTGGGGTTTCTGGAACGAAGAGCTGTCGATCAGTCTGACGTGCAGGGCGATGACTATTTTGGCCTGCTCACATGGCTCGACGCATCCTGGCGACATCCGCTTTCCTAGACTTTTCGTTTACTGGGATGACGTGTATCTTGATCTTGAAGTAGTCGGCTGCCTTCCAGAAAGCAGCGTGTGCCGAAGCGGGAACCACTCTGTATGGAGGAAATGAGCTTATGTTTTGGATTAGGTTCAAAGATTCAACTCACATCTCTGGGTTAGTGATCCCCTTCGTCTTTCGCGCCCAATCGCGATGGGTCTTGACCGACATCAAGATAGATTCGGTACCGCCAGAAGTCGCTACGCGAATTGGAACGATGTCAGTCAGATTCCCCGAGCTTGGCGAGACTTCCTCTAACTCACTGGTACCCGCTCCGTTAGGGTTTCCGAAGCTAGACAGTCGTGCGACAGTCGAGCGGAAGGTTCAGCACCACTTCCTGGCTGGTTTACACAACACCACTCACAGAGTCAAACACATCTTCACGATCTCCGCCTCCATTTTGCGGACACCTGTATTGAGAGCGTAGAGTTCAGCAGATTAGCGGCTGTATGCAGTCCGGGAAGAAAAGGTCACATACCGGGAAAGACGTCTGGATGTAATGGGTTGGAAACGACGAAGCTCGATGTGGCATCCATGATGACCTTGTTGAGATCGGCCCCTCCCTATTCTCGGCACGTATCGATCAGCCGTTGAACTCCAAGATCGCTACGGTGAGACCGATCTACTGCTTACATGGTAGACAGCACCACTGACACGGCCTTCCTTGACGTCTCCCTTCTCCATCGAAAGTAGCCTATGCATCTCCTCCTTGAGCCATTCGGGCGTCTTGCCTTCCTTTGGCAGAGCGTTATGATATTCCGATCCTGCGGGTAACACGTGTGGTACGAGCTTGTCCTCTACTCCTCGCCTCGCTTGACCCAATTCGGTGGAGATCTTGAGTTTGGAGGAAGGTAGCCGGAGCAAGAGCCCGACGACGAGCTAAGATGGCGTAACGAGCCTCATTGTCAGCGAACTTGAGCCCAGGAGAGTAAAAAGCGCCTGAGCTAACCTGTCTACCATAGTCATACACCTCGTGCAGAGAACCTCCGACTCCTCTTGCTCGCATGTGTCTATACATGGCCAAGACGACATGCCTGTAGAGTATGTAGATCAAGACCGAATGGGCGAGCTTGCTCGTGAGCGTCCGTACTCGCGACTTTCGTGACGGTGTAGCAAGATAAGACATGATGTGCTTCGAAATGATATCTATCTCCTCAGTTTCAAATCGAGGGCGATCTCCTTTGCAGAGTGATAGTAGTAGTATATCAAAGTTACAAGTAAAAGTAGCTCGCAGTGGTACGACGTCGATCCTGTCACATGTGTCTCGGCCGCGGAGGCGACGGAAGCAAATCATACTCCGAATGCTTCCGGAGGTAGTTACGGGCCCGATCGCCGTATCGCTCACCCCGATCACCCCCAAACGTCGCACCTGTGCTTCGGCGCCATCTGAAGGGTACGAGAAATGCTAGAAATAAGTTTGGGCACAGCTAGGAATGAAGAATCCCTCTTGACTTGCCTTCGAGCCAGCCTTGCAGTGGAATGCCTCAGCGAAGCGAGGGAAGCCGCTGACTTGCCCATTGCTGCGCCAGAAATTCGGGCTGTGAGGGTCAGTTCTAAGGCGAACCAATGCCGACTCGGGCTTGATGAGCTGTGCCCACACCCTGGCAGATGCCAGGAAGAATAGCTGGTCACTAAATGCACAAAGCGGGCCCGGTCAGCGGATGGCCTCGGAGCCTGGAGCAAGTTGAGACGCACTCGGTAAAGTTGAGTCCAGGCAGACGTCCATGAGAATGGTGCTCAGCCTTGGCCGCTTCTTTCCATGCATTGTAGGCGAAGACGATCCCCGAGTCTCCGAGGTCTTCACCTGTGACAACACAGCGTCGACGGTATGATTAGCTGGTACTCCTTCACGTCACCATCTCCCGCACGTACCGTTCGTGAGGTTGCCGTTGATGTAGACGGGCTTGCCATCGGGACCAGTGATCGAGTATTTCGAATACTGGCGGGCGACACACTCGGCCTTCTCCTTGAAGCGTGAGACTGTCTCGTTGCTCCACCAGTCCCGAAGACGACCCCTCTCATCGTATTGCGCTCCAGTGTTGTCGAACGCGTGTGAGAGCTCGTGAGCTGCGACAGAGCCAAATGCACCGTATTGCAAGTGCAAAGGCCAAGTGGATGAGAAGAAAGGGCTTCTCAAGATGCCAGCTGGGAAGACGATCTCTCCATCAGGAGGACTGTAATAGGCATTGACGACTGCGGAGTTGTAGTGGAATTCAGTGACGGTCGTCAACGCTCAGAGGGAGCTTCGAGTGTTACTTACGCTGAGGTTGCATCTATCGCAGATAGGTTACCGCGAGCATCAATATCAACACAACGGTATAAAGACGCGAAAACAACTGACCTCCCATTCTCCTCTGTCCCGGGCCCGTCCCAACTTCATCCAGTCCCGAGTCTCGGATAACAATCTATATGAGATGGTATGAGCTAGATTCGATGGGTAACCTGGTTGATCTGTTGAGCCGAAGAGCTCACCTCTGCCTCAAACCGTTGGCGAAAAAGTCGTCGTCGATCTGTAGCCTGGAGTAGTACAAATGGAGCGCTTGCGCATCAGTCGTATTGGGTGTGGTAGGGTATCCGATCTTGACGTAAAGCGAGTCGGCCTGCATCGAAGAAAGTTGAGCCGCAGTCCTTAATTCGCAAGAGCAGACTCAAATTACCTTCTTGGCAGCAGCCTTGGCGCTCTCCGCATCCATCCAAGGCACATGAGGCAAACGAGCCTTGAAAGCATCAATGATGTCTATGAGAGCACGAGAAATCAACCACCTGCATAATTCGAGTTCACGCCAGCCCCGATACATACTGTAGATGACAGATTCCGCTTTGGCTTTACTGTCCCCAGCAAAAGTGCGGTCGACGAATTCCTTGCCTCCGAGTAGACCCAGACCGTCAAGTTCGTCGGCATAGGCTTGACAGAACTGCTGCCTGTCCTCTGGGACTCCCTTCTTTAGCCCTTGGAGCGCGACCTGGAGCCTTCTGGTAGCCTTTCGGATGGGTGTAGCAGGTCCGAGGAATTTCGAATAGCTCAATCCCATTCGGGTGACGAAGTAGGCGGAAAGCACGTGATCGGGAGTGTCGGCCAAGATCTTATGGACCGACTTGATGTAAGGCGGGGATGTGACGATGATCTTGGTCGGGAAGTTCCTAGGGGCAAAGGTCGACACGTAGGTAGAGAGTGACATGAAATCCAATTGCTGGGAAAGGTTGCGGAAATCGTAAGGGTTATAGGCAACCTGTTTCGGCGTAGCCAGAGTTAGCCATCGATGGAGGGATAATAGTCCCCCTTCTTCTATACGACTCCTTACCTGAGGATTGAACAAGTCCTCGCTGACGTATCACCGAGAGATGTCATCAGATTGCCCTCGACCAGCGAACGACCAACAAATGCAGGCTCACGGATCGGCTCCCGCTCGGATCAATGACCGCTCAAACTTGACCACACGCTTAGCCAAAGCTTTCACCAGTTTCTTTTGGCTCTTGACGTCGTGCTCGGGTTCCTTCGGAGCGGGTCTGGGCCAAGGGAATCCCCACAAGTCGGACTCGGCCTTTTTACCTGCTTTGGGATGAGCCAAAGCGAGGAGAACGTCCGTGACGACCGAAGTGTAGAGATCGACGATGGGTTTTTCTTCGTAATATGCCTTGGAAGGGAGACCTCCTCCGGCCTGGTAGACAGAGAGCTCCTGGATCTGAGGGTCCTCGCCGCCCGCATCACCTTTTTGATCCGAATGCCAATATCAATACTATTTCACGGCCGCAATGACGATGAATGCTCACCTTCGATGTTGAAGTTGATCAACGCCCCCACGCCTGTAAGAACAATCGAAGATTAGTACAGTATCAGAGATCATACGATCACCCTGGACCCACCTCGAGAGTGGCTGTAAGCCAAGGCCTGGGTCAGAGCGTCTTTCCTCTTGGTAGACGTAGATGCGACCTCCTGTCCGAGTACGTTTTGCAAGCTCCTCTGCTCCAGAGTTTTGGCCGAAGCGACAGTCTTGGAAATGGTCTTCCCGAGCAAGCCGCCAGATGCTTCCACTTTCAGGTGTTCAGGAACTTGGTACGACTCGGTATAGGTTCCTTCCCAATCCTCGGAAGTTTCGTCGGCAGCGAGGTCGGAAACCAAGAAAGGTCCCAGGATATCGGTGATGTCGTTGATAAGAGGCATGATTGGCTCGATACCCTTCTTGTTTATGGCACGCTATGATGTGTGGCACATTTATTCAGCAAAATTGCAGTGGTCTTCCCTTCTTTCAACAGGCCCACGTACCTCGTCCATACAAGTCCGGTAACCAGTCCTCAGCTTGAGCAAGTTTGCCTTCTCAGCAGCTTCAGCGGGAGTGTCATCTTTGCTGGGCTTCTCGTCCTGTCCCTCGAGAACTTCGAGAATGACCTTTCTGTTCTCGTCCTGCAAGACGTTGAACGATCCATAGCTGCCTCGGTCAGAGGGGATGGAGTGGCTCTTCAACCATCCTCCGTCTGAAGCGAGGCGGATATGAAACAGATCAGCGAGATCTCTTCGACGTCCTATTCAATGAACTCACTGGCGAACGAATAGAAGTCTTCGCACGGATCAACCGTATCGTCGATGTTCTGCAGGATTTCGCTCGCGAGCAAGATGCACTCTCGGCTCAGGCAAGTCTCATTTTGATGTCCCGGCTTTCCGGTAGGAGTCGGCCCTCCGATAGTTTTGGTAGCAGTTACAGTAGTAGTGGCATGAGATCCGGGAACGGTGTGGGTATGGGTCGCCGCCGGCTGATGACGAGCTTTCTTCAGCTGATTAGCGGTGCCCGCGAACAGTCCAATGAATGTAGCGGCGAGCAGGAGGAAAAGAAGAGCAGCAACCGCGAGGATCTTCTCTATGGTGGTCAGAGTCCTTGCTCTTCCGGCATAAGTGGTTTCGTCTGCGGGTTGTGCATCAGTAGTGGGGTCGAGGAGAGGCGCCGTCTCTGTGAGACGAATGAGAATGACGTGCGTGATAAGTCATCTCATTCGCAGGTCGCTGACGCCAGTTCGACATGCTTACCCTCGTCAGTCGACGCTCTGGCGGTCGACATGATGGTAAGCTTCAAGATGTATCGAGCAGACTCGAGTGCTTTCCAGGTGTTGAGATCTGAGCTCTATGTCAAACGATCGATCAAAGGATCAAGATGACATCGAGAGATCATGCGCATGCGTCGCGGACATGGCCGATCGACGACCTCTGCTCGCTGGTGGTGTTTCAGATGCGCGTCGCCTTGGTTGAGAGACCCGTCAGGTCATACAAGTTTCTGTATCCAAAAGCGGGCGAGAGCGATTGAGATGGAGAAAGCGAAGGTGGATTGCAATAGAAAAGCTGCTGAGCTGGAAGAGCAAGCCAAGGCTGTTTGGGAACAAGCAAAGCTTGCTCAGGAACAAGCCAAATCTTCCCGGGGCCAGGCTCAGCAGCACCAAGTCTACGTCAACGGCCTTTTCAGAAGACGCTATATCACGGCACTATTGCATGGCGAACACAAACAGAATCGACATAAGGCCTACAACAGCTTCGTAACCGATAGCGCCCTCATGTGGATGGTCCGTTCAGTGTGGAAGTGAGGTCAAGCGCACGCATAACTATAGATCTGGCTATTCTATCTCAGTCTCTGTACCAATAGATACAACTCATTCGTAAGATATGCAGAATACACACAGCCCGATACACGTAATCCCATCCATCATTCAATCCCACTGCTCGTGATCGGCGTGAGATTGATGTCGGTAAGAAGGTTCTTCGTCTTCCTCATCGTAATCGTCCGCCTTGTCATTACCATTATCTTCACCTTTCTCTTCGTCTGAGTAAGCAAAGCATTCGTAAGCACTCTGCTATCCGGGTCATCAATTCATCAGATTCACCATCATGCTCTTGATCGTTTTCTCCCTTTTCGTCCGTCTTCTCATCTACCCCATGAAGAGGCGTACCATCCCGCGAATCACGCTCGTCATCGGGGTTGGACTCGAAAAGCCTTTCCAGAGCCCCGTAGTTGACGTTTCGACTGTACTGTCTACGTTCGATGAGACCCTTGGCCGACTCGGCGGCGCTTTCGGCAGGCCCGACGGGACCTCGACGCATGCGCGGCTGAAGGTAGCAGATCTTGTCAGCTTTTGTGCGAGGCCTAACAGATGTTTGGGAGGAGAATCACCTTCTTGTGTTCAGCCTCAGCTTCGTCACGTAGTTCATCCAGCTTGTTCTTTCGTAGTTTCGCTATCGAGTCATTTCAATCAGCTTGTGGCCGAAATCGATGTATGTATTCGACCCTAGCTCACCTTGCAATTTGATGAGATAGTCCATGTTAGTATCGATCCAGGTATGCATCTTGATCTTGGCTTCAATCGGATCGCAGATATAATCGTCGAGCTCGTCCTCGTCCAAACCCTTCAGAGGGTCATCGTCAGGTCGACGGGCGATATCCTCCTGGATGTGGTTCAGCTCTTCCTCCTTGGTATGCTCGATCTTCATCAACGCTTCAGCGACATCATCGTCCGCCAACGCATCAGTCAATTCATCCCCGACGATTTGGTCCGCGATCGGATTGTTGAGTAAATCGTCTTCGTCTCCTTCAACATCGTCTCTTTCTTCCTGCTCGACCGATCTAGCCGACTCCATCGCGTTCGCTAGGGTGGTCGGCCCTGGACCTGCTCGCGAGTTTCTCTGTCCTGCCGGAGACTCTCCCCGAGGTGTTCCGCCCCGAGAACTTGGCGTAGCGCTGTTCTCCCTGTCCCGTTTGACTCGCTTGACCTCTTTGCCTTTGTTGAGCTTTCTCTTCCTTTTACGCGAGCCAGACTCGTCATCGTCATCCTCGTCACTATCCTCGCCTGCGCTCGATCCACGCTCCGAACTCGCTCTCCGAGCTGCCCTAGCTGACGCTTCCGCCTGCAGCGCTTCGACCCGCCTGTGCTTGTTGAAGATAGGAGGTGCGGCCGACGAAGGGAACGCCATGGTACCTTCTTTGTCCAGTACCCACCTATGACGGATCTCGGTGACCGACATCTGACCGGCGGGCGTCTGTTGAAACTCTTCCAATCGTTTCTTCAAGGTCGAATCGGCGATCTTGACGACCTGTACGATTTCTGCGACCGATCGCCTGTAGTTGTTCATCCTCGCTGCCAAGATTAACGCAGCTCCGCAGATACCTGAAGGGCGTCGACCTTCGACCATCCAATCCCTCTTGAATCCACTGACGAGGCTCGTAGCGTCATTCTTGACCTTTTCGGTGTCCTCGCCAAATTCCAACATCGAAGCAAATCGGTGGATATAGATCGATGGGTCAAGGGGAAGCGGGTCTTTGATGGGGACCGCTTTGAGGAGTTTGAGATAGACGCCACCGAGTTCGAAGACGTTGACCTGAAAGATCCAGGAAGACAGGGTCAGCGGTGTCCCGTTAGACATCCTTACGAGCGATCTAGCTTACATTGCTCAGTGCCGATGAGAAATCGATCAGCTGGTAAGGATACTTCTTCGTCCGACAAGCCACGTAAAGACAAGCAGCGACGACCAGGTCTCCTCGTCTACCCCGAGTGAACCTTGCTTGATAGGCCAGAAACCATATACGACCGGCTTCTTCTCCAACACCCGGACCCAACGCCATCTTCGAAGCAAGATCTACACACTTTCTTCTCCCTGTGACGACCCGCGGTCTTAGCTTAGCTACCACCATTATACAGAGACAAAAGATTGGCTGCATACCAATGAGAACTTACCGGCAGCTTCGGTGAACTCCTGAGATGTCCCACCGTATCGACCCTGTTTGCCGAACGATACGCCCACTAATGCGAGGAGATCGTGACTGCTTAGACACTGTCATCATGCTGAAAATACAGAGGCGACTTACTAGCTCCTGCCGATAACCTCGTTCCATCCGCAACTACTGCTCCAGAGGAAGTCTCTTGAAAACCGACCTCTTCCGTCAACACCATCTCATTCAGCACCGTACCACAGCTCAAACAACTGAGCGACGAAGAGGATGATATTCAGCTAGGACCATGAAGCGACAAAGCACTCTTGTCGATCTACTTACTAGCTCTTTCCCTGTACGGCATCCTCCTTGATCTTATCGCCCATGCAGTTCGGACAGAGAGTGGCCTAAACACGGTCCCCATGTCGGTTAGTCGACCGTACTCGCGAAATTGCTGCCCGTGTTCGGTACTCACGAACATGGCGAACGGATTCGCTGTTGTTCCAGAGGAACGATTATCGGTATGGTTCCTATAGGCTCGACTTTCTTTCGATTCAATCTTCAGCGAAGGGTACTACCAATGAGCCTAGAGCATCTATCTACCCGTATAGTATATAGTTGAATAGTTGACAAACAAAACATGCAGAACCTTCAAGGCTGGCCGCATCCCTCGGCTACTTTTTGACCTGATCCTTCTCGCGCGCGGCACAGCAGGTCTCTGGCCGCTAGCGGGGAGGGAGGCTTTGGACGTGCAGGAGAACCGATGACCATCAAGCAAGCAAAGGCAGCATTACTCGATGAGATCCGCGAAAGCGATTACTTGATCAGGAGCGAGGAGCTTCATACATGGCTGCCTGAAATTTCCACTTTTGTTCAGACTCATTGACATACGATTTGGGCTACAATTGTAGATCCCAAGATGTAGGTAGCGAGTGAGAATACCAGCCAGCCAACTGCACTAGCTTCAGAACCATCGCGTTTTCCAAGATTCGTCGGCGCATGTTGTCGCAGTGTAGAAGGATGACCTCTTCAATCCTCGACAGGGAAGAGCCAGCGACTTGACGGCAGGCATTGCACAATGATCCTCTGTCCAACAGCCGTCAGGTTTGCCTGTGAAGACTGGGCAAGGCATCATGCTTACAGTAAGCAGCTTACCACTTCAAACAGTTGTCGCAAGGTACCCCTCTCTCATCCTGTCGATTACATCCTATATATAAGAATAACCCATCAATCACCAAAATGCGACTCTTTGGATGCGACTAACGCACCTTTGGCTTTGCTGATGGTGCCTGAGCTATAATGTTACGGCGGAAGTCGCTAATGGGCGATAGGTCCTAAGTCGTAAGGCGTAGGGTGCTTATAGGTAGATCGCAGGTAGTCGGGAGAATGTCGCAAGTTCGCTTATATGAAGCGGATTCGGATAAGGGGTACGAATCCAGAGATGTATGGATAAGGAAGTGATCACTCGGTGTGAGGTACAGGATTCGTTCTAAGGTGAAACGATGAAGCGTAGATACTTAGCGACGTCCTTGAGTTGTAACCTCTCCGCAACACGTCTTGAAGATGTTGTAACAAGTCAGATAGGCGTGTATTGAATGTGATATCGGAACTTGACCTCTAACTATTACAGAGCGTCCTCTATCGAATTCGGTCAAGTTCCTCTAGCTATTTATACGGAGACGAGTACGGAGACGAGGCTGGCGAACACTGAAAAGACCCAAGAGAAAAGAATGGCGAGAGATGGCGAAACTGGAAGAACGAGATGGCGAACAGACGAATCCTGTCGAGAGCAGCCGGATTCGGTAGAGGAGGCGAGTTTGAGTTCTCATTTGTCCCTAGGTACGTCGAGTAAGGTTGTCGAGGTCCTGAGTAGAGTGTCGTGTACCTCGAGGTCCCCGTACCTGTTTGTGATATGTGTCGGGAAGGTTTGTTGTTTCGGTGAATGGTGAAGGCGAATGGTAGGGGCGACCGAATCTGCTCCGAGGGAATCGGATTCGCCTCGTCGAGCCGGACTTAGGTGTATGCTGATGTCCGTAGATCGAGCCTGTGTGTCGGTAGTCGACTCACGTGATGATCCCGTAACAGTATATCCCCCTCCGGAATGGCGCGCCCCGAGCCATCGTGTTTCAAGTATTGATCGCATCAATTTGTTTGATGATTGTCTACGACGCGTTTGTTTTGATTTGATGGCGACCGAATTTTCCATTTCGCTAAGGCCCATCGACTCGCGTCGAGTGGGGGGTATAAGCCGGATCCGTTTCGATTGAAGCGAATTGTGCACTTCCTTTCTCGAAGATACTCAACGATGCCGTCTCCTGACGTATCTCCTAAGATTGAAGAACGCTCGACTCTTTCTCGAGCCTCGACCGTAACTCCAGGAGACTCGGCTTCTCGTTCGTGCGATTCGAGTCGATTCGGTTCCTTTGCGTAAACTGATCCAATTCCGCTTTGTGTATAGAAGTCAACCAGGTCTTTTCCGGAGGAATTTTTGATTTCGAAGAACTCCGCAATATGGACGACACGGACGAGGTCGACCAGAACCTGGCTTCGAATATAAGGGGGCTGTCGGTGACCCGATCGGGGTTGGAAGGCAAGCAGATTCGGTTCCGAAAGGCGGTTTCGTTTCGCTGAACCTGTTGGGTTCTTCGCAGGTGGTGAACCGGCTCGTCGGGAAGGGCTTTACGGGACAGCTCGTAGGCCAACTGGACGCCCGGTATCGGGCGAGGATGTTGCCATGACCGGGCAACCTTTAGACTCGGTCGACGAGGAACCGGTTGCGGGGCCGAGTGCGGGTGAGTAAAGCGAATCTGCTTGGATTCTGAATCGATAATTCGTAACCTGATACTATGTCTATTCTTGCTTGATTGTAGCTGTCGTGTCGCCGCCCAGGACTCCTCGAGGGAGGTCGATTCAGCGGAGTCGACAAGGCCGACACAGCGCGAGGTCGAGTCGAGGGAGAGGAGCCGCATCGGCGGGTGCGAGGGTCGATGTCGAGAACATCGATTTGGGGGGTGCTCTCGTGCGCCAACGGTCGGTGAGCCCGGAACCCGGTAAGCGTTTTTGTTTGGTTTCTACCGGATCCGGTTCGACGAAGCTAATTTGGATAATCGCGTTCCAGCTCGGCCCATCGACTTCGAGGGCGTACAGCCGACTCGGCGAACGGGTGCAGCGCCTGCCAACTTCTTTGACGACCTGTCGGAGAAGAAGAAGAAGAAGAAGAAGGTGGTGACGTCCGAGGATGAAGATTCGGACTACCACGACAGCGGTGTACCGGGTGAGTCGCCCGACGCGTCTCCAGGGTCAGCGTACGAACGGCAGATCGAGAGTCGCTATCAAAGAGCGTTCGGGACTCCTGAATTTGCTGGTTCGTACTCGGTACCCGTCGGTCGAACTCGTTTCGCTGAACCAGATTTGCTTGATTTTAGCCGAAAGCGAGGGGGCCGACTCGATCATCGACATTGGGGATGAGAGCGTGATCAACATCGGCACGGTCGGCACTGAGGGAGACGAGTTGGCGTCGACCCCTGAGCCCGAGTGGTGGGATAGTGAGTAATATTCGTATTGTTTAAGCGAAATCGTTTGCTTCGAGCTAATCCGCTTTGTAGCCCACGCTGGTATCGTCAACGCTACCGACCAAGAGATCATCGATCACGAGGCGAGGCCCGGCGAGCCTCCTTTCTCGACTCGAGTTGGGACGGCCAGCGAAGTGAAGACCAGGAGGACGGTGGTAAGCTCGTTTCGCTTGCGTTTAAGCGGATTCGGCTAAATCTTGTTCGTTTTGGTAGTTGCAATCACGTCGCCTAGCTCGCGCCCAAGCCAAGGAGGGTATTGTGAACGACCCTAAGTGCGAGGACTGCGAGGGCCTCGGGGACGAGGGGTTGAGTTGGGGATGTATCTCCAAAAGGTCTGGGACCTTGAAGGGTTGTGCGGAGTGCACTGGTCGGCGAAACAAGTGTTCGCTTGCCGGACAGCCGATTCCGGAACCTCCCGGCCGAGTCCCCAGCCCCGACACCGCGGCTGCTGCGAATGCAGCACAACCGACTACTCCTCCGGCGACGAGTAGTCTGCTTCCTCGAGCTCGATGGGAAGCGCAGGTAGTGAGTCGAATTTGTTTCAACGAACCGAATCTGTTTTAACGCAACCGAATTTGGCAGCAATCGGCCAGAGATCGTATTCAGATCTACGCCGACCTGCTCGAGGATGAGGGCATCAAAAAGGGTCTCTCGAAGGCCTTGGAAGACCTCGACAAGGTCCGGGAGGCGATCGCGGCGGAAGGTGACGCGGCCTTCAAGAGGGTTATCAACCCGTTGCCGGCGCCCACGCCCAAGAAGAGGAAGACCGGAGTCGTGTCGACTCCGAAGGATTCGAAGAAGTCGGGGGGTAAGTCGACTCCGAAGGGTAAGGGGAAGCAGAAGGAAGCGGATCCGGACGAGGACGAGGAAGAGGAAGAGAATGATGGTCGCCCGCCGAAGCGAGCCAAGAAGGATTGAAGCGGTTCCGCTTCGTCTATAATTTGTTTTTTGGGTTTTGTATTTTCTTTCAATCCGAGTCGTTTGATACGATGAATCCTATGCGAGCGAGAAGTCCGAGACGAGATCCAGAAGAGTTCAGAACATATGTTTATCCGTATCTCGGTCCAGCCGGGATCGGTTCAATGAAGCGGATTCGGGAAAGCTACGCTTCCCAACCCGGAGGCTTTGGCTTAGTCGGGAACCGAACATGGAACTCCTCTTGTGCCTCTGCTGTATTGTTGAGGTCTTCGAGGGGTACCCAATCTTGTCCTTCGGGTCCCGAGTATCCTTTCCATTTGATTAAGTACGCGAATTGGCGTCTCCTGATCCTGCTGTCGATAATCTCTTCGACCTCATACTCGTCATCGTGCGGAGATTCAACAATTGGTCCAGGAGTCTGTACTCGTCCACCAAATGGGTTCTCGTAATGTGGTTCCAACATGTCGATGTGGAAGACGTTGTGAACCTTGAGTGTGGCCGGCAAGCGGATCCGGTACGCATGAGACGAAATTGCTTCGATGATTTCGTAGGGACCATATCGCTTGTGATCCAGCTTCTTGGTAGGTCGTTTGGTCGCGATGTATTTCGATGAAACATAGACCTTCGATCCTACTGTGAATTCGGGAGGGTTTTGGTGTTTCTGGTCGAAATACTTGGCAGCTCTTTCGTTAGCTGCAGTCATTTGTACTCGCATCTGTTCCCAAACTTCTTTCATATCCCTGGCTTCGATCCTTGCGACGAGAGATTCAGCCCTGTGTTTGTCGAGACTGACGTCGAATCGTGGTTCGTAACCGAAGGTTGCCATGAAAGGAGAAATACCGGTAGCGCTATGCTTCGCGTTGTTGCAAACGAATTCGGCTAAGGGAAGCAGATTCGACCAGTTATCTTGGTGATAACTGCTATAGTGCCGAAGGAATCCCTCGAGAGACTGGTTGACCCGTTCGGTAGCTCCGTCACTCTGAGGGTGGTAGGCTGTAGTCAGGTCGCTCGAGATATCGAGAAGCGCGGTAAATTCTTTCCAGAATTTCGAAGTGAATTTGCTTCCCCGATCCGAAACGATCCTGTCGGGCAACCCATACTG